CGATTTCTGGGCCTCTTGCTACAGGCGTTAGTCCTGCCTTAAACTCGTTGGCTTCTCAGGTTACCGAGATCCCCCAGAGTGCCCAGCCAGCTCTAGTATCCATCTTGTCGCAAGCATCTGGATTGGTGAGCTCTGCAGCTAAGATCACTTCGTCAATTGACGTCGACCCTGTCCTCACCTCCTTGGCATCACAAGTTACTGCACTACCAGCGTCTATTCAACCTGGCGTTTCAAGCTTAATCTCACAGATCTCGGCTTCTGGCCCAGGTGCAAGTGGTGTTGATATTGCCATTTCCTCTTTGGCTCTCCAGATTACCGAATTGCCTGTCTCTGCACAATTGCCTCTCTCATCTTTTGTTGCACAGGCATCACAGCTTGTTGACTCTGCAGTTCCTCAAATCACTCCCACTGTGCAGATTGGAGCTATACTTACCTCTTTGGAATCACAGGCTACTGCTCTTCCTGCGTCGATCCAACCTGGCCTCTCGAGTTTGCTCTCACAGATCTCAGTTTCCGGACCAGCTGCAAGTGGTGTTAATGTCGCAATCTCTTCTTTGGCTTCGCAGATTACTGAATTACCTGTGACAGCACAGCCTGCGCTTTCGGCGATTGTCTCGCAAGCTTCCGGTTTGGTCAACTCAGGCGTCCCTCAAGTATCAGCTAGTATTACAGCCGGGCTTACGATTGATCCTGCATTGACCTCGCAACTTCCAACCTCGATCGCACTTCCAGTTTCTTCTCTTTTGTCGCAGATCTCAGCTTCTGGAGTGGTAGCTTCTGAGATACAGCCCGTTTTGTCGTCTTTGTCTTCTCAGATCACGGAGATACCTTCGTCAGCTCAGCCGCAACTCTCATCGCTCATTTCTCAGATCTCTGGCTTGGCTCCCGTCACATCCACTATTCCAACTCTTGGAGGTGTCATTGTTGATCCCGCGCTCACTTCAGGCCTGCCTAGCTCAATCTTGCCAGCGGTGAGTTCTCTTTTGTCGCAAATCTCGGCCTCAGGTCCAACGGCATCTGGAATACAGCCAGGCTTGTCGTCTTTGGCTTCTCAAGTTACGCAATTGCCTTTGTCAGCTCAAGGACAACTTTCTTCGCTAATCTCTGGTATTTCTGGCTTGGTTCCGATCACTACTGCGGCCCCTACCCAGGGCGCCGTTAATATCAATCCGGCTTTGACATCTCAGCTCCCGAGCTCACTTCAACCTGCTCTAAGCTCGCTCTTGTCCCAGGTCTCCGCAGTGGGACCTACAGCTCCTGCTGTTCAGAGCGCGTTGTCATCGTTGAATTCCCAGATTAGTCAATTACCTTCGTCAGCACAACCAGCCTTATCGACATTGATCTCGCAAGTATCTAACCTGCCAGTCAACTCTGCAGTTCCCACAAATGCTGCTGGAGCTGCTGGATCAGCACTGTCCTCACTGGCTTCTCAGGCTTCGAACTTACCCAGCTCAGTACGTCCTGCACTTTCATCGCTCCTGTCGCAGGTTTCTGCTGCTGGCCCATCTGGCACACTCGCCCCCAGTGTCTCTTCAGCAGTCTCATCTTTGTTGGCCGGTGCCACTTCGCGCGTCCCAACTGCTGGAGGCAATGCCGCTGGTGCTGGCGCCATCCTTTCGTCGATCAGATCCCAGGCCTCGCTACTTCCTGTGTCGGTCCAACCTGTTCTGTCTTCGCTTCTTTCTCAAGTTTCGGCAGTCGGACCTTCGGGTACCGTGGCCCCTAGTGTTTCGGCCGCTGTTACGTCTCTTGCTGGTGCTGTAGGCAACACTCGCAGCCCCGTGTCTGAGACTCTTGCAGCCGGCTCTGCGCTCTCGTCTATTGCATCTAGGGCATCTAATCTTCCTGCTTCTCTGCAAACAGCTGTTTCTTCGCTACTCAGCCAAGTTTCTGCTGCTGGCCCTTCGGCTACTTCGGACCCTCGCATTTCTTCGGCTATCTCTTCGTTGTTGTCTGCCGCCTCCCCTAGCGCAAGTGTTAGCATTTCGGCTGGTGGAAACATTGTTGTCGGCCCAGCTCTGTCGTCTTTGGCGTCTCAGATCTCTCAGTTGCCTTCGTCTGTCCGTCCGGCTGTTAGCTCCTTGCTCTCGCAAGTTTCTGCAACCCCAACTGCAACCCTTGACCCCAGAGTCTCCTCGGCGGTCTCCTCTCTCGTGTCTGCCGTTGCTCCTTCCAGAGCTCCGACTGGCGGAAACGTGATTGTTGGCCCAGCTCTTTCGTCATTGGCCTCTCAATTCTCTCAGTTGCCATCTTCGGTCCGTCCTGCGCTGTCTTCTATCCTGTCCCAGGTCTCCGCCACGCCATCTGCTACTTTGGACCCCAAGGTTTCTTCTGCAGTCTCGTCAATTGTGGCTGGAGTTGGTGGTCTTCCTACCACAAGACCAGTTGCAGTTGCACCGGCTCTTTCGTCTCTGGCGTCTCAGATCTCGCAACTTCCTAGCTCGATTCGTCCTGTCGTGTCTTCATTGCTCTCGCAGGTCTCCGCTACCCCTTCCTTGACTTCTGACCCTCGCGTAAGCTCGGCCGTGTCGTCTATCGTGGCTGGTGTCAGTGTCCAGACTGGAAGTCCGGTTGCGGTCGGTCCTGCTCTTACGTCTTTGGCATCTCAGATCTCGCAACTTCCTTCGTCAGTTCGCCCTGCGGTATCGTCGCTGCTTTCCCAGATCTCGGCCACACCTACCGCAGTCAATGACCCTAGAGTGTCGTCTGCAGTCTCGTCCATCGTGGCAGGACTCAGTGCTCCTACTGCAAACCCAGTCGCTGTCGGCCCTGCTCTCTCGTCGTTGGCATCTAGGCTTCCATCTCTCCCAGCCACCGTACAGCCCATTGTATCCTCTCTGCTGTCTCGCGTCTCCGCAACACCTTCGGCAACCCTCGATGCCGGAGTGTCGTCAGCCGTCGCTTCGATTGTCGCTGGTGTGACCCCCGCGCCTAGCCTGATTGCTGCCGGTCCAGCCCTTTCTTCGTTGGCCTCTGAGATCTCTCAGATTCCTGCTTCGCTTCGTCCTGCAGTTTCTTCGCTGTTGTCCAGAGTCTCCGCTAACCCTTCGGCCACTCTCGAGCCCGAAGTTTCAGCGGCAGTGTCTTCGATCGTTGCTGGTATCACACCTGCACCAGTTGTTAGTGCATCTGTCGGCGGTTCTGTTGCTGTCGGTGCTGCTCTCCAATCACTGTCTTCCTTGTCAGCATACGTTCCTGCGACTGCCCAACCAGCTCTTGCTTCGCTTCTGTCCCAGGTATCTGCCGCTGGTCCTCAGGCTACCGCAAACCCTGCAATTCAGTCGGCCATCTCGTCAATCTATGGTCAAGCGTCTTCGGCATTGTCCAGTGCTGCAAGCTACAAGTTTAGCACTTCTACCAATTCTCTGATCGCCTCTTTGCTGTCTAGCGGTGCTAGACCTGCCAGCACTGCCGTGACATCGAATGGAGCCGCCGTCTCGTCTGCTCTTGCTGCCGTTGGAGCCACAGCCACTATTGACCCTATCTTGTCGACTGCAGTCTCTAACCTGCTTGTTGGCGCTACAGGTGCCGTCGGTGGTGTGGTCGTTGCACAGCAATCTGCTCTTTCGGCTGCCTTGGCAAGTGTCACTGCAAGCCCTGCTCAAGCAAGTGCTAGAGCCCAGTCCGCTCTTCAGGGTGCTCAATCTTCGATCTGGGCTCCTGTTCTTTCTGGAGCGTCATCTGTTGGTGCTCAAGCTAGCAGATTCGGATCTTCTAGAGTAGCAAGCGCCATCTCGACTCTTGCGGCTGACATCAACTCTGCTGTATCGTTCAACTTGCCTGTCCAGAGCTCTGTTGCAGGATATGTGGCTTCGAACCTCAACCCCGCTGTACCCACCACCACTCCAGTCGTCTTCGGCGGACCTTCTGGGTTCTTGACTTCGTACCGTCCCACTGCTACTGTAGGAGGCTCTACTAGCGGAACCGCGAGACCTACAGGATTGAACTTGCTACCGCCTTCTGCAGGCGTCAATGCATCCACCGTCGCCGACGCTGTGAACACCATCGAGTTCTGTGAGGCCATCTTGACTTGCCACGATGGTGTCGTTTCCTCCACAGACGTCACTGTTGGATCCGTGGTTGACACACTCGTCATCACCGACCTGGTCGAGATCAACTTCTGTGGCACTACTTTGCGCTGCGCTGACAACGCAGTCTCTCAGGGCAGACACTCATTGTCTGTTGTCGCCTCTGCCAATGTGGATGTTGAGGTCCAAGATGACAACGACGGTGCTTGAGTATAATTCATGATCATGATATTTCCTATGTTATTGTTTGATGATTTCCTTTGTTCAAAGACACTCCTTCTCGATGAAGTCGAAGTACTGTAATTGTAGTTATCAATGTCCGCCTACCGATGGAATGACCTTTATGCTGTATAGTAAGCACATGCTTTATGTAGTAATAATACTTTCACTTTAAACGAACATTGTCCAGAAGTAAAACTTGAGTGATTCTCCATGTGCGTGAGATAGTCGTGTGTATATCGAGTTTTCAGTGACGCTCAGCGATGCTTATCTGCAGGAATAGCTCCTTTCTTGCTTCCTCCCCATGTACTAAAAGAAGAGAACTGAGTGGCCATGAAAAAGGCACAATAATATGAGACAGGAAGATGTCTACTGAGAAGCGACAACCTATCCGCTCTCAATGGACATGCTTGTTGTCCAAGAATATTTGTGCCTTTTTATAGTGTACATTCTGCGTGTCATCGCAGGCGGAGTATGATAAAAGTCACGGATTTCAGTACACGGAAAGGTCTCGAGACAGAGCAGATGTGCGAATCTTCAGAAAAGGTAGGTGATTGTACCGTCGATCTAATTATCCTAATTCGAGCGGAGAGTGGGTATATGTAAAAGTCATCCTCCAATGCAATCCTATACAGAAAGACAGTGCAGTTCTCATGTCAAGTGTCCTGCTCATGATACTCAGACCCATCCAACGCCAGTGACCAAAGCCTTCATTCATCATGCCCATGTGCCTCCTTCTAACAAGAGTTATCTCTAATTTGAGCTCATTCTTCCCGTCAACACCAAATTAGTAAACTTTATCAGGATGTTTCCCAATAAATAGGCCGAGAGTACTGGTGCGAACAACTGCAAAGGTTCCCAGATGAACTTGGGTTTAACCTCTGTCTCAATGTATGTTGCGTGTTTACTCTGTTCCCCGGGCTTCTCGATAGCCCCAACAGCAGCAGGATCAGCAGGGAACCTTCCGTGATCGAGATAATACTCGATCAAGTCATCCTTCTCTCTCCACCTCTCCAGAAGCCACTTCTCAGTCTCTTCCTTGGAGTGGAGAGGAATGTCGGCAACGGCGAAGCGGCGCCAATGCATGTTTACAGATTTGGGGGCACGACCTTGGAAGTAGACGGAGCGGAGGGTGTATAGTTTGCCGCCATAGGAACCGCGAGGAACGCCTTCATAGGCAATGGTGCAGTCATAGAGCCAATCCACGCTGTCTTTGAGTTCTTCTAGACAGAAATGGAGACCAGTACTGCGGGGCAGGATCTGGTGCTTCATATCTGGTATGCCAGTCTTCTCGCTCCATCTCGCGGATGAGTTGCGGGTGTTAGGACTAAGGTTGGTGCCTTCAGGGAAGATGAGTAGCCATGCGGGATCCAAGCCACTCTTATCCTTTCGTCCCAGAACAGGACCAGTGTGTCTGGTGGACAGCTTTTCTAGACGGTGCTTTAGACGCGGTTGATCCTTTGCCCATTTCCTGCTCATGAAGATGAAGTTGTAGAACATCATGGCAGGGCCGATGACTGGAATGTATTTCAAGCTCTCTTTCAAGATGATGTAGATGTGGCCATGGCATGCTGCGGTATAGCTGACCCACCACAGATAGGTCCAATCGGTGTAGATCTGGTGGTTTGCGATCAGGACCAGGCGTTCGGGAAAGTCGCATTCGAGACGGCCATCAGGGAGCTGTCTGAGTTGTCCACTGACTGAAGCGTCGCCGGAGATGCGAATAACAGTAGGAGCGAAGATGTATGTGCCAGATATGAGGACAAGGCCAAAGTACTGCTTGCAGACAGCCTGCCAGGAATAATAGTAGTCTTTGTTGTAGAAGTAGAGGGGAGCACCAAGGAGCTGGGCGGCGTGGACAGCTAGAGCAGCGATAGTGAAGAAGAGGGCGAAACAAGCGATACGGAGATATTGCATAAGAGGGCCATGTTTGACAGGACCAGCAGGGTGGTGCTCGTCTTGGAGGTTGTCATTTGTCGAAGTAAGGTTGATCTCGGGTTCCACGGCAGACTCGGGTTTGGGTATAGGGCGCTGGCGGATGCCCTCGGTGTTGACACGCGACATGTCTCTAGGTGCGACAGTGGCAGGTGCAACTAGGTACGTCGGGAAAGCATCCAAGGCAGCGACAATAAGAATGGAAGGTGCGTAGAATCAGACAAAGAGCGTCTTCTGATCAGCGAATGTTCCATCATCCATCGCGTCAGTCGAAGCTTCGCAGCCCCACCATCCATCAACCGTCACGATGCGACTGCCTTTTTGTGGCTTTGGTCCATCTGACATGAACAAATGACACGGCCATGTCTGCCTCTGCTGCGACACGTCGCCAGAAGATGCTTCTCTCAGTCGCCCGCCCGCCGTGAGCTTCGCGACATTGCTGCTCTGCCAGACCGCATCCGCCCTTCCTATCAAGGTACTTTTGGCTCTTCACGCACGTGCCGAATTATCATGACGCTGACGGTTCCATCTCAGAGACAAAACACCAAGATCTTCTATCGCTGCAATGGCCTCAGCCACCTCGCAATATCCTGATCGTCCACAAGAGTGGCTCCGACGTCGTTGCTGAAGCCGTCCACGAATACGCCAATCACATCCATTCGACCTACCCTGACGTCTCGCTCGTTTTCGAACCCCAAGTCGCCAAAGAGATCCATACCGACTTCTCCTTCCCCATCTATACCACCAAAGACGAGTCAAAACATGTCCGTCTGCAGGACAAGGTCGACCTGACCTCCACCCTTGGCGGTGACGGCACCATCCTCCACGCCTCGTCCCTCTTCGCGAATGCCCGAAACGTCCCTCCCATTCTTTCCTTTAGCATGGGCACTCTAGGCTTTCTTGGAGAATGGAAGTTCTCCGACTACAAGCGTGCGCTTCGTGAAGTCTACATGTCAGGCGCTTCGCCAGGCTACGGTAGTGCTCTTCTGGAAACAGAGTCTGGTCAACAAAAAGACGTCCTGTCAGGCTGGAGTTCTGTCCGCGGCATGTCTATGGGCCCATCGCGCTCCTCTCGCGTGCTTCTCAGGAACAGATTGAAGGTTGGTGTCTTTGCCGCAGACGGCACCCCCATCACCCACGCCGATCCTTCCGCGCCCATGTGCTCAACGGACTGTGAAGCAAACAACAACTGCGATGTCTTTGCCATGAACGAGGTCCTGCTCCACCGCGGTCGTACACCTCATCTCAGCATAATCAACATCTATGTTGGTGGTCGCTTCTTGACCGAAGCTGTAGCTGATGGCCTCTTGATTAGCACACCCACTGGATCAACAGCTTACTCTTTATCCTCAGGCGGCAGTATCGTTCACCCTCTGGTTTCATCTCTACTTCTCACTCCTATCTGTCCTCGAAGTCTCTCCTTCCGACCTCTTGTCCTCCCGTCAAACACACCCATAACGCTTCGGCTGTCACCCAAAAATCGCAGCGATGAGATTGAGTTATCTGTCGACGGTGTACGTAGGGAGAAGGGCTTGACAAGAGGCATGGAAGTCAGAGTTGTCGGAGAAGAAGTAAGGAGCGAAGAAAGGACTTGGGGCGGTGGTGGTGTGCCGTCCATTGTCAGGACCGGAGGGACCAATGGCGCCGAAGGCCATGATCATTGGGTTGGTGGTCTGAACGGTCTACTAAAATTCAACTTCCCATTTGGCGAAGAATAGGAAACAGAAAGATGGGCAAAAATGTGCTGATCATGGCAGCATGAACACATCTTTCTTTTATCACGATATACAAGCAAAGAATGCCTTATGTCTTTTGTGGCCTTGACCAACGCCTTGCAAATGCATGTACAACAGAAAATAAACCTCTTCTTCTTACAGAGCAAATCTCGTCCTGACCTTCTCGTCGCCAGCCTTCCATTCCCATTCTTGTCCGCTCCTTCTTTGAATGCCCTTATCGATTCTTCTCAACTTGAGCGTGAATCTGGGTCCCAGCTCTTGCAAACCAGCTCTGATGTCCTCCACACCCTCGACCACTTTTCCATCCGGACCAACAATGCTCTTCTCGGTCGCACGCTTGTCGCGGAACACGTATCTGTGTCTTCTGACGAAAATGTAATCGCGCTGGTTGTGTAGCGTTACAACTTGACGTCCTTGAATTTGCGGTTGCGGCGGGAAGATTTGGCGGAACAAATGCGCAGTCAACAGACCCAATGGGGTGCGGAAATTGTTCAAGATGAGTTCGGGATCATGAGATGTAGGGTTTCCGTGACCGGGCAGTTTTGCACCTTCAACCCAGTTTGAGATGCTGAAGTGGAACATGGGGCCATGAGGTAGATGTACGATATCCAGACCTGCAGGCTTTTTCTGGTCTTCGTTGAGGATAACGACGTGGGTGTAGTTTCTGTTTGCAGCAAAAGAGGAGATTTCGCTAACCGAGTATTTGTGGGCGTGGAAGTGTGCTGTGCGTTTGATGTACACCGAGTTTGGGAATAGAGAAGTGAGCAGAGTAGCTTCTTGGTGCAGGAAACTGTTGATGCTTGTTGTGACTAGCACCTTGGGATCTTTGCCAGATTGCTCAAACAGCGAAGGGAATTTTGCGGCTAGGCCTTCAGGGGTGAGGGAGAGGTTTGTCGCTGCTGTTGAGGGTGTTGGTGAAGGAGCGCGGGCTTTCTTCGCTGCGGCGGCTTCGTCTTTCTTTTGTTGTTTCGCGGCCTTGGTGTCTTCGTCGTCGTCGTCGTCTTCGTCCTCGTCAAAGTCAATCATGGAGTCTGCATCACTGTCCTTCTCTTCCTCTTCTTCCTCTTCCTCCTCTACCTCTTCCTCTTCATCCTCAACCTTCCTCCTCTTGATCACATTCAAATCAACACTCAACCCCAATTTATCACTCTCCTCGCCATCGCCCGCAGTATCCCAAGTCCTCTTCCTGTCGATGGTTTGCGGGATATTCTTTGCTCTGCGCGCTTCCCTCAACGCAGGGTTCTTGTCTTCTGTGCGTCTGCGTCGGAGTCTGTCATCGCGCTTTTCGTTTTCTTTGGCTTTTTTGGCTTTGACGTGTTGTTCTCTGCGTTTTATTTTGTTGCCGATTTTGGTCGGGTTGCGGGAGACCATTGTGGCGGGTTGGGTGGGTGTTGGTGGGTTTGAAGGTGATGGATTGACAGCCGCTTTGCGACTGGATTAAAAATTCTTGGAGACCCTGGAAGAATTTCTGGAGGAGTTGGTAGGGAACATCAAAGCTTTTCTTATACGGCAGTGAGGCTCTCCGATTTGCCAAGTACTTCCAGGATAAACTATCAAGATGCGCAATACTTGAGGGATGGAAAGACCCCGGGGAGACCCTACGGTTCTGCCAATCTCTATAGATATATCTCCAAGTTCGTGTCAGATTGTGCATTCCTACAGCTTATTTTATCGCCGCATCCTTGTTCGAGATGCAAGCGTCACTTAAGCAAGCTTGGGCCACTTACACTTTTTCGAAGCCCAGCCAGACACCGCATCGATGAGCAATCGCCTGGAATATTAACTGCCATCACCACTCGCCATCTCACGGCATATTCTTTCTGTTTGACAAGTCTTTATTGTCAAATTTTATGTTCAAGTACCTGCGCCAGGTTATCAATAGGCAATCCACCACAAGGCACATCAGAGCCTTTTCATCAACACCCCTCACTTACCGTGCCGTCGTTCAGACTCGCACGCGAAACATACCAACCATGTCGACCGACTACGTTACCCAAAAGGGCCAGCCCTTTGACAGAGCTGCCTTTGAGTCACTTTTGCGCCGTAAGGTCTTCTTGTGGCAGAGTTTCGAGCCTTATGGCTCAGTCAAGGGTCTTTTCGATTATGGCCCTCCGCTTGAGCAGCTTGAGAGTCAGGTTATCCAGATCTGGCGTGATCACTTCATTCGCTCTGAGAAGATGATGGCTCTCAAGTGTTCTATGCTTACTCCTTTTGAAGTTTTGAAGACTTCTGGTCACGTGTGAGTTTTCTCTCGAAATCGGCAATGATTTGGATTCTCAAGTTGTATGAAACAATTTTATTGACTTTCATCTCAGTGACCGTTTTGCCGACTACATGTGTACGACTTGCTTATTGAAAAAAGGTTCTGTATCAAACTGACATTTAACAGGCAAGGACCCCAAGACTGGTGAAATTCTTCGTTCAGACCATTTGATTGCTGATGTGCTTGAGGCTCGTCTCAAGTCTGACAAGGAGGCTCGTGGCGAGAAGGTCGAGGAGAAGGAAGAGGACCCCAAGAAGAAGAAGAAGCAAGCAAAGGCTGCCAAGGGTGCCGTCAAGCTCGACGATGCTGTTCGCCAGGAGTACGAGCACGTTCTTGCCATGCTCGATGACTACACTGGTGAGGGTATGGGTGAGTTGATCAAGAAGTACGACATCCGCAACCCCTCTTCCGGCAACGAGGTTGAGCCTCCTGTGTCGGTCAACCTCATGTTCCAAACTCAGATCGGTGCTTCTTCCAACTCTCCCGCTTTCCTCAGACCCGAGACTGCTCAGGGTCAATTCCTTTCTTTCCAGAAGCTCCTCGAGTACAGCGATGGCCAGCTTCCTTTCGCCTCTGCTTCCATCGGTTACTCTTTCAGAAACGAGGTATGTACAATGTAACTACCAATGACTGATTCTTACTGACATGTCCTAGCTTTCTCCTCGCGCTGGTCTTCTCCGTGTCAGAGAATTCTTGATGGCCGAGATTGAGCACTTTGTCGACCCCGAGGGCGGAAAGGCTCACCCCAAGTTCCACACCGTTGCTGATGTCAAGCTTCCTCTCCTCGACCGCAACACTCAAACCTCCGGCAGCACCAAGCCCACTATGGTCGCAATTGGTGAGGCTGTCGAGACCAAGCTGGTCGACAACGAGACCCTCGGTTACTTCCTTGTTCGCATCTACCAATTCATGCAAAAGATTGGTATCGACATGAACAAGCTCCGCTTCCGTCAGCACATGGCCAACGAGATGGCTCACTACGCTTCTGACTGTTGGGATTGTGAGTTGCTCAACAGCTACGGCTGGACCGAGTGTGTTGGCTGTGCCGACCGTTCTGCCTACGATTTGTCTGTTCACGAGAAGGCTACTGGCACTGTCCTCCGTGCTCGTGAGCAACTCAAGAACCCCGAGACTATCGAGGAGTGGGTTCCTGTTATTGACAAGAAGAAGGCTGGTCCCAAGTTCAAGAAGGATGCCAAGGCCATCGAGAACGCTCTTGAGGCTCTTTCGCAAGAGATGAAGGAGAAGCTCCAGATCACCATGGAGTCTGAGGGCAAGGCTGAGGTGCCCGTTGAGGAGATTGCTGCTGGCAAGGTCGAGATTGACACTTCCATTGTCAAGTTCGAGAAGCAAAAGAAGACCATCACCTTCCGCGAGTTCGTGCCCAACGTTATCGAGCCTTCCTTCGGTATTGGTCGCATTCTCTACTCTCTCATGGAGCACAGCTACTGGACTCGTGAGAACGATGAGGCTCGTTCCGTTCTTTCCTTCTCGCCTGTCGTTGCTCCTATCAAGGTCCTCGTCTGCCCTCTTCAGAAGGACCCCAAATTCACTCCTCTGATTGCTAAGCTTGAGGAGGCTCTTGACAATAAGTCTATTTCCTTCAAGATTGACCAGACTGGTGTTAGTATCGGCAAGCGCTACTCTCGTAACGACGAGCTCGGTATTCCTTTCGGTATTACCATCGACTACGAAGCCCTTGACGACGGCAGCCTTACTCTCAGAGACCGTGACTCGACCAAGCAAGTGCGCGCTAGCCAGGCTGACATCATCAAGGCAGTTAGCCGTATGGTGAAGGGCAAGGAAACTTGGGCTGATGTCGTTGCTCGCCTACCAGCCTATGAGGGCCAGAAGGAGGCTGCCGAGTAGAGAACATCTCAGTGGACTCTCTCGGATCTGGAACAAGTTTGTGCATTTTTATTGCTAAAAGTCGTTCATGCCGTCTGGTGGGGATCTAGATAGGTCAACAAATACATCTCGATTTTTCCAAAAGGCGTAAGTTGTATCTATTTCCTTCTCGCGTTCTTTCCCTAATTTGCGTCGTCCCTTCCATTGGCCAATGATTTTTCTTGGCTCTTAATCAGCCTTTGGGATTCCCGTTACACAAAACACGAGATGTGCCTTCCTTCACCAACACTGTTGCCTCTTGCCATGTACACATTGAATATTGCAATCTTTTTGTATAATCATCAATGCGACTGCCTTGATTCATCAACACGTTTCCTCATTCTGACACGTGGTCCGTGAATAATTGTCCAACACGTCACATTGACGAACAAGCGCCTTACTATATCAGCTATGGCCTGATACCTTGGCTTCAGTCAACAACCTCTCTCTACACACCACATCGATGTAAGTACATCTCTCAACAACCTCAATTCATCCTGTCGCATCAGACTGACTGAATTGGCTTTTCAGGTGCCATGAGATCTGATGCATGCTGATTTAGCGATCGCATGTCGCGTTCTACAGGAGAGCAGGGTTGTCTCACCATCGATAGCAGGTTCCTGAATCACGAGGCACTCTTGATCGTTCGAGGGTGCGAGACTGCCACAACTCTGCACATGGCTCAACTGGTTCGGACAATCTGGACAGATGTCCTGGAATCGGCCTCGTCTTACAAGATTGAACTGGTCGGTACATTCGGCATCCAACTGGTTGCTTTCTGGCTTCCATCCCTCTTATTACTAGGCATTGACCAATTCCTACCCTCCTTCTCATTGCGGCACAAAATTCAATCGCGACCGACACCAACTCATGTCCAGATCTGGCATTGCATTGATGTGGTCATTCTCAATCAACTGTTGATGGCTACAGCAAAGATACTTGAGCTTGGAGTTCTACATCTAGCAGGTCACTCTTCGTTCTACCGCTTCGACCACACCATACCAAGTATGTTAGAAGTAATACGCGACCTCCTCATCTGCATTCTCGGCTGCGAAATAATCTTCTACTACTCCCATCGCCTCTTACACCTCAGATCCTTCTACCAACGCATACACAACCAACACCACCAATTCAAAGCCCCGATCGCTCTTGCTGCCCAATACGCACACCCTTTGGAGTATCTTGTATCCACCATCTTTCCATTCTGGCTGCCTCCACAGATTCTTGGCTGTCATATTTTGACTTGCTTTTTGTTTTGGACTGCGGCTACTTTGGAGACGGTGATTGCTCATAGTGGATATGACTTTTTTACGGTTTTTGCGAGAAAGCATGACTTGCATCATGAAAAGTCGAGGGTCAATTTTGGCACTTTGGGGTTTCTGGATTGGATACACGGGACTGGCGCATAACAAATGAATTCACTTCCTTCCCTCATTCCTACCTCGCCTCCGCCCATGTTTCAGCAGGGTCAAAGAGATGCCAGACGCTATACTGCTCCTCTCTGGGCTTCCAGAAGTTGATAGCCATCTCGCTCATGCTTGAGTGGAGCTTCAGGAGTCCTGCCAAGGGATGTTGTTCCAGCCCACCAAGAATCCAGTCCAAATTTTCCTCCATGAGTTGAAGATCCTTCTCTGTGTTACACAGAGTTCGAAACTGGTGCAGCTTCGAGGCTTTGTAGGCCGACATCTGAGATCTCATCTTGGCGTCCATATCTGCCATTGCCTGCATGGAGGCACTCTTATCGGATAGTGTCACTCTTGCTGATGCATGCTCGAACTCGTGATGCCAGAATGTCTCTGGAAGATCTGGGAAGGGATGAGGCTTGGAGGTCACCGCTACATCAATCCAGCATTTCGGATCGTGGTAGTCGATGTTGATGTAGATCTTGTCAGACGGCACGCCAAACTTCTCGTGAATGTCCCAAAGGCGTTGCAACTTTCTAGGGAGTTGCTTGGTTTGCTGAGCCTTGAATCGCGCCAAAAGTCCTGCTGCATCGAGGAAAAAGTAGGACCAGTTCAGCTTCAAGCCCAAGCTGTTGTTGCGTTCAGAGCGAATGTTGATGCGAGTTTTGACGAATGCGAGAAGTTCCTCAAGGCACTCAGCACGTTTATTGTCGCTGTGATGGTGTTCGTCACTCTCCTCTAGATTGACCTCTCGCATAAAGACCTCAAGAAATTCAACACAGAGCTGCTTGCTTGTGGCCAGAATTGGAGTTTGGACCAGTTTGCGTACAACACAGCGGTCGATAGTAGCAGGTTTGAGGCCATGAACCATGAGCGAGGGGACCATTGAGCTGTAGATGATGTTTCTGATCTCGCGAGGGAAGCGCTTGAACTGGCCGAGACCATGTTCGGAGCGGATTCCGAAGTCGACTGGCTCCTGTGGAGGTCCGATGCTGTCTTTCGACTTGTCGTTCTGATCCTTGAGCAATAATCAAGACCCAGAGTTGAGAAAAATGGGGTTTTGGTATCACGCACCGTTTCCATGTTTGATGCTGTTGCGACAGGATCTATCTCTGCTTGGACTAGTCCGCGTTTCGGTGTGAAGTGATGAGTTGCTTGAGTGGTTTGGTTGCGAGCGCGCACGTTTCAAGAAGTGGTGAAGGTAAAGAAGACGCTGGTGTTGCTTGTCTAACGCGGCTCAAGCGATACCGCAGGTATTGGCGATGTTTTAGTGATCATGCTGGGCGCGACTGGGCATTGTAGTAATTTCCCATTCGGACCCTAGATTTATCCCAAGACCCTCAAGCGTCCTGAAGGGGTAATAGTAGCCGGACAGCGGACGGGTATGCACTAGTGTGTCCGGGCTTATAGCCCAGGAAAAATACGAGTCGAAGGAAGAAGCTTAATCGACACTAGTTGGGGAGGGGCCCTTTATGTAGCTATTTGGGCTGAGCATAGACCGGGTCACTACTTCAACAAAACAAAGGACAAAATCCAGTCAGTGACCTTCAAACTTAACGAAACCCATCGCTTTGAGTTTCAGATTGTTCTTTCTCCTCCGTCGTGTAAGTGAAAGCTTTACCAAATAAATGTGAATGACAGATACAACCTCAATTGCTTTGCTTGACTACAGGAGGCTCATGAAAGTGACACTATTTGTGACGGATATTTTGATTGCTCAGGATTCAAAGCGGTGACAGGTTTCCAGATTGGGAACGTATCTCATGTTGTATCGGGATGCTGTTCTGATGGTCTTTATGGGCACTCCATATTTGATGACTATCAAGAGTTTGGAGGAGTCAATCGTGTAAGTCTTGTGGAGGCTCCAGAGGATATAGATGTTCTGCAACAAGACGTCCACGATACACTACCATGGGGCATGGAATCCCTGAGGACTACTGTACCATGAAGTACTCACGACTACTCCCAAATCTCCAAAAGCACAGCTGGTACCAGACTCAACGTGTACCTCCGCCTTGATCAAATCTAAAAGATGCTTGAGTTGACCCACGCTACTCCACGTATCCACGAGAGTACGATATTTGATCTCTTGCAGGAAAGCACTGCGCATATCCGCGGATTCATTTTCGCTCGTAAGACGAAATACAGTGGCTGCAGACGATGTTGCGAACTTCGCCTGAAAGACGATCGTGTGATCCCAGGCCCAATGCAGTATTTTCAGTGGCGGGAGAAGAATTGAGAGGAGCTGATAAAGGAGACGGCTATTTTGAAATCAGTTCGATACTGGGAAGTTGGTGATGAGGTTGTCCTTACCATCGCGTCGCGCCTTTGGACTTGATCTGCCACAAGATAAGACAAGATTCTGTCGGATAATAGCCAGCCATGGTTCAACCACGAGAAGATGTTAGCTCCTGAGAGGGAGATAGAAGGCGCAAGGGTCCCAGTAAGAAGACGCTGGAAGTTTCATAAGGCAACTCGATGCAGAGTGCTAGAGTGATGGACTTGGTAGCACCAAGAGGAAGAGCAATCAAACCCCACGCAGATTCGAATTGTACGAGAAGAACGAACAGCCTGAGTACAAAGCTGGATGCTCTTTGAGCTGACGTTCAATCATTGCTGGCCTGCCTCTCTTTCCATCTGAGTCTGCGACAAGCGTCTTCAAGCTCCTGTCTATCCCTGTTCGTCCAGTATCGCGTAGCCACTTCAATAAGAGGGAGGTGTTTCTCCTTGACCCTTGTGAACGTGTCTTGCACAACTGCTTTACCTCGCTCTATGATACTCTCAATTATCCCAGGTGCTACTAGGTAGCGAGAAGCTGCTGTTGAAGGTCGGAGAACACTGCGTATGTGGTCCACTGCAGCTTTCTCCATGTCCCTACAACATTGTTCCATATTCTGGATGGATTGTACTTCATCTCCCATAACGACTTCGATCGTATAGTCGTGAATCTTCAGTCCACATGATCGTAGTCTATGTGTGCCCCAAGCATAAGCCATAGTCATCTCGCGGATGAATCCATTCAGTTCTTGTGTGATGTCAACATAACGGACTCGAATTGACAACCTACTTGGTGGTATGCCAAATCGAGCAACGCAGCGGTTAAAAGTCTTGAGCATAACCGCATATCTGATGAGAAACTCATGATGCGTATAGCAGTTCCTAGATGATATCTTTGTGTCGGCCTGGAGGATGATTTTCCTCGTATGTGAAGCAACATTGGCAATCTGGCCCAGACAAATCAGTATGTACTCCAAGTTTCCGACATCGACCGTCCGCCCTCCGCATATGATGGTGGTTCTGCGCAGGTGTGCCTCGAGGTACTCTCGATAAAACTGGCGTCTACCCCTTCTGCGCATGGCGAGTGGAACTTTCTGGGAGACGGTAAACTCTGCTTCTTTGATGGTGACTGGGATGAGCCCACTGTAGAGTGGAAAGGCAAATCCGTCGTTCGAGAAAGACAGATCAAAGATCATGTCTCGAATTTCGCGTGGCAATTTTGACAAAGTGCCGAGTCCAGGATTTTCCATGTCGACGATGTGTTATTGTATGATGTTTGAGTATTTGAAATATCAAGGATGAGGGAGGTAAGATTTTTTTAAGTATGTGAAAGAATTAGTAGTCATTGTTGAGCACGTTTGAGGCAATAGTGAGTCACGCCTGGCACGTGGCCATCTTGCCAGTTTGTCTGGTCTAGAGTACCCCATGACGAAGACACAGTCGAGAGCGACAAGGCAGATGTATGAACTGATATTGAACATGCTCGGAGACAATGCAAGACCATGCGCACATCTTGTATTGTGCTCAAGGGTCAGATGGATGAGCTACTCGGTTCGGCGGGGGAAGTTTCTTTGTACCTATCAAAGAATCGAATGTACCGACAACAGCACCGACATCACAAGAGGACATATCAGTTTTCCTGAGTTTACCGGGTGCGAGTGAGAGTTGTAGAATTGGTAGTGTTACTGACAGAAGTCTACTCGTGGACTTGATATGGAGTATGATGTCTGAAACTTCAATTGTTTCGATCTAACCGCTTAGAATGCTGCTTTGGGCTCATGGTCTTCTGTCTCCATATCTACCATGCCTCCGCCAGAGCAAAAAACTCGCCGAGGCAGTACCCATCGAACTCGTCTGCCCCCTGCCACAGTTGTGTCACCTGATCGATTATCATTTTGTGGTGTTCGCGTATGGCCGACATGATCGTCAACATTATTACCCTGCATTGATTACCCAGTTTTCTTCGACGAGCAATCCGGGCGGTGCTCTCACTGCCATCTTGTTCGAGTACCTTGACTTTGTCAAGGTGAACCTCAATGCTGCTTTCCATGATGAGTCGTATTTTGGTGCATTCCAAATTAAGCGCTGCAACTGATCTAGCTTTGGAAGTCACGAGGACCCTGATTGTGCGTATGCGGCCAAATCCCTGACGAGCTAGAATGTCGCCATATACCTGCCTGAGGAGATGATTCTTCATCGGGCGAGTCGGCAAGTCATACTTTACCGCAACATGTAGCTTGTGTGAAGGAATACCAAAAGCTTCCTGGCAGGTTCTGAGCTTGTTCACTGCTCGAAGAAGATAGCGAAAGTCGTCAGGATATCTGCTCGGACACACATTGTAGTTGTCTTTGTCCTCGTCATATCCTTTCAGTAGTTCCGAGGAAGCTGGAAAGCCAAGGAGTCTGATGTGGGCAGCAACATCGGCCATAGTGCTTATGCGGTGTAGGAACTCTTGAGTGGCATTGGTTTGTGGTGATGTATTCAGGAGATCGAGGTTCCTCAAGAAGCACTCTAAGAGTTCTCGACGAAGGTGACTGCTGATTCTCATTGAATCGTCAATCCATAGGTCGCCGGAATTTATTGTGCTGATGGGTCGCCGTAGGAGACGAGCAATGATATAGCTCGAGATCTGGTCGCGAACTTCACGCAGCAACACAGCCAAACTGCCGAGACCATCTTCGTTTATGATGGTAGATTGAACAATGCGTGGTGTTGTTGTAGTGTTGCGTCAAGTGTTGCTGACTTTGTTAGTGACGATCTATCCGAAAGACCTTTCGACGGATACGCACATCTGGTTCAGAAAGTCCACAGAATAGTGTTTCAGATTTGCCAAAGTAGGTTTGGTAAGCGGCTGATGAGCGGAAGTAAGTGCGCTCGTGGATGTGAGCTCGTGTCGGTGAAGTTGAGAAAGCTGGTCAAGATTGCGCCTGAGCGAAGCAATAAGGTTGTTGTTGAAGACTGAGTCTTGAGAGAACAAAAGCGTAAGCTTGTTGTGTGTGTGGGAAAGCAGTAGAAACTGCAAGGTTTGAGAAGTAATGATGCGCAAATGAGCTCTGCGGGCGCAGGGTAGATTGGAGGCCGTGTGAGGAGAGTAAGCTACTGAGTAGTGAGGAGGCCGAAGAGCGCGTGTGATGTGAGATGATGGAAGTGAGTCAATCCAGTGAAGGAAGTTCTGAAAGCGCAAGCACAACAACTTTTTGTTTCTCGGGATTCGAGCATCAGAGGTAGTCGAAACCCTTTCCCATCCTAAGCTACAAGTCTACTGTAAGATAACTGTCGAAATGCACATTGCGGAGACAGCTCTAAATGATGGTCTCTCTGCGGAGACCACATCTTCCAAGAAATTATTCTGCATTTATGCAGCTACAATCTGACTGTCTTTACCACGCGGGGAGATTGTTTGTGTCTCACTAACATCAAACTTGGGACAGCCAAGACCAAAATTGCTTTCACATGATCCACTGGGCATGCGAACCATATCAGTGAAACTGTTTGGGCAGACTCTTGGATGTGGCTCAATCCTCGCAGTGTGTGGAAGGTTGAAGTTTGCGACTATGATAATGCATGGCGCTCTTAAGACCAAAATTGCTATTTTTGAGAGTCACCTACCAGTAACTTCAATTCATCGTGGAATGAATTCCTTCTGGGGAAAATGTAAAGCTCAAACGTGTCGGGCATATCCATAGCTCTTTCTTATGTATGCTTTCGTGTGAGGAAGAAGAAGTGGCAAGGATAAGTTAAATGCAGCAAACGGAAAGGACGACCGACCAGGAAAGCAATCATCCGAGTTCTGCAAATCATTCAAGTGTCAAAACAGTCAAGTGAACTGATGCTGCTTCCGAACCAATTCCTCAATATCCCTTCATGCGTTGCAATTCGAAATCAGTATCATCAAGAACTGTGGAAGTCTTTGATTCATCCGGCATGTCGTCAATTTTCGAGTCGAAAGAAGCTTGTCAGACGGGATATTTTAGTGCTCGTGGTATCGTCTCAGATGCTGCACAGGCTTTACGAAGCAATATTGAGCAGGAAACTGCAAGTGACGGCGTTCTGTCTTGCCAAATCCGCGCTGAAAGATTCAGTAGTCAAAGTAGTAGCCAAGACAGACGCCTTTGATGTATGGAAACAGGGCCATAAATTCGATTGGGAGCGACACGTTTGTCCAACACTTGAGACACCGTCACGGAGTCACAACGAGAGCAAGATGGTGATTCTAGAGGTCTTAGTCGTGTAAGACGTTGATGCACACTTACAAAGCACAGAGCGGCAGAACATCAGCGAAGCATTGTTTGTTTGAAGTGGTGTTGTGGGGCCATGGCACCCCTTGTCTCCGTCATTGTTACACGAAACAGATAGTAGCAACACCGCAAGCTCCTGCTGGTGGTGTAATGCTTGGCTCTAGAAAAACGAGCTCTAAGCATGAGCTCTGAGCAACATCTCAAGAGAAGTCATGCTTGGCAGCATACGTGCTCAAACAGAAACACACTGTGGGTAGACATGATTGTCGCAACCATTGCCTGGCTCACCAAGAATTGAGAGTTTGTTCGGCCTCACTGTTGCTCCACCAACAGAGACTCAGGCCTCCCAAGAGACAGCGAAGGAGTACACGCATTCTGCTGGCATAAGGTTCTTTCTCGGTTTTTGGAGATGCAGAAGGCTACTCAGGTGTGCGTAGCAACAGGAGCCCTGTGTTGCCGAACCTTCGTAACCAGTGACAGGTATGCCTGGTGCTTCGACTCGATGCAAGGTACTGATCAAGGTTCGCGATTAGGACAGCTAATGTTTCTGGTTTCCAAGATGTTGTCTACCGAGGTTTTGTTGAGTGTTCTGGTTTGCCCGTAGAAGGAGAAGGACGTGGAAATAAGACACCCACTTCCGCAATGCAGAAGACTGGAGCATGAATCTCATGCTGCCCGACAAGAACCGAGACCACTTACAATGTATGACCAACCGAGAACAAATGATTACTCTCGTTGTTTCGAGTCTTGTCATGAGAAAAGGGGTGAAGTGAGATGTGCGGTCTGACAACAGAAAATTATTTGTTTAATGATTAGTATTCAGTCATTTTGACTCGAATCGATTGGGTTGTGTGTGTTTCAAGGCTCGTCTGGAGTCAATCGAACATCGGAATGTTGACGAGTCAAGTGTTTTGTTATAGGCAGACGAGGATAACGCAAAGCTGCAGAGTCATGGATATTGAGTTTTTTGCTTTGTGGAAGGGTCCAGAGCGAGCCCTGGGGAAGAAAATTCAAGAGATTGTGCGCAAACGTGTCGGTTTCGCTGATACAGTGTGGACCTGCGGTGTGTTGTTTCTGGTAAACAGCATTTTTGGTAATAACGATGGACGCCGTCGCCTGTCTTAACCAATGTCAACTGCCGTTCACGTCGTACGTCGTAAGCTCGGTCCACAAACTAGACACTTAGGAAGGCGGTGGAGGACTGTCTAGTTTCAGTGAGTGGACAACTGGATGTTCTCGAGTTCAAGTAGTGCGATTGAAATCGCTTGACATCATTCAACGTTGTGGACTTTAGGTTGTTCATTTGCTGCACGTCGTCGACTCGTCGGCGAATGGACCCGTTGCTGTATGATGCACGAACTTGTTTTGTCCAAGTGTTTGCTTTGTGGACCCCCAGATCCAGGATCGGTAGATTTCGGCTAGATCGACGACCTCTTTTCAGGAGTGGGTTCAGGAGTCGGCTTTCTCACCTTAACTGAAGTACAGAAACTTTACGAAGGCGCAGCACTTGCAGCAGACCGAGTGGTCTCGCGCGAAACTTGGAGAACCAATAATCATTTATTTTCCCCTGTCAAAATAGCTATCGGAGAAACAAATGCACCAGGCGACTCAGACGAAGAAGTCAGCAAATTTGGTGCGGCTCAAGCAATTCCCAGCAACTCGGTTATAATTGAGATTTCATTCGCTGCTTAGATTGAGGTTATATTGGCGCCAACTTTGTGAGCTCAGGGCGTCGAGTAAGCACAGCATTATGTCGGGGAACTTGTCCGCAGTACCGCACTTGTTAATCTGTGGGATCTCCAGCTTCATGCTAACACGGGACCATGGACAAAGGCTGGAGTGAAATCCAATGACCCACAGACCTCACTATTGGGCATTAAATCCTTCGAGAGCCACTGGGCTTTTAGAGCGGATTTTGGGCACCACGCCACTGGGCTGAAGTGGTCACTGACTGTCCAATTGTTGCATCCTTCCTACCAGCCTGAGCCGGATGCGGGCCGATGCAGTTTGGAGATTCGAAGATATCGGGAAGCGTTTCGAGTGTTGATATCGGAGTCCGCATGCAGTGCTTATCCAAGCCTCAACAGGCGTCGAGCACACCACAATTCAACCTTCCATGCAAGGATTGACGCTGTCACGAACATTTGACGACGGCGGCTGGTATGCAGGGCTCAAAAGTGTATGCACCTGCCATCTCCATCTCATAAACAAACAACATCAGAAGGACAGGTTCCTTGCATTGCAAGTGTCGATAATGTCTAGGGTCTTTGACATTCGACATGTCGCAGCGGGCTCAAAAAGGTGCGCTGCATGCTGTAGGCATAAGTCGGTCAACCCAGATTGATTGACAAGTACCTGCAGGGCGAGATGAACACTCGAAAATGCCTATCGGACGAAAAGAAGTTGCACGACACCAATGCATATGTGCAGCGAACGTGACGCAACATGAATTTTGCATATCTTTTCTTGTCGTTTTGCATATGTATGTACGACGTTTGATATCTGGGGAGCAGCAGCGAGCCGTCCGAGACATAACAATTGTTCAAACATCCGAGCTTTGCGCAGGTTGACAAACATCAAGTCTTGACCATTCGTGTATAAGCGCCTGGGTCATGACAAGTGACACTGTTGACAGCGAATGTAGTTGAGGAATAGCACGTCGTAGTGTAGGCTAACAAGTTAGGCCTCGAGTCTGTGAGATGATTGCGCGATGTCCAGGTGCTCGGGATCAACATCGCGAAACCCGCAGACATGCATACCATCGGAGACCCACCAGCCTCTCAACGGTGCGCGTAATCTTAACACAGCAACCGCTCGTCTAGCGTTTTAGCTCTCTCTACAACCCGACAACCAGGTCGGAAGCAGCCAGCAACCGTCGCGATACATACAGCCGTCACGGAGATGCAACCGAGTCGATTGCAAGATAAGTTACATGCATCTCAATTACAGACATGGAAGCATAGTGTTATTCTTGCGCTAGACAGCTGTGCAGCCCCAGCATGTTGTTGTTGGCGATGCGAGTGTCAGCTCCACCTCAGGCGTCGCTTTCCCGCGTCTCCGCTCCGATTACTCGTGGCTTCAAACTTTAAGCTTTTCGCAGCTTTGTGAACTCGAGAAAAGTCCGCAGACTGCCCAAGGCCAGTGCTCGAATGCCCCCTCTCGGGTTTCGCCTTGGTCCCTAAGTTGATAATAGTGCGAGGTAAACAGAAGCGCCGCGGTAGCATCGACGGCTCCGGCCAGATGAGGGCTCATGGCCGGGGCGTCTGAGGTGCGTGGACAGTGGACTCGAAGTTGGAAGTTGGGCGATCGGTCCAGTGCTCACGAGGCACGGGAAGCGCTCCATAGTGCCATGCGGCCGCTGGCGCTGGCTGCAGGAACACCTAGCGTGATGGGCATTGATGAGGGTGGCTTGACTGGCGAGGGCCAGGTTTGATTCCTCCTCCAGATTTAGCCTACATGGACCAAGGAGACGCATCCTCTGTCATCATTCGGCTGACGTTCCCTGGTCGTACACGCTCCACACTGCTGTACTTTTGCGCCGTGCAACCTAGCTTTGCAGGCACAACATTGGCTTGCATTTTACCTACCTCTTTTCGCTTTTCCTCTTCCTCTCGTTTTTGTCAACAACCACCTGTCAACCCATTGTGCATCCCATTTTGTGTCTGTCGCTATCGAGTCTTGTCACGCCGTCCACCATCACGAGCAATTCCAGTAGTACCTCGGCTGGGACTCATCTACCTACCACAACCATTCTGAAGCCTCTGTCTGCCCTTGGTCATGAATATTCTCCCGGACTAGATGGCTCCAAAGTGGTTCTCGCAAAGCGATGACAACGCATCTCTACACGCAAATGCCATGGCTTCTACTCCAACCGACCGAACGCTCAAAAAGACTTCACGACTGTCAGCAACATTTGGCGTCGACTCTAGGCCGTGGAACTTGATGAGTTCCTCTTCTGACCGCAGTTCGTCATCTTCCAGAAAACGGCTGTCACTGTTCGGCGCTCGTAATTCTACAGCCTCATCAGCGGACATTTTCTCGTCGGGTCATTCTTCGCCTCGAGACTCCGCTTTCGTCCCACCTGGTCGATCCGAAATTTCCCTCCGTCCCGAGTCTCGCTTCAGTATTGATTCAAAGTCGACAACCATCGCTGTGCCACCTACAGATAGCTGGCGCTCGTCTATTTTTTCCCTCAGGCGTTCGTCAAAGGCTTCGAAGGGCTTGGAATCCAAGGATGAAACTTTGATGCGATGGCTGCGTAGCGACAGTCGTACATCGAGCTGGCGACGTGAATCAACTGATGGTGACAGGGAGCATGAGTCAGAAGAAGCCTGTAAGTCGTGTGCACGGTCGTTTCCGACATATGAAAACTAACGCCTTTCGTCAAGTCTACCAAACATTAAGGAAGAAGAACATTTCGGCTCCTTTCAACTTCCAGCATGTCACACATACACAGCAAGAACAGCTGCCGCAGTTGGCATCCGTAACTGACCGCGAGCTTGTCTCGGAGTTCTGGGCCGCTTCAGCCTTTCAAGCACCCAAGAGTGAACTTCGTGGTATCAAAGCAGATCCGGTCGATAGTAGTTATCGTCTTCGCGCAAACGAGAGAAGACCTTCTACCGCTTCTTCCGTTCGCTCCGAGTCCTTTGCACTCAGACACCGCGGTTCAAGCTTTACATCATCGATCCATGAACTCGACAGCACTCCTCGTACCCCTTGTGGTGCCGAGTCTCCCGTGGACGAGAGAGCGCGCTCTTTATCGCTCAGCTCAAGGACTCACAGTTTCTCCCGACTAGATCTCCCTTCGCGGGAAAGGTTAGCTGCTTTGGGAGCTGAGCAGAGAGAGCCGCCTACCATGATCCACCCGGCTCTACGCGCGCAGTCGACACCTCCCACAGTAGAACGCACATCCAGTCAACCTCAAATTTTTGAACTTCCTGGCACCAGTCTCGAGTCAGTGCCTGAGGAAATGGAAGGTTGCGGACCTAGCCCAGCAAAAGTTCCTCGAGCAAAGGCTATGCTGGATTTGTCACCCCTTACATCTCCAAACTTCTCCAAAATCCTCGCCATCTCTCAATTCAACTGCTCGGCAGAAGAATGGTCTCGTTTTCACACCTTTTCCCGTGGGTAACGCATTCGCACAAGCACACGGAGGCGCCGGTATCGAAGTACCTAGGACCTCTTCCGAGAGTCGCCTCTCTTTCAGTGTCGATGGAAATGTACCTAGCTTGACTTCTGGTGAATCATGGGAGAACGATATCGATTTTTGCTACCTGGTGAAGGCTGAATCGTCTTGTGACTTCGACTGGGAGTCGGTAAGATCGAATAGTCGCAAAGGCTCTGCCTCTTCAGCTCGCAGGGACTCAACTACCAGCGTCTCGGTGCAACGCGCCTCGAACAGCGATCCATCGCGCCGAGCAAGCATCAAGTCGCAGCCTGATGTTGAGGCGCTTTTCGCCGATTTTGATGGCAGCTCGAACTTCGTCAAGGAACAAACTCGACATGACTCACCTCAGATGTCCGTCTCACGTGCTGACTTGAGCCCCATTCTGGAATCACCTTCTAAAGTCCCGACCCTCGATAGCAGTTCTGAGACAGTCAACCTTGCAAAACCCGCCCACACTCGCTCCATCTCCTTGGACGACAATGTGAAGCGTGGCCGTAGCTTGGACAGAAGTGCGCGCTGGTCGATCGCGTCACCCCTCTGTCTCCCGGAAGATGCCAAGCAACGCGGCATTACCTTCACGCATCCGGTATATAAACCACGAGCAGTTCGCATGTCGGTACCTCCAGGCTTCGCTGCCCCTCCACTACCACCTCCGAAAACAGCCCTTCCACCTTTGCCGGCGCAGCAGCCAGCGAAGCCTGTCTCACCACCCGTTTCACCCACCTCAACATGGTCCAGCTCTTTTCCGACCATGCGCAGACCTTCTTCTGCACAGGATCGCGCCATCCTCCAGGCTGCCGGACGCTTTGTGAGAAGTGGACGTGCGTCTAGCAGACCCGTGACACCAAGTCGTCTTTCACACGTCCAACACGCCATGCGTACCTCACCTTCGCCAGCCTCGGAATCACCCACCATTTCGCCAAAGACGACAGTTAGCACTGATTGCAAGTATGGTGGAGTTTTACCAACTCCACCAATGTCTCCGCCCGAGCAACACCAGGGCTTCCAAGAATACCCAGCTTGGATATAAGTGGGCAGGGGATTCTACAGTCTCGTCTTTTCCTTTTTTATTTTCTTTGTTACGTCTTTATGATCACACGGCCGTCTACGAACTTTGCTATCACAAAAAGTCATATGGAACATGATTTTGCCTGGTTTTTAGCGGATACCCAACCCAGAGCGCGGAGCAGCACGGGGGTGTTTGATTTTTTATCTTGGATTGGTGGTCGGAGAAGAGGCATATGCATATAGGAAATGCAGAATACCAATCAAACTTCATCTTGATACGATTGCAGTTCCTTGTTGTAGAGAATGTAATGCTCGTATGACATGTACTCTGGTATTTGTTTTCCGCACATTTGCTCGAAGCAACATGTGGTGATCTACGAATCCTTGGAAAATGTACCACACAACTGTCAGGCGACCACATGGCATATGAGACCACATAAAGCTCAGGCGTACAATATTTACAAGAGAGTTGCAGTCTCTCCAATCATGATTTTGGAGCATGCAAGACCTGTAGAGGCAAGAATTAAGATGCTGTTGCTGAAGGCAGGGTGTGCAGACTAACAAGCTGGACTTGGTCAAACAGTAAACTGAGGCCAGAAGCCCTTACCGAAGCACAATGCAGAACATTATAGAACAAGATAGAGCATACCGAGGTACGCGTAAGCTGTAAATTAATTCGGGCAGTGTCAATGGAGAAATAGACGAATTGGTACAAGTATAAGATTAAAATAGTCAAGCAGAAATGAGCACGCCGGCAAGATCAGGGAGCAAAGCGCTGGCTGGGCTGGCTGCCCCTCAATGAATTGTGGAGAGGTCAAGGATTGGGCCTTACGGCGTTCGGGAGCACATGGCCGCAATCCCCAAAGGCCGTTTATTTACCTTTAACCTTGTACGAGGGGTTCGTGTTTCCCTCACTTGCATCTCACCACTTTCGTCTTTTTTGCATACACTTGAACGCAAGACATATTATCGCAGCAACAGGAGTACGGCTGCCTCTTGGATTAGACGACACAGCATCGCTATCGTCGCACTCAGCTCTTAAGCGCCGGCAGGTGTTGAAGAGAAAGGCTTATCAGCACAGGGCGCGCCAGCCATGGCTGTGCTACTGGAACAAAGTTGGGTCAAGGTGCAAGAGAAGACTTTCGGCAAATGGTACACAAGAGCCATCACACCTGCAACTGAGTCGAGCAGAGAGCTGACCGAGGATCCCGACACAGGCTCAACAGCAAGCTGCAGGTCCGCAATGTGCAGATCAAGGACCTGGTCACTGACCTCTCGGATGGCGTGAGTTGCCTTCTCAACAACCATGTGCCATGTCTCACTCACAAAACTACGTAGGTCATGCTCATCCACCTCCTCGAGATCCTCTCCCAAGAATCACTAGGCCGCTATGCCTCCCGTCCGAAACTACGAGTCCAGCGATTCGAGAATGTCAACAAAGCCCTAGACTTTATCAAAGGCCGGCGCATCCAGTTGACGAATATCGGCGCAGAAGACATTGTTGATGGCAATCGTAAAATCATCCTCGGTCTCATCTGGACCCTCATTCTGCGCTTTACCATCAGTGACATCAACGAGGAGGGTTTGAGCGCAAAAGAAGGATTGCTGCTGTGGTGTCAGAGAAAAACTGCTTGCTACGACGAGGTCGAGGTTCGAGACTTTTCGTCGAGCTGGAACGATGGTCTCGCTTTGTATGTGAAACACCTTTCCACAAAGCCTCCTCTGAAACAATACTAACCTATCATCTCCCAGCTGCGCACTACTTGACATCCATCGTCCCGATCTCATCGACTATGACAAGCTCGACAAGAACGACCATCGTGGAAACATGCAATTGGCCTTTGACATCGCTTCCAAGGAGATCGGCATCCCGGACCTGCTCGATGTCGACGACGTTTGTGATGTTGCAAAGCCCGACGAGCGTTCGCTCATGACCTATATTGCCTACTGGTTCCACGCCTTCTCCGCCATGGAACGTGTAGAGAACGCAGGAAGACGTGTTGAGAAGTTCGTCTCCAATATGCAAGGAGCCTGGGAGATGCAAAACAGCTTTGAGCGCCGTATGAGGGAGCTCCTACGCCAAATCGCCGAACAGCAAAAACAATGGAAGGATGCCACCTTCGAGGGCTCTTATGCCGATGCCAAGATGCAGAGCTCCGAGTTCACAGGTTACAAGCGAAACCAAAAGAGAAAGTGGGTAGCAGAGAAGAGTGACCTGGTTGGTCTACTTGGAAACATCAAGACAAAACTCAGCACATACCGCTTGCGACCATACGAGCCCCCGCCGGAGCTCAGTCTTGCTGCACTCGACTCGGCCTGGGCTGGCTTGATGCAGGCCGAGAAGGAGAGGAGTAGAATCATCAACGAAACAATCCGCGACATCAAGAACGCGTTACGGAGGAACTTCGCTGACAAGGCCAACGACTTTGCTCTCGCTCTGCACACGTTGAGTGTGAGCATCTCTGGACTTGAAGGTGAAGTTGAAGACCAGAGAGAACACATCACCAAGATCTCAGAATCGGTGCCACCCCTCGATGAATATCTGACCATTATTGGTCGTCTGGACGAGCAATGCGAAGAGGCCAACATTGAAGAAAATGATTTCACAACATATACATACGACGAGCTCGTCTACGAATTGGGCTTGGTCAAATCGAGTGTGCAGAAAAAATTAGCTTTCTTGGAAAACCAGATGGTGGCACGCAGCATGACCAATCTCACGCCCATCCAATTGGAGGAGTTTGAGTCCGTCTTTAGACACTTTGACCGTGGTGGCAGCAACTCGCTGCAGGAGCTCGAGTTCTCAGCAGCGCTCGCAAGTCTGGGACTTGTATATGACGAGGACGAGATGCACGAACGCTTCTTGGAGGTTAGCAACGGACCAGGCGGCACTGTCAGCTTCGAGCAGTTTATTCGCTTTATGGTCGAAGTCACCGAGGATCAGTATACGGCGGAGCAGGTGTTTGAGAGTTTCCGCGAAGTTGCGGATGGCAAGGTAAGAGGCACTCCAGAATGCGACATTATATCGAGCACGAGACTGATCAATCTTAACAGCCATATGTCACCGAACTCGATCTCAGACACTCACTCATCCCTGACGAACTTATCGAAGATCTGGTCAGGACAATGCCTCAACACAACGGACCCGACTTGCAAGAGGACCGAGACCTGGAAAAGTACGACTACATTACCTTTATGCAAAAGTATATGGGCGCCGCACCCAATGCCAACGGAGAGTGATGAGAACTACATGCAGCAGGCGTTGGAGAATCCAATTCTGCAGTAGGGCAAGGTGACTTCCATTCTTCTCAATGCTAGAAGTTAGTCACATGAATACATGCATACTAGCGATCAAGGAGTTGCGCGTTGGCAGGGAAAGCGTCAGAAAATATTATTTTTTGCATAGCGAGTTCGTCGGTCTGATTTTCCTGGGCAATCAAAAAAAGATCACAAATGTGTATGTATTACAAAGCACGAGTCAATATCAGCTTCTGATTGAGATGAAGAGTGAGAAAGCGCTTGTCTTATGGTCGAGATGGAAGGTGCTTGTACCCCTCTGCGGGATGGGCGGAGTTTAAGCTTCAGCATGGTACAAAAGGTTGTTTCACATGCACGCTTGATATGAAGTATTCTTGCTATCGCGAGCTTGGCCAGTGTTTCACGAAGACAAATGAGTGCATGGGCAGCCAAATCAAGGACAATGAGAGTGGATATGCTCAAAGAAAGAAGAAGGTGAGTCTGTGATAAGGCGGGAGGTGCATGGCGATTAGAAAGCCACTGCGGTAGAGTTGCCGTTCAGGGGCCGTTCGCGTGACGTTGTTTGAAGAGTGCATGGCAGAATGAGCAGGTATTTTGCTTCCATGTGTAGCAAAGGTGGAGTGAGTATCACGTTGTAAGGAGCTGTAGAAACAGATAAGAAAATGTTCTCTTGCATGTAGAGTAACCAATTGAATCAGGACGAGTGACATGTTTATGCACGCCGTGTCAGGTTGGGCGTGAAGGCGGTGAGCTGGATTAGGGTGCACGGAGGCAGGTCGAAACGCAGCGTCTAGTGCAAGCAGGTGAGAGAGTGCAACAGCAGCCCCTCGATCTTTTTCTACACACTGTCCAACCGTCCGTCGAACTCGCTCGTTTTATCCAACGTCTGCAGGCAGAGCTGTCATTGTTTCCTGTCGTCCGTCGTCTTTTTGCAGAGCAGTCGCAGCCCGGTCCTGTTGTTTGCGCTTCGCTCTTTCATTGTCACTGGCCAGCACAAGGGGCTCACCACCAAGCCGAATCAGCTCCGCATTCAGCGCCTGCCCACTCGACAAGGGTTATCCACGACGTTACACGACACAACCACGACCACTTTGCGCATTCAACAATCTACCCCGGCTTGGTCAACCGTCACCAAACCTTGTGTTGCGCCTTTTCAAAGGGAAAAAGGTCGACTCTGTGACTGAAGCGCTCGCTCACAGCCACACATCATGTCGCAACCACACGGGTATGTCCTATTGTCAGATGAAACCACCACTCGCCATGCTGATACACGCTCTGCAGAGTTTACTCAGAGGGCTCCTTCATGAACCCAGGTCCCGCTCCTCGCCCTCCTACCGATCGTCCTCGTCTCGCTCTTACCCCTAACGTTAACAATGTTGCCGGCAACATGAGCCAATTGAGTCTGCAATCTCCTGGCCCTGGCGGCTCCACAACTTCTCTTCAGCGCTCTATGACCGACTTTGGCTCGTCTCGCAATGAATCATCAGCCGTCAAGTCTGGCTGGGCCAAGGTCAAGGAAGAAGGTGGTTTCATGAAGGGTGTCTTCTGGTCTGAGAAGTTCCTCGTCCTCAGAGAAAAGGCCCTCGACTTCCAGAAGAGCGACACTGCTCCCAAGATTTCCTTCTCCATTCCTCTCAAGGATGTTCTCAACATCACCAGATCTGAGACCATTCCCTACTCGTTCGAGTTGACCCGAGGCACACCTGGAAATGAGAAGATGGTCATCTGCAAGTTCGAGACCGACAACGATGTCTACGGCTGGATTGATGTCATCTACAACAAGAGTCCCACCATGGGCGGTGTCAGCCACCCTACCTCGTTCGCCCATCGCATCCACGTCGGCTTCGATCCTGTTACTGGAGGTTTCGTCGGTCTACCTGTCGAATGGCAGAAGCTGCTTAACAGTTCAGCGCTCACACAGGACGACATGGCTAAGAACCCCCAGGCTGTCGTCGAGGCCCTCGAATTCTACACAAGCAAGCTCCAGAAGAGAGCAGATGACCCCAAGCAATACCCCAGTCTTACCCCCACGCCTCCAATCGACGCTTATGGCAACAAGCAGCTGGGCCACGGAAATGGCATCGCCCCTCCCCGCCCTCAACCTCCTGCCGCATACACCAGAAAGGAGAGCTACAGCTCTACTCGCAATGTTTCGCCCGCCGGTTCGCAGCCCCCACTTTCGCGCTCTAACACGGCGCCTCAGTACGACCCTCGCGTCGAGGACGAGCGCAGACGCAAGGAAGACGAGAGACGTAGAATGCTCGAGAAACAGCGTGCGTACGAAGATGCTCAGAGGAGAGAGGCACAAGAGCTCGCAGACTATAACGCTAGTCTGCCCAAGCACAAGTTGCCCTTGGCTCAGCAAGAGATTGGAGGTGGCGGCTACTCTAGCGACCGCGATGCCAGCCCCTCTTCCAGATACCAACCCTCCAGACCTGCTCCCTCTGCACCTTCGAGCCAGAAGGTCAACCCAGTCCGCCAGTTGACTGCACAGCGCCAGGCTCCCACAGCACCATCTCCCAATGGCTCGTCTTCTTCTATTCCCAGACCCAGTCCATCTTCCCAGAGACAGCAGTCGCCCAACAGCCAGAGAAAGCCGGGCCAAACAGGTTCTCCTGGCGTCCACACGCCTTCTGGCTCGTCGCAACAGAGAGAACACTCGCCCGCTGCGCCCAAGCCGCTCAATGTCGCATCTAAGCAGCCGACAGGTGCGCCAATGGACCCCATCAAGAAGGCTGAGATGGCCCTCACTGCTGCTCCACCCAAGAAGGAAGAACCTAGAAAGGATGTCCGCATGTCTAGCATGACTGATGCCCAGGTTATGGAGAAGTTGCGCGAAGTTGTGTCCAAGGAGCGTCCTTTGGATTCGTACAACAAGCAGAAGAAGATTGGTCAGGGTGCTTCTGGTTCCGTCTACGTCGCTCGTATCCGTGAATCTGCCACATCTGCCACTGCCCGTCAACAATTGCGCGAGAATGGTCCTAGAGCTCAAGTTGCTATCAAGCAGATGGACCTTCGCAACCAGCCTCGCAAGGAACTGATCGTCAACGAGATCATTGTCATGAAGGACAGCAAGCACCCCAACATTGTCAACTTCCTCGATGCCTTCCTTCAGGAGGAGAGCAACGAGCTTTGGGTTGTCATGGAGTTCATGGAGGGTGGTGCACTCACCGATGTCATTGACAACAACCCCAGCATTTCCGAGCCGCAAATTGCCACAATCTGCTACGAGGTGAGTGTTGAATTATTGCCCAAGGTCTGACTACAAGCTAACAAGAATTTCCAGACTTGCAAGGGCCTTATCCACCTTCATCAGCAGAACATCATTCACCGTGATATCAAATCAGACAACGTCTTGCTTAGTTCGCGAGGCAATGTCAAGATCACCGACTTTGGTTTCTGCGCCAAGTTGACCGAGCAGCGCAGCAAGCGTGCCACCATGGTCGGAACACCTTACTGGATGGCACCTGAAGTTGTCAAGCAGAAGGAGTACGGCAGCAAGGTTGACATTTGGTCTCTGGGTATTATGGCTATCGAGATGATCGAGTCCGAGCCTCCTTACCTCAACGAGGAGCCTTTGAAGGCACTGTACCTGATTGCCACCAACGGCACACCACGTCTGAAGAAGCCCGAAGCTCTTAGCAAGGAGCTCAAGAGCTTCTTGAGCGTCTGCCTATGTGTCGACGTCAAGTCTCGTGCTACTGCTGAGGAGCTTGGTAGACACGACTTCCTCAAGACCGGCTGCAACCCCAACATGCTCGCCGAGCTTTTGAGATTCAGAAAGCAGAGTGGACACTGAGTGTGAAAACTTGGACGACAATTCGCATATACCCATGATACCCAAGTGCTGGCTTTTGCTTACATCAATGCTACAAACGTTGTACTAGTCGGCAGCTGTCACCAGTATGCAACAGCCACGGAAATAACGACCGAGCGAGACTACCTTTCGCAAGCAAGAAAAAAAGAAAAGAAAACCCACAACATGACCTGAGGATATGAGATTACCATATGGAAAGCTAGCCAACAACGATCACGATGATGAAGAGAAGGACAGAAGATTTCCGTGTTTTTGTCTTACATTCTGCATCATCATCGAGGCCGACATCTCTTAACCTGTCTCACGAACGAGATGAGGAGTGAAGAGACGGGGTGCTGCTTTACCACCATTTCTTTTTCTTTACTTCTCTTAGCAGAACGTTTGGATGCATGACGAAAGGCCCAAATGTTTCGCTGACTTTCTTTTCTTCATGGCTTCTTCGCTTCTATCAGAGTAGGTGATGGTTGATCACGGTCGAAAGAGAATGCATGTAGCTGAAGCTGGAGTCGTCGTTAAAAAAGGAATGAATGCTTTTTCATGTTAGTTAGCCGGCGTTTGCAAGGATGCTTTGGACAGGGATGGAGTCGAAAAAGGGTTGCTTCGAACTTTTAGAACAGTTCCTCTATGCATTAAATCAAGGACTTCTCATATTAAGAACTACTCATGTGCTCGATGATTGACCTGAGACGTTCATGCGCAGAGTGAGAGTAGGCGAATGCCAAGATTTCAGAGGGCCCACCGAAGTTTGCGCGGGATGTTGTCGACGCCGCCGACTTTTTCGCGGGAGCGTCTCGATTCCCTAGCAGATCAATCACATATCAAGATGGACTCGATTCTTGGTCTCGTACAGGCGCTGCCTGCTACCGACTCATGGGGACCTCCCGTCACCACCGATACCCTGCGCGACGGTCTCCCCTACGCTCCCTTCTCCAAGGGCGACAAGCTTGGCCGCATGGCCGACTGGACCGCTGAGGGCAAGGACCGCGAAGGCAGAGGAGGCAGACAACAATACGGCCGCAACTTCAGAGGTGAGGAAGACTTGAAAAGAGCAGAGGGAACAGCCGGACTGACAAGTCACTACAAACAGACCAGCCCTACGGCGCCGGCGCAGGTCTCCAAACCGCTCTCAACATCGAAGGAATCGGCGAGGAAGCCAGCTTCTCCATTGTCGACAACTCGCGCACTGCCGCTCGCCGCACTTTCGGCCGTGGTGGTGGTACCGTTTTCCGTGGACGTGGTGGTGCTCGTGGTGGCGCTGCTCAGCGCGGTGGCCGTGGTGGCACTTTCCAGCGCGTTGGAGGTGCTAGACCTGGACAACAGCAATACGACAACCGTGCCGCACAGCGTGGAGGCCGTGGTGGCCGCAGAGGAGGCTGGAAGGACTGGGACAAGCCGCAACGCACTCGTGAGGCCTCGGTCCAGCCTCGCGATACCTGGAAGCTGCTCGAGGAGATTGACTTCAACCGTCTGATCAAGCTGAACCTGGACACTGGTGATGGCGAGGATGTTGAAGACTATGGATTCCTCTACTACTACGACCGCCAGTTCGACAAGCAGCCTGGTGCTCCTACTTCTTTCCGCAAGCTTAACGTTGTTGAGCGCGCTGCTTACAATGTCACAACTTCTCACGACCCCATTATCCAGGATCTGGCCGCTAAGGATGCTGCTTCCATCTTCACCACCAGCGATATCTTGTCCATGCTGATGTGCGCCCCCCGCTCCGTTTACTCATGGGATTTGATCATCACCAGACAAGGCAACAAGGTCTTCATCGACAAGCGTGAGGGCAGCAACGTCGACCGTGTCACCGTCAACGAGAACGCTGCTGATGCACCTCTTGAGACTTCCGAGGGTACCAAGGACACCATCAACAACGTTGGCGCCCTTATGGAGGAGGCCACCCACATCAACCACGTCTTCCCTATCCAGACCGTCACCGAGAGCCAAACGTCCAAGCGCGACATGGCCAACGAGCACCCCTTCTACAACCCCGAGGAGGAGACCGACCCCCCTGCCTCCAAGGCCTACAAGTACCGCAAGTTCGACCTTTCGCTCGAGGCCGACGAGCAGCCGCTACACATCATTGTCCGTACCGAGCTCGACGCCGTCGTCAAGAACGCCATCTCTGGCGAGGACCAATACCTCACCATCAAGGCTCTCAACGAGTTCGACAACAAGGCCATCGGTAGCGGTGGTGCTCTTGACTGGCGCACTAAGCTGGCTTCTCAGCGTGGTGCCGTTGTTGCTACCGAGATGAAGAACAACAGCTGCAAGCTTGCCCGCTGGGCTACCCAGGCCATTCTCGCAAAGGCCGACCAGATGAAGATTGGGTGAGTTTTATGATCTGATGACCTCTACAAAAGAATAAGCAAGTGCTAACAAATATGACAGTTTCGTGTCGCGTGTCAACCCCAAGACCTCAAACGACCACGTCATCCTCGGTGTCCTCGGCTACAAGCCCCGTGAGTTCGCCGCCCAGATGAACCTGAACCTGAACAACGGTTGGGCTATCGTCCGCACTTTCGTCGACATGGTCATGTCGCAAGACGAAGAGGAGGCCAAGTTTGTGCTTGTTAAGGACCCTAACAAGCCCACTATCCGCCTCTACAACGTTCCTCGCGACACTTTCGAGGAGGAAGAGGAGATGGCTGGTATTGACGAGGAGTAAGCTATTTCATGAGGATGAATATGGAACATGTGATGTGCCTAGGGATAGATGGGGATTGGCATGTTCGAGAGTACAGAAAAAGCGAATGTTATACTTTTTACGACTTCAAAATCTTGGTTATACTCTTTACAGTTCGTAGTCATTTATTTGATATGTGTCCATATGTTGTTGTTCAGAGACGAAGAAGAAAGTGGGCTGAAAGCGGTGTGGAGACGGGTCCAGCTTGGCAAAAGCGCGGGCGGGCGTCATCGTTCATGTGAAAGGGACCTGCAGGCAGTTAATTCCACGTCTTGGTATTCTAGACCTTTTGTCAACCTAGCACCCACATATTGCTACAACAAGATGGTTTTCTCAACTCAGGGACCAGTGTCGTTCACAAAGACGACGCTGTCATACCCAGTGTATGCCGCCGAGTTTGACCCCTACAACCGTGGCTTTCTTGTTGTGGGCGGCGGCGGTGGTCAAGGTCGCAGTGGTGTCGCAAACAAGATCGTAAGTCACAGGTAAAGCCTCTGCAGTCGCATGATCGATACTGATATACATCATAGACGCTACTGGACGCGAGCAAACGCGCAGCTCTCGATACGACGGCCGAAATCGAGCTCTCGAGCGAAGAAGACTCCATCACATCGCTGGCCACTCTGGCTTCTAAGGACGGTCTCATCACATTAGCTGGCATCAATTCTTCAGAGGCCGATCAGAAAGCCGGCAAGAACGAACATTTGCGTACGTTCGACATCAGGTACCCCAAGAAGAAGCAGGCCTCGGAAGAGAAGCAAGACGGCGAAGCTCAAGATGGATCCATCTCGTTTGTTGGAAAGGCATCACTCTTCCAACCAGCAACAGGCCCAAAGCCAGAAACATACCAGCGTGTCTTGCGACTCTCACCAACCTACAAGCGCGACTCGCCAAACAAGCGCATCGGAGCCGTCGCAACTGGACTAGCCAAGCGTTCCGAGATTGTTGTCTTCGATGCCACAAAAACACCTACAACCGATGCTGAGATCATTGCTCGTATTCCTATGCGCGACAATGCCGAAGCTGCCGATTTGGACATCACTGAGCTGGAGACCAACACCTTTTCCATCACCTGGGCTACCGACTACGACGTCTACGAGCAGACGGTCATGTACAACTTCGACACAAAGAAAGCCTCCTTCTCTCCTGCAAACCCAAGGAAAGTTTACTCGATTCCTAAGCGTGAGGATGCTAGCAAGCCTGCGCGTCCCAAGTACCGTGCTATCAGATGGTTGAGCAATGAAGATGTGTTGCTCTTGAGTAATCTACCTAACCGCACTGGTGCCGAGCTGAGCATTGTTCATCTTTATCCATCTGGTCCGGCGTTGATGGTCAAGAACAAGGTTTTGCCCGGTCATGTCAAGCAGGCTGTTGGTCTCGATGTCTGCAGTTTGGATTCGGATAAGGCTGGAAACAAGCAAGTCGTTGTTGCCATCGCCAGCCACGACATTTCAATTCCTATCTACACTCTGGACTACAACGCCAACACTCACACCTTCGCCAAGTTCAAGCGCTTCACCACTCTCAATGACGTACATCCGCTACAAATGACCTGCCTCCGCTTCTCACCCTTCCACAGCCCTGTTCGCGCTCCTCCACCCGAGACGGACAAACAGGGCAATGCCCTGCCCGCCAAAAACCCCGTTCACCCCGGTCCACAATACATCAAGCTTTGCAGCACTAGTATGGGCAATACCGTCGTTGTAGACACTTTCGCTCTTCTCCCTTCACAGCCTGCAGACCGCCTGAGCCGTTATGTTCTCCTACACCCATCCGATGAGCTTCGCCAACGTACAACCTACGGCGTCCTCATTGGCTTCGCCGTCTTGATTTTCGCAGTCTTGCTCCAGTCTATGTACTCTACCGATCCTTATGCTCCTGGTCTCGCCGACTTCATTCCTCTACCAGCATCATGGCAACGCACTCTTGCGCATCCTGCAAACATTGCTGATAGTATGGGTCGCAAGGGCTGGGAACCCATCGTTGATGCCGCGTCTTCGGTCTCATCTGCTGCATCATCTGTCACCTCTGCCGTCCCCTCAGCAGCTTCCTCCGTCATGGATGCTCCACGAGTCAAAATCGCCGATCTGATCAACATGAACTTTGCACTCCCCGGCGGCTCAAACCCTGAAGACAAAGCCGTCATCGTTCGTGACGAAGGCGAAGGCAAGAACCTCGCACTTAGTATGTGGGACAAAAAGGAGTATTTGAAGCAAGATGAAAAAGCCAAACATTGGCATGAGTTGAATGATGAAGAGCAACATGTTTGGAGGAAGAGATTGGTTGATGCTGGACATTGGACTGTTGAAGAAGGTGAGACTATTCTCAAGGGAGTTTTGTTTAGTAGTTGGGCTGGGTTCGTGGGGAGGGTTGCTGGGGAGGCTATGAGAGAGTTGTGAGGGAGTTAGACTTGTAGTATACGGTGTCTAGAGGTTGGCGTGGATGTGTAGGTATGTTTGTATAGCTTGTCGTACCCCTAAAAAATTCATCCCCTGTGCCTGAGGCGAAGCCTTCGTCTAGTGTTTCCTGGTCTCGTCTACCCAACTCTCTCTCTGCGAATCTTGAACATTCATCCCGTTTGTCTTTTTTCTCTACGCTACAGAAAGTAATGCGTGTAACTGCAAGGATCTCAAATGTAGCATTTGACCAATAGTGGAGAATGGGAATTCACATGATAGATTAAGGGTAAATGACGAATGCAACGCAGCATCGTAACACTTGTGATCAATCTTTCTGATTTCCTTTTTTTTTTTCTGTCTTTGGGTTCCTGCCTCGCACAAAGTTGAAGAATTCAAACTTTTGTCTGCTGGCACGATGTACTGCCTCAATGGAAAGATCTCGAAGGAGATTAACTCCTGGTTTGTGACTTGGGATTCTTTGATCCTAGCCAACTGAATTTAACACAAGTCGAGCATCACACGAAATCAACCATTCCATCTCCAAAGTTTGGATGGTAAGTTGGAAGGGGCCAAGGGAAAGAGTCAACATAAAAAGTCAAGTCTGTTGGCTTTGATATAGGGGATATAGATGAATTTTCTTGACCATAAGGAGGGGATCTCCATACCTCTCCTCGAGGATTGATGGGGATCTTGGTGGTTGCGGATGTGGTAGGTGTGTTGGAAAGTATAGAGGTGTTTGAGGAATACACTCTGCCGGAAACAGTGTCTTGGGGATTTGCTCAGGAGGGATTGTTGTGCCTTCTGCTATCATGGCCCCCCAGACGAAGTGAGTCTGAGGCGCTAGGGTGTTGCGGTCACTGTCGCTGGTGTAGGTTGTTGCGGTAAAGGGCGATGGGTTTGATATGCTGAATCCAGGTTTCTTTTTTGAGTAGTTTTGCGATCATCTTGGTGGCGTATGGGGGTGATTGACAAGGTGAGAGCATGATCGACTATTAGAGATAGGAGAGGCTCTCGTTTTGTACACTGCTCCAGCTACACGATGGGAAGAAAGACAATGCAGCTAGGCCCGTGTATGTTGTTATACACTTCTCTGCTGCATCAGACAACAATCTGCAAGTCTCTAATGGTCGCAAATAACAAACACAGTCGGCTAGGAAACAGCTTGCGAACAGACTATGCATGCAAGATGATGAATGGATGTGTTTACCCTTATCAGAATCATAACGGATGAAGCACCGACGTAAGACTTGAGTGTTCCGACCGCAGGTGATGCCACGCTACAGACTGATCAGCACGGCTTTCTGAAGGCGCAGTGGAAATCTAGAGATGAGTGTTCGTTAGTGTACACTGTGTTTCCATGTATTACATCTACCATGTATCCCCTCTCCACGCCATGAATGCTTCATTACATCCCCCATATCTAACCCCTTATCGCAATCTGTCGAACCCATGTCCTATCACACATTCTCTTCCTGCGAGTCAGTTGCTCCCAAGCTGCCGACAAACAAACTCACTTAGCAGCAAACCGACTCTTCGCCCTCAACTTCTCACCGTAAAAGAAAAGCACAAAAATACCTCCAATACACAACGTCGTCAGTCCAGCAAGCAAACTCACACCACCCCCAACCCCTAACCCCTTAAACATAGGCCTCGAGAACAAAATCGCCGCAGCCGCCAAAGTAGACCTCGCGGTATCGTTGCCAGCAAACAGGCTTCCCGCATATGCAGGATACACCATCGGCAAGTAAACAAACACACATTGGAACAAGATGAAGACGCCGATGATGTTGATGACGATACCGATACAACTGACGATCCAATGGATATGCCCGTTTCCTGTCCATGCAAAGATGAACAGACCAATGGGGACGAGGAAACTGCTGAAGAGGGCTGGGATCAGGCGGCGTTCAGGACTTCCCAGGCCGTGAGCGAGAATCTCGGGCTCGACAATGTAGTAGAGGTAAGCGTAGTATGCTGCTATGGCGATAACGACGCCGACAGCGATGGAGAGGAACACCAGTCCCATTTGTCCGACGTTGAAACCGTAGCGGTCGATGTAGACTAAGGGGAAGACTTCGAAGAAGGAGTAGAAGATTGCGTAGCAGAGGGCGATGTAGATGTCTGCGTAGGCCTAGATAAGATGTGGTGTCAGTAGTTGGTCAGGGTACATAGCTGAGAGCTTTGACTTACAATAGCTGGATCTAGTGCGATCAACTGGAGAGGTCGCCATAAAGCTTCGACAACCAGATCCTTGAAGCTTCGCTGAGCTTGATTGATTTCAGACTGCGCCTTCAAGTTCTGATTACCAGTAAGTTTTCTAAGTCTCTGCGCACGACGCAAGAGAATGGTCTCTGGGTAAGTCTCGGGCAGGAAAAGGAAGAGTGCGAGCCAGACGGGTGCAGCAAGCCACAGCATCTCCCAAAGAGACCATCTCCAGTTCTCAGCCGCAACGCTGAAGCCAGAAATGATGGGTCCAAGAGCAGGACCGACACAAGCTGCTGCCGCCCAACAACAGAGGATGTAAGGTAACTTGATCAACGAGAACATGTCTTGCAGACTAGCACCACCAGTAGCAAGAATGGGAGATCCGAAGAAGCCTTGCAAGAATCGCAGCACCATCAAGCCAGCAAAGTTGTCTGCCAAAGCTGTTGGCACGCATAAGATGGTGAAGATGGCGAAGGTGATGATGTAAGGAGGGTTTCTGCCAATTTTGGGAATCTCCGACAGAGGAGAGAAGATCAGAGGACCAAGACCATATGCCAGGACAAAGAGAGAGATACCGAGGGCTGCCGCGGTTGCTGACACGCCAAATCGTTCCATGACGCCTTCAGCTGAAGGTGTGTATATCGCAGAGCCTGTGTAGACTGCCGTAGTATAAATACAAATGAGCAGTGTCACTAAGCCTTTCTTCGTCCTAGACCAATTCTGAGGATTTGCCTTGTCGTCTGTAGTATACCAGTCCACAAGAATGATACCATCTGAGGTACGAACAGGGACAATCGGCTCAGGCCAAGGCGATGGTTCTGAAGCAGCTGCAAAGGCTTCCTCGAGATCTGCTCGGGTCTTTGATTGTTCGAGAGCAATGCGAGACCCTACATGCGATAAAGCAGATCTGTTGGTGTTAGTCTTGCTTAATCCTCGATAGCTGTGATCAGTTTCTGTTCTCGTAAGGTGGAGGTCGTCCTGAGCCTCGGGGGTCTCTTTCTCGAAGTCATCTTTGATGGAGTTGTTGTCGGATAAAAGTGATGGGACGGCATTGAAGAGTACAGTAGTCGGTTTCTCAGGCTCGGAGTGTGCATAAGAGGTTGGGCAGACAAAATCGGGATTCTCTTCAGGGTACTGGAGTACTCTGTTCCTTGTCACATATCGGATCAGTTGCCCGATCGGGGCGTCTCGAATGACATCGGTCATGGTGATAAAATGGTTGAAACTGTGGTAAGAGGATTGAAATTGGGTGATGCTAGAGAGCAGCTTCTTACTCTTGGGGGGAAGGTTTGGTGAGAAGAATGAAGGGCAGGTGTCTGTCTGTTCCACCTAGATATATGCTCTTCAGACCTACCTTCATCTCTACAAAGCTACCGATTGCGTGCGATTGTCTTCAGTAAGCATGCCAAGCGATTTTGAAATCGTCCAAGAATGAGTTCATGGAGATTAGCAAGTGCAGTCGGAGTTCTGTAGATGATTCTAGGATCTTGTTGGTCGAAGAGATACTTGTGGAATGTGGTGCTCACTGTGATTGGTTCAAGCTGGGGTTTGTCAGCTGCATGTCCATAGCTCGCTGACAAACGCCGTGTCCAACAACTTTTGAGACACCGCTGGCAAGGCATCAGTCCCTGCCTGTGTTGACGGATGAATATTTATGCCGGTCTTACAAAGCCTTTGCTTGACTTGCTTTTTCTCAAGGCTATACACATGCCAGGGAGAAGACGTTTCATTGCATCTTTCATCGGAGATAAGAGACGACTGTGTCCGTCTGACTCTGCAGCTACATCAGCTTCTCTACAAAACCTTCAAATTGAGTCGGATGGGGATTTTGCGCAAGACGGAGCACGTCAATTGAATCCAGCCGGTGCGTAAATTATTGCTGAGGCGTAAGGTGCAATCACTTACCGCATCCGGCGCCAAGCACGAGGGTTGAGACGTCGGACGACCTGAGAAAGTCCACGTGTGTACAGATAACGCCAGTAATCTCCTTCATGTAGCTTGACGACTCCTCGACACGCATGATGATGGCTCCCAACATCTGAACTGTATGGAGGCGCGTCGCGCAACGATCAGGGGGAAACACTGCCTGGATCTGATCGAAGGCACCGCCTCGACAGCCTGAGTGCTTCACGTAGAAGCGACAAGACCTCAAAGTAGGGTAGCCTTAAGAGTGTCGAGACGTAAGACTGGACAGTAAATTCGGGAAGCCATGATTTCTTCGATCAGGTATGTACAGCATGAGACGCTTGCCGATGGAGGGCGTCATTACCGCCCGGCCTTGGCGGACCATCTGCCAATCGGCAATCTGTAAGCGCCGCCGGAACTCAAACTCCCGCCTCGACCAGAAACGCGAAACAGTCGACATCTTCGAGCTCTCAAAAGTTCACTCCCGATGTTACGATGCGCAATCCTGAAGCGGGTCTCAAAGGATTTACAACCATCATATCGAAGGTTCCTCTTGTACCAACAAAGCTTGACCGGGATTTCTTGTCACCAAAAACGACAAGTGGGCTTCTTACCAATTGTTTCGAGCCATGATCTACCTAAAAAGGAATCGTCATGGAATACTGGATTTGGCACTGGTATAGAGCCCAAAATCACACGCGACTCAAGCCATGAAAGTTCAACGAATGCTGTGAGCCAGCATGAAATCTATTCTAGCAAAAACAACAGTCAGGTCGCCCAACAGCCGCATTCGTCGGGTGATGAACCAATGGTCTTGAAATCGCAAGCTGGAGATGCAGTGGAGAGCGCGTACATGTTCGACACAGATCCCTTGACTAAATCCCAGTCGGCGACTGGATCACCTGCACGCACAACAGTGGGTGAAGAGAGTGATGTGTGCCTAAGCATTGTTCGACAAGCAAAGCCATCTTCCCCAGTCTTTTCGGAACCGACAAATGTGCCCTTCTCGATGGCTCTGCCCGATGGCAACATCGTCTCGTTTCCTTCAAGAGGAGTCATATATCAGGACACACTTAGGATTATCCAAGCTTTCTGGAAAGATTTCGAAGCTACAGGGCCGTTCAATATTACACAAAAAGCTGTGTTGGTTTTTAGATCGTGAGTCTTGGCTCGGGGACTATGAGTGAAGCTGACAGCTGAAGGGACACTTCTCGTAAGATTAGATTGTACTTTTGGGAACGGCTTGTCCCAGATGTTCGACATTGTTCAAATCCTCATATTTGTGACCTCAACGTCCGCGCCGACCCTGCAGGGCGCTCATACGACTCATATACATTCGTGCCCCAGGTAAATGCACCCAGAACCCGAGACGCAAAGAACAAAGTTTTCATCCCATCTCTTTTCAATCATCACGGCAGTGCGGACCAATCTGCAAACTTGTTGGGCTCGAAGTCAACAATTCATCCAAGAGCGCGAGAGTGGCAACGAGCTTTTTCGAAGCATTCACCGGCGAACACCCCGCGATGTTTGCTACAGCTGCGCGACTCAGAAGCTCATTCAACTCACGAGTTAGATGGTGAATGCATCAGAGAGTCAACTATCCCTGAGCCACAAACTCGTGGAAGCACCAAAACATCTCCCGGTGTTGCTGACGCAGACCCTAATGGAGGCTTTCCTGCTGAGGCAACCCAATTTTCAGCGTCACTCGCAGATGGGACTATCGTTCATCTAAAAGACAGCCTTATCACCCTGTCTCATTTCAAAGACCTAGTCTTGACGATATCGCAGATCTGGAAGCAACACTCCGATAAGATTATCCCTCAGCTATTTGTACAGAACGTTGGAATCTCCATCCATAAAGGAATTCACCATGATCGCTATTTTGGCCAGGATGCTCTCCACACAACGATCTATGATGCCGGAGTGGGAAGAGGTCCACGCAGAATCTACTCTTACTTATGGTCCGTTTCTGCCGATCGTACACAGTTCTCATGTCTGCAGCACACTGTTAGATCCAACGAGAGGTGGGCAGGACGCAAGAGTCTACGGAAAGCGCTGATGAAGGCTCTGAAGAACTACATCGGATCTGTTGACCAGCACGGATCGTTGGAATTGCTCTCTTCACCTGTGTCTCATGCTTGCTGTTCTCGATTCGAGCAGTACGAAAGGTGTTTCGCTTATGACACTTCACCCTCAAATATAGTGAAACCCATGTCTATAATCCTAGATGAGCACGCTGTTATCAGTCCAGTCCCCGACCCTGATGCAGCGGTGACTCGTGAGGAGTTGTTGTCTCTAGCAGCACCAATCTGGCAATGGTGGCGACGTGAGCGACCGTTAGTGCGTGAGAACGTGCAAAATCATATTACCAACATCCGAATCATGTACGTGGCTCGGTCGAATGGGGTCACACAAGCTAACAGTCTCGTAGAGAAACACACCCGACGGAAAAATTCCTGAGAATGGAAGTCTGGAAGATGAGCTTGATTTCCGACGTCAGCCTCTCCAGGAGTGTTCACCAAATCTTTGTTTCGAACATCGATGGCTCATTCAAGAGTTCTGTTATCGAGTCTACCGACGAATTGGAGATCCTTCGTCCTGGCACAGATAAGTTATTGCGGGACATTGCTCTAGTGTTTCTGAAGAACAACATCGGGTGGATCGACAGTGCAGGAAGTCTGAAAGTGGAAAGGTATCCAAAGTACAAGTCGTTGGTCGATAACATCAAAGGCAGAAAGCCGACTTCTGCGCACCCTCAAGCCTCCCTCTCGCTTGGAAACTCAACGGCACCTGAACCGGAAGCTAGCTCCGAAGGCAAAGGGACGGGTCTTGACGATATCTCTGGAGGAGGAGCAGTTGCTGAATCGAAGTCAGACAAAAGAGAACAAGCGCAGCATGCTACAAGCGAAGGAAACCAAAGAAGCAGAGATGAGAATGCAACACGCGTGAAAAAACGCAACCTGCTTGTGTCCGCAACATTGCCCGATGGAACGCTCGTGATACCCAGCTTCAAACTCTGTCAAGAAATGGACAAAGGAGTTGGGAAAAGCTTCAGCTTTATTCTGCAAATCATATCACAGTGGCGAGCGCAATCTCGTAACGACCTTAAGCACGAGTATCACAGAAAGGCTTCGCTGGTATATGTTTTTCCAAAAGCATCAGAGAGCTCTTTTAACGTCGAGATATTCCGCAAGGAATCCAATTGGTTCGATCAGCCCATGACCCGCTATAAGTTATATCACGCTCCCTCAGCGGAAGGCTGTTTGTACGTCGATTTCAAGCCTTTGTCTGGGACTGTTCTCGATCGACGCAAACTTGGCGCGTGGAAAAATGTATTACTGGACAACTTCAGATTCAGTCTGAGGAATCACGTTGGAGTAGTGGATCAAGCTGGTGTTTTACGAAAGAGCAAGCAGCCGTCTACTAACGAATTCGTCTACGAACTCCAGAGACCTACCAAACTCTACTCGAGTGCTGGCACCGAGACCACGGAAAGTTCGAAAGAAAGATATGTGCCACCAAGCCCGACGGATACCAGACAAGAAGGAGAAAGCCACGAGAGAGCGCCAAAAGTCCCGATGTCCGACCAGATCGAGAGTGTCATGAAGTTGGCGGGTGATTTATATGAAGTGAGCACAATGCTCAACGAGGAGATCTCAAACGCTCCGTCGCAACCGAACGGAAGTCTCGCAGTCGATGCCGTCAATGCAAGCTGGATCAACGAACCAAATCCGGTCTTAAGAACTCGCAAACACGGCAAAATAAACGTCGATGCTGTCGACAGAGCAATCTTGCAACTGAAGGCTCAACTTCGAGACCACAGAGACAAATTTCAGATCCTAGCTCATGTTTGTCAGAGATGGAAAGCAGAGCTAGAGGTGGAGTATCCACTCATGAAGCGAGAATCTGTATCGCGAAGCGGCCTTCACAACCTCGCGATACCGTCTTATGAGTCATCTAGCACCAAAAGTCCTGTCACCAAAGAAAAGACTCCCGCAGCCCCCCAAAGTCCAGCAATAACTCCCAGGATCAGATTCACGCACAGTCCTGACAGAAGAAACGATGCCGACGACGATGGATTTTCTATCTCCCCTTTCTGAGTAATCAAATACGGATTAGCGTACATAGCAAGCTACATAACGCATAAAAGCAATAAGCAGGGAGGCCCTATAACTCTTCACCTTTCTTTATATCCAGGTGTGATTAACAAGTCCAATTCTGCAGTTCCTCGTTTTGCCAGCACGTGAATTAATTGTTGAGGAAGGAACGATGAATATTTCCTTGTTGGGCTTATCTGATCATCTACTGATACGGTTGGGGAAGGCGGGCCCGAGCGGCGTCCCCGACCGCATCTCACGCGTCTTGGCTCTTGTGCATTGCTTTTCGACACACATATGCTACGATGTCAAGTAACACTCAGTGACCAAGTAGATGGTGGATTTTTGAAGTTTTTGGAAACATCTACGCTCCCAAACGGTGGCTGAGCAAGCCGCCATCAATTTTCCACGTGTGTGTAGCGCTTGGTTGACCAGCTACACTTCTCTGCGCGTGAACATCTGCGCCGGACGCGTTTGCGCCACGGACTAAAGCTTCCACAACTGTTGCAGTATGGAGGAGCTCCAAGACCGACCACGAAGAAGCCCTACGACTTTTCACCCTCATATGCCGGGTTGATCCGCAAGATTATCGCAACTCGAGCTTTGTGGCTGCTGCCAAGCGCCGAAGGAATGAGTATTCCGGGCCTGGTACCGCGCGTAGCGGATCTGATAGGTTCTCGAATCAGATCCGCTGTTCGGATCTAATCACTGTGAGGTAATGATAATCGAACATGGCGATGTACCATCCAGGGCAAGGTAGGGATAATTTGTCTCGCCCGCTGCTCAAGTCCTCAACGGGTCTTTAGTTGTTCCTAGTAGTCCAGCACTTGCGTCGTGTGGCCCCATTTTTATTGGTTTCTCGTGTTTTGCGGTGCGTGATGGTGGAGACTGACATGCAGGGTATCAACCCGGGACAAGTGGGGTCTGTCGTGCGGCATATATCATGTCGGTTGCCCTCCTCTTTCAAGTTTCTGCCGGCTAGATCGTTCACATTGTTCCTTCTTTCTTTCTCTTATCCTTCACCATGAGGCTCAGGATTCCGGATCTTGTCTCACGACCCAACGAGGTGCCCGTCGTGGCAGAGACTGCCACCGGCAGCGATGTAGAGGTCGCTGGTACTCAAGAGATGAACGAGAAGAACGAGCCACGTACTCATGTCATCAGCAAGCTAGAAGAGGATGGAGTCTCACCAGAAGTGCAACACGGAGTCCAGATTGCTCAAGCAATCAATCAAGTGTGGTCTCGCGAGCATCTCATCGCTGCGTACATCATAATCTGGGTCATAAATTTCATCCAGGGCTTTGGAAGCGGTATTACAGGTAACTTCTTCAACCTGAATCCGCAGAGAAATCATCTAATACATGTCTTTCCAGGCACACTAACCCCTTACGTGACTTCATCGTTCCAGCAGCATAGTCTCACAGCGACTACAGGCATCATCTCAAGTTTGATCAGTGGTCTCTGGAAACTTCCCTATGCTAAGATCCTGGACGTCTGGGGTCGTCCTCAAGGCTTCGCCTTGATGGTTGCATCAACTGTGCTCGGGTTCGTCATGATGGCTGGTTGCAACAACGTCACAACCTACTGTGCCGCGCAAGTCTTCTATCAACTCGGCTACAGTGCTATCGACTTCACTATCACTATATTCGTCGCAGACACCAGCAGTCTACGCAACAGAGCTTGGGTTAGTCTTTCATCCTGATGACAAGACTCGATGATCAAAGCTGACAAGTTGACAGTGGATTGCATACACTGCATCTCCTTGGCTCATCAATACATGGTGTTATGGACCAGCAACTAAGTCCGTCCTTGATACGATCGGCTTTAGGTGGGGCTTCGGCATTTGGGCTATCATCTACCCTATCGTCTGTGCTCCTCTGTTCTGGCTCATGTGGCACAACATGAAGAAAGCTGAGAAGCAAGGCCTAATCCCAAAGCACGAAAGTGGACGCACCTGGAAAGAATCAGTCTACTACTACGCAGTCCAATTCGACGTAATCGGCATTCTCCTCATCGCCACTGGACTCTCGCTGTTCCTACTGTCCTTCAGCTTGTACTCGTATCAAGCAGAACAGTGGAAGTCGCCCATGATCATCTGCTTCTTAGTTTTTGGTATCATTCTCATGTTCACCTTCTCTGTCTGGGAAGCCAAGGTCGCCCCAGTAACATTCATCCCATGGCACTTGATGAAGGACAGAACTGTCATTTTCACCTTTGCCATGGTGGCTGCGATCTATTCTGGTTACAACATCTGGTACGACTATTTCTACAGCATGCTGATTGTTGTCTTCAACACCAGTGTTCGCGATGCAACATACATACTCAACATTTATACTATCGGAGCAACTTTCTGGTGCTTGGTTGTAGGTGTGGTTATTCGCTACAATGGACGTCTCAAGTGGATTGCTCTATACTTCGGTGTGCCGGTCAATCTCCTGGGCGTCGGTCTGTTGATCTACTTCCGCCATCCTGACACCAACATTGGTTTTATTGTCATGTGCCAGATCTTCGTTGCTTTTGGTTTGTACTCACCGTGGTATACTTGCCGAAGAACAAACTAACTTCTCCCAACAGGCGGCGGTACCCTTGTCATCTGCGAACAGATGACTGTCATGGCCGTCAGCAAACAACAGAACATTCCCGCCATCCTCGCCTTCGAGTTCATGATCGCCAACATTGGGTCATCGATCGGTTCTGCTATTGCTGCTGCGATGTGGACCGGTCTCTTTCCCACTAATCTCGCTAAATATCTTCCGGCCTCTGCGCTTCCTGACTTGCAATCTATCTATGGAGATTTGACCGTCCAGAGCTCTTATGCTGTTGGTAGTCCTGAGAGAGATGGCATCAACAAGGCTTATGGCGAGACCCAGAAACTTATGTGTGTTGCAAGTACTTGTTTGTATGCGACGATCATTGTGTGGGTCAGTCTTTGGAAGGAGATTAATGTTAAGGGCATGAAGCAGACTAAGGGGTTGACCATGTAAGTATTCGTTAATCCAGGAGCACCGTGTTGTTGGTGGCTAGATAGAAGTCGATGATGAGAATAGTGATACACGATAGTGCCGCTCTCTGCATCGCGCTTGCCTCTTTTCTGAGTGACTTCTGTCCCACGTAGAACTTACTCCCTTGGCTGCTCAGCAGCGTTGCATCGCTCCTTCCTCTGCTTGTACCGCTCCTAACTTACCTACCTCACAAGCACCAAGGTAGACCAAAGAGGAATCTACACACCCCAGTCTTTGTAAAAGTACAATTCTTGTTGTTATTGCAATCCAGTATACCTATCGTGTACGAACAAAAAAAGGCAGAAATGCTCTGCCAGAGGCTTGGACCCAAGATTCAAGGGCCTCAAAACCAAAGAGTTAGTTTGCCATACGACCTGGGCGAAGGCCGAAAAGCGCTGCCATCACACTGATTTATCTTTTGAGGCAGTTTGCTTCCTCGCTTAGTTTCAAAACATGCTTTGGCATCTTGGAAACAGCCCTCTGTTTAATTGCTTGATTCTTGCTCTCGGGCGAGTACCGTTTAGTATTTTTGAATGTCGCGAACGATTTATTGCGAATGTTCTCTCTTTGCTTGACTATAAAGACAGGTTAGATTTGTTATGATTGATTGCCACGAGTTTTCTTGCTTCGAAGAGTCATGAAGCAAGTTGGACTGGCATTTTCTCTCAAGAAGGTCTCCGATGGGTTTGAATAACCCAGGAGGGAGTCAGCACATAAGACGCATTCTTTGTCCCACTCGTGCGCCTTTCAGGACAGCTCAGGATTGGTAAATATGTGGTCAACCACGAGATCCAATCCTCCATCGCCAGACGCCATATTCAGATCCTCAGTTCCTGTAGTAAAGTGCCTTTCGTGTGATCGATGATCTCGGCTCCCAGAGGTTGGCGAAGCCCAGCATCACAACCAGAGCAAGAACTAGTCCCAGCATGGTCTGCAGCCACGGCGAGTTGGGTGCCAAAGGTGTCGGTCAAACCACTGCCACCGTTGATGAAGATGCGGCGCTTGGGCTTGACTGAGGGATGATTACTTTGCTGTTCGGCCTGCGACAGATATAGCAGCTCTTGCTTCAAGAGTGGTGTGGCCCAGCGAAGTGTAATGTCTGCGATGGCATGTTTAGCCAGCATGCCTCCCGCAAAAGCATGTGGCAGTGCCAAGCGCTCTCTCTTCTGGAAGGAAGAACCTGGAGAAGCTTAGACGACTTGAGCTAAGAGATCTGCTCCCGGCGTGGTTGACATAAGGAAGGCGAAGTGACACAAAAGCGTCTCGGCAGGCCTGTGTTCAACGGGATTTAGTGATGTAGTCAACACTTTGACAAGCATTTGTTTGAGTCCAGGTCGGCTGCATTGACGTTGGATTCGAGAGGCGAATTTTTGGCTAAGCCACCATCATTGCTAGAGAACTGCCAGGCTCTCATCTGCTGAGGCACACTCATGATTCTAGAGGATAATTATAGCAAATGGACGTGGCTTGTCTATTCTGAGAGAAGGACAAATGTTGTGGTGTGAAGCAAAAGTCAGTTTTATATGTCATCTTGTATCCTGCAACAGCAGCTTCTTACTCTAGGCTGTGCTATCATCGTGTTGATGCCTACAGTATGGAGGAATGGTTGGTGGCTGTGTGTGTCGTTTACGAAGCGGAAGCTGTTAGGATGGACCGTGCGCTTCGCTGTGCTGGACCGACATCCTTTTTCTTCTCGACGAAGCTGAACACGCAATTGTTCCAGTACGAAAACGATTCAGGCAACAAATGAATCATTAAGACTGCCATGGATCGATGACATCCATCGTTACCGTTGCCTCGATCGCGCGGGGTACCTCGCAGTCTCACACACATGTATTGTACGGAGGAAGCTGTGTAGGATGCAAGCTAGCCGTTTTGGTAGCTTTCTGCGAGTTTTGTAGAGGCGGCATGAATGTTCTTCCGTCTATTGCTGCCTTCCAGTACCATCACTATAACATACACCTCTAACAATGCAGGACGAATTCATATATCTAGGCTCGAGAATCATGTCTCTTGCTTGCTCTCATTCAATCATCTGAACGCCAAAACCCATTTGTCCCATTTATATCAACTACAAACCCTCCAAAATGTCGACTGCTGGCTGGGGAGAATGCAATCTGCGCGAATGCAGTGTCGAGCAAAGCCTCTTCCAGTACCGACCATATCTCGCCGCGACTAGTGTCTTCATTGCTCTCTTCGGAATCAGCGGCATCGTGCACATGGTCCAAGGAATATGGTACAAGCAACGCACATTTGCGATTCTGATGGTGCTCGGATGTATTTGTGAGATCATCGGTTATGGAGGCCGGATCATCATGTACAATGACCCCTGGGACTTTAATGGTTTCATCATGCAAATAGGTATGATCATTCATGCATTGCCTTCACATCAATTCACTAAATCGTTGCAGTGTGCATCACAATTGCTCCAGTTTTCATGACGGCAGCTATCTACGTTACATTGTATCGCTCGTAAGGCTTATGTTAACTTCCACAACCATGAAGCATACTGACTTATTGTGCCAGTATCCTCCAACTATCACCGTCCTCAGCCAGCTTCAAACCTGCGCTCTATTACCAAATCTTCATCCCATGCGATGTTATCTCCCTTGTCCTCCAAGCTGTAGGAGGCGCAATGTCTTCCGAGTCCAATGGCTCATCCCAAGCTGGTGTCGACATTGGACTAGCCGGTTTGGCGTTTCAGGTCTTCACCCTGCTCGTCTTTATTGCTCTGGCTGTTCAGTACGGATTTCGATACCACAAGGACCGAAAGAGTGGCCGCGTTAAGAGTTCGGGGCTGGACACGAGGTTTAAGATCTTCTTGATTTGCTTGAGCGTGTCTCTTGTGCTCATCTTCATCCGTTGTGCTTATCGTATCTACGAGTTGAGCGATGGATATAGCGGATCAGCCCTTCACGATCAAGGATTGTTCATTGCTCTGGAGAGCTGGTGAGTTCATAGTTCACTTATGCGAAAGCGTGAACACATCTAACCATCATACAGCATGATCACGGCAGCTACGTTGTTGCTAAACATCGGTCACCCTGGTCTGGTCTTTGATCCACGTCGACGATCAAGTATCCCAGTCGACAAAAATTCTCATGTCTACAGTAGCGACGAAACAAATCGAGATATGGAAGGAGCAGCAATGTAGAGCTCAGCGTCATCACGCAGCGGTCTTGTCCGAAGCAAGCTACATGGAGCCTCGTAACGTGTAATCGAGATTTGGATATAAATTTGGGTATGGATATGGGCATGGGTATGATATCGGTATGAGTATGGGTATGAGTATGGGTATGAGTATGGGTATGAGTATGGGTTTGAGTATGGGTTTGGTTATTGGGATAGAGCATGGTTTTTCTGGTGCTTGGGCCTATATCATTGTGATACCGTTTGTAAGCATTGTTGACAAAGGTTTGAACTCGACCAACATGTCCATCTTCTTCGGCAAAACTTCAAGCGGCTGTATCTGATTGCTACGTCTTCATGACATGTTCGCAACCGTCCTTGATGTGTTTGACTCAATACAAGCGACACTAGCAACAGTGGGCTCTAAATTCCACATGAAGACGTCAAACGCTTCTCGGCATGAGAACTGACATTGTGTGCATTCAGCTTTGTCGAAAGTCAAGTTCTGCCTATTGTTGCTTTGGCCATGACTCGTAGCTCTTTGACGACCGGTCAAGCTCCCATTCACTCCCACGCGCAGCATCTGCTGTTGCCGCAACGGCGATGACGAGCCCTGATGTTTCATCATCAACGCCGTATTGACGAAATTGCAGACGTTCTCCCTGTACGCGCTACGCGCAGATACCCAGAGACAGCTCAAACATCTACAGGCAAGACCTTGCTTTTGATCGTACTCTAAATTGTCGTCACGATGGTCGTTTCTACTGTGACTGCGGCTACAGCACCTCAAGACAATACAGAAGTGTCTCACATGCGACTGGAGCTCACAATGCTCCGACACCCCAACTTTGCCCTGCCTGTGGTGTCCGCTGCCCTCGCGGTCTGTATCAATACAACGCTCATCTACAGGAGTATCATCCCGAGCTAGTTTAGAATGCTGCTTTGCAGTATCGTGATGATCGTTTCGTCCGCCATGATGGCTCTTACTACAATTGAGTATAGATACCTCATTGGCCGGTGACTCTTCTATGATTTCTTTTCACAGATCTGACAAACTGACAAACTGGAAAGCGGAACCAGAAACTCAGAAAAAAAAAGAAAAAGGAAAAAAAAAATCAACTCTTTCTCTTATGGGAAATAAAGCGTGAGAGGGATCTCAAAGGGTACAATGGCGTGTGGATGGTAATCAAGCGTTTAGTAACTTCCCCTTTTCTGCACGCACAAATATAAATAAACGAAGATATAATTAACTTACTAAATCAATCTGTACTCATTCCTATGAACTGACCTATGTGTTCCTGTTACTGTATGTGAAGTTCGTGAGACCCATGCACAACGGCCGAATACGGTAGAAATGGTTTGTTGTTCCAGGCTCAGCGTAAGTTCGTGAGACTATGTGTCGCTATGAGAGTTGCAATCAGGAAGTTGTGCCAGTGTTTACTCTGCGAGCAGATGAAGTGTCGTTGGCGCGTAAGTCGAGCGCGTATGAACGGCAACTTGGTGGTCAGCATGCCATGATATACCTACCCATGCTGTCAACTACGCATGCTTATCAGCACCGCCGCGCTATCTCCACGGAAGCCGTCCCAATGACGTTGAAGCTTGAATAACAAAGTCAACTTGCATGCAGAGCACGCGGATTGGGCTCAACAAGCCACAAGATGTGATACAGATAGCCTTTTGCTGAAAGGATGTCGCTATCAACCTTGACACCAGTCTACTTGGCGACTGTTTTCCAAGACGACAGTACAAGATGAGCTCCAATACTATTCTTCAGGATGATGAGAGTCAGCATTTCTCGCCGTATAGAGCGGATGGAAAGCTAGTATGAGTTATACTTGACTTGGCGATAGGGAGTCGATGAATTGACGAAAGACAGTATGGCTTCGTGTGTATCGTGACGGGTGCGACACAAGCAATTGGCAAGGCCATCGTGCACGAATTAGCTGGTATGCGACCCCTCATTACCATTACCGAGCTGGATAACAACTAACACATCCACGATAGCACATGGTGCCGCTTGTATCTATGCCTGCTCCGACCTCCCCTCTGACCCCTACCAAGAGCTCGCCGACGAAGTCAACGCACTCTGGCCCAACACAAAGGTCATCGGCTACCCCTACGGCTTGAAAGAGGAGGATACTTTGACACTGATTGACGATGTCTTGAACGCGTGGGGTCGGTATGTGAACACGCCCGAGCGCTGTAAAGCGTCCTTCTGACTCTCAGCGCAGTCTTGATGTCTACGTGACTTCCTCTGGTCTTCTCGGCCCACCCTCAATTGCCCAGACCGCACCCGCAGATCTGTACAAGACCTTTGAGACCAACAGCATGGCTCCCTTCTTCGCATTGAAGTACGCACCCCCTGCCATGGCAAAGACAACACCCAAAGGCAACTATGCAAATGCTGCACCCAAGGATGTCGCATACGGCAGCATCATTGTCGTTTCCTCAGTCGCCAGCACCTACGGCGGTTGCTGGGGTCCCGCCTTCACAATGTCCTCCCACGCCGCTCTCGGTGTCGTGCACGCCGGTGTTGCAGTTCTCAAAGGCAGCAATGTTCGCATCAATGCCATTAGTCCTGGTCAAATTGATGTAGGCGTCAGTCTGCAGGGTATGGATATGAGAGGACTTAGCAATCAGTTGCCGCCCAGCGATCTCCAGACCGAGGAGGTGAGAAGGAAGATTGTTGGACTCGAGAGAGCGGGAACTGCAAAGGAGGTTGCGAGAGTGGCTGGTTTCCTGGCATCAGGCTTCAGTTCGTATGTTACTGGTGCCAATATGGTCGTAGATGGTGGTGCGTCAGTGATGAACCCGCTCACTGTACCTATCTAGAGATGGATTGGACAAGTATCAAGATGAAGCATGTTTGACGCCAGGCAATGGAAGATTGAATAATTTGCAAAGACACGTTTCGGTATTGCCAACGACATCGTGCTCCCATGCCACATACTTCTTTCGCAGGTCGCGCGAATAGCAAACGTGGTGGGAATTGTAACTTACTGCCGATACATGTCTCCAGGCCCCAGCTTGGTATTAGGTAAGAAGAAGGCTTTTGATGCTTTGAATGTTGGTCTTTACTGCGGTCTGCTTCAATCTAGTTTACACCCTCCAGACAAGTCTCACAACCGTTCTTGCTACTCAATCGCTATCATTTTATCTCTTCCCTTTTCGCCATGACCGAACAAGACGAATCCTCTGAAGAAGTCACGACAAACAAGCAAGAAGACACTGCGGAATATGTCGCCTCCTTGAAGCATGTCCGGAAAGCACTATCCCATGGCGATACTATGTCATGTTTCGACAAGGACACACTCCCGAGGCGCATGCGAGAGCCATCGGCGAGAGGGGAATTGCTCTAGAGGCGCCTCACCCTATTGGACCATGGAATGGCACTATGACAGACGAGTATAGGGAGCGAGTGAGAAGAGATCCTGGCGTGGAAAGAATCATACAGTACAGTGGGGAGGGCGAGTGGTGTTGATGTCGCGCGATGTTTATCGACCACTTGAAGTCTTCATGTAGTTGTTACATACACCAGTACTTGGCGATGCAGCATTCTGCTTACCGTGTTCTGATACATTTACTTGATAGTCTAGGTTTTATAAAGTTGAAAGAGATGTGGTCGCGCAACGATAGCAACAGTGCAACACCGCCAAGACAAAGGCGTACAAAAGCGGAGTTCACCGACGCCTGCTTTTGGCCCTGTCTGGCTTTGACCAAATCGATTCCGAGTCTCCTTCTCTTCCTCCCTTCTTCCCTTCCCTTTTTCGAGATGTCAGCTCCATCTGTCCCTAGCAAGCCTCAACATTCGCGCCATGATACTGCGCTGATCCACGGTCTGTCGACCTCGGAGGTTCAGGCCTTGTCCGAGGCTTGTATTGAAGCCAAGGAGAGAGCTTACTGTAAGTTGAGAATAACAATCTCCTTGGATGTCCTAAAAATACTATAAATCAAGAAGATTGTGATCAGACGTCTCACCTGTCAATCTATATTCGTACATCTTGATTTTGGAAGGATTATTTCTGATTAATGAAACCAACACCCGATACTGACTCCTTGCCTTGCAGGCCCATACTCCAAATTCAGAGTCGGAGCCTCTCTGCTCCTGAAATCAGGCCAAATTGTCCGCGGTGCAAATGTCGAAAACGCAGCTTATCCTGTTGGCACTTGCGCCGAACGCACTGCCCTTGGCACAGCAGTCGTGGAAGGTGCACGACGAGGAGATATCCGTGCTTTGGCTGTTGCTACAGATATCTCACCGCCAGCCAGCCCTTGCGGCATGTGCAGACAGTACATCAGAGAGTTCTGCGAGGTATGTTCGGGAGCGGAGAGTGTTAGTTGTAGAAAGGAGAAACTTTGCTGACGATGAATTAGCCTTCGATGCCAATCTTGATGTATGACAAGGATGGCAAGTCGACGGTGCTCACATTGGAGCAGCTGTTGCCCATGAGCTTCGGACCTGAGAGTTTGCCTATGCACTGAACAGGTTGAAGAACCTGTATCGTGGAGTTCAGCAACGTACCGATGATTCATAGAAGAATCACGATAATTGGGATGGCTTTTTTCTCATTGGCTCCGGCTGCATCAGATTGGGGGAAATTAGCATCATATGCAGACTTGAATCTTGGAACAATAATCTTGTCTTTGAATTTTGTACATTTTGGCTCGCAGTGGAGTGAGAGGGGTATCAACGATTCTATATAACGACTGGCGTCTAGTGGATCAGAACGACAGGCTTGCCAGGTTCAAAAGCATCAACACTCTCCCTAATGTTGATCCAATATCTCAACTTGACAGCCTCTTCCTTGGCGGCCTGCATATCATCCTTCTGGAATGCTTCTTCTAGCACACCGACGCTAGCAGCAATTCTCCTCTCATTCAACTCCTTCAACGGCTGAAGCTCCTCTTCGGTTGCAGCCTCCTCAATAATCTCCCTCGTTTCCAAGACCTCCATCAACAGCTCGGGATCCTCGACCTTTGCTGTTTCGTCGCCAGCGACGTCAATTCCTCTCATCTGAAGTAGGTACTGTGCCCGTAACAAAGGGTTCTGAAGTGTCTTGTATGCCTCATTGATGCGCGAACTTAGAGCTTCAGCTTGACGTTTCTTTTCTTGAGGTGCCAGGTCTGGGTGGGCTTTGGCTTGTAGTTGGAGGAATTCCTTGCGTAGGAGGCCGAGATCGAGGGCGAAAGGACCTTTCGGCGGAAGCGCATCGGGTCCTAGCGAGGGAAAGAGATCATAATGAGTTTGAGGTAAAATAGTCTCGCGTGAGGTGACATTAGGACCTTCGCGGCGTGGCGTGGTCGTTGAGATTGTACGGGCGGTGGTGGATGTGAGTATGCGCTGAGACAACGGTGTTGAGGCGCGAAGAGGTGTGCGTAGGGCGGATGCCGCGCTGTTGCGACTGAGGACTGATAGTGTTGAGCGCATCGTGTATACTGTGTCTTGCGGCAGGAGCGACTTAGGTATGTTAACGAGGAAAGAGCATTCATGTATGTTTGCGCCTCCAAAAAATCGCAGTTGACATCAGGCCTTCCCTTTCCGGTTAGCGTCACTGCCGCGGCTCGGACATGCTAAACTCCATTTTTGTTTCTCTTTCACGTGCCTTCCTTCTTCAACATCACTTCTTTTGCAATCAACACCATCAATCGTCAACGCCGAATTTTGAAAAGGGCGACTTTGCCCTCGACGTCGAATCATTTGGAGTATGGACGTTGGATCTGTCGCGTTGCAATTTGATAGTGTTGATGGAGCTGCTCACGCATGCTTCAGCACCAAGCTCTCGAAAGGATGACGAGAAGTTCAAGCGCCAGGCGAAGGCTTATTTGTCCTTTGACTCTGCGAACATAAGCTCTATCCACCGGAACTCGGATACATCACGAACAGAGGCTCCTGTTGCATCAAGTCCTCTAGCTGCGCCAGTGCAGTATGATGGATCTCCTGTGTTCATGGAAAACACTCAGGATGCTTGGACCGCCTTGGATTCTCAGCTCTTTGCACCTTCACAGCCTTCAGGTGGGCAAAGCATCGATGGAAGTGAGTCGGATGAAAATGATGACGAAAGTCTTCTTCCGCTGCCTATCACTTCATCACTACCGCCTCGTCTGACACACAATGCATTGCCACCGGATGAGTCTGCCCTCTTGGATGCTTCACTGATGCCAGCTCCACAACTGGGATCGCTCTCGTCTCGCGCAGATCCTAGATCTGATAGACAAGTGCAATACGCCCCGCCACCGTCGAGACTACCGCAGCTCGACGAACATGGCACACCGAGCTATCTTGATGACCTCTCTACCATTTATCCAGCAGAGACACCTCTCAGGCGGGTGTCGTTGCTCCGAGCCTCGAATCAGCCTCGGCCACAGGACGACTTCTCATCTCCGAGTGACGATGTTCCATCGCAACTTCCGAGTACCTATTCAATCAGCGACCTAAACTCAGATCCCATTCACAGTGATCAGAACGATGCACCAACTAGTTCTGCTTGGGGGAGTCTCCCCCGAGGTAGTGCCCCTCAGCCTTGGAACGGCATTATCGAGGAAGAATCACCTCTGAAAGGACTGAGGTCCTCAGGCAGACGGCAAATTCAAAAGTCGTCGCCTTTGAAGCAGACGCAGTCACTGGACTCCCCGAGAGCAAACAAGTCTGCTCAGATCCGGCCAGCTCATTCTTCGGCTGCATCAGAACCGAACGAAATCTCTTCTGCTTCTCTGGATCGTGCTGTGAACCCAAGGCAACAGCAGCACCGGGCAGAAACAATGCAGCAGGCACTCAATTCCTCCTTCGAGCTGCGCAACTCGTCGGCGTCCCAAGCTCGAGGACGTCAACCTGACAATCAGGAAGACGAACCTTTGCCAAGTATAGCTAGACAGGAAGACACGCATGCTGCGCGGTCGTCTTTCGAACCCGACTTCTCTTCTGCACCACAAGCACAAGTGACGCAGTCAAGTGGTTTTTACGACTCAGCTGTCCCCAGAACCTCAAGACGGCAGTCTCTAAACCAAGTTTTACCGACTTCTCTTGACACTAGATTCTCCTCGAGCCCTGAAGCTCATGGGACACAGTCCACTAATACAAGTGATACAGTCATTCCTGCTGCGCTAAGACAGCACACTCTCGATCAGCTCCCGCCTACCTCTTTTGAATCTCGCTTTTCGTCCAGCCCAGAAGCTCATGGCACGCCTTTTGTCGAAAGGGAAAGTCCTAAAGAAAAGCCTGCTGAAGCATCGTCATCGCCGAGCTCTAAGATAAACTTGTTCCAACCACGAGAAGCTTTCCTGACGACAGATGTGCCAACCTCATCATCAGCAGACAAGATTGTCTCGGAACCCGCAGACCTGCTCGAGGATGCCGCGACTCCCTCTAAGTCGAGTCCATGGCGGCCTGTGTCTTCAGCTTCTGAAGGAAGTCATATAGGTCCAGATGCGGCAATGGAGACCAAGAGACGCAAGCTCAACCCGCTGTCAACTCCGAAAGCAAAACCAACTTCTCAAGAAAGAGAAGTCTTCAAGTCGTTGCCTACGCAGATTCACCCACAACCTCCACCTACTGGCTCTGGCACTTTCGTCTCGCACATCACACCCCAACTACAAAGTCAGTTCTGGAATAGCGCAGAGTTGCAAGGAAAGTACAAACCTCTGCTCCACCGAGATCTTGAACAAAGTGAAAGAGGGTATTGGCAAATCGACACTCGGGCCTGGAGTCCGAAGATCCAGATCAAGTTTTGGATCTTTTTGCAGTCAAATATTGGAAGTGGGGTCGGTGGCTGGGGTGTTTGGTGCCTACGTGGGAACGACACAGAAGCAAATGAAGATGAAGTTGCAGACATGGAACTGGGTACAGTCAAGGTGTTCTGCTGGGGGGAGGTTGTTGGACACGTCTGGTTGCTGTGCTATGTTGCTAGCCAAGCTCGACTGAAGCGTGTTGAAAGTCATTGGATTGACGCAGATGGAAAGGTTGTGGTTAGGATATAAGAAAGTTGATATTAGAATAATCTTTCTTGTCCGTTCTGACGACTTCCTAGACAGGGTACGTTACCTGTGCTAAGGCCTTTATAGCACAGCCCTTGCGACTCACCATGGCTTTCTGCTCAAAAACGATATAGCCACCGCAACAGAGGGGTATCAAGCTCTTTTGGCGGGCGTGCTGCTTGATGAATCTGCCAATCCACTTTTCTGATCAGCTGGAACCGCAGGCTTGTAGATTCTGGACTCTTCCGCGACGGTATTCACAGTCGGAACAGCCCACAACTGAGCTTCATCAGTGATATCGCGGCCATCGACACCAACAAGGGCATCCATGGTAGCCTGACCAAATGGCTCTGCGAATTCCTTGATCTCCTCGGGTGATAAGCGACGAACGTCTGGTACAGCAGTTCGATCAGCGTTCAGTGAGCGTAGCACTCCATCGCGTCCGATGTTGTCGACTCCGTCAGGATCGCGGCGCATGTGTCGCCATCCCCCGGAGGTGGTGTGGTTGGTGTCTGGATTGGAGTAGTTTCAACTATTGGCTGGGTTGGTATCGGTCGGGGCTGACATACCAGCAGCGATCTGAGATAGAAGCGTGATGGTGGTTGATAGCGTAGACGGATAGTTAGGCAGAGAAAGCGAGGCCTGTTCTGCAAAGACTAGCATTGACAAAGGTTTCGGATAAGCGTTGTCCAGACCGATTTTTTATATTCACGATTCTAGGCACCGATGTCCTCGTCAAGTATTCTTTTGTGTTTTTGGCCATCGTCCAGACCTCGGGTTGATGTTTTGCCACGTCGAAGTCATTTAGCCGGATCCTTCGTGATGTTAGGCAACCATAACAGGCAGCAGCGTTAGGCATAAGAGCCGCCTCATGCACCTTCCCTTTGGAAGATGTGAATGAATCATCAGGAAGTGCTTCTTGTGTGTCTATGTTTGCTTTCGAATGATGACTTGCAGACTGTTTCTCTTAAAAGAGGCGATGTTCGCGGTTCTGGTATGCTTGATACATACAGCGAAGTGACGCGCGTGGTGGCGGAAATGTCAATATATCGTCGACAATGATGGCCGATGTCTCTGATCGTAGGGCGGCAAGAAAACGCTTCAGGGGCTCCAGTCTGGATGATGTTGTTGTCATTGGAGTGGTGGCAGGCGCAAACCGAATGGCTAACCTACGACGCCGCCGATCGTGCCTTCTACGAGACGGATGGCGCATGGCGTCTAAGACGGAAGGCACACTCGACAATAACGAACATGCTACCAGAGGAGGATTGTGAATTTCACAATCCCTCTCGATAACACTTCCACAACTTGACATCTTGGGCTTTGTATCGACTGGTTCTATGGTTGCTTTCATTGATTCTGTCTTGGCTGTCATTGTCGTCGTTTCTTTGTCTTCATAGAATCCTTCATCTTGTCGTGCAGATTTTGAACTGGGCATGTGCTTGTGATCGGGTTTTCCAGTAATAAAGGCGCCATACGTCATGTACAGTAGAGCAAGCCATTCCTGGACCCATTTCTGTTGTTCTTCAATTAGTGGTTTTCTTTTGAACAAGGTCTATCGAATTTAGAGCTGCTCATCGGCAGCCAGTCTGGAAGGGCTCTGCGATTCTGATCTAGGAGACTTCCTTTTCCTCTTTCGAATCGTGATACGATGACAGAATCTGTAACTCAGAGACAGCTCTTAGTGCATGGCGGATAGCATGCATATGCCAGTTTCCTGAGCTCTACACTGTAGTAACATAGCTGTAGAATCACCAGATACTTTTGTAAAGGACCAAAGTTTTTATTGAACTTCCACCGCTGTCTCTTCAACGAACCATGTGAATCGAGCATAACTGTGTAATTTAGTAGCTTGATCACAAACCCTATACCTCTAATCAGGGAAGGAATTAGTTTCCAACTGGTAGAGCGGAGTGTTCATAATATCATTTGAGTTGGAGGAAGAGCTCTGCAAATTTCTGCGGTAGATGACTTAAACGGGAATGATAATATGTACTCGCGGCTCTAGACAAGCTAGCACTAGTCTATCTAGACGTTTAATCATTAAAGGAGAAGCTGCGATCGCGTATTACAGTGGGCGTCTTGCAGTCATATAGACCACTTGGACGAACCAGCACGTCCGAGGTCCTTTGACTGGTTGATGAATATATCAAGATGACGAAAAGTCGACATCGTCGTTGGGTCTTGACCATTCGATCATCGCTTGGAATGTTGTGTATTTCGCTTGTCTTCATCAGGCGTGCTATGTTGCTTCCGCCAAATGCAGTTGTGATTCTGGCTCTCCAGGAGAAGGTACTCACGTTGTTTACGTGATCTCTCTAGGCAAAGCTCTGCGCTCGTGAGGATGTCAATCATCTCTCCAGAAGCAACGACAATTTTGAAATCGATACCAGGCGCTGTAGCTTTCTCTTCCGGCGTCGCGACGTCCAGAAGATCCCGTAAAGAGAGTACCGCTATCGCACGGTCCGGATTGCATTCTCCAAGGTGTTGATCTTTGGTTTCTTGTTTGACATGCATATTCTCCAAATAGTCTTCAATCTCGACAAGCGAGCGCCACACGCTAGCTCTCGCATTGTGAGCAGGAGAAGGGGAAAATGGCGAGTCATATTGTAGATAGTCCGGAGTCAAGCCCAAGACACAACGGATATAGTGCGACGAGCCCATGATGTAGTCCCATGCCAGACGCTCTAGCGCCCCACGATCCTGGTTGTACGCGACCTCGAAGACGACCTGCGGACAGACTCGGTCTGGATAGCCGATGGTGACATCAGGTGACTTATGGCCGACTTTGCCGTCGTCGCTGAGTAGCTGTATATCAGATGTTGACATGGATCTGAGCTGGAGGAGGCGCCGACAGATGGTTGGATGATCGTGTTCAAGGTTACGGGCCTGAGCAGTGATCTTGGTTAAGATCAGCTCGATGAACCTTTGTATAAAGATGACATGCCGATTTGTAGGCATGCGAATAATCAACTGTTCGAGCGATGGATCGTAGTCGTTCCTAAAAGCTCATCAACCCGACGTGCCCTGACGGTTGTGTGCTTCTCGTGTGTGACTCACCGAACTTTGTCGTGGTAGAAGCCGTAGAGATCAGCCTCTTCGAGACAGGCGTACAGTCGTGCATACTCAGGTTCGAGAATTGGGAAGGTCTGTAGTGGCGCAATCCGAGCATCTGAATCACCACGCTCCAGTGCAGCAACGTGTGACACGATGCGCGATAGCGATGGAGTTGGCGACTTTTGAAAATATCTGTGCGAGTTGGGCTTGGTTGGTTTCCGATATAATGGCGAGCAGAGTTGACTATGGATGGAGAGCTACCCCAATCCCGAGAAAGGAGTCATTCCCCCGCCAAAATTTTGGCGGGGGAATTCCTTCACTAAGCACAGAATTATATTTTGTCTAGCCATGTAAAGGCAACTTGAAAGGCATGTCCATCCATAGTAAGCACAGGAATTACTCCTTGAATCTATGCGAATCTCCATATCCAGATTGCTAGTCATAGCTTCCTCTAGTATTGTCCTGGGCATTATTACTCCCGAGCAACATAGTTTCTTAATAGAAATTTGTAAAGTCATGATAAGTTGAATTTGGCGCTACTCGGAAGGGATATGATACAGACTAACACTCACAATTCAATAAGGTAGGAGTTCAAACATAAGGCTTTCAACATTACAGTTACCGATACTATAGTCTAACATCAAACGCATCATCTGTCTCTTCAATCAGACCTCGACACGTTCTCCAATTACTGAGTTTGGTTGAACTGCTGCAAGATAACATCGGCCGCCTTCTCGGCAATCATGTATGTAGAGACAGCAGTGAAGGTACCGGGGATCTTGGGGAAAACGGAAGCATCAACGACACGCAGACCAGCAGTGCCGCGGACCCTGAAGCTTGAGTCAAGAACAGCCATTTCGTCATCATCAGCGCCAATGGGGCACGACGATGAGGCGTGATGACCCCATGCAGTGTTCTTTGCGTACTCAGAGATGCCTTCTCTGGTGGTGACATCCTTACCAGGAAGGACCTCATCAATCTTGACAAGCTGGCGCTTGAAGGAGTCACGAGCGAGGTGGACGGCCTCGTTGAGGGCAGTGAGATCCTTCTCGTAGTCACCGACACCAGTGTCAAAGTAGTTGTAGACGATCTCAGGGGTATCGAGAGGGTCTGCAGAGCGGAGCTTGATGGTTCCTGCATTGTTACGAGGATGGGCCTTGAGGATAGCCCAGGTGAACCAGTCGTGCTCGGCGGTAGCGTTGACACTGTAACCGGGGAAGTAACCACGGAAGTTGACGGGGCCACCGAAAACGAAGACGTCAAATTCGTTGTGCTCGGCGACGCTGGACTTGTAGAACATGGCGGCGCCGAGACCGGGGGAAGAATAGATACCACGGTTTCCGAGAACAGGCTTGTTGTAACGATCCAGACACTTATCCTGGGCACTGGCGTCGAAAGTACAGCCATTGAGTGCGGAGAAGTTAGAGGGAGCTTTGCCCTGAACGTTGATCTCATAGTGGTCTTGGAGGTTAGTGCCAACACCGGGAAGGTCGACGATGACGGGAATGTCAAACTGCTTAAGCTCGTCGGCCGGTCCTACACCTGAGAGCTTCAGGAGCTGGGGAGAGTTGTAGGTTCCACCGGAGATGATGACCTCGCGAGAAGCAGTTGCAGATCCAGCGATACCAGTGTTGCCGGAATTCTTAGGACTTGCCTTATAAAGGTAAGCACCGTCAAGGAACTCAACACCAGTAGCGCGAGGAGGTGTAGACTGGTTGAAGGTAATCTTGGTAACGTGGCAGTTGGTTCTGACATCTGGGCTGCATGTTAGATTGGACATTCTCTAGGGAAGTATCATGAGGGAAATTTACCAAGAGGGTATGCCTTCGAGCCATCGGCGTTCTTAGCATCACGGACAGCGACAACAAATTCTCTGGAGCCACCGCGCTTGCCATCAGCGGTCGACAATGGAATCTGGAAGATGGAGGGCTGGCTATCACGGTTGGCAGAGGCCGAGTTGGCATCGCCAGCGACAAGGGATGCGAGGTTAAGAATAGTATTGGTCTGGTTACCGAGTGCAAAGGTAGCGCCGGTCACAAGACTGAGAAGCTTAGGGTCAGTAAGGACAATATCGATGGGGGCGTAAGAGGTTCCGAGCCAGCCCTCGTAGCCGTGTCCCTTCTGGCCGGGGAGCAAGTAGTGGTTATTTTCGAGCTTGACAAAATACTTGCGCATGTTATCGGCAGACCATGATGCATCGCCGGTGATGGCAGCAATGTTGTCAAAGTCTATGAGATGTGTCAGTGAGAACCCCACACTTAGCTGAACAAGCTACGCACCCGAACGATGAGGGTAGACAGCAATCAAGGCATTGTGTGCTGTGCAGCCTCCGAGAGTGCCGGTACGAGGATACAGAGTACCCTTCATCTCGGACCCTGCGGGAGGGTCGAGACCAGTGTAGAGACCGCCATCAGGGGTCTGGTAAGAGGTCTTGAAATCCAAAGCTTGACGCTCCTCATCAGCGTAGTGCTTGACAAAGAAATTCCACGCCAGATTGGGGTCCTCTGAGACCTTAGCATTGTAGGAAGGAACAGTGTAGTTGACATTGGCGCCCTGATCGTCTCCAGCTTCGATGAGCAATGTCTTGTGGCCAGCAAGGGCAAGACGAGCGGCAAGGGGACTGTGAGATGATTAGATATGACACAAGTCAGTCCATGTGGTTCACGAACCCTCCACCAGCACCAGATCCGACAACGACATATTCGTAGCCAGTAAGATCAACAGCAGTAGCAAATGAAGCCAAAGCTGCAAGCGAGCCGATTACCTGCTGGAAACGCATTGTTATAAGAGAATGCTGGTTTGCAAGATTAGTATTCAGGCGAGGGAATAGCGTGAAGAATCGCTTACTGGGAGTTGTGATGAACGACTGGACAAAGGCTATCCGTGGGCCCGCTTGAAAAAGACATTGTAGACTTGCAGGACGACGCTCCTTATACTTACTCAAGCTGCCCCTTTGACGGCTCAGGCCTGATATGAATGTCTCTGATTCACAAAAATGCTGAGCGGTCGAGGACTACTAGTTGCAGATCAGTTCGCATAATGAATCAGGTGGTGCGGCGTGGTCCTCTCTTTGGCCACGCGATGCTCGTTCTGATTTATTAACCATGGCCGAGGCCCTAGTAAGTTAGGCGGTCTATCGCCAAAGCTTCAAACACCTTCCTACCACAGCAAGTGGCCGAGGTCGCAATTGTAGGTGGTGGGATCAATTCTCAATCTGATCACAGCCAAGACGCACGAACCCAACCCCAGAATCTTCTTCAGGCCCCAAGCCATCGTGCTCGAGTTCTGAGATGTCAAGAATCCGTGATGCGCTGAAGCCCGGGCCACGAGCTCTGTGAGTGTCAAAAGCTTTAGCGAGGGGACTGACTTGTTTGCCCACAATCACCAAGCTTTCCTGTCGGGATGGCTCAATGCGGAAGACTGACAAGAGCATGCTTGGATGTCTAATTTCCGCTTCGCTTCGACAGCAGACTCTTATTGAACATTTAATATATTAAACGTATATTGTAAGGGTGTTGATCGCGGTGCTTCCCTCCACCGCTTCATGTCTCCACTCTCGCCAAGCCGACGGTTCCTGAAAGCTACGGAGTCCAGACCGTTCCCAACAGATCATGACTCGAGAGAATTGCGACGACGCCGGCAAGCTCCTGTCTGTCAATCCCCTCGTCCGTGCGGCATTTTGCTTCCACAAGTTGTGCAAGCAGTCCCGGCTCGGAAGCGAACACAACCCGAGAATTCGCGAACAGAGCTTTCAAAAGACGTTCTCTATCAATATCATTATCTTCACTACATTTAGTCGGCTTGAAACAAGCCTTCTTCCTTCGACAATAGTGAACCCGTTCCCTGATCGAGACAGAGTATCAATCACTCAATGTTAATCCGATCGAGGTTTTGAATCGCTCAGCATGCACTCCGTCGCCAAAATCGCACTCGATCACCCAAGGCCCGATTGCATGCCTTACAGCTTCCGCCCCGTATACAAATTTTGGAGAATCACAATGTCTGCAGACATAATGCCCATCATTTGCCCTTTCATTTCGCAGATGTGCCTTCCAGAACTTGTGATCTAGTATGGACAGCTTTGAAAGGACCACCTTTACATTTTCTAAATCTCCATCAGCGGTTTGTGGAAAGTAGAGGTGGCGGTTAAAGCAGTCGTTTGTGATTGTTGCATCTAACATCTCGCAAGATGAGCTTGCAGCGGAAGTCACAGAGAGTGTCCAAGCGGGCAACGTCGATGCGAACCTGGTTATTGTCCAACAAGCACTGGTTGCTGATCACTGATAACGTTGATCGAGACTGGAAGGCGCGAGAAAGGATCCTCTAGCATGCGATCTGAATGATTACTTGCCGCAAACGGATTGTGGGTCTATCTTTGTCACCAGCTGGCTGGCAGGAATGACGGCCTTTTCTAAATTCCACCTCGATCGGCTGGATGACGCACAGGCAAAAAGCGCACTCGATCCTCAAGGCATAGTCGTTGCCCGCCAGGAGAAATAAGCTTTACGAAGAAGACTCAACTTGTCGAAGTGGGAGAAAGGCGGACGTGTCACCAATGCTACCTAGAACAGGGTTACCCCCCTCCCTTGCTCAGACCTCAAAGACGAGACTTAGATTCAATCCTGGTAGATGGTTTCATTGTGGGGATGATCAATACTTGGATATCTGTGGATTGAACAAACAGCGAAAGGCTTCTAGCCTGCATGTTCCGATCATCGTGATATTGGCGGCTCGCTTATATGCGAGCAGATCATGAATACCCACGCGATAGATGCTGTATCACGTCACGATTTCACGAGGCAATCATGTATCCAGTCGCTATGATTGTCTACAAGATCATAAGATGGGGAATTTCTAACCACAATCAGTATCACGAGATCCTTCGATTTGAACCACTTCAATCCCTTGGGTCTCCTTCCCCTGCTGCATCTTTGAGATCCACGCGCGTAGAATTGTATGCGACCAGGGTATGTCTCCAGACCGCGGATAATCCTGTTGCCTTTTCGTTTCATTCTCTTTCAGGTAGCGAAGTTGCGCAGGAGCGTTGAACGAGAAAAGTATATAATCTGGGAGGACGAAAAGGACCACAAAATGTTGTAGCCACTTCGAAGTTCATGTTGCCGTAAGGTCTGTTTGTGCAGGGTGCAGAACCCAGCGCGGCCGCGCTGCTATGTGAGCATCGGTCATCGCAAACCTTCTCAAAGGAGCAGAGTGTTTTGTCACTGTTGACCAAATTGAGGAAGTGTATATGAGCAGCATCGAGATTGGAACACTCCGAGGTCTTTTGCATGCGTATCAGTGCCTGGAATGCGCACGCGACACTCCACGTTTGATGACTCTTACCCCTACAATCTGGTTTTTCTCCAATTTTTCACATGAACAAGACACAGAAGGTACCTGGCTATTTCCAGAGCCCTCGTGGGGTCTCGGGCAAGAATAAGGAACATGGCGCACTTCTCGTCGTGTTTGATCAGATTTATTCGGCGTCGATCATACGAACTTTTTCTTCGATGAGCTGGTCGTGTACATCCACAAGATTGTGTTCACAAGCTCGCATTAAGTCTTTGTGGTTAATCGAAAAAGTCCTCGTCTAGATCCTGCTATAGAGGGGTTTCTTCTTGCATACACAAGCAAATCTGTTGGATGTTGGCAGGAATACATTAAATCAACCGTGAGCAAGCCCTGTTGTGTAACAGTCAACAGAACTGAAGGCAGAAAATCCAAGTTATGCACCGCGAGTGATATATTCTCATGAGTAGAGCGCCTAGGCTAGAACCATGATAAATAGGAGAGCTAAAGTACTATTTGCATTTCTGTCGCCGGCTGACGATGACTTTTCTTCGCAAGCATACATGCGGACTCGACACAAAGGCGAGAGGAGTAATTGGTAACGCCAATTGCGCCACATGGAAGGTTCTTCTTGATCGGGACATGGTTGAGAAGTGCGCCTTCCAACAACTTTGCAAACCGTTTTGTATGTTGCAAATATTCTACCCTTGATTAGTCATACTCCAGAGTGCCGATCATATAGATCTTCCAGTAGATTTGATGACTCTATCTTTGAGATACTTGTACATCTCGAGATTCGATGTCTTTTATCTTGTATTATCGAAGTTTTGCGATCACCAAAAGGAAACCTCAATCAATCATTGACCAAATTATTAGAACTCATATTGTCCTTGATCCGTATCTGGCATGTAAAAACTTTGCTTCGATTTTACAATGCTAACAAGGTCTTTGACAATTGATCGTAAGATAGACTTGCATCTTTCAAATCATCATCCAAGATCATCATCCTCGCTGCTTGCCTTCTCCTTCCTCAGAATCAACAGCAAGACTCTCCCACTTCTTGATCAAATCCTCCATTGTAACACTCTCCCCAACCTTCGCATCTTTAGCAATAGCAATATTAGGCCAACACGAACTCAACATTTCCGTATCGGTTTTCGTCCACGCTGTATCCGCAACAGCTTCCAAAATAGTCTCTATAGCTCGCGGCAACTGTATGCCTGTGTTTTTGGCAGTGAGATGTAGCATTCGAGCCATACCTCTTGCCCAGAGTAATTGCATACCGGCGCCGAGGAGACAGCGGAAGGCTTCTTTGAAGGCAGCTGCAGAGGCAGGGTTATCAAGGTCGCGGAGGAGGGTAAAGCAGACGACGCCATTTGCTTGAACAAAATAAGGCGGTGCGATTTTTAAGCCATAATGGTGGCGGAAACTGGCTAGTCTGATGGCGTGTTCTTGGGCGGTGGCAAGCGCGCGATAGCTCATGTTTTGCGCGAAGGAAGCTTTGGTATTGTTTTCTGTTATTGCGGGTGTCTCGTAAGGTGGGGTCAGATCTGCATGATATCTGAAACCTTGCTTTGGACGCGATTGTGAAGTCTCTTCTGATGGGGCGAGTCGAGCATTCCCTAGTGGCTGGAAAAGTGAATATAGAGCGATGATCACACTTGCATAGCAAGAACTTTAAGCTCGTGTTAGTCGATGTCCTATGGGTAATGTCATGCCGAACTTACTAGAGGTCATACACCGGAGCCGGCATTCTGCCATGGAATTGTAGGCTGTCTGGTAACTCCTTCTTCCAGTGGTTCATTTCGTCAGTCAAAGCCTCGACGTGGCCAAAGAACTGCGGATCGCTGCGATCTGAAGCATATAAGATGCGTTGTGCTTTCCATGTCAGCTGAATCAGTCGGCAATGAGCGATATATAACGAGTCCTTGTCGAGATAGTCATTCTTGTCATGATAAGGATAACCCGACCATGTATTTGATGACTTTGCAAGCGCGAGCTCTTCATGGGTAGGCAAATCTTCTTTGCAAGCTGTATGCCAAGCTGGTTGTAAAATTGTGTTGGCAGTCGCCCTGGATGTGGTAGTCAGCAAGGCAACGACAAGCCAACAAGACATCAAGAAAAATGTTATTCTTACACATCGCATGCAAAAGCAGCCCAAGCGACCGTTTTTCTGGCCCTTTGATAGGCTTTGAGTTCGTCAGGCGTATGTGAGGATTGTGATGAAGTTTGCTGGAGCGTGTCTGGCACACTCCGACCCATTTGGGTCAATAGAGCACATGTGCTTACACCTAATTTGTCCTTGCCTCTTAAAATACAGCTAGATTCGCATTAGGGATGTTGCAAGTCCGAGCAATAAAATTTCACTTACCCAGGATATAATATAGCGAGTGCTTGGAGGTTCGTAAGAGATGCTCTTCCCTCCTCGAGTTGCCAGAGCCGAAACGCTTCATCGTGGAAGTGTTGTCCTCGCGTTATGTAATCATCAGGTTGGAAAAAAGCGCCTTCGTGTTCCGACCACAGCTATATCCTCGTCAGTCTTGAGTTGTGATAGATACCACACCAAACATACGCAAGCGAGGGCCAGAATGCTGTTGACAAGGAAAGGTGAGCAATATTCCGAGCGGAGATCTCCAGATTGCATAGCTTTCACGAACAGATCCTCTTCCACGACTCGAAAGAATGGGTTGTTATACTCGAGCCACAAGGAAATCAGGTGAGACACCAGGTTGTCATCCTCCGTCAGTACAGTCCAAGGCTTTGCAGGCACCTTGATAGGTGGCTCTAGCGGTATCTTGCTATTTTCTTGCTCGTCCTCTGACGAGTTGAAGGTCTCAGTCTGAAGTGATGGCCGTTCTTGATCACTGAGGAGGTCAGATATGGCTATTCGACGCTGCGGTGGCGAAGGTTGCGGGTAGCCAAGAAGATTACGAAATCCCTTGATGTCCGTCTGCTTTCCCCTAAGCTGTCGCAGAAGCGCCGTGGTAGGTATCTGCGTAACGGATTTCGTTGCGACAGTGAAGCCAACGAAATCAATCATCTCATCGAAGGAAGCGGTCGTCTGCATCAGACTGCTAAGTAGAACATGCCGCGCATGCCTCTCTGAATTGATCCTACTCTGAGCAAGTATATCTCCATGCTGCAATTGTTGGAGAATAAATGGCGGAGACTGCCCTGCTCTAATCCGATTGTGAATCTCAAGACTTTTCTGGGTGTTGGCTGTCGCAAGAATATCGAAAAGAGCTTTTAGTTCGTCATGATCTTGTTGCATCTGAGCATGCTTCCTTTTGATAACTTGACCTGACGTTTCTGGTTTCGTGATGTCGTATATACATTCCTGATCGTTATCCACGCACAGTGGACATGGTTGTTCTCCTGTACACTGTTGACAGATCACGTTAGTTTGGATGAACTTACACTAAGACGATGTGCTTACTTTTCGTCTTCGTTTTCTACAGTATTCACACGCCGAACCGGCAAGTTTTCTGACTTTGGCGGGGTGCCATCTAGCTGCAGTCGGAGATGGCGCCGCTGGAGATTCGACCTTGGCATGATCTGTAGCGGCGCATGCTGGCAAGATATTGCGACTCATGGTCTAGTTGATGACGAGCTAGGAAATACATGCAGTGAGGTGCTCAGGGTCCCTGGATCTCTGGTCGTCATCAGTTTCGGAGAAAAGGACGGTCCGCAGCGAGAGTCGGATGTCGCATCAACAATCAGGAATTCGGGTGAAGCTCGACCGGGGAGATGGGCTTTGGGCGCGAGATGTATCACAAACAGTCGTTCGGAAGAACGTCAGATCGCAAAAAAAGCTGACGCATTATTTCTAAGTCATAAGAAGAGAGTCAGGAAGAATGGAAGTTTGCGAATGACGATTCCCACAGACCCTCGCGTGCACTCCCGCAAAGTCTGAACTCAACGGCCCTTGGGGAAAACCTTAAAGCGACGTCGCGCTTCACGCATGCGAGAAATCGGTCCAAGTTTTGGAGGTCACTCCTTCCGCCCATCTTGATTCGTTCAATGCAGCCATAAGCATGAGTCGCTAGTGAGCGAGCTATCACGCAGTATGTCACCTACTTTTGGCCTTATCAGCCTGATCTAGAACTCAAGATCTCACGTAAGCGCGTCATCCACACGGATTCTTGTTAATGCCAAGCCCCTGCCCTAAAGCAGAGAAACCCTCTAAAAGAGGGGTCGAAGCTCTTGCTAGCGATGAACAACGGTTGATGATTGTCATTGCAGACGCAGGGGAAGGGCGATCAATTTTGACGGCACAATAGAAACAGCCAACGAGGGTACAACTCACCAAGCAACCTCGACTGTCGGTCACGCAAGCATATTGTGCAGGCTGTTGACAGGATAGCGATCAAAATCGTAAGAGCAACTAACTAGCCTAACTAGCAATAACAGATGGTCAACAAGTCAAGCCCATTTCAAGGCCGATGTCTCTCTACGAATACAGTCGTCTCAGTTGCGTGGAACAGATGCCCTTCCGTCGTCGTACACATGTCTTGATGGTGGAGCAGGCGTTTGTCCGTAGTTGACTCGGTGAGGAGCTGCGTAGCCTGGCTGTGATACAGGTGGGCCATGTGGTGGTTGGTCGTAATACACGTACCTAGCATGTGGATCCTCTCTCTGATAGTATTCCGGTTGATGCGGTGGGTAGTCATACATAGGTGGAGGGTGACGCTCAATCACACGTACAACCTCGACCGGACGACCATACTGATCCACGTATATAGTTTCGGGTCTTGGTTCATAGCCATACGAAACAGGTGGGTGCTCTGTTCTGTATCCGGGTCGAGGGTAGTATTCTGGATGTCCTGCGCGAGGATCGTACTCATAGCCGTAAGCTACGGGTTCGTGCCTGAGATGCTCTAGAGGTTGCCCACGCGAGTCGACGCGAATGTAGCGCTCTTGAGGTGGAACTGAGAGGGCAGGAGCTGCAGCATCATGCTGACCATATAAACCAGCAGCTGGAGTACGGATGATCTGGGTATAGTCCTCAGGAGGCTCCTCGACACCACCACGATCATGTCGGCCATTCGAACGTGAGTTTTCATCACGAGACTCTTGTGGCTGATATGCGGACACACGATTAGCTTCAAATGCAGCGCGGTTACGGCGGTCGGCGTCGAGTGGAGGGGGGTTAGATTCACCAGCCCTGGGTACAGACGGACTTCGTTCGGTCCTGCCAGCGAGAGCTTTCTGAACCTCTGGGTCACTTGGACGTAGGCGGCTGAGAGCTTCCAGAGTCTCTGGTGCAAGTTGTGTAAGGTCGATCGATGGCTGCAGACGTTGGCCGTCACCTTGTGATTTCTTGCCATTTCGATTCGATCCCTGGTTTTCTCGCTCAATGAAAGCTGGGCGCCGAGGATCGTATTCATCCTCTGCAGCCTCTGGAAGTGTGTCAGATTGCTCTTCTGAGGTCTCGCCCTGAGTTAGGGGGGCAGGATGGTGTCCGCTGTTACGCTTCTGTTTCTTCTTCTTTTGATTCGCACGACGTTCCGACTTTGTATCTTTCTTAGGGAGTGGCTTGAAGGCTTCCTTGACCTCTCCGATCTTTGGGAGTGGGTTGGGGAAAAGCTTGGGGAACACTTGTGCGATCAAACCGAGCTTTTCGTCATTCATGCCAATGGCAATCAACAGCTCGCGGATGTTATCATCTTCGGGCAACTCGATCATATCTTCCTTCCAATCCAGTCCAGAGTCGCTGCCAAGATGGACCGTCTTGAAATGTGTTATGAGCGATGAAGTGTTGTACAGCTTGTAGTCGGCAATGCGCTTCGCATAGGGTTTGAAAGCAACGAAGCCATCCAGGTTGCTCGATATACAAGTCATGCAGGCCATTCCACTGGCTTCTTTGAGAGGTCGCATGAGGTTGTGGTTGGCGAGAGCATCGGTAAGCATATCAAGCGACGGCTCGAGACCAAAGTGAGCCTTGAACCTCAAGACAACATGATGCAGTACGGTGTGAACTCTAACACTCTCTTCTAAGCCCTGAACTCCAGCAGTAGTGTCCCAAAGCTCCCTGGCAACGTTTGCAAGGAAGTCAATTTGATCGTGATGTAAGCTCGCAGGGTTGACAGGAGGCGGGTAGTAGCCATGTTGGTGATGAGGGTCTGCCGGAGTGCCACTTGCATAGGGATATCCATATGGAGTATAACCGTGGGCGTCAGGAGGATAGGCTGAGTATCCAGCCTGATCCGTCGCAGGCCAAGAGCCGTTCTGGTAAGCTGGATATCCAGGCTGAGCTGAAGCTCCATATTCATCCACTGCTTGGTATTGGCTAGCGTCACCGCCTTCTGTGGCTTTCTTATCTGGCTTAGGAGGCAGAGTAGGATCAGGAATGGCACCGTTGCAGGGTTCCAAAGGGGACTCTTCTGGCCATTCTGCACTTTGCCAATGAACAACGATATTGCCTCGGCTGAATTCGGAAGTATGTTTTGCACCATAATGTTGTATCATGCCTTCGAAAGCGTAAGACTTGCCGGCCGACTTACACTCTGTGCAATGAAACAGCTCGCGCAAATGTTTGTCGGTATATGTCTTGACTTTCTGGTCATAGAGCCAACGCATGTTTTCCAGACTTACGAACCATGGATCAGACTCGTCGGTCATCTGATCTGGTGGCAAGTCATGCGGCCTCTCAACTTGAACGAATCTGTTCCTCGCGTAGAGTAGGACCTCTACCGCGAATTCAGGACAATTGTCACGGTTGAGAACCTTGCCCTTTTTCCATTTAATTCGAATCAGGTCGTCGGCATACATGCCCAGCTTCTTTCGTATCGGTGCTTGAGCAGCTTCATATTGACGCTGAAGAACGGTTGGATCCACAGGCTGGCTATACATGGCTTGGTACGCAGGATCAGGGATCGTTGCTTGGAGAGCACGCATTTGTTCCTCTCGCATGTACTCAATCTGCTCAGCGGCATCTCTTTGAGCATAGAGACGGGGTTTCAAGACCTCCCATGCGCTGTCAGTCAAAGGTGTCGTTATTTGCATAGCAGCGTGGAAAGATTCCATGTGTTGTAGGACGTTGGGCATGAGCGGTGGTTGGAATTCATGGTAGCATCGTCGCTCGATGTCGGCTCGTCGAGAAGCCCTGGCTTCGTTGACTTCCTTCAGGTTACGAGGTGCGCGCCATTCCTTTTTGCTGGATTGTTGAGGACTTTGGGCCGTGATGCTCGGCTGGATTGCAGTAGGAACAGCGACGACTCGAGCAGGGAGAGGATGTTTCACTGTATAATCACAATCAATATCTCTCGCATTATTTGACAAAGTCTTTTGCAGATGCATGCCGAGTACACGAGCGGTGTGGAGCAAAACATGAGAACGATGACGTCCGAGACTTTGTCAAGAACTTGCAGGAAAATGGAAGGCGAAGTGACAAAGAGAAAAAGGAATATACCGATTGGCAAGACTTACTTTGAGCTGAAGGAGGCGCTGGAAGTGAAGTTGCACTCACTGAAGGCGTCGCAATTGCAGTTACTGCAGCAGGTGGAGCAGTTACTGGAGCCTCACCTATTAAAGGGACAGAATAAGAACGGAAATAGTCTCTAAGCACTTTGGAAATGTCGGAACCAAGGGGAAGTTGGGCTTCCCATCTCTCCCAACGAGCGGCATCGGCCATCTGCTGTTTTCCGAGTAACGGCAGGCCTTTCACCCACTCCTCGGCGGCAGCAGTGCCGAACTCCATAGCATTCTGGTGTTCTTGTTGAAGATCATCGATATGTTTTTGTGAGTACACCTTGAACATCGTGCCCTTGATGGAAGCAGCAGCCTGGGCCTGTAAGGTAGCAGGAATGTAATGTAAGTCTGGTGTGCAAAAAGCATAGGGCAGGCCAGCTCTCAATGGGTTGACCGGAGAGACCACGACATCGACATCCTAAACAATTATTAGATCAACCAGAGTGCGAGATTACCAAGTGATAAAATACTACCTTGACAGAATACAGCTCAAAACACTCAGAGCAAAGGCGAGCAGAGAACGACCAGATGACGCGCACGCCGCCATGACCAGGTCCGGCGTCGAAGAGGGTAGTGGGCTGATTTGGTTGCAGCGGCAGAGCACCACAAGCTTGACAATCCCCACCTCCAAGAAGCTGGAACATGTGCATCTCGGTAAAGCCAGCAAGTGGGCGAGGAAGATTAGGGGCAAACAGTTTCCTAGCTGATGTCCAGATAGCCTCGCTGTCGATGAGCTTCAAGCCACTGCGATGAGGTGGTAGGCGGATGCTCATAGTGGCAGTGAGATCGGTAAGATAGGAGCGGAACAAGCGACTAACGCGCAAGCAACGACTAAGGTCGTCGGGTGTGAGGTATAGAAATACATGCTGCCAGACCTCGGCAGGCAGATTGGCGACAGTCGGGACAGCAGGTGAAAAGTAACGTTCTGCAGTGAGTACAAGCTTGCGCTTCTTTTGCGGCACCTGAGTCTGTTGATCCTCTGCGCCAAATCTACGCTTGCCTTTTGATTGTGCTGGGGGTGGTACAGGACTATCATCATACATCTGGTCGGACGCAGGCGAAGCAACTTGATGGCGCTCACGCGAAGTCAAGTTGGGCTGCGACGACGTATCTACCTCTGCATATAGGTCCGATGAAGCATCGGAAGCTGGAGACTGAGAATAGGCCATGGTTGCGAGCCAAATGACTCAGCAAGTCTGACAGTCAGTGTGCGCAAAGGAGCTGCTACTCGTACAGGGCAGAGACAGAGAAAGGGTAACAACTCTTGAAGGAGTTGAAAGGGTAAGATGAGATGGTTGAGTGATAAGGGAAATGCGCGCAAATACTTGCAAAAACAAGGTGCAGCCACTGAGAGTTGAGCAGAAGCAGCGCGCGGTCAAGGGGAGGAGACTTGACCTTTTGGCTGAAACTGCGACGCAACACAGAACAAGAAAAGAGCTTGGGCAAAGAACGACAGAGTCGAGCCGAAGGAAAGAGAAGCTCGAATCTCGAGGTTCGCAGGGAAGCCACGAGTCGAAAAGACGTCGGCCAATCAGATGCGCTTGTCTTGCCAAGCACGAGCAGGCTGTGCTGCACGGCCACTTTCTCTGTGACGGAGGACGGAACGGCGAAGGACGCGTCCGACTTGCCGGGCGATGGATGACATAGACCCCGCTGGCTGGCTGGGCAGCAGCAGCAACAGCAACCAACAACTTGACAACTTGTCACGCCTGTCATTTTCCGCAGTCTGAATCCATTCAGCCTGCTCGACATATCCCTATTTCACATCTGCCACCATGGCATCCCTCAATCTGTCAACCAACGGTCCTTCGATCAAGAAGAGCTACCAATCCATCGTTGACGGTCCCGCGCCCTCGTCCAAGTCGCCAACCTATGCTCAATGGGCCGTCTACTCGGTCCAGGCTCCCCTCACAAGCGCCTTCCAGCAAGACTCGAGCAAGGAGAGTGTTCTGAAAGTTCAAACTACTGGAGGTGCGTAAATCTCGAAGCCTGGCACTGCGGAACAACAAGCTGACCCCAGGACGACAGAGGGCGAGCTTGAAGAGCTCCTTGACGAGTTCTCGGACGGTCGCATCCAATTCGCCTTCGCCAAGCTCAAGGACCCCAATTCTGGCCTGCCCAAGTCGGTTTTGATCTCGTGGTGTGGTGAGGGTGTTCCCGAGAGAACAAAGGGCTACTTCAACACACACCGTGCCGCTGTCTCCAAGCTGCTTCACGTACGTTCTACCACCCACTCTTTCTCCCAACAGTCATCTGACATTCCCAGGGCTACCATGTCGAGATCACAGCACGCTCCGAAAGCCACCTGAGCCCCGAGAGCATCATCGAGAAGGTCTCAAACGCATCTGGCGCCAAGTACGGTGGTGGCTCTTCGACCTCCGACTCGGCCCCCTCGGCCTCGCGCGCCCCTCCACCACCTGCTGCCACCAAGCCTGTCTTCATGCCTACACGCACCGGCGGTTCTCTTCTTGCTTCGCGACCCAAGCCTGCAGCTCCTACAAACACCGACAGTGATGGCTGGGGAGATGATGCGCCTCAACTGTCCCGCAACACTCTTGAGAAGGTGGAATCTGCATACAAGCCTACAAAGGTCAACATGGCCGAACTCACCAGCCAGAAGCAAGCCCCTTCGCGCTTCCAGCCTCCTACAAGGCAGGACAATGATGGCCCCAGCGACATCGTTAAGGGCGGTTACCAACCTATCGGCAAGGTCGACATCAATGCCATCCGTAGTCAAGCACGTGAACAGCAGGATGACAGACCCACAGTCGTCAAGGGAGCCTACGAGCCTGTTGGCAAGGTCGACATTGCTGCTATTCGCGCAAAGGCTCAAGCTGCCCCCCCACCCGCTGCTGCTCCTGTGAACCAATCTCGCACCGGTGATGATGAAGATCAGGAACCCAAATCTCTGGCTGAGAGATCCGCCGCCTTCAGCCAATCTAGCCAATCTGGACGCCTGAGCGAAATGCCCAAGCCCAAGGTCGCAAACCGTTTCGGATCCTCAACAAGCTCATTCGCTGGCACCAAGGCTCCCACTCCTGTTGGTTTCGGTGTACCACCACCAGCTACTTCTGCTCCAATCGGTGCTGCTAGTAAGAACTTTGCCAGCACTGACGGCAAGTCTCCTGCTCAATTGTGGGCCGAGAAGAAGGCCCGCGAGCGTGGACTCAGTGGTGCTGGTGAGACTGCTCCTCCTCCACCGGCTGCTGCTGCTTCGCCTATGCAAAGCCAGCCAAGTGGTGGTTGGCAGAGTGGTTACACTGGCAAGTCTTGGGCTCCTGTCTCAACTAACCGCACAGGTGCCAGCAACATCAGCGCTCAGAAGACCGGCCAGAGTGATGTAAGATCGCCCGAACGTGAGACAGAGCCTGAGATCCCATCCGGTGGAGTCAGCGCCCTCAAGGACCGTTTCAAGAACGCTGCTCCTATGGGCGCTTCCAACGTTGGTGACGACTCTCCCGCACCACCTATGCCTCCTCCGATGGACTTCTCCAGCAAGCCTAATGCTGGTCTTGCTAGTCGCTCTGTGCCACCACCTCCCCAAGAAGAAGAGGACGAGAGACCCGAGGAAGAGCACGTCAGCCTTCCCCCTCCTCCCGCTCAACCACGCAGTCCCACACCTTCGCCTCCCAGCTCCCCTATTCGTGTTGCCATGCCCGTCGCCCGTGGAGCGCCTGTCGAGCCTATGGAGCCTGTGGAAGACGAATTCGATGTTCCTCCTATGCCAACACAATCGATGTCTAACGCCGCCTCTGCCGCTGCAGCACACATGCGTGATGAGCCAGAAGACGAAGAGGACCATGCTCGTGCTGCTGCTGAAGAAGCCTCAACCACTACCTTCGGCGCAGGCGCCGCTACCGCCAACCCTGGAGCTGGCGTTGCTGGAAAGCGCGCTCTCGTCCAGTATGATTACGAAAAGGCCGAGGACAACGAGATTGAACTTCGCGAGGGCGAATACGTCGAGAACATCGAGATGGTCGACGAGGATTGGTGGATGGGCCAGAACTCGCAGGGCGAGACTGGTCTGTTCCCATCAAACTATGTCGAGCTTGTGGAAGATGACGGTGCTGCTGCTGGCGGTGCTGCTCCTCCACCTCCTGCCCCTGTTCACGACGAGCCCGCTGCCACACATGCCCCTGCAGCTCCCGCAGCTGCCGGTGGACAAACCGCCACAGCACAATACGACTACGAGGCTGCTGAAGACAACGAGCTCAGTTTCCCTGACGGCGCAAAGATCACCGATGTGGTAAGTTGAACTACATCATCTAGTCCAAGGACCTCGCTGACAATTGAACAGGAATTCCCCGACGAGGACTGGTGGTTCGGCCACTACAACGGCCAGTCAGGTCTCTTCCCTGCCAATTACGTCGAGCTGGACCAGTAGATTTGCGAGTTCGTTGTTCTGTCTCCGGCGCCTACTATTGCGAGGAGACGATCATCGGTTTGGTAGATGTAGCATATACTTTCTCTGATAACCAAAAAATGACACTATCGATTCTTTCTTCACTCTGGACCGATATTCGCTGCCATCGGCCTTAAGAGTCAGGGCAGTCGAGCTTGTCATCACTTATTCCCACAGAGTGACTTCTTTACCACCAGCGGTAGGATGGCGCAGTTGGTGAGCAGTGTTGCAGATCGCCTTAGGTCACCTCACTGTGACTGGCTGAACCATCAGGTTGTTGGTTCGATTCCGATGTGGGTCACTGCTGGTCTCTTTTTGCACTTTTGCAACAATTACTTTTTTTTCTCCTCTCTCTCTCTCCGCGATAGCCTTTGTGTGGTGCTTTAGATGACCTCAAGAATTGGTGATTGCGTTTGTTTTATTTGTGATTGCAAATGTTCTATGTAGAACGTGCTGTTGCAAGTATGTTTCGCATGCTGTCCAATATTGTCTATACCAATTGATTCTTCCAACTATCCATCAAGACCAAATCCACTCCAGCTATTCCAAATGAAATCTGTTGGAGACGTTCTGCTCACTTCGACTCTTCCTTGTCACCCTCCTTGACATCAGGACTTTCGCTAGGTTGGAAGATGTTGTTACCTGTGATCTCAAACATCAGCCCCATCATTCAACTTCGACTTGCTTCGCTCGCTCGAAACGATGACTACGAGAAATGAGGTCATGGAAACGGAGGAGGAGGAAGTGTCGATGAAGCGCTGGAAGGAAAGAGACGATCAAAGACAGGAGGGAAGTCGGATATCATGGAGGGTGCAGAGTGCACTCACAAGAAGCACAATGCGCCCACTTTCCATCTTTGGTGACGTCGGCGTTGGCGTCGCATTTTGGGCATTTGAGAACGTCTGGCATGGTTTCAAGCTTTTGTCGAATCGAGTCTTATTGATGAGAGAAGAGGACTATCTTGGGTTTGTCGTTGATTTAGTTGGATTCGGTCAGGTTTGGTGTGGATTGTGTAGGGAATGGTAGTTGGTGGTTTGATTAGGTAATGCAGGGAAATGCGGGTGCTTCGGGAGGTTCGGGGAGTGAAGTTGGGAGTGTTTGATTTGTTTGCTGAGTTGGGCGGGAGAGGTTGACTACACTTCACGCCTCGAGGATTGCATTATTAGCGAGGTGAATGATGGTACTTGACAAGGAGGTTTTGCAGTGATAATAAGCATGATGGTCTGTTTATGAAGATTTCGCATTGTTGGTCGGAGTCTGACAAGGACATATTTCCTGCATGATGAGAAGAAGGAGTTGGCACCAGTAGGGCAAGACTATGCGAGATGCGATTTGTGATAAGTATACTGATTTCAACACTAAAAGCCGTTTCTTCCATTCTTCGATCTATGGCGGAAAGCAGCTACCAAAAAGGCCAAGTCATTCTCGCTGTCAATTCTCTGTTCATCGAATCTCGTTCCGCTCTTTCGCATCTGTGACTACAAGATGGCAGAAGCAGTCTGCACAAACCTTCGCATCCTACTCATCCTCGGTTTCGCTTTCAACTGTTCAGTCCCCTGCAAACTCTCCCTTCTCTTTCCAATCTCACCCTTACTCTCAGCATCAAACCAACCACTCTCCTCCACAGAGCTGACTCCACTAACTACACTGCCCCTGCTATCAGTGCGCTTGATAGGATCGCTGTTTGAACTCTTGTACGAAGTCTCTCCGCTGCTGTTTCTGCTATGCCCCTTTTCGCTGCCGGGAACAGAAGGTGTTTTCGGGAGTTCAGGGAGAGGAGTCAGAGGGAGGGACATGCGAGGACGAGGCTTGATGGCTAGAGAGTCAGGGCGCAAAGTGCCTGGATCCAGCATTGCGGCTGCCACTTGTTTGGCCAGTGGTGCTGGAGAAGGGAAACGTACACTGCGATCAATAGGACTTTCAGGCTCTTCGTTGAGAGGAGTCATGGCCCATGTATTCGCGAGATCTGTGTCATCGATGACAAACTCGTCAAAAGCGAAAGAGACAGCATCATGGTTCCAGGTGTCGTACCACTCGCAGATGTCATCGATGGCTGTATCTTCAGACTTGCGACGTGGGATTGCATCATTGCTGAGGACGTCTTGGAAAGGGTCGAGGGTGGCGATACTGCCTTTGCGTGGTACCACTAATGGAGTAGGCAGTTTGATGGGTCCTTGGATATAGATTGAGCGGCGCCAGGCTGTTGACTCAGGGGTCTTGACCATGAGGACTGTGCCGGAGCTGAGATGGATCTCACTGCCTGCGGCATCAGGAAGTGCTGGTGCTTCAGGAATGGTGCGCATCGAGGTATGTGATGTAGGCGATGAAGTGTTCTCGATTGTGGCAGCCACAGCACCATCTTCTGGGATCACTTCAAGGATGCCAGGTGATGGTTGGCCAGATTTTGGACTGTTTTCAGAGCTTCCTGTCAGGATCGCAAGGGCTTTGGTAGGCGTCATTGGTGATTTTGGACTAGTCGGAGAAAGAGGAGGTGCAATCACTGTTCGGGAAGTGACCACGGTGGGCGAGATCTGCGAAGTCGAAACGGAAGCTGCGTTCAAGATTCTACGCCGCGTGCCCAGTGAGCGACGATGATTGTTTCTTGTTGACCTCCTTCTCAGACTTGCATGCCCTTGTTGATAGAAGTTTGTCGGCGTGTTGAGAATAGAAGAAGGGCGGTCGGCAGGCAAGTCTTTGACAAGGATGTTCAAAGCAAGCTGATTGCGTTTGCTCGGACTGCGTGTTGTTGTCGATGGTGAAGTTTCAGTTTTCTCGTAGATAAACTCTTGAACAGGAAAGAAGCCAGATTCGAGAAGCATGCTCATTGTTTCACCTCTCGCTTTCTTGCGCCATGGCATAACACTCGTTGCGGCTTTTTTCAGTACCGGTTTGACAGGTGTTTGTTCCTCGATTGGTGATGCTAGCACGCTTTCTAAGTTTGATTTGTGCTTTGCCAGCATGAAACTTATTCTTCTATCGGCTGTAAGATCCTTGTCAATTCCAGAGAAATGTGAGCCACGCCTCTTGGGCGAAAGCATGGGATTGACTCCAGCGCCCCGAGAACTACTGCCTCCAGCACGGCTCATCCGACTAAATCGAGTACTGAGTGCACGTAAAGGCAACGACCGCGACGATTTGATAGATGCAAAACTAGGTTGTCGGCGTAGACTGGTAGGCGGCGCAGTTGAAGATCTCAATGGAGGAAAGATAAAGCGATTTGCTTCAGGTTTGCTCAAATTGTCGATGGCGTTCTGAATAGATGCACCCACATCCACACGGCTGATGGCATCGGCAATGGAGGCAGAAGCTGGCGATAGTGGAGGCGATGAGAAGGACGGCACTGGGGCTACGACTTCTGGCGTTACAGGTTCTGACTTTATGGCCACCCCGTCCTCAGGGATGATCGTCGAGAATCTGAACCCAGTACTTCTTGCCGTTTTGGGTGTTGGCAGAAATAGTTCGCTGGAAGGTCTCATCTTGGTCTTCAACGAAGGTGGAGGTGCTCGACGGTTGCCATTAGGTGGACCAGGTGAGGGGGCGGTGCTTCTGGCTTCAGATGTTGTGTCTGCTGCGAGATTCATTCGAAGAGGCAGAGGTGATACGGTACGACTGCGCTCGAAAGGAGATCCTGTTCTATTCATCTGCCTGTTCGATGCTCGGCGTTCGAGGGCCGCAATGCCCTTTGCAATTGGCGATGACGGACTGGGAGGTGCATCAGAAGGAAATCGTGCCTGCAGCTCTTCCAGGGTGCTGCTGTGCAAGGCGGGCTTTTGCGGTGTAAGCGTCATTGTAGTCGCTCGAAAAGATATGCAACCAAAGACAGTTTGACCCTCGATATGGCAGAGTTCAAGGGATGCCATTGAGGAAAGTATGAATGAGTGACCACCAGGGCCCTCACCACCGGAATCGGATGGCTGATAACAAAGAAATTGACATGAGATGAAAAATGCCGAAGAAGCGAACAAAGAAAAATACATTCCAACTCTAGAATTTTGAAAGCCCACCTGCTCTCTTTGGACAATGCAAAGGTTCAAAAACATCTTGCTTTTTCATAAGTTAATATGAAATGTGTTGAGAGAAGAGAAGACGACAAGATACCAGCTCCTGTCGCCCGACTTTCAACACTTCCCTAAAACGCATCCCTGGTGCTTCTGTGACTATCAAATTGCAGAAATCATACTAGAAGGAAGAGCTGCCTATTGAGAGTCGCTCTTTTGACCAAGAAGATTGAGCTCTCAAAGGACGGCCGCACTTTTCAAGCACATTCCTGCATCGAGATGCCGCACTCAGGAGAAGGTCTGCCTCGGTGGAGAAGTGAAGAAAGTCGGTCGGACTTGATACAGGTCAGGTGGACTACGGCGAGCACCAAAGTCCTTGCTCAGGGGACCTCGGGTCGGCGTGCCAAAGTCGTAGATGAGTGGTTTCGGGCGAAGACTCTCAGGAAGCGACTTTGTGCTGACTGACTGCGGAGTAGACAGCGGGTCAGCGAAGGTGATACCACTGTACCCGGACAGAGTTGTCGATGCGCGAGGGGCAGGGACAATCTGAGCAGCAGGGGTAGCCGGAGGCGTCGTGGGAGGTGGAATGACGGGGTCACCGGCGACTACGCTGGGAGGGCATTCTGCGAAAGACGACAGGATGCAGATGACCATAAAGATGCAGAGGGCCATGCACGCGAGAATGCAGATAGTCGAGGGCTCCTGGAGCATCTTATAGTTCAAGAAAGCGAGCACAACACCGGCGAGCCAGGGAGTCAGTCGAGGGACAGAGACCTCCCTCATGATATCATGCTTTGTGACGTTCAAGAAAGCAGTCATATCATGGTAGAGAGTCTGAGACCCGGAATTAGCGCCTGCGAGGGAGGCGACCAATTGATTGAGGAGCCAGATGGTGGAGGTCATGATGAAGGAGAGTATGATCCCAACAACGCCTATCATCCCCAGTATCCAGTAGCCAAGGAGATACAGGGTACTGACTGGGTTCAGAGCGGTGAAGCTGAAAATGGCGATAGGATCCAGGCTGTTCTGGTGGTTGATCTGAATAACGCCAACGAGGAGAACTCCAAGGGCCAGGAGCTGACTTGCTGAGGTACCGATGAAGGTCAGGAACGAAGTGAAACAGACGAAGAGCAAGAGAATCTGAGCATCTTTGTCGATGTTGGGCTTGTCGACCTGCGACGTGGAGGCTGTTGGCATCATGCTGTTGAGCTGTTTGTACTCAACCGGGTCCAGGAGGTTCCACTCCTCGGGCATTCTCGATGCCCACGATCTCCATCTCTGCAAGTCAACGAGGTACTGACTGTCTCGAGCAATTCTTTCGTCGTCGTTTAGTGGCCTTTCAGTGGAGATAAGCTTGGCGAAAGATCTTTCGCGAACCGTGTCTTCTGTTGGTCGCTCGGGTCTGGCAGGAAGGTTCTCAGGCTTGATTGGGAACTTGCCATTCTCATCTCTCTCTGGTGCGGAAGGGTAAGGACCAGCAAGAGCCTGCTTGCTGAAAGGATATTGATGCGAGAGCATTGTGGTGGGAGTGTCTTCCAAGGTGAGACTCTCAGGTCGGGTTGTGGTAGTGAATGATGGGCAGGTGTATGCAGGCACTTCGATGTGCTCGAGTTCAGCGTCGAGAAAATTTCCGGTCCACTTGACTCTCTGATAGATGTAAACACTTTCGCCTGCTGAGTTGCGCGCGGGGATAGGATATGCGGTAGGGCTGGCCTGCAGACCCTGAGCACGGAGTTCTTTGTATGAGGGCATGTTGGTGATGGGGGTCTTTGTGGTGGAAAATTGTGCGTTGCAGACAAAGGGCAGAAGATGAGGTGGCTTCGTTGATGAAAGGCGCGAATCAATCAAGAAAAGGATTTTGAGGATGGGAGATGAAACAAATTTGTCAATGGCTGTCTCGTTGGTGAATGGTCTGAATAGGCTCAGTTGTCTGGATCAATGTCGCATAGGAGTGAGACGAAAAGTTGGCGCAAGCAAAGTGACAAAACAATCAGAGGTATCCAATCACCTTGGTGACGCAGCGGAAAATCAACAATGGCTGAAACAATTCTCGACATGCTGCACAATACTGTATGGTAAAATCGATGGATTACAAGCTATTTTAGCATTACTCTGTGATAGGATGAAGGTCATATCGTCGTGGTCGAAGGTTGGCCTAATTGTATGCAGGCTGGACAAGAGTGTTGCCTGTCGAAAAGTCAGTAAATGCTTAGGGACATAAGGAGTTGTACACTGTCAACATACCACCGTCAGGGTACATGATCTGCTCATTGTAGAAGACACCTCCACGGCCAGCGAGGAAGAGAATGGTGGCAGCCATATCGCTGTCGAAGCCGAATCTGCCTGCAGGGTTGCTGGGCTTCATGTCAAGGTTGCTCTTGTTGTCGTCACCAGAGCTGCCAGCAGTCATCTCACTGGGGAAGACACCAGGAGCGATGACATTGCAGCGGACCTTTGTGTCCTTGAAAGTGGTTGCAAGCATGCGGCTGACGTGAGTAGCAGCGGCCTTGGAGGCAGCGTATGCGAATTGACCATTGCTGGAACCCTTCATGGCACCACTGATGGAGCTCACGTTGACAACGCTGGAGGTGTAGCCAGGGGTGACCTCACGACCCTTGGCCAGAAGAGGCAGGAATGCCATGGACATATAGTAGACAGCAGCAACGTTGGTCTTGAAGGTGTCGGCGAATTGCTCAGGCTTAGTCTTGAGGAAGTGCTCGGAGATGGCCTTAGCATCGGTCATGTCAGGCTGGCCGTTGGAAGAGAACTTTGTGTCGTCGTCTCTGGCTATGCCAGCGTTGTTGACCAGCAAGTGGATGCCGTTGGGCTCCTTCGACTCCATCGCTTTGGCAAGACGAATGACGTCCTCCTTGTTGCTAACATCACCAGGAAGAGCGTGGATGCTTCCAGGACCAGTGCTGTAGAGCTCAATGGCCTTGTCGAGCTTCTCCTTTCTTCTGCCGGTAATGTAGACCTTGGCTCCATTTGTGACAAGGGCCTGGGTGATCATGAGGCCAATGCCGGTAGCGCCACCAGTGACGACGGCGGTGACGTGCGAGACATCGAAGAGGTCGGTGTTCTTGATCTGGTGATTCTCTGCTTTTCCTGCCCAGAATGTCAGAAAAGCCCTACTATAGTTGAGTCCATGGTAGAAGGATACCGCTCATGGTTGCTTTGGTAATGGTTGTGAGAGTTGGGTTGGGTCTGAATGCACTTCTGACAGTTGATTGAGCAGTTCTAGAGAAAAGACGAAGCATGTTGATCAAAAGGTGTTGGAAGCCTTTTGAAGGGAAAGATATAATCGAGATTCCTCAAGAGGTCCACCATGTCTGATCTACGCCATGTTGACGACATCATACTGGGCCTCAAGAGCACCGCGGATGCTTCGGCCTATTTTTGATGCGAATGCACATCAGCCAAGCATATAACTGTGATGCTTGGATATGCTACACTGCATATCACATTTAGGCAAACCGATTGCCACCTTGTCAATGGTGTTCGCGTGGTCCAAGGTGAAGAAAGATTGTTGACGGATGCGGTCATGTCCCTGCCAAGCGAAGCCTAAACATCTTGTACCTTCCTCAGTCCATCGTTCAAAACAGCAATGATTTGTGCTCGTCTTCACAAGTACAGCATTTCTTCGTTCTTGCATCACATAGTTACACGTTCTTTTCTACAATTGAAATATTCATGTTCGAGTGAAAATGGTGCTGGTGAAAGAAGAAGTTACACGTGACGTAATGTTCGACCAATCAGCGATCGAGACTCGCCGCAGGTCGTTCAAGCTGTCGCGGGCAGTCAAGACAGCGACCATCACATCAACTCGACAAGATGCTGTTCTTCAGGTAAGCCGAGCTGGAAGACGTGTCGCTGGCTGTCTACGGGAGTCTTGCCGCAAGGGCGCATGTCTTCCGAACTCCAGTGCGACTGGCATATTGTTGCGAATCTGGACTGACTTGGACGCTTAGTTTCTTCAAGACGCTCGTTAACACCGGTCAGTCCCAAGAAAGAGAAGGAAACGAACGAACATCCGAGTCTGACAGTATTCAAGAGGTTACGGTGGAACTCAAGAATGACATCTCAATCCGTGGAACCCTGAAGAGCGTCGACCAGTACCTCAACATCAAGCTCGACGACATTACCGTTCTGGACGACCTCAAGTACCCTCACATGGTATGACAAGAGATTGGATATTCATAAGGTGGAAGGCAGCAGCGCTGACACGTTGCGCCATCGCAATAGAGCTCGGTCAAGAATGTCTTCATCAGAGGAAGCGTTGTGAGATACGTCCACCTCCCTGCTGCGTCTGTCGACACTCCTCTGTTGGAGGATGCCACCAGAAGAGGTACGAGAACACATGATGCTCGACATGTTGCAGCCTTCTGACAACCTTACAGAAGCCGCCCAGGCATCCGCAAAGGCCAGACAAGGATAGGCCTTCTTCAGTACTCAACCAAGGCCAACGAGATACCCAATAATGTCACCAACAAGGCATATCATGCTTTGAACACAAATTTCTGCTTTCCAGGCCAATGCCATGCACTTTACTACAGTGATTGGTCTGGAGAGCCTTAGATGATCATGCCCCTTTCAATCAAGTTCTGGTTTCCTTTCCCATGCTTTTCTTTCTTCCACCCGTGTCTATGTTGGTTGGCGTGCCGAACTTCTCCATTGGCCACCTCTCTGGTTTCTCGATTGGCGCACGATCGGCTTGGTTGCCAACGTGAACGGTATGCCCAAGCTCATCGCCATGCCGAGAGATTGCTCCAAGACGTCCCACGAACTCACAACAATAACACCAGCTGCCTGCACAACTCTTGCATCTTCCTTCGAAGCGCAATCACAACACTAACATCCACCTCTTTCCATACAACACACTCAGTCTATACCACTTCCAACTCTCAAACATGTCCCACGAGCAATCCCACGACAACCCCCTGTCCACTACCACCGTCGCTTCAGATCTCGCCGAGATCTCTAGCCTGCGCGAGCAGATCTTCGGTAAGATCTTTCATGCCGTCGCACTCGAACCGATCACTAATATTGTTCCTTACTTGCAGCCAACGCCAGAGCCCTCTTCTCCGACAGGGCCAACATGGAGATCATTGTCACCACCGCTGAGTGGCCCGAGAGCGGCTACTACGGAGCTCGTCTAGTTGACATGAGCACCCACGTTCTGCTTCTCGGCAGACTCTACGCCCCTTCCGTCCCTGAAGCCCTCGGCCAGCTTCTTCAGGCCACCTGCGATGGCATTCGCGACGCCTTCGTCCTCTCGCATTACCGCTCCATGTGAGCCACGAGGGTCGATTCGAAGACGAGGATCCGGTCAGTGTCGCGTCGGAAACCGGGCACACGACGGTCATTCGGCCTCCTGCTCCGTGGTTGAGATGTTCTTCAAACAATAAATAACTGACCACAATCAAAACCATAACCCAATTCTCTTCTTTCCCGTGTGCTCAAGTGTGTAACGTGTATCTATAAAAATGCACAATAATATTTGGAAACATGGTGATTCCATTGGAATGTAATAACTTACCAGCTCTCTGGGGACATGCTCCTGCTTCCGAAAACATTTGTGCCTTTTTATAGTATCTGTTTTGCTCTCTGCTACACTCGGAGTACGACATGAATCACAGACTTTATGATTCCTGTCTTCGAGAACTAATTTTTGTGTGGTTTCTGTGTATTTTATCAGTCAATATCAGTATTCCCACGAGATTTGCAAGCGACGCTACATGGTGAGCGGTGAGGAACACTTGCAACGTCGCTCAGTCCCCTGTTCTTGGCTCTCATACATTTCGCGACTATACAACCATTTCACTCTCAATACTGATTTCTTGAGAAACTCTTGAAGCTTTTCGATTCCTGAGTTGTTCGAAGGAGATTCTCGCTATACAGGCCACGGTAAGTAACCTTGTTCATGATGTCGCGTTCTTACATTACTCCTGCCCGCGCCAACCACCATATCCCTCTCTGTCGCGGTTCATGAAAGCATTGCATGTTGCTGCCATTCGCTGGGGATCATCATCTTTGTCACTCTCAATGGACCTTCTTCCATCTCGCAAAACACTTTGCATTTTTATGGTACATCAAAAATCGCTCCCTCCTTGCGGGGATATTGGCGATTTTGTTCATGCCAATCAGGGCTTTCTGTCAATCTCAGTGGATGCTCCTGCATTTTACGAAACATTCTGCATTTCTATGGATCATCCACAATTGCTCCTTCCTCGCGGAAATCCCCAAATCTCGCCAAATATTTCCATCATTCTACTTCACAACATCTTTTGGCTGACTGGCTCTTTCGTACAGAGCCTGCACTCGTCACAATCATGGCGTCAATCGTTCTTGCGTCACTCAACACAGTTGGGCTTATCTTTGGAGGATGTTGCTCGAATGTGAGTTTCACTACTTTATGGCTGGGAGAATAACAGTTCTAATTCCGCTTTGAAGGTTTTCACATTGGAGAAGATAATCAAGTAAGTTGCAGCAAAACCATTGCAGGGCCATCGAATGCTTCTCATATATACACATACCCAGAACCTTCTGCTGACCTATCTCTTCTAGGACTGAAGCCGACAGTGGTCAGTAACAATCATGACAAGGCCATCAGGCATAAACTCATCTTACCCACAGGACTTCTGATCACTCTCTCCCAATTCATCTTCACCGCACTAGCAGCCTCCTTCTCTCAGATTACACCGACCCTAACGCTGAGGTCCCCTTCCGTACCCATGCGCAAATGGGCCTACATTGCTCTCATGTTCTTTGCCGTCAACATGCTCAATAATTGGGCTTTCGCCTTCAACATCTCCGTCCCGGTGCATATTATCTTACGCTCCTTTGGCTCTGTGACGACTATGTTGGCAGGTGCATTGCAAGGCAAACGATATACATGGCTGCAAGTTGAAAGTGTGGTCATCCTGACTCTGGGAGTATTGGTGTCTGCGTTTGCGGATGCTGATAGCAAGGTTTGTTTTCCCCCCGTCACCCTAGTCCGACATAGCAAGAATGGAGAGCTAATCGTAACTGCAGGGCAAATCAGTAGAAGCAAGCAGCACAGACCTAAGCTCCGGCCTGCTGATCCTTCTCGCCGCACAAATCCTTTCTGCATACATGGGCGTCTACGTCCAAGACACCTACGCAACTCACGGCTCCCACTGGCGCGAAAACCTCTTCTACAGCCACTTTTTGTCCCTCCCTTTGTTCCTTCCTCTGGCTGGCACTCTACAACGCCAATACGCTGCTCTCTCGACAACCCCTCCCCTTTCCATCCCCAACAGCTTGCCCGTCCTGCAAAGCGCCAACCTACCCAGCGGAATCCTCTACCTGCTGCTAAACTCTTTAACCCAATTAGCGTGTATAACAGGCGTAAACCTGCTTTCCGCACAAGCAAGTGCAGTCACTGTTACTATTGTGCTGAATGTGCGCAAACTCGTCAGCTTTGTGGCGAGTACGGTTTTGTTTGGACATTCTTTGAGTGGGATGATGTGTCTGGGTGCGGGGTTGGTATTTGGGGCTGGTGCGTTGTATGGGTGGGAAACTAGTTATCGGATCCCTCAGCAGAAGAAGCAAACCGCAAAGGGGAAGGAGGACGGGAAGGCGCAGTGAGTAGGGCATGCTACGGGAAGGATATGGCTTTGAGATAGAGACTGTACCTCGTCAGTTCTTCGATTAGACACACTTTAGACAGAAAGGCCTTGGGGATACCAAGCAGTAGAGAAAAAGGAAAGAAGATACTCAAATCATTCGTTCCGATACCTGAGCCCATGTTGTTCTGAATTAGCAGCGGAAGACTTGACAACGCGATCTGCTCAACACTCTTAGCTCAATCCAAAACAGAACGCAGGGATATCTCGACTTCGCCTTCTAAGGCAAAGATCGAAGCAAGCCCAAGACCAAATGGCTGATTTCGGTCCAGTCTCGTTGTATGGAGGACAACCCTGCCCCTCGATATCGACTCTGGCATTTTTGTGTCCAGTGGGGTATAGCCCTTTCTGCATCCTTCTAGCATGTTTCCTGTGGCTGTCAGACATGGATATGACCAGGTTGAAGTGATCATAAAGTGATCTAGCTGTCAGGTATGCGCCAACAATTTCAGGTACGAGATTCGTCCAGCTTCCGTGGAGAGGATACAGTAACTATGTCTCTCATCACAACTCCGAAGACACAGTCATTGACAATGGGACAGGAGTATAAGGAGTAACACAAATCACCTGATTACAAGATAGAAACAATGGTTCAGAAGAAAGAAAAAAAAAAGTGAACAATTCAAAAATGGCTTTACATACACACAAGAAAGAAGCAATAACCCATCGCTCCGTTGTAACGTCAATTCTCCTCCAGACTCCTTTGATCATGGGGTGTGATTCAGGTGCGACTTTGCTAATACAACTAGTCGTTACACCATTTGGTAGAAGTGACTTTTCAGATCGTCTCTCTCCTCATCTATTTGGTATCGATGAATTTCTCAAAAAGCACAGATTCGCAACTGATTGCTTAGTACTTTCTGGCGAAGGGAGGGACGGCCTTGCACTCAGCCTCGTCAAGGGTGGTGCCGGTAACCTTGCGGTAGCCGAGCTCAACCTTGCCGTGGGGGTTCTTCTGCCATGTCAAGGAGTGCTTCATCCAGTTCTCGTCGTCACGGTCGGGGTAGTCCTCACGGGCGTGAGCACCACGAGACTCCTTTCTGTTGGCGGCAGCCTCGGCAGTCTGGACGGCGCAAGTCAGGAGGTTACGGAGCTCAAGAGTCTCGACAAGGTCAGAGTTCCAGATCATGCTGCGGTCCTTGGTGCCGACCTGGGCGAATTGGGCATCGACGTCGCGCATCTTCTTGACACCCTCGTCGAGCGACTCTTGGGTACGGAAAACGGAAACGTCGGTCTGCATGACCTTCTGCATGGCGAGACGGACCTCGTGGGTGGTCTTGGGACCCTCGGCAGTGCGGACCTGGTCGATAACGTTGATGGCTTCGGCACCGGCGTCGGCGGGGATGGCCTCGAGCTTCTGTCCGGGAGTGAAGTTGTCACGGATGGTGTGAGAAACAGCACGACCGAAGACAACCAAGTCGAGGAGAGAGTTGGCACCAAGACGGTTAGCACCGTGAACGGAGACACAAGCGGCCTCACCACAGGCGAAGAGACCCTTGACGACCTGGTCGTTACCCTGAGCGTCCTGGGTAAGGACCTCACCAGTGTACTTGGTAGGGATACCACCCATGTTGTAGTGGACGGTGGGAAGAACGGGAATGGGCTGCTTGCGGACATCGACACCAGCGAAGATAGAGGCGGTCTCAGAGATACCGGGCAGACGCTCGTGAAGGACCTCGGCGGGCAAGTGAGAAAGCTGGAGGTAGATGTGGTCCTTGTCAGGGCCGACACCACGACCCTCACGGATTTCCATGGTCATGGAACGAGAGACAACGTCACGCGAGGCAAGATCCTTGGCGGTAGGAGCGTAACGCTCCATGAAACGCTCACCCTCAGAGTTGAGGAGGTAACCACCCTCACCACGGGAACCCTCAGTGATCAAACATCCAGCACCGTAGATACCAGTAGGGTGGAACTGAACGAACTCCAGATCCTGGTTAGGAAGACCAGCACGGGCGACCATAGCCATACCGTCACCAGTGCAAGTGTGAGCAGAGGTACACGAGAAGTAAGCACGTCCGTAACCACCAGTGGCCAAGACAGTGTTCTGTGCGCGGAAGCGGTGAATGGTACCGTCCTCCTGGTTGTAAGCAATAACACCCTTGCACTCGCCGTTCTCCATGATCAGATCAGTGGCGAAGTACTCGATGAAGTAGTTGGTGTTATGGGCGAGAGACTGGCCGTAGAGAGTGTGAAGAAGAGCGTGACCGGTTCTGTCAGCGGCGGCGCAGCATCTGTAGGCCTGACCACCCTTGCCGTACTCCTTGGACTGACCACCAAAGGCTCTCTGGTAGCTGTTGAGAGTCAGTATGTTGCGCGTCATACAGGCGATTCAAATTGTACTGACATCTTTCCATCCTCAGTACGCGAGAAGGGGCAGCCGTAGTTCTCGAGCTCGATGACCGAGGCGGGTGCCTCTCTGGTCATGTAGTGGATAGCGTCCTGATCACCCAGCCAATCCGAACCCTTGACGGTGTCGTACATGTGCCATCTCCAGTCATCCTCGTGCATGCTGGTGGTCATTTGTTAGTTCCAACTCTTGATATTGACCCAGAATGTCGTCACTCACTTTCCGAGAGCAGCGTTGATACCACCCTGAGCGGCGACAGTGTGCGATCTGGTAGGGAAAAGCTTGGAGATACAGGCGGTGTTGAAGCCAGCCTCGGCGAGACCGAAAGCAGCTCTCAGACCGGCACCACCAGCACCAACAACCAAAGCATCGTATTCGTGGTCAATGACGGGGTACTTGTTGCTGAGGAAGGGAGAAGCCTCCTTTGCGCGAAGGGGCTGGTTTGTGATGATACGGGCGGCGGGAGCGCTGCGAGAGAAGGCGCGAGCCTGCTGTCTTCTGAGGCCTTGAGAGAACTGGCAATGCTACTGTCAGTAACCAGTTTTTGGAGACCTTTTTCGAGCTGCACACACCCTTGAAGAAGCACCAAACTGTCGCAAACCGAATGAACTCATGATTGCGATTGTGAATTAAGGAAAGCCGATTCTAAGACGGCAACAGGACAGACAGGACAGGAGAGGAGAGTGGTGCCAGAGAGACAGCGATGGCAAAGGGTCAGTCTTCTCGGCGGGCGACGGGGCAAACGTCTGGAGCAAGATCTCCCGGAGCTCGAGTCGACTTGGGGATCAGCCAATCAACGCTCACCAGAAGTCATACACCTCGGCTACTGCGTTCCGGCTTCTCTCAAGACTTGCCGGTTGACTTGCCTTGACACTTTATATCTCTTTCGTGAAGCTGTTTGCATGAATTGGGTCTTGATGAGATTCAGTGAGAAAGACAGGTAGACATTTGAAAGCGAGAGAGAGAGGAAGGAGCAGGTCGCGGAAGCTGCGATCGAAACATTTCCACTCGTGCGCAGAGAAACAGAACAACCACATGACATGGAACTTGCACAACCTCGACCTTTGCAATAGAAGGCAAGTTCCACGGAAAATAGTAGGGGTCATCAACACTGCCTTAAGCTTTGCTATCCGGTAAACATAGCCAGCTAATCGCCACCTCACTGTTTGGACCCCTATGTGCGGTACTCATGCGTGGCCTATAGTCAAGTGCTAGTTGTACAGTCGACACAGGTTCTGTGCTATAGCTATCCCTAAGCCTCTGCTCGGAGTATGGCTTTCTCAGTAGTTAATTTTCGTGTGGTTTCGAGACAAAGTAGAGGGATTTGAGATAGCCTGGTCTAGAAAAGTCTCATGCGGGCAGAGCTCAAAGACAGCAACAAAGAGAAAAACATTCGATGAGCGGCCAGAACACACAGTAAAGTGTTTGGTTCCAGCCGTCGTCTGTAGTGTTAAGGCCTGCCCGGAACTCGGATGCTTTCTACAAAGACGGTGACAGCACGAAGGAGCGATTAGCACCAGACAAAGTGGTTCTTATATTGAAGGCATGTTGTTGTGGTGTTTGAGCTTCTCGATTGCGGTGTGTGTAATGTCAGCTTTGGCCTGAAACAACGACGCTGGACGGATCGGGACAAAGACGAGAGCTTCGCTGCATGAACGGGGTGCTAGGTCTCTCTGACAAGCTGTGGGCAACAACAAAATACTGCTCTAGAACAACAACGTCTTGACAAAACTGCGTCTCGAGTGACAAACACAAAACAACAGGAAGAGACAGGGTGTGTACTGGTACAGCTGGATCGGAGCTGAAAGTGAATTCAGATCTCGACTCTTGGCGTCTCTGTTGGAAAAAGCGCCGTCTCGCTGTGTCTGCCCCGCGAAAAGAGCCCTCTCCCTTGATTCAATTCGCAGTCCAAACCCCTGCCCGTACACGACCTCCCCGTCACCAAACAACAAGCCATCCTTCAATCCACACTTGCGTCGGCCTTCGTCGATAATCACCCCGCTAATCCGCCCACCCTCGTCGACTCGCTCCTCTTGTCGCTGCGCTGCGCCATCGATCCACAACAGCTGCTGCTCCTCTGCCTGACATCATCCGAAGCTGAAGCTTGCAACCCATCCATATTCCATCCGCTCCAATTCTACACTGCTGCTAGACCCGACCTCTCCATCCTGCTAGCATCACCCTGCGAGATCAGTCTAGCCACAGCTACTTAGCCAATTCCCGGACAGCATCCTTCATTCGCTCCAGGACAAGCAGAAATCATGGTCGACGGAGACTCGCAGCAGCCTCCGACATGGAAGTTCACCCAGTGAGTCTTCCCTTGTCCCTGTCCTGCCTCGTTTCTGTCCATTCTCTCTGCAAGGCCTTCCCCGACAAGCTCTTCGTTGGTCGACACTGGACCGCTGTCGACTCACACGTGCTGCTATTGAAAACATCCTCCACTTCCACCGATCACCTGTCAAGATTCGACAAAGCCATTGCAGGATAGCCCAAGCTGACACGACACGTACAGGTGCTTTGGTGACAAGGGAGACGTCGAGGATATCACAGAAGGTCCGTCATGCCTGACTTGCCCCACCATCCTGCAGCGCCGCTGACAAGTCACAGCCGACATCATCTCAACGGTCGAGTTCGATCAGACAGGTAACTACCTGGCCACTGGCGACAAGGGTGGTCGCGTTGTTCTTTTCGAACGTAATGAGACGGTACCAGCCATCCCCGCTCCCGACGAAAGGCCTTCACCTACTGACACGGGCAAGAAAAAAACATGCGAGTACAAGTTCCACACCGAGTTCCAATCACATGAGCCCGAGTTTGACTACCTGAAGTCTCTCGAAATCGAAGAGAAGATCAACAAGATCAAGTGGTGTAGGAGACAAAACGCCTCGCATTACCTACTGTCGACCAACGACAAGACCATCAAGCTATGGAAGGTCTTTGAAAAATCCCTCAAGGTCGTGGCCGAGAACAACCTGTCGCAAGACCTCACTCCTGCCGGTGCTGGTGGTGCTGTCGGTGGCGGTCCCGTCAGAGCTCCCAACAAGCACTTCCGCAGCACCGCCGACCTCACCTTCCCTCGCATGACACACCACGACACAGTCATTGCCGCTGTACCTCGCCGCGTGTACGCCAACGCCCACGCTTACCACATCAATAGCATTTCTGTGAACAGCGATGGCGAAACATACATCAGCAGTGATGACTTGCGCATCAACCTGTGGAACCTCAACATTCAAGATCAGAGCTTCAACATTGTTGATATCAAGCCTGCCAACATGGAGGAGCTGACCGAGGTCATTACTGCTGCAGAATTCCACCCACTCAGCTGCAATTGGTTCATGTATGCCAGCAGCAAGGGAACCATCAAGTTGGCTGACATGCGTGAGAGAGCTCTTTGCGACACACACGCCAAGCGTGAGTTTTGATTTAGAAGGCACCGACATGAAAAAGCACTGACAGCCGGCAGAATTCGAGCAAGAAGAAGATCCATCGTCCAGGTCATTCTTCTCAGAAATCATCTCATCCATCTCGGATGTTCGCTTCTCACATGACGGTCGTTACATCTTGTCTCGCGACTACCTAACAGTCAAGATTTGGGATGTGAACATGGAGAGACAACCAGTCAAGACAATTCCTATCCACGAACACCTCCGACCACGCCTTTGCGACACATACGAGAACGACAGCATCTTTGACAAGTTCGAAGTCGTCTTCTCGGGCGATGCCAAGAATGTCATGACGGGATCTTACAACAACAACTTCATGATCTATCCATCAGAAGCGGGCAAAGACACCGAAGTGGTACTGCAAGCCGATAAGAGCGCGTTCAAGGCCAAGAAGGTTGGAATCCCCACACCGATGAATGGAGCAAAGGACAAGAAGGGCAACAGCAGAGCCAACAGCCCGGCTGGCCAGGGAAGCAGAATGCGCAAGGAGACGGACGCGGATGCAATTGATTTCAACAAGAAGATATTGCACATGAGCTGGCATCCCTTTGAGGATAGCATTGCCATTGCTGCGACTAACAATGTGAGTATCTTGACTCGACGGCCGCTTTGGGAACACGACTGACGCGACACGTTCTAGCTCTTTGTCTTTTCGGCGCTCTAGAGTTATTACAGACTCAGTCATGATTGTTTAGCTTTCAAGGTTCCCGTCGTCTTATCTCCTAGTAGTAATTCTCAAACTTCTTTGACAGAAGGGGCGGATCAGCATGTCAAGAATGGTGCAAATGGTGAAACACGGAGCATTATTGGCGGGGTCAGGAAGCAGATGTTGGTGACAGAGATGGGGAGTTGTCGTTCTTGCCACATAGACCAAAATGCAAACAAGCATATCGTATCGATTCTAATGTCAATGACTTGTATGTGTGCCGTGTTGTGAGTAGCACCTTTACTTGATTGAACCAAGTCTTGGCAATCGTGTCGCGAAAGCAATCAACGCGCTGCGACACGGCCTCGGCAACAGCGTCATCAGTGACTTTTGTCCAGGCAAAAGTCGACACAAGAAGACGCCATCTTTCATGTTTCGAAACCCACGAGAGAATAGAACAGGACCGCCAGGATCACATGTGCTTCCATCCGTAGGCAGACCGCCGTCGCCACCCAATACCACCACCACTCCTTCGATCAAGCCGCCACCCGCTATACCAACGACCAAATCGCCACCCATGGCTACTAGGACTGTGCCACCACGGTCCACCAGCGGCTCAAAACAGCCCAAGATATCTACCTCGGTCAAAGGAAACGCCAATTCGAAGAAGTCAACACCGGCCAAGAATGTCAAAGCACCAGTCAAACCCAATGCCAGCATCTTGTCCTTCTTCAAGAAAGATGATGGTCTGTTTGTTGCAAATCCAGGATCTTCACCGATCAAGGGCTCGGAAGTGATAGACGAGGTCGAAGTTGCGGAAGAGCAAGAACCACGCTTCAATGAAGAAGATGGTCCTGTAAAGAGGCGGAAGCTATCGCCAGTCGATAGCTTGGACGAGTCTAAGCCTACATCCCAAACTCCCACACCAGTCGACGAGGTCAAGACTGTACCGGTCACCAAGGTTTCTTCTGGCCCTTTTATGGAAGAGTCTGACAGCGAAGACGAAGAAATCAACAACTCCACCCCGGATGCTGCATCTATGACCATCAAAACAGAACCCCGAGAACCACCACCGTTGATTCACCAACCCACTTCCGCGTCAGTAGCAGAAACAGACAATTTTGGCGACTTTGAGGCGACTGACGACTTTGAAGATGATGTTTTTGATGAGGGTGAAGAATACGTCGAGAGATTGTGGATGGAGCAAGAGCAGATCAAACTCGAGAATGGAGAAGACGACAGCTTCCAAGATGATTCGATCGAAGATACAGAAGCAGATGCCCCGACATGTCCCATCTGCAGCATCAGTCTGGCTGGTGTAGCAGAATCAGATGCAGGCGTACACGTCAACAACTGTCTAGATGGGAATCCGACGCCGTTGCCTATAAAGAAAGAAAAGCCACCACCAGCCACTATCTCCTCAGCACACTTCAAGAAGCCTGCCCGTCCAGCAAAACCCGCCCAGTCACAACCGCTCGGTAGCGATGCCTCAAGTTCCGCCTTTTCAAAGCTTATGACTAGTCGATCCGAAGACATGGCATGGGCCAATGCTGCCGCTGCCGAAAATGCTTCTCGTGGAAAACCAAGCTACACACGCACATGTCCATTCTACAAGATCTTACCCGGTACCAACATTGCTGTCGATGCCTTCCGCTATGGCGCCGTCGCTGGCTGTAATGCCTACTTTTTGAGTCATTTCCACAGTGATCACTACGTCGGTCTGACGAGCACTTGGTCACATGGTCCTATCTACTGCAGCAAGGTCACTGCCAATTTGGTCAAACAGCAATTGCGGGTCAATCCAGAGTATGTCATCGCCCTAGATTGGGAGGTGCCGACAGAAGTGCCAGGTACCCCTGGTGTAAAAGTGACCATGATATCAGCGAACCATTGTCCCGGCTCATCATTATATCTGTTCGAGAAGCCATTGACCAAAGGCCCAGAGCCAAAGCTGCAACGCATCCTGCATTGTGGTGATTTCAGAGCATGTCGTATGCATCTTGAGCACCCTTTGCTTCGACCGGATGTGCAAGACCACATTACGGGAAAAAACAAAGAGCAGAAGATTGATGTCTGCTACCTCGACACCACCTACCTGAACCCCAAATACGCCTTTCCGACACAAGAAGATGTCATCAAGGCATGCGCCGACATGTGTGTGAGATACAATGATGACCCTCTAGTTCTCGATACACTCAAGTCAGAGAGTGCAGGCATGGCAAGCTTCGTCCGCAAAGATTCACAACCGTCCCTCAAACAAGAAAACTCAGATATCGAGATCAAGCAAGAACCCTCGGAGTCGACAGAACTCAAGCTTCACAACAATGGCAAATTGACCAGCACAAAAGCCGCACGTCTACTGGTCGTCGTAGGCACCTACTCCATCGGCAAAGAACGCATCTGCATCGGCATAGCCAAAGCCTTGAACTCAAAAATCTACGCTCCACCAGGCAAACAACGCATCTGTCGTGCCTTGGAAGACCCAGAACTGAGCTCGTTGCTCACCACCGACCCACGCGAAGCCCAAGTCCACATGACACCAATCTTCGAGATCCGCGCCGATACCCTCGATGACTATCGCCAAGGGTACTCCGACCACTTTGACCGTTGCATCGGTTTCCGTCCTTCAGGTTGGAACTACAAACCGCCCTCCTCCCGCCTTGAAACCCCAAACGTGTCCAACATTCTCTACTCTACATCATGGAAATCTGCCTATAGCATTAAAGACCTGTCCCCACAACGAGGATCCACGAACAGGGCCAAATGTTTTGGAGTCCCGTATTCTGAACATAGCAGTTTTAGAGAGTTGAGTATGTTTTGTACGGCGTTGAGGATTGAGAAGATCATTCCCACTGTTAACGTGGGGAGTGCTAAGGGGAGGGAACGGATGAAGGGGTGGGCGGATAGGTGGATTGCTCATAGGGAGAAGAATGGGTGTTTTGAGGTTAAGGATTGGTGAGTCGAGGGCTTCTTGGTTAGTGGTAGGAAGAGGTGCATTGTTAGCGGTTTGTGGAGTTTGGTGGGTTGCTCTTTGATGTCTTACTGGGTCGGGAGCTTGCATGGCGCACGTATTGGTAGGGATTATGGGTTCATGGAGTTCATCACAGGACTTTTTGCTTTTCTCTCTTCTTCCAGATATCTTAATGATCGAGAGGGATAACACTCTTGAATGGACCCGATCATGAATATCTCCCTTTTTCCGCCATCATCTTTATCTTCATCATTAATCATCTTCAAGTCAAGGTCGAATCTTTCACAGTCACTCGTTTAACTCTTAACCCCGTCTCCTTTTCTTTATTTTTTTTTTTTTGTTCGGTGCTTGCAAGTATATTGCAATGTCTTGCCTTACCGACTCCCAATAGAGCCTGGACGTCATTGTATTCTGTTCAAGTGAGGTTAGAGCTTCTTAACCGTGATTCGGGTGCTAAGGGCGTCAAACAAATACTACTAAACTAGTCTAGTCAGTAGGAGTAGCGACAGAATAATCATTCTCTCGCAGCTTCTCGTGTATCCACAAATAAACACATCCACCCTTACGAAACCATCCCTACCTTTTCCTCCTTTGAGACCTCAACCTCTTAAGCACAAGCTTCCAATACGAAAGTATATATCGAACCCATTCGTAGGACCTAATAGCCTGAAAAGGTAGACCAGTGTAGTGGCGGCTTTTCTCGGCCTTTGACCCAGCCGTATGCCAAAACTGATCTATCAACTTCTGTGGTTGAGTTCAAGGTCAGAGGGTCGAGTTTCTGGTGGAGTATTGCCTTCCTGTTCCTTCCTCCTCGAATATGGTAGGACACGTGATAGAGTGGTGATACCAAGACACTTGTTATTGTACAAACTAAAGAGCTAGATCGATTTCGTCTGACATACTACTCCCCAGCCCTCACCAACTCACCAAACCTAGTTCCAATCTCCCCAGCAAGAACTTGCGGATTCCCAACTTCAACAACACATCCCTTGTCCATAACAACAACACTGTCAAAATCCATAATCATGTCTAAGCGATGACTAACCGCTACAACAGTATACTTCTCAAACTCAGTCTTGATGATTTGTTGCATGACTTTTTCAGTAGCTTGGTCGACGCTTGAACTGACTTCGTCGAGAAGCAAGATACCGGTATCGGTGCCTTGTTGTGATCGATGGCGTCTGCGGAGTAGTGCGCGGGCGAGGGAGAGGAGTTGGCGTTGCCCTGCGCTGAGGGTTCCAGCGGACATGCTTGCGACGAGGCCGCCTTTTCCGAGAATGAAGTGCCACATACCGACAGATTCGAGGGCTTGTTGACATTCTTGAAAAGTTGAAACGTTGAGCGGATCCAGGTTTTCCTTGAAACTTGTTCCGTCGGGGAGGAACACAGCTTCCTGAGGTACTGCAAGTAGGCGTTGCCTCAAAGCCCATCTGTCGATCCTTTGAAGTGGCAAGCCGTCGATTGAGATGTTGGCTGACGTTGCTGATGTAGGATCGAGCAGCTTGAGGAAGAGGGCAATAAGACTGGATTTGCCGCTGCCTGTACGACCACATATGGCAATCTTCTTTCCAGAGTTGATGGTCAAATTGACGTTCTTCAACGCCAAGTTGTCTGTTTCGTCGTTCGAAGTCTCGGAACTGCTATACTCCAGTCAGCACAACTGAGAGTCAATCCATCAAGGCTTCTTACCTGTAGCTAGCAGAAACTCCTTTCAAGCATATTGTGCCGGTGTCAGGCCATTGCAAAGAAGGAACAACATCCTCGCCATCCTTGTCTTCCGGAGTTACAGTCTCATTGAATGTTTTGAGCCTGGCGATTGCGCCGATAGAAGTTTCCAACTTTGTGTAGAAGATGACGATACCTGAAAGATTCTCACCAAAACTCATGAGAGTAACGAGCGAAGCACCGGTGAATCCAGAGCTAGAATGCATACGAACTGCAAGAGTCGTCAAGACTGCAGCCATAATCATTACTACAATGTCGAGCACAAGATTCAACCATTGTTGAACCATGACCAGAAGGTATGCAGGGCGTTGACTGTCGTTGACCAGGTGTGCATTTTTGTCAAGCTCTTCGGACATAAAGCCTGATAAATTCAATCAGCAGTGATTACAGATACAGCACGATAGTGGTTGGGCCAGATGTGTTCGTGATGGTTCAAGCCTAGAATGCTAATTGAAAACTTACCGAAAGCTCTTAAAGAGGAGATACCTTTGGCGGTGTCAAGGAAATGAGTGCTTAGGAGATCGTGTCAGCGGGTTTCATAAAGTCAAACTCGGCGTTCAGACCGAGGATGTGGATTTACTTACTACAAGGGACTCTTAGCTTCCAGATCAAGCAACCTCAACTGTCTAGCGGTCCTAAGGTAGAACTTCTGTACAAAGTACAATAGAACAGCCAAGAACGGGTAGCTGATAGCCATGTAAGGTGATGATGTGGGCATGACTGCTGCTTGTCCAATCGCCGAGAATGCCTGCACAGAGTTTTGTCAGTACGCCAAAATATCTTTCAGCCTGTACAAGCAGGTTGAGTCCTCGCAAACTTACAGAAAACAGAAAGTTTAGGAGTGCGTTTGGCAATTCTGTATCCACCAGGTTGAGATCTTGCGAGAAAAGGTTCGTCACAACTCCTGTATCTGTGCCAGTGAAGAAGCTCAGAGGTGCTCGAATGAGCGTCTGTAGAGCATCCTTGTGAATATTGGCGCCAACCTTCTGAACCGAGACGACGAAGATGACGATAGCAAGCAAAAGGAGGGAGATGAGCCCAGAAACTTGCAGAAACGCGTATAGGCCAGCATAGTAAGCCCAAGTGTGTGCGGGATGGATTTTCTCAACATCGTCCGACCAGTAAGTGAGCCCTAAATCGTCAACATGGTAAGTAAAAACATGCATAACCTCTTCGCTTGTTTTTCAAAACTCACAAATTGTTGGAAAGTTCGTGAAAAATCCCCAAAGAGCTGCGAAGAATATCCCCAGTGTAGCCAAGACCCAGCCCATAGCTTTTAAGTAATGTTTGTAGACAGTTGCATCGCCATTTTGTCTTGCAGCGCGACTTTTGGTTGTCAAAGATGATGCTCGAGATGTTGATTTATACAGTATGGAGACTTTTGGTTCCTGCTGAGTATGCTTTGGTTGTGTCGGTTCAGCTAAAGTCTTGCTAGGGGAAAGCTTCCACGTTCGCAATTGCTGAACGTAGCCTTGGCTGCTCATCAGCTTGTCAAAGTTGCCCTGTTCAGCAATAGTGTTACCTCCAAGAGCTATGATGTAGTCTGCCAAAGGTAAATGGCTGACACTATGCGTGCAGAGCACGACGGTCGTTCTGCGCTGCCTGAGTATGCCGTTAGGGCCGAAGACGCGATCAAAAACCTTCTCTTCAGTATCGGCATCAAGGCCACTGAAAACATCATCGAGAACAAGTAGGTCTGTATGCAGGTAAAGCGCTCGTGCAAGTGAAACACGTTGTTTCTGCCCACCTGACAGCGTTATACCATCGGATCCGATGTTCGTCATATCGCCTTGTGGAAGCGTGTCCAGGTCAAATGTCAGGGCTGTGGCCTCGATCACTTCGGCGTACCGCTGAGCGTCGTAAGAAGAGAACCCAATAATGTTGTCTTTGAGAGACCCGTTCGAGAGGTAAGCTGTTTGTTCGCAAACACCCACATGTGGAACACTAGCATTGAGTGTCACCTCGCCCTCATAGAATGGAATTTCACCCAGGAGTGCCTTGCAGAATGTTGACTTCCCTGAGCCAACAGATCCCACCACAATCGTAAGAGCTGCCCTCGTGATCTGTGTGTTGATGTCGTGCAGAACGTATTTGTCCGCCTCCCACGCGAACTTCGCATCTTTGAACATGACCACACTCTGTGACTCATGACATGTTGCAGGTTCTTGAGAGAGTTCCGAAGACTTCTCAAGACTTCGCAACCTTCTGTCAATCATCCGGCGGAAGTCTTCGCGGGTTTCACATTCCAAGTAACTTTGTACACGGCTCAGGCAAGCCAGTCCAGACAGCACTTGCGGGACTGCTTGGAAGATCTGCGTCAGTGGATTCGTCAACAGCGTCAAGTATGAAAGACTGGTGAAGGTCTTGGAGACATTCAGTGTTCTCTGTGCAAAAGCGAAAGTCAAAGGCGGCCCAAGCAAAAACGGTAAGAAGCCGAGGAATGCAGCGACAATGGACAACTTTCGGAAGCGAGCACCAGACGCAAGTTCTTCAACGCGAAGCTTCTGTATGAACTTTTCGACAGCTCCTGAAAGTCCGGAAAGTTTCAAATTCTTCATACAACCAATGACAGTTGCGGTCAAGCCCACTCTCTTCTGAACTCCTGTCATCCATGCTCTTTGAGAGTCCCCTGCGAATTTCATGAAGATCACAAGAACAATGAAGGAAGCAAGTACGATTCCGATCGGTGCCACGAAGACTATGCCCAATTGGTTGTACAGCAGCCAGCTAGCAATAGCGGCTTGTATAACGCTGGCCCAGACTTCATGTAGAGATCTGAACCCTAAATCGATGCGCTCCATGTCGGTACTCATCAGGGTCACTGCGGCGTTCTCGTCGGAGACATCGATACGAGCTTGTGTTGTTCTGAGGTAGATCTCAGTAATGAGTACGGATCTAGTCATCGTGCGAACTCGATGGTAGAAGTACCTGTGTTCATATGTCAGTCGTGATTTAGCTAAGTACGCGGAGCGTCGTACCAGTACAAAGCGGTGGAAATAGCAATTCCAGAGTATATCAGAACGCTGGCTCCGATCAAACCGTAGCCAATATTCGCGTCAAGTTCGGGGCTTGAGAGGTAATCTAACATCTTTCCGATGAATAGTGGCTGACAGAATGTGAACGCAAGCAGAGCCAGACGGGGTATGATGGGTACGAGCAAAGGGCCCAGAAGGGTGCGTGTTAGTGTCTTGACGAGACCGTACTTGTCGCCCTTGATCTTAGCATAATCTAAGTGAGCCGCAAATTTGCTGTGCAGCGTTTTCGCATTCAAGGCGCTATCGAGGGGGTAGAGATCATCGGTCGTCAAGACTCCCTTGTAACCATCGAAGAACATTTTGTTGAGCCAGGCAAAAACACCAAGGGAGAAAATGCCACTCGTCTCCTCAGGGCTATGTTCTTTCTTATCCCAGGCTAGCCATTGTGACTTCTTCTTGGCCTCTAGAAGGAGAATAAGTAATTTCAGGCCAAGGGCAGCGCAGAAGACACTGCTGTACGTCCATTCGGGAGCGTCATTTGATGACAGGAAGAAAGTCCTTGCTTGTGTAGCGTCTGGTAGCAGGGTCAAGGATAGGTAGATTCCCAAGAGGACTGATGGTCGTGGACTTTTGTTATGATCAACAAGACTGAGGGCGATCATGGTCAAAGCAGATAGGAGCTTCAGAACCGATACTGCCAGAAATATACTCGAAGCTTGGAATCTGGACAATGATGCAAGGACCAGAAGAGTGAGCTCAAGGCCCAGATACGCAGTGATGGCGGCCTGTGGCAAGTACGCTGTCAGTGATACAACCCGAGGTGAATGCTATACAATAATCGTTGGCGTACCAATTTGATTGACTGGAAGATCGGTGCCTTGACCAATGTAGGCTTTCGAAATTGAGCGACAGCTCGCCATGATGATGCGACAATGAAGAGCACGGATGGTACGATTGAGAGAAAAAGCTGTTCGAATCGGATGTTGAAGTCGAATTTAACATTGTTGAAGCTGAACAGGTCGTGCTGACCCGCATCAAATGGCATTTTTGTCCGTCGGCTGTCGGGCAGGTGCTGACGACGTCCGACGACTCAACAACGCAGTGTGTCAAGTTGCCAGATAATCACAGAAGGTGCGATGAGACACTCTATACTCATTGCGCCATGCTGAAAACCTGAGTTGCTGGTCTTCGGGTCATTACGGCGCAGCGAGATAAGGAATACCGTTGCCTAAACTGACCCCGCTTCGAAGGATGAAGCTAACCAAAGGTAGACTCATGGTATAGAGATGATGTACAAGATGATTATTTCAAACAAAAAAACAATTGAAAAGGGTATCTAGTACAAATCGAAGGTCAAACAAACTGTTCCTGCATCTTGAGGTAGCGCGTCAAAATGCGCTAATGCATAAGTCAGGGCCAGGGCTGCCCTATCGGCATCGTGCCACCACTCAATATCCGTCATCTTCATCCTCGTCGTCTTCGAATTCCTCCGTGCCGATATAGCTTCTGTCAATCGCGAAAATCCATTCACCCTTGTCTCTTTCCGTTCTTGCTGCAAACACCCAAGCCTTGGTATTGCCATATACCGCAAACACGTTTTCAGGCGCCGCGACAGCAGGGACACCATGCCTGCCCACTGCCGTCGGCGCGCCACCTTCTCGTCTAAGCAATTTCGCGATTTGTGGCGCCGCATCGACACGCGAAGAATTGAGATTGATGGCGCCAATCTCTTCGTGCTCGGTTGCAGTCGCAGAGTGAATGTGCATGTATGGTTGACGGAGCTCGACATAGCGTCGCACCCAGCGTGAGGGCTCTCGAGCGGCAGGGTCAGGTGTGAGTAGGTACCCAGCCTTGAGCAGAGATGGGTTCTTAGGTATAAAGTGGACAGTGGCTAGTGACAAAGGTATGCCTGCTCCGTTGGCAGAAGAGGCGAAAGCCACACCCTTACGAGGTGAATCTGTATTTTCCTCTGTGAGGATTCGTTTGCCGATAGCAGGATCGGTTTTCCAGAGTGTGAGTATCTTCCGCAGAAGCTGATCCTGCCGTTCAATCGATGCCTTGTCGGGCGCAGGTGAAGGCATCGTATCCAGCGACAAGCTATGTGAGCTTAGTATACCTCTGGCAGCATCTATCTCGGCCATTTTGCGCTTGCTCGATCGACCGTCAATGAAGTCGTGAATCAATGATACACCACGAGGTGACCAGCCTTGGAGCATCTCTTCACCCTTGACATATGTGCTTGAAGTGCTCAGTCGCCACAGATCACCAGCCCTCTTAGAGGGTATTGGCTTTACAGTGACGGAGAATGTTCCACTCGTTGAGCGAACAATGCGTGAAGAACTGAAAAGTGACGAGAACAGCGAAGTTTGACGCATGAAAGACCGTCCTCTCATTTGTACTGCGAGGTCTGTCACGAACTCTATCGGCTCTGCCAGCTTGGGCGAAGCCATGACCCATGCGAATGACAGCTTGACACAGTATCCTTCTGCTGTCGGCCTATCTAGCAGCAGGGATTCGTGAGAGCTAGAGTCCCAGTGTGTAGTGATGCGAATGTTGGTTGTGCCATCGGGATTAGTGCGGACGATTGGAGGTGTCACAGGTGTGAGAACCACATCGTTCTGTTGCGAGCTCAGATCGGGAACCTTGCCAGACGGATCTATTAGATGGACGTTGCCGACTCGTAGCGATGTGACCTCCTGGAGTGGTAAAATATTGCCCGAAGTGTGCGTTAGATCAAGTGTGATACGACGTTGAAGACCTTGATGGAGCTGGTAAGTGCCCGTGTCCATGATGTTCTTCTGCAGAACCTCGACAGGCTTGTAAGATCCATCTTCCCCGATCTCGAGTACTTGGATTCGGGCAAACACATCATGTCCTTCTTCGGTGTAATATTCGTGCTCCGCTATACGAGAATTGTTGCGCTTCAACGAGGGCCTGGCTGCTGAGTCCCGCATGTCGTCCCAGCTCAATAGCTTGTCTAAGTGCGTACCCGAGACTCTAGCGAACACAGATACTCGTAGACACGAGTCACGCGGACTTGCAAGTGGCAAGCTCATGCTGTGCACGCTATCAAATCGCACAGGTCCTTCGTCGAAGTCAGACACCATCTGCGTGGTAGATGCGCCATCTTCCTCGGAAATGCCTGGAAAGAAGAGCTGCGCGTGAACCTCGGTTCCTTCCTGCTCGGAGAATCCCACGAAGTCATGCATAACCACATTAAACTTGAGCGTGGACGAGGGGGCCTCTGCTGAGGAAGGCTCGAGAGAAAGTCGGACAATGCCAACCATCGTGTTAGTATATGGTGAGTAAACGTCGAGGGTGAAATCTTGCACTCGGCATTCGAACACAGCAGCCAAAGAGATGTCAGCGTCTCCGATTCGAGTATACTGCGGTAGGCACGACTCCGAGAAAGGGTTATCCAGGCGGAAATGCTTGATGTACTCCGGCCTATCCATATATTGGAACACCTGGCGCATCAGGCGCACACGAGCGCGTAGCTTTTGTAAAGACCATAGATGGACGACATTGTGCTTGAAGTCGATGACTCTGACGGCTGTACATGGTTTGCGTGATGTGTGCAGGGCCATATCGTCATCTGCACTGATATCGCTCAAGACCAGATCGTATGACGATCCATACGTATGTCCTGCATCCGCAACGGTGAATTGGAAGACAACGTTCTTGTCCATCTGCTGGCTCATCACTTGTGCTTCTTTCAGAATTGCTGCATTCTGGAGGAGAGCAGCAGCCATGGCGACGTATCGTTGCTGGCGCCAGTGTTGGGTACACGACTTGACAAGATGAAGCTGTTTCTCTGTGAGACCAGTCTTACGATCCACAGGCTGCGCAGTAGTCTCTCGAAGCTCTTTTAGTTGACGATCATATTCGTCCTTCTGTGCTTGGAGTCGTTTTTCCATGTCCTCTTTCACGGCCTTAAGATTCTCTTCCATCTTGATCTTTTCAGCACGTATCGTTTCTACCTCGACATTCATCTCTTGAGCAGACTGGATCTGCGCTCGATATTCTTCTTTTTGTCGCTCAAGCTCCGTTTGCAATCCCTCCTTTGCTGCGCGTAATGTTTCATCCTCGTCGTCGTCTCGTGGAGTCGATGGCATTGTGAGAGCAGTGTCCAAAGAAAAGTTCTCGAGTGTCCCGTTCGACAGATACTTCTCTCGGACAGGGAACGAGCTGACCGAATCAGAGTCGTCTTCATTCAAGTCGAACAGTCGGCTTTCTGGTCTGCCTCTTCTGACAGCTCTTACTTTCTGTAGATCGTCAAACAGATTATCCAACTCGTCGTCTGTGAGGGCGGAGATCTTCTGGTCTGACCCGAGCATCGATGACACGGCCTCTCTTCGAGCAAGATCGTAGTCGTTCTCACGGCCACTTAGACTGCGCATAGGCATTGGTGAGTTGGCTCTCGAGTCCAGATCATAGTCTGGATTCAGTCTGCTAACGTTACTCCATGAGCGCTCGTGGCCATGGCTGACAGATGGTGATGGCGACGAAGGATCGCCGATTTCGTCTGCTGTGATTGAATGCTTCAATCGACTTCCCTCTTCGGCTCGTTCTGCTCTTGCTTCTTGAGGATGGTTGAAACGGAAGATATGGAAGTCACCCAGAATGATACGGTAACCACTACGCAGTCTCTTAGGCTGCTCGACGCGCTGACCGTTGACCATGACGGCTGCATTGTCTCTAGGAACTACAGTAACGACATCGTCTTCGTTCTCAAATGTGCAGTGCTCGTGCAGGATCTTGGACCCGTTCAGTCTGATTTCTGCGGTCTTTGCTGTTTCGACATTGCCGACCGTCGTTGTGCCAGGTTTCAGGTTGTAGACCAGGCACTCCGCGAGCAGCGGATCATCACTCAAGTTGACCAGATGAGGCATCTTCTTCGGTGTTGATAAACCAACAAAGCCTTTCTCGATGCTGATGCCGAGTTCTTCCAAAGCGGCTTCTCGCTCTTTATGAATCAGCTCCGTTTTCTGTAACTTCTGTTCCCAAGTCTGGTTCAGGTCTTGATACAGTTTCTCGGATTGGTCCAATTGCTCCACGATTTCAGCCTTTGATACCTGTTTGACCGTACCATCAGCTTGTGTGATGGAAACCATCTGCTTCTCCAAAGGTGTATCTGGCGGATATTGTTCACTAGCAATGGCGCCGGCCTCGCCCGCTCCTCCACCTGTCGTGAGTTTCGAGCGAAGCTGTGCCAATTCTTCCTTCAACTCTCTGATCATGCGTGCATTGGCATCTTCGTTCACGACAGCGTGGTTCTTGATGCGTTTGGCAGAGTCTGCATAACGTAGCGTTGATAGGGTTTCCTCGAAGTTGATGTCGGCAGGTGAGATAGCAGCAATCATAGCCGTCATACTGTTACCACCTAAAGAATCTTTGAGAAGCCATGTAAGGACAGAGTCACGATAAGGCACCATGGAAGCATTCTTCTTCTTGGCGCCAGGTTTGGCACTTGAAAGGTCGGCCAAAGCAGCAATGACACGACCAAGCGTTGACAGAGAGCGATTAATTTCCGCACCCTCCTTTAGACGTGCACCAGTTGCACCTGTAGACTGGGCTCTTTCAGAACCAGCCAAATCGACCAGCGAGATTTTGGCAGCCTTTTCCGTGTCCATTCCAGTGTCTGCATCATGGCGTTTCTGACTCAAAGTTAGGGTGAAGACAGCATGCGATCTACTACTGGTCTCGTTCATGTTGGTTGCTGCGACGGTACGGGCCTTGTTACCCTCATCCATGAGATGTTCTATTTCGGCGAAGGATCGAACGACGAGTTTGGCGAGGTCTTCGACATAGGGACCAGTCGATGGATGTTCGCGAACCTTGAGATTGCCCTTTGTCGAGGGATTCAACAAGTCTCTAACACGCTCGTTGTAGATTTCGAGGTAAGAGACCTCGACAGTGCAGGTGAGGTTGTTGTCCTTCTGAGCCTCTTCAATGCGCTCAAACATGGCTCTGCAAATCTTGGGGATGACACCCTCTTCTGGGCCGTAACCCATCATGGAGTAGGACTTTCCGGAACCAGTCTGACCGTATGCGAAAATACAGTTGTTGTAACCGCCGAAGGCATTGTCCAGCAAGGGCTTTCCGAGGTCGTCAAAGAGGTTGTCCTGGTCGGCATAGCTGGCGTCTTTCTTGTTGAAGGACCAGTAACTCTTGTCGAAAGCGAAGGTCTTGGAACCCTCGATGGCGGCCTTTGCGTTCTTGCTGCGAGGGTCGATGTTGGTTGGTGGAGAGAGCACGGTTTGCTCGCCTTTCATCTGCACAATACATTGTGCCTTGCGATCAATTTCTAAGAAGTTGCCATGTCAGTCCTGTCATGAATCGGCGTCGAAGGCGCATAGGGGAAGGACCTCTGCTGTTGAAAGGCCGTACTCTCACGACGACCTTGATGTTGCCTCCACCGCCCAACGCCATCTTGGCGGTATTGTAGATATCCTATATCGTGTGCTGATTACGTCCGGGAGTGTGATGGTGTGCGCCAGGGTATAGACGGCATGGCGGAATTGTTGATGGTTGGTGCAGGTGATTTGATTACACACAGTGCAACAAGACAACTTCCCCACAATCTACACACATGCCGTCACTCAGCCACAAGCAGCCACGCTCTCAGCCACACATTCGCTTCTGATCAAACCCTTCAAACATTTCCATCTGCTCGGCCTATCAACAAGATTCATGTGATACTGACCCGACATATATTTTACTTCTGACCAAAACACTTTCAATGGCAGAGGACATGTTTAGACCACCAGTCAATCGCGCCATGCGCGTCCTGGACCGCTCCTTCTTCCAGAAGAAAATTCCTGCTTCGGCTGCTCGTGTCGTCGACAACAAAACTATCTCTAAATGCAGAGCTGAACTGTTCCGCTCAAACGACGTTCTTCGTCTTGAACGCTATCAAATTGTCCGTCCTGACCCTGATGAGGCCAATGCTAAGGCTGGCAAAAAATGCATCCTGCTGAGACCGCAAGTCGACGACAAGGGTGAGACATCAAAATTGCACGTCATTTTCGTCGCTCCATCGACTAACAAATTTACAGGTGCAGACTACCCCTGGAGTAAAACTGTATTGGAGCTGGAAAAGTCAAACATGATCAACATCATTCCTTATGAAGTTCATCTTGATTATGACTACTGGGATTATCGTACGTCTACGGCCAACTATTGACTAAACGTGTGCTAACTATCAGCAGAGGAAATTGCCAGTGCTGTGCTTCCACAAAGTCAAGAGCATGATGAGATCCCTTCTGGCTTCACTCTTGTTGGTCACGTTGCACATCTGAACCTTCGTGATCAATATATGCCTTACAAGAACATCATCGGCGAGATTCTGGTCGACAAGAATCCTGCTGTCAGGACCGTCATCAACAAGATCGACGACGTTGGCGAGGAGAGCGAGTACCGTACCTTCAAATATGAAGTTCTTGCTGGACCAGATGACATGGACGTCGAGATCCGCGAAGCCGACTGCACATTCAGGTTCAACTATGCAAAGGTCTACTGGAACAGCAGACTGAACACTGAGCACCAAAGACTTGTCGACTCTTTCGGCCAGGGTGAAGCTGTCTGCGACGTCATGGCTGGTATTGGTCCTTTCGCAGTGCCCGCAGGCAAGAAGGGTGTCTTTGTTTGGGCCAACGATCTTAACCCAGACAGCCACGCCAGCATGCTTGATGCCATCCGCCGCAACAGAGTTGATCATTACGTGAAGCCTTTCAACCAGGACGGGCACGTCTTCATCAAAGAGGCCGCCCATAAGCTTCTAGAGACCAAGCATGAAGTACAGGTACTTGCAAAACAAACCCGTACTGAGGCCAAGGCAAGCAAAGCGCCGCCCAAGGTCTTACAAACCATCAAACAACCCAACACCTTCTCCCATTACGTCATGAATTTGCCTGCAACTGCCATCGAATTCCTGCCAGCGTTCATCGGCTTGTACACCGAGGAAGACAGAAAGCTGCTTCCTGCTAATTTCAAGTTACCCATGATCCACGTCTACTGCTTCGACACCAAGAGCGATGACAACGTTCAAGAAGGCATCAACATTTGCAAGAAGATCTCCGAACAGATTGGTTACGAAGTCACACCCCAGACACCCGAGCTCAGCATCTTTGATGTCAGAGATGTCGCACCTAAGAAGAGAATGTTCTGTGCTTCTTTCAGACTTCCAGAAGAGGTTGCGTTCGCACCGCGAAAGTCTTTGCCTACAAGGTAGAAGCAATAAATCCTTGACCGCGGCCACGATGTCATTACACATACTATATATCAAATGTTTAAAAAGCTTTCAACAACCATATTCTGCTGGAGACACCAAAGCTTCAACACAAGATCACAAGTAATCAACCAAGGGCTCATCAGTCATGTATGCGTGCGAACCAACAGCTGAAAAAAACCGGATATCAACATTCACTGCCCTCAAACCCTCTCGTGGTGCTCACCGGGAGCTTCGTCCTCTGGGTCTTCGAAAGGCGATCTCACTCGTATCTGATCATCCGTCGACGATCTTCGACTGATCACATACTCCGCAGGCCCTGTGCTTCGCCGAGCAGGTCGTGCCTCGTAAACACTAGCATTGCTTGAATACAATGTACTAGCAAATGACCTTTGAGAAGGCGACCTAGCAACGGCGATTGCGTTGGCGTCAGAGAAAGGTGAGGCGAGATGAGCTACAGGAGATACTGGTGACATCGGTGAAATTGGCGAGACCGGGGCGAGAGCTGCACCTTGTGTGGCTATACTTGGCTGCCGTCTTTCGGAGGACGTATGGCTCAACATACTTCGTGCTCGATAAGGTGGCGGCGGGTCTTCGTTGGTGGCAGCTGAGTGTATTGAGAATGTGTCCAGACCAGTGAAGTAAGTTGCATTCTGAGTCGAGGTGAGGACTAGCTGAGGAAGTTGAGGGGCTACCGTCGCTTCATCAATGGGAGACAAGATTGTGGTCTGAACTGGGCGACGGCCATCCGCACTGATCTTCTTCCCTGCTATCTTCTCTACCATAGCGACAGGTCCCACAGCGTCAGAGAAAACGGCATTGTCAGCAACAGGAGCGACGACACGTCTTCGTCGGCGACGCAGGCAAGTCAAGGCTATCAAGCCACTCGCTAGTAGAATCACAATCGGAACAACGACACCAGCGATTACAGTCGCATTTGGACCATGATGGGCTTTCTCTTGAATGTTGAGTCCAGGCTCCAGGGTTGCAGCGCTGGTCTCAGAAGAAGGTGTCGCAGTGTTAATGTAAGACGGATCGTGTGGCCAACCAGGTCGCCATGCTGGTTGCGTCCACGATATGCTGGTCGTCATACTTGGCGTGGCGGTAGTTTGCATTGTGGTTTGAGATGTGGAGATATAACTGCTCGTCAGCGACTGAGCACTATATTCAACAGCACTTGTCGTCGGCGTCGTTGCTGTCATGCTATTATCCAATGTCGCTGTCGTGGATCCAAAAACAAGATCAGTTGCAGTTGAGAAGGGGGGTCCAGCCTGATCGTCAAACCCGCTGCTTCCAGGTTGCTGGTCATCACCATCCTGATGATCATCACCAATCTGTGCGGAAGCTGTCTGTGAGGCCTCTTGGGCTGAATACAGCGACGCATAGTAAGAGCTACGTGCGGCGACCCAAGGAGGTTCTTGACGAGCCACAACCATCTTGGAAGCGATCAAGTTTCACCAAACAACACTTTTCGAGAAATCAGAAAAGGCAAATCGATTCTCACGAACGAAGATGAAGGAGAAGCAAAGAGGGTTCTGCTGAGAAGATGAGACAACAGCCGTCTTACTGATCTTACCCTCAGCTCCGCAATGTACTAATGTACTCTCCTCACCTCATGCGGCTAAGTGTATGCGGAGGAGCAAGTGGGGTTCCGATCTGCCGCCGCAAACTCTTTGCCGATCTTTCTTGTCTTTATCCATCACATTCGTTTCAGAACTCTGTTGAAGAACTGCTCCTACGGTCGCGTCTGCCTTCCGTCCATGCTATTTGCTGTCAAAGTTGCGTGCAAGCTGTCGATCTTGGTCTCGGTCCGAGACACCTACTCACTGCTAACCTCAATCATCCACCTACATCACGACCGAGACTTCACTACGACCGACCTGCAAGCCTGACTTTTGTACTCATATAATCTGATGGGGCTTCAACATCCGACAGGCTATGCTCCCTGCTCGATGACCGCTTGCTCTCTATTTATGCTGTGGTGCAGCAAGGTCAACCCGACTAAGCTTGTCCAGCCTTGTACCAAGAAAGAAACGACAAATGTCGGCACTTGCTGAGGCCGATGCTGCGCCTTGTTTGTACTGCTACTCGACATCAGTTGCAATGTTGAAGACAAGCTGTACCTCTTCTCCCAACATGCGTTTTCGAGCGTGTGTTACATAAGAGCTCTGCAGGTATTCACATTTGTACTGCTGGAAAATTGTCTCTTGTTTTGACAGTCTTCTTGCGTGAGCAACACATCGCCGCTCGATCTACTTCCCTGGTACGTATTGGACACTACCACATCAGAATCTGGAAGGATAATCCATGGACAAGACATCGTTCACTAGAACGATGCTACATTCTTTGACTACATTTGATTGCAACTCCTGTATCATCAGCAAACTTTGACACCTAGCTTATCCACGATCATTGCCTTCTACTACACCTCTAGACGGCTCGTAAACGGTTGAGCGGTCAGATTGCACAGCACATTCCAAAGGCCTCAGCTCGATTGCTACGGGTCAACGAGAAACGACAACCAGCTTTAAGTTGCTCGATTCTCCATCAGCATACGTCCATCATCCATACTCTTCCCGCAGCCAGCAAGACAACTTGACTAGACTAAGCCAGCAAATCAATCTTCCTTCCCATCTCCTGCATAGCATCGCTTTCCTTCACCCATTCATCACCAATACTAGCAACCAGCTCCATACCCCTCTTCCACAACTGCCTTGCCTCCCACCCCTTATTCTGTCCAATCAAACTTTGCATCACTTTCCTCATACAGCCCAAATACTGCGGACTATTCATGCCCAACTGTTTCAGAATCTGCGACAGCACTTGCATACCCAACCTCTGTGCCTCAGCATACTTTTGCTGGAGATTCAGAACTTCGATCAGATTCGACCCAGCCGCAATATCGAATCCAAAAGGTGGATTTGCGAGAAGGATTTCGCGGTATGTTTCTTCGGCAAGGTTGTATTGTTTTGTTTCGGTCTGCAGCATTGCTAGTGGGAAGATTAAGGAGGATGGTCGGGGGTTTACGGGTTGAGGCTGGTTGGGTTGGCGTGCTGAGCGTTGGTTGGCTCGTTCTTCCTGACGGATCAAATTTTTCAAGAGGCGTTCTAGTTGTTTGTATTTGTCTTGCAGGGATTCAGGTTCTGTAGACTTTGGTAGTTTCTCTTGCAGAATGGTTGCTGGAACTGTTTGTTCGATGGCGTTGCGTAGGTTGATGGGTATAGCGTCCCAGAATGCGGGTCGGGTATCCTCGGCCATTGTAGGGATGTTGAGGAATGATGAGCAGACAAGTCTCTTAGATAGGTGTTGTATTAGAGTAGCGGTTCTTTGGTTATATACTGAGCAGAGAATTTTATGTTGCTGCCTATTTCACCTCAGGGGCAAAAGTATATATGTATCTTTTCCAGCTGGTCTGGTCCAAACTTCCCATTCTACATTGTGATATTAGGCCGGGGTTATCGTGGAGCTCTATAGCGTTGCTGTCGCGTGAATGGATGACTGTTTCGGTGTGTGAAGCTCAGCTGGATTGATTTCTGGCTTGTGATATCGATGCGAGATAGCCATGCACAGGACGTCATCGCAATTAGAAGAAGAAATTCGGCGCTCTCAATTGTGTGAAAGATAGTTCTGATAAAGAAGTGATGTGTTAAATGTTTTAGCAGGTTGGCTTTCGTTTATGTTGTGATAAGCTTGCTTTCTCCTATCGCAGTTTCTTGCCATTTGAAACTGGAGCACTTAAAAGGTGAACCACTTTCTGCTTTCAATAAATTCCAATGGAAGTCATGATCGCCTCATTTGATGAAGCTGACGCATCAATTCTGTTGCGTTGGGACGTTATTATCTTTCTTGCGGAACTCACGACAGTGAAGTTAGGAGATGGTGAAGAAAGAGCTACTAGGTCGTTCCTGCCCTTTACACTTCAAGATCAAAATCACCACAAATGAGGTTGGAAAGAAAATCACCTCTCGAGAACAGAACTCTCAAATGATCGTTATCGGACTCATACAAAACCTCTAGTCTTGACATCGTCAAGTTCAACGATTCCTCCAAGCCCAACTACTATACTAAGCCCAGAGATCTCATCACATGAACGGAGAAAGATGCGATGGAATCACCAAGTTGCTTCTCTTCCGCCAGGGGCAGGTTATTGGCCAGATCACAGACTTCCCCGATCCCAATTGCAGGAGTCTTTGCAAGGCATCAACTCGCAACTTTCGTGGGTCGTTCTTGAATGAGAGCGCATGAATATGTCTTAGGTATAGTGACCCGGGGAAGGTATTAGGACCACAAAGGCTTTGTAATCTTCTGAGATGTTCTTGAGATGTTGGATCTCATATACGACAATCGTACCTTTTCGCGTCGTGATCATCTTGACGCAGTCGAGATTCGTTAAACCTTATGTGATGCTTTTGAAGCTATGTAGCCTGTCGAGGCAGGTTCCGACCGAACCAGTCGTTGTACTCGTTGTCTTGGATATTCAAGATGAAGTTCAAGACCTCACTCAACTTGTTGCCGGCGTCGAATTGGAATGGTTCGCCATGAGGAACGAGAGGCTGATAATGGCGAGAAGAGCAAACGTGCCTTGGTGTAAAGTCAAAGATTGCGAGCTTATGTACTCACATGTCCCTCGACTGATGTGAGCTCGTAGTTTGCTTCAAACTCGGTCCAGAAGTCCAGCAGTCGCTCGTTCCTGCCCTTTACACATTTATATCAAGTTTTTCACATGTCACTGTCCATACTTAGACATCTGAACGACACTCACTTGCTCTGCAGGGTATCTCTTCAAACCTATTGAGAGCAGTCACAGCAGCAGGTATTCAAGCAGACTCTTCGGACAAACAGAAGACTCAAACAGGACTCAGCAGGGCGACATCAACCAGCGCCTCTCTGTCGAAGGCGAGCTGTGAGCCCGATCCCTCTGCTTAAATGGATCAACTTCCGCTATGGTCATGCAATGTAAAGGAGGCTCTCAGGTTAATGACACCTACATCACTCTCCGCAACCCCTGATGGCCACGCACAAAGACAAAAATGTCGAGAATATTCATCATATAAAGCGGGAACGATCACCAAACAGGAGAGCCCAAGAGGTGTCTCCTCTAGTCATATCCCTTTCCTACATATCCTCAGTATGGTTGACGGCACTGTATTCCAGGGGCCCACGCCCCATACATGCTGATTCGACGAGTTCACACTTCTCTCGTGGCTCGGTTGGATACTCCACCTACACAGAGCTCAGATGAGAAGCAAAGAGTGCCGAGGGTATGCTTGTCGGACCTGATCATCTTTCCCACTTTCTGTTGGCACAGCCTTGAGGTTCGATCTGATAACCTGTACGTTCACTAATTCGCTTTCAGACAATGAGTCATCGGCCTTGTCCAGCGGCAAGAATCTCATGGACGCAAATAGTATGGTGTTGATCATCTTCATCCACTAGACAATTCGGAAGTAGTTTAGAGAAGCCGCTCCATTTGCTTTTATCCATTGAAGTAGTAGATGACCAAGATCTGAGTACTTTCACCCTTATAAAACTCGCATGACCATCATATTTCACACAACCTCCGGCTCTTCAACTACAGGTGCAACAAAAACCCTCCCGTGTCTCTTCTCCTTTAGTGCTGTTTTACTCATCCTCAAACCGCGGTCCCCGCTCGCCTTTCTATCCACTACAGCTTTCACTTCCTCATCACTCTCCTCTTCCTCTTCCAGATCCTCTAACCCACTATCCCTACTTGACCCCTCCGAAAGCACCAAACTCGGCACCTCACTATCACGTCTAGGCACCAGAAACGACTCCGGAGACTCATAGCCCCGTTTTCTATCTTCTCTGTCCCCGAATACAAATCGTTTGACATCTGCATCTGTTAGAGAGAGACGGCCTGTAAGCGGTGGACGAGTGTTGCTTGGGCGTTTCCTCTTTTCTGTTGCTGCCATTGATGAGGCAGAGCTTAAGGTTTGAGGAGAAGTTGGGGATGTTGGAGAAGCACAGTAATGAGTTGATTTTACTCGTCGCTCGTAGGCAGAATCCCAAGCTGCGGTCCAGGTATCGAAGGAGTGGTCGGGGATTAGTCCTGCTTCTACGTAGGCGAGAGGTTTGGTAGCATCGGAGGTGATAGGAGAGATAGGTGCGAGCGAGTCTTGTCGAGGACGAGATGGGTCTTTACTATGCTCGCTAGAATATGAGTTCGTACATGTTCCAGCATCATGTGTTTCGCGAGATGCCACCGGAGCAAACCCCTTCATCGCGTCGCGCGCAGCATATCTGGGCTTATATGGTTGAGACACAGCAGCAGAGGGTGGTGGGCTGGTGGGTTCTTTTTGCAAAGTGGTAGGTGCATGCCACCCGTGAACGAAGTCCCTCGAGATGGTTTTGATGAGACCGAGACCAGGTTTCGAATGCAAAGATATTGATGAGCGATGGTGACGGGATCTCGTCGAGCTTCGGCTCGAATCCTGTGATGGGTTGTATATCGAGGTTGACATGACGTATGAAGATATAGATGTGGGGATTTTCAATAGGTTGTTGGTATAGTGATATTCGAAACGACAGAAGAGAGATGGACGATATCGCACAAGCGGTTCTCAAAAGATAGAAATCAAGAAGTCGATACTGTGGCAATTGGAAAGAACGATAAGGCAGCACCTGCCTCTATTGATATATCCCTTCCCCCATCAGCTGGAGCCAGCAAGAGCGACACAACGCAGTGGAACCACATACCCAAAAAGCCAAAACAAAGCCACTTCTACACAGCCTAGCAAACAAAAAGACAAGATCGACAAACAGGATGGACCACAATTCACGCTGTTACATGTGAATGTGACGAGCCCAGCATCCCTTCGCCATCTTCTAGTCACGTTTGCAAGATGAACACCAATAGTACCATAGTAGAAGTCGCAACCGAAGCAGGCTGCCTGCTCAGCACGCTTTGACCTCGCCCATACGTGCGGTATAGTGGATCAGGTCACCTTCGCAAGTAACGACCATTGGACAAATCGAGCAAAGAAAGCCACTCACAGTCTGACTGCCAACTGGGGAGACCAACGATACAGATCCCAACCAAGAACGATGTGCTTTGACCAGACCCCACAGCCTCAAAAGGCCCATGGAGTGCGACAAACCTAGAGTCAGAAGTCTACAGCGCTTGGACAAACCCAATTATACCAAACCTTACCAATCACAGTCAAATACTAGCAACAGACTTCACTCCGAACTAAAGCGACGTTTGACAGGTAGCTAATGTAAAAGTCTATGTTCTAAAACAAAGTCAGATATGGCTAACTCCATGCTAGTCAAGGCTTGACTCAAGTTGAGACTTGTTGACAACAAACTGTAATCATCCATCTGACACAAGACACTAATTCCTCGAACTGTACAAAGTTTTCAAGATATGGAAGGCTTGAGGCAACAGCCCACCCCTTGTCATAGCTTTTTCTCCACGATGGAGGCGCAAGCGAACCATCATAGTTTCAAACTCTACTCCTCATCTGAATCCTCTTGGTCAAGGCTGAGCCAAGCGGTTCTGCAACGAACGGCTTCGGTACGCACAGCTCTCTTTCCATCGTCGAGGCAGGCCATCAACCGCTTAACAACCTGTCTCCTATACGGAACCACCGCCTCCCGCTTAAACTGAGTTGGGAGGTGTGTGAGACAGCGCAGAGCAGCTTTGCGAACCTGTGGTGTGTTATCTGGGGCTGCGGTGCATGTAAGCAGACGCGAAATCAACGACGAAGCGTGCTCGAAAAGTGCTGATGCGTTTTGCGTGATAATAGTCTCCAAGGAGACTAGTGTCGCGGATTTGACATCTTGATGAGCCTGATCTTGCAAATCAAGAGACTGTAGCAGGAGCAACACGAGTGTTGACAAAGAGTTCTCAATAATCGAGTAGGGTAACCACCTGAGAATACCAGATAATGCGACAAGGTAGTTTGGTTTTACGGCCGAGTCAGCGGTTTTGCTGGAAGTCGAAATGACTGGTACTGTCTGGTTGAACGTTTTTTGTTTGTAAAGACCAGAAAGGTAGCAATGGTTCTCCTTAGACAAGATGTCGTCAGGCGCGAGGATCGTAACGAAGCCACGGGCTGCCACGCTTCCAAATGTGGTATCCGACAATAGTTCCAACAAGCTTTGAAGATAAGCTGTGGTGTATTTGTTACTCTTGCCCTGGATCAACAGGCCTTTGACGATAGAGAATGCTAGAATGATAGATTCGGAAGAGCGATTTTGACCAAGCAAGGATTTTACGTCCGTAGAAGTGCTGATCAAAGACTGCTCTAGATCTGCTGGAGGTATGAATTTGTTAACGACCAAAGCAGCTTGTCGAAGTGCCGAAAGTTGCACGTTTGGCAATGTTGACTGATCGACTGCCGTACGGGATAGCGCTTTCAGAAGATCTGTAGCTGACTCGGGAGAAAGAGCCTCACGCTGAAAAGCAGCATTGAGGTGTAGCGAAGCAATGACGGCAGCTTTCGAGTAGGCATCGGATGAGTCCTTTCCAAAAGAATTGAAAGATGATTCATACTCCGCTAGCACTTGATTCTGCAAATGCATTGTTTGTGATTTGAGAATGATGTTACTGATACGGCCAATGATGTCCGTACTTGTGTGATCGCTCAATGAGCGAGAACTACCTTCTGAGAGACCCAGAGCTTGGTCCAGAAGTGGCTTTGCAATGTCTGAGAAATACGAGAACTTGATGACTCCATCTTCAGTGCCAGGAGATCCATTGGAAAAGGCAAAGAGAATGGCCATCAAAAGTGCGTGGATGTAGGTAATATTCGCTTCTTGGTGCAAGGCAGCTTGTAACTTGTTCTTCAGGCGCAAAACGATCGTATCGAAAACTTGGGTCTCTGTGCTAAGTTTAGTGAATGCTTCAAGCACTTTTTCGTACCCTGAGCCCAAAGTAGGGTTGTCTGGCAACTCAGCAAGGAATGTCGGCAAAGCCTTTTCTGACGTGACAATCGGACTGTGGTGAGCAGCCACAGCGAGTCCACTGATAGCCGCGCCTTCGACCTCTGAGTTTGCAGCAGAACGTTCTTGGATGATGATGTCTGTGAATGACTCGATGATGCGTGAAACGTCGCTATCGGCCAACAACTTCGGTATCTTGATCATACCGATAAGACCTGCAATAGCAAAGAGACGGAACGAAACTTCAGACTTGGGAGCGTTGATAACAGCTCTCAACATGGCTTCGAGAGCTTCCGCACTCCAATCGCGCAACGCGCTCTCGTCAGCACGATCTGCCACGAGGATGCCTTCGGCGTTGTAGATCTTCCATTGTTCCGAGACATCTTTTGTTGCGCTGATCAATGAGTTGAGGACTTCGATGAGACCACGTCTCTTGGCGATAGATTCGGATGATTGGAAAAGCTCGAACAAATGAGGAAGAACAGCCTTGGTCAATGTGTTGGCGAGTTCGGGAGAAGTCTTTGCAATACTGTTGAGAATACGACCAGCAGCTTGAGATTGTTTTGTTGGTGCATCCTCGAGATGCTCATTGCACTCCTTGATGACAGGCTTGAGGTAAGCGGTAAGTGCGCCTTCCTGGATCTTACTCAATTGGTTGGCAATTGCGGCAAGAGTAGCAAGTGCTTCTTGCGCCAGATCTTCCTCCTCAACATTCAGAATCTCAAACTTCAGCGAGTCCCAAAGTGTGACAGAGTACAAAGATATGGTAGCGGGCTCGTAGTTGTTGACACAGGCCTTGAGAGCCGCTAAAACGTCGCGCTTTGTGTTAATAGAGCTGGAATCCAGTTTGTCAAGGAGTGCGGGGAAAGAGTATGGAGCAAAGTCTGAGGAGGCCGAGATGCAATCTTGGAGGCGTCCCTTGAGGTCCTGGGCTGTGATACCATATGGGTCGCCTGGAGGAGGCTTGAATGTGATTGGGAAGTAGTTGAAGACCGAGTCGAACAGATCTTGTGCATGCGGACCAAGGTCCCACTCTGTCATGGGGACTTGTAGGATGGAAAAGACAATCATCAGATTTCTAGGATCCTTCTCTCCGTCAAAGTAGGTGATGAATCTGGCCAGGAAGTCATGGTCGTCGTTGTGCAGATCCTTGAGGGCCTTGCGATAGTTCCTGAGCAACAAGTCCAGAAGCTGAAGGATTGTGAAACGCTCGCTTTGGAGTTTGTGATCCCGTAGTGTCTGAGAGTCACTCACGAAGCTATACCAGTATTAGTCGCGTGCTTGACTGCCTAATTGGATGGGGACAACCCACGTATTTGCGATGTTGGCAGCGGTGTCCGAATCCCATTTGCCCAACTTCTCCAAGGCCATTAGTGCCCTTGCACAATGACCAGTGCCCTCGCTGTCATCAGAGACCCTAGTCAGAATGAAACCGCATAGCAGATTACGCTGTTGACCTTTCAAGACCTTTGGGGCGACTTGTTCCAGAACATCAGCCAGGTAAGAAAGCGATTTGATTCGCATTGCTGCATCCTCATGGTTGATGTATTCGCCAGCAGTTTCGATAAGTTCAACAAGCTTGAGGTCTCCATTGGCGAGAGCAGCAGCAGAACGAGCGGCTAGCTTTCTGGCCTCATCCTTGTTTTTGTCGGCCTCGACCAGATAGAGCTGTATGTCAGACATGATTTTGTTGTGTGACTGTCAATGGGTCAGTCCATTGACGTCTAGACTGCCTTTGTACGTGGTTCTTGGATGAGATTGAATTCTGGAGAGCGCGGCGGGCTGTTACGCAATGACGATGGTTGCGTTTTGGACGGCGGAGGTCTAAGCTCTGCGGAGTTTCTGGCCGCTGATTGGACAAAGGCAGTGCCGAAACATTTTTTTTACATGATGGACGCTTTTCTGGTGGGGTGAAACTGTGACTCGTAAGACTTGGGAGAATTTGAATAATAGGGCAGTGACAAGGTGCGCTCTTTCTTGTTTGTACTCACTTCCTGTCGCAGGTTACAATCCGGAGCTTCAACAGCTATAACAATCTCGTCGAGCTCGCATCTCGAGACCATTGACTTGGACCCGAAGCCATCAATATGAGCACCAACCCCACTTCGTGCAAGGTCGTCCTTGCGGCCAACATCGCAAAGAAGCTCCAGGCGGAGGTGGCCGAAGGCCTCGCCAAACTGCATCGCAAGCCTCACCTTGTTGGCTTCTTAGCGAACAAAGACCCGGCAGCGCGCATGTACGCTGACTGGACCGGCAAGACCTGTGTCGACAAGTGAGCCTGACCTCCTTCTACTCATACCCTACTCCTGGCCTTCTGAGAGAAAGGAAGAGAGCATGAGTCAAGACCAGGGACTCTGGGCTAACATGATCAAGCGGCTTTGCATTCTCCCTCCGCGAGGTTGAGCGTGAAGAGCTCGAAGAAGCCATTCGCGAGGCCAACGCCGACGATACCGTAGACGGCATCTTGGTCTACTACCCCGTCTTCAACACCTCGCGCGACCGCACCATCCAATATGTCGTCGACATGCACAAGGACGTCGAGGGCCTGTCACCCAAGCTCATCAACAACATGTACCAGAACATCCGCTTCCTCGACCCTCCCCACAACACTCAAAAGTCCATCCTGCCTTGCACTCCTCTCGCCATGATTAAGATTCTCGAATACCTCAATATCTACAACACCATCTTGGACTATGGAAAGAGACTTTGGGGCAGAAGAATTACCGTCATCAACAGAAGTGAGGTTGTCGGAAGACCCTTGGCTGCTCTGTTGGCAAACGATGGTGCAGAGGTCTACTCGGTAGACGTGACTGGTGTGCAACGATTCAGCAGAGGCCAGGGTCTGCGCAACCAACAGCACGTTGTTGAAGAGAAGCCCGACATGACAATGGAGGACTGCCTTGCCATCAGCGATGTTGTCATTAGCGGTGTCCCTGGCGACAAGTTCAAGGTCCCTGTCGAGAAGATCAGAGACGGTGCCGTCTGCATCAACTTCTCGAGTGAGAAGGTGAGTTCTCTCCATGGGACAGTAGAAAGAGGAACGGAAAACAAGAGACTGACTTGACATCCCCAACACCAACAGAACTTCACACCACAAGTCAAAGAACACGCCTCAATCTACGTGCCCGCAGTCGGCAAAGTCACAATCATGATCCTGCTCCGCAACCTCCTGGTATGCACCGCCATGGCCACTTACTTTAAATCCCTAACCCCCGCCCAACTCCTTGCCCTCAAGAGCGTCGAGACGCCACAAAACACTTCTTACCACCCTATTGCATCGGAAGAAAACACTTCAACCCCTCCCATCGATTCAATGCTTTCATCAAGCATACTCGAAGCTCCTTCTAAGACTAATGTTGAGATGTTGCTCAATCAAACTGCTGACCAGTTGCAGCGTATGGTGCAGAATAACCCTGCTGTTGACGCCAAGCCGGCTGAGGCCATTGAGAAGAAGGGTACTGTTGAGGAAGTTGTCGCTGCATAGATTGGCTTGTTGGAAAGGAAAAAGCGCATATCGGGATGGAATTTGGGAGCCGGCGTTTACTTGAAGGAACATGAAAAGGAAAGGAAGGGCGAAACCTATAGACAGTTCTTGAAAGGAACACTGCAATGAGAAAAAGTAATTTGTGATGAATGTTGATGCATTGAACGTGGTTTTGCAACTTGTATCTTTGAATTTGTTTTTCGTGTGTCTCTTGTAACCCGAAAAGAAAGAACCATTTGATTGATGACCCTGAACTCCACGCTCTGAAAAGAACACGACAAGTACTTTTTCCTTTGTTGGTCGTCGGCGACCAGACATGCATTGCTTGATGCCCAACTCTGTCATTGCTTAGACACGGATCTTCTTGATCTCGACACCACCATCGGCATCGAAATCCTCGCCTTCGTCGTCGGAAACAACAGGACCGCCTTCGGTGTCGTCGTCTCTGCTTCTCTTGAGACCCTTCATCTTTCTTGTTTGCATGTCGTTGAGGTCTTGCTTGCCGAGATGGATGCGGCCGACCTTGTCGCCGATAATGTCTGTCTCGATGTTCTTCTTTGTCTTTGCCTGTGGAATTGATTAGCATCTCTCCAGAAAGACAAATCATAGAGAGGTAGAAAAGCAGAGTGCAAAAACATACCTCAAGACCCTTGGGCTTCTTCATAGCAGCCTTCATCATATCCACATCCGCCTCCTTGACTCTGCCAATGCGGAAATCCACTCTGGGACCCATCTCCTCGACTTCCACACGAGGCAAAGATTGCCCACTCTTCTTTGTAGAAATCATGTATGTGCGCAGACAAATCTTGGGAGCGGGTTGAGCATCCTCCTCTTCGGCTGCAGAGATATGCACCATGTACTGCAAACCCTCCACATCGACATTATTCGTATCTTCGCCCTTGAAGAAGTCCAGAAGCAAACTCTTGGCCAAGGTGTATGTGTTGGCAACAGGCGAATCAAAAGCAGTGCCCGAAAACGACACCAAAGGCTTCAAGCCCACTCTAGCCTTATCACTCTTGAACTGCGAAATGGTGCGGAAAGTCTCTGGATCCACATGCAACTCCAACATTTCCAAGACTTTGTAATCGAAAAAGCGCACAAACGTGACAGTGTGGGGTCGTTTCTTGCTATGCGAGCCAAACACCATGAGCGAACAATCATTCTTCTCGGCGAAAAATTCCAGCGATGACGGGTCTTCGAATGGGTGAATGTCGTTTTTCTTGGTGAACTTTTGGGCCAGGGGACGTTTTAGAGAGTGCAAGTCGCCCATGCAGAGTTGGACAATCTCGGAGCAGGAAGTGTAGCGGAGGAACAAGGTCATTTTGGGGTTTTCGTGCAACTGGGGCGCTTTCTTGTCGAGGGCGCGCTTGCTGCGAGCGTTCTTGGGTTTGCTATACGAACAGAACATGTTAGCGCATTCCTTGGAAGTCGCGGATGACATAGACAGTGGAAAACGTACATCTGTCTCAACATCATGATGGCGGTCTGTCGTGTGATGTGATATTATGTGGTATGTCGAGAATGCGACTGCAAAGGCAAACTTTTGAGAAAGTCTGGGTCGCTGATCCCCGATTTTGCTCTTATCGATAACTCCAATTTCTTGGCATCTCTGCTACTTGCTGCGCCAACCACCCTGCCATGTCCATCTAGCCATGCTCCTTGAGCTCTACCTCTTTTCGGCGATCAGAAATATCAGTCAGGTTGAAGAGAATTTTCCGATCGTGAACTCTCGAAATTCGAGAGCGTTCGATCATGAAATCAATGGAATCGAGGCGCATTGTGCCTCCTTAATCTCAGCCCGGCTCCAGGCACGACATTGTATTCATCTCGGGTTCTAACGTGGCAGTTATGATATTGTACTTGTATAGCACGAGGTGATGTACATATGGTGACTGATCTATTTACTAGGCACCGGGAGCGGCCGGGTTCTACTTTTGAATGATTGGCTTCCGTAGGTTCTCGCGAGCACTCGCATCTTGCTCAGGTACGGATCATCATCCAAATAAGCACCCCTGAGCCATCTTTCGCCACCAGCAAATGCTGTTCTGGCGTGTAGGACACGGCGGTTGTCAAAGATCACACACTCGCCGGGTGCCATCTGCCGTCTGTAAACATTATAGTCCAACTCTGTAAGATCTCTGAAGGTTTGCGCCGCTTCGTGCCATGCTCGCATGCTTTTGGCGAATTTTACGTCGCCTTCAGTGTGGTGGAATGGGGCTTGGAATGGGGGTGCCCAATTCACTGCATCCAAATAATTGTACACTTTGGGAACGTTCCTAGGTAACTTAGTAACGTCTTCGCGTAATTGGAATGTGCGGCGACTTCGGAAATAATGGTGATTGTCGTTGTCATAATGGAAGTTGACTGGCGTCTCTGCAAGAGCCTCGAATGCGGCCTGGTCCATATCGTAGAGTTGTTGCACAGCACGATAAGAATCGCTGAACAAAGAGACACCACCTTGTTCGGACGCACGCAAACAGTGAAGGAGCTGCAGTCTTGGAGGTTGCTGCATGTAAAGCAAATCCATGTGGAAACCAAGATGCACATCAGTATAAGCGACATTTTTTGCGTTTGACACACTGCGCACATCCCATGTGTCACCATAGAAGGTGTTCTTCAGTGGTCCGATGCGATTGGCTGTTTGAACAACTGATGACTCTGCTTCGGGAACATTCTTGATGAATACCAGACCATACATCTGTAGTTGTTGCAAAAGATCAAAAAGGACCTTTTCGTCCGACATGTACTCGTTGTAGTCGAAATCAAGTCTGCTGTTCTCCAGCGTATTATGGTCCCAGGCGAATTTCCCACCCAAATACTCATGGGTCTTTGGGAAGTCTGGTGACCACGCAAGATGTTCGATATTCAGAACAGTTTCATGGTCTGGACCAAAGCCGGGGACATCGTGCTTCCAAGTGATGACAACATTTTCCTGTTTAGATTCCATGTTTCTGACCCTGATGTTGGTAGGAATGTCGGCAGAGTCGAAGCGTTTCTGTCGTGTAGATGTGTCGACGCACTGGGAGCAAGTGCACGAATCGCGAAGGAAGATGTTGTCGAAGACCCGACCAGCGCCACTGAGCCTACCGCCCCCTGTAATCCTGACAGTTTCCAATGGGTTGAGCCCGAGTTCTTTGGGAAGTGGCCTGCGCAGTGTCTGGGCGGGTGAATCATCTCGATTGGGTGCTTTTCGTGGTCCTCTTGATACGATAGAAGATTGATCCTGAGATTCAGCAGAGTCGATAGAAGTACGAGGGTCATAAGTTCCCAGTGCTTGTGACTGGTCTGAACCATTGGCCGATGGCTGTGACGTGCGGATCGTGGTCTTCTCTAGGACTTGATCGTTGACGTGATCGGGGGTTGGCTTGTAAACTGGTGGAGGTATGCGACGAGCCTTGTACTCATCATGACCAGTCTTTCTTGGTGACGCAGGCAGCTTCTTGTTTGCGGATTTGTATTTGGGCTGTGGTCGAGCATTTTCGGTACCAGTGATTCCTGGTGTCGTATTGGGAGCATCTAAAGCTGGCTCGGAGGCAGTGATGGATTGGTCGTGCTGTTGCTGTAAATCCTGTGCGGGCGACGGAACTCTGACTGCACGAGAAGGCCTGGAGCGAGGCTTATTGGGATCAGGATACTCGACCTCCATCAGTTCAAGCATCTCGTCGTAGGTTGCGGGCTTTACAGCCGCCGTCTGCCATCGTCGCGCGAAACATTGTGCCACAGGCACACGGCGTGCTCTGCGCAAGAGAAATGCTGAGGGTCGCACAGCTGCACTCATTACTTTTTTGAATCAAGCGAGAGACAAAGGAAAGAGGTCGAAAGGGCGAACTGGTCGAGGAAACAGCGACTGTGGAGTGTGACGGCGGCGTCCAAGCTCTGTTCCTTCCTTTCCCTCGGTTCTCCAGATTCTGGTCGGTGTTTGGCATCCACCTGCTTTATTTATCCTTCAAACCGGCCGATGCATGTCTGAGAACAAGGTCGAGCAGCTTCGAGATGAGGGCTCTCGCTCCCAGGTCGTCGCTGCTGGTGCCATAGCCGGCCTCGTCTCAAGGTATGCGCCCCAACCTCACGCGTCCTCGCTTGTCCCTCACCACGACAGTCACTAACATTTTGCGCCAGGTTCTGCATAGCTCCTCTCGACGTCGTCAAGATCCGCCTGCAGCTACAGATTCATTCACTCTCTGATCCTCTATCCTACGCTCACCATGCGCATAAAGGGCCCGTCTACAAGGGTACCCTGCTCACTCTCAAGACCATTCTTCGCGAAGAAGGCTTGACTGGACTGTGGAAGGGCAACGTGCCTGCAGAGGGCATGTACCTGGCATATGGAGGCATCCAGTTCCTAGCATATCGTTCTGCTACACAAGCTATCGATGAGCTCACCCCCAACTACAAGCTGCCCGGCACTGCTGTCAGCTTCATTGCTGGCGCTGTCGCAGGCACAGCCGCTACTACCGCTACATACCCGCTCGATCTTCTCCGCACACGTTTCGCTGCTCAAGGCAATGATCGCGTCTACAATTCTCTTCTATCGTCCATTCGCGACATCTCAAGAAACGAAGGTCCGAAAGGCTTCTTTCGTGGTCTGGGCGCAGGCATTGGCCAGATTGTGCCATACATGGGCCTTTTCTTCGCCTTTTACGAAGCATTGAAGCCTGCCTTTGCTGGTGTGTCTATGCCTCTGGAATCTCTTGGTTCTGGTGACGCCATAGCAGGTGTAATGGCCAGTATGCTATCCAAGACAGCCGTCTTCCCGCTCGACACTGTCAGAAAGAGACTGCAAGTTCAAGGTCCCACGAGAGCAAGATACGTCCACAAGAACATCCCAGTCTATGAGACTGGTGTCATGCGCACCATGGCTTCAATTGTAGCCAAGGAAGGTGTACGGTCTCTCTACAGAGGCTTGACTGTGGGTCTGTTCAAGGCTGCTCCCGCCAGTGCTATCACCATGTGGACATATGAGAGAGCAATTGACACTTTGCGATCGTTTGAGGTTCTGGAAGGAAAGCAATGACTGAAGCAGGCCAATCTGTTGGAACATGCATTGATAGCTTTGTTGATAGTCCTCTCGTCTAGAGCTGAGATGCAAGCTTTGATCCCCAGTACCTCTTGCCCACTAATGTCAGTCATCTTCTATGCTGTCGTAGTACACGCGACCTCTCAGGCCGGAGCTCCGACACCTCAGGCAAGTTAATCCCGCAAGACCGGTCACTCGTAGGTACCTGAGCTCGCCATGACCTTCCTCCGAAACTAGTCTCATTGTAACAGTCGTGTGTCGCATGACACCCAAACGTAATCAGCTAACCCAAAACATGTCATGGGCGACGTGGGGTAGCTTCCTGAAGCTTTTGCTTCCCTGGAGATCATCACGGTACCAGTCAGGAGACCATGCTGCTTGCAGCTTCCGAGTTGTTGTCGTCGAGCAATTGGCTTGTATATTCGATAGAAGTCGCTCGAACAGTGCCTGCCTTGCTGTAGGAATGTTTGCTGCTTGGATTGATGCAAGTAAAATGGTCGCACCTCCCATGTGAGCGTTTCAGAGCTCTCTCTCAAGGTTTACCCGCTAGTGCACGCCTTCCGTGGCCGTCCTCCCATGCAGATCCAAGTGCGGGGTAAAAGTATGGGGAAGAATGCAGTTGCAGGTACCTGAGCAGGAGCGTGATGGATCAGCTCACCCCAAGCTAGATGTGGGAGCTCCCTCGTAGCTAAGCTCTTGACTGTGACTACAAAAGCCAGACATCTGCTGCCCTTCTGCTTCCTTCTTTCTTTCCCATCGGCTCATCTGAGTCTCAAACAACAACCTTTAACTACTTTTTCCAATTCTCATACTACAATACCGGCACGATGAGTGCAATCGCTGAGGACGGTGATGGCACTATGCCCGAGCCCGTCAAGGTCCTGTTCACCCTCCACGAAGGCCTCGACGCTCTCGACTTCATCGGTCCTCTTGAAGTTCTCAGCCATGCTCGCCATGATATCAATGACCCTGGTAAGCTGCACTCCAGGCATCACGTGCTCTTGTGTATTGTCCTTGGAAGCTCAGTGACTGACCTGCGAACCACAGAAAGCAAGGCTTTCGAAGTCACCCTTGTCGGCGACTCCGATCTTGTCAAGTCTGCTCAGGGCGTCTCGTTCAAGACCGACATGACCTTCCGCGAGGCTCACAAGCACCTCGCCAACTACGACGTTGTCATTGTCCCCGGTGGAGGCACCGATAACGTCCTCAGCATCCCCTACTTCGGCAAGAACAAGGCGACCGAGCCCATGGCTCTGATCAAGTCGTACGCCGATATCCAGACCAAGAACCCCATGAGAGAGAGAACTCTCATGTCGGTTTGCACTGGCTCTCTCTTTGTGGCCGAGACTGGTATCCTTTCCGGACTGTCCGTCACCACCCACCCCGACTACATGATCAAGATGGAGAACCTCAACCAGAGTGTTTCCCATCGCGACATGTCTGAGCGCTTCGATGTCATGGAAGAGCGCTATGTCGTCAACAACCTTCGCTTCGACATTGACGAAGACGAAAACAACCCCTACATCCGCACACGCTCCGACTCTAAGACGGGTCGTCGTCCCAGCAATGCTCGCAAGGGCAGCTTCTCTTTCAAACAGAGCAACACTCGTCGTGAGAGCAACGCTAGACGTGCTCAGCTCAAGCTTGGTGGACTTCGCGTCATCACCAGCGGTGGTATTTCGACTGGTCTCGATGCCGCCTTTTATCTTGTCAGTGCTCTGGTTAGCTATGAGTCGGCCAATGAGGTCGCTCGCAAGATGCAATACGAATGGCACAAGGGTGTCGTTTGCAAGGGTGTTGATGTCTAATTGACCCCTCATGTATCAACAGAGATTTGGGAACTCGACGTGACTGTCGTTTTCCAGTCTGCAGAAGGCATTTGCAGCAGGAAAGCGCCTCTGAAACACGACGCTCTCCTCGCTCAGCAACATGCTGTGAGATTTGCTTTTGTACTGTTATGGCCTTTTCGACCTGGAACATGGTTGAAGAGATGGAAGAAACTCCAGAAAACCCTACATACCTAGCTAGCTATGCAGCTTGATCACGAGAATGAGATATGAACACTTTTGACAAACACTTTCTACCTCGGATACTTTTGGTGATTGGATGGTAGGAAAACAAGTCAGCAGATGGAGTGATGTCGGATGTGGAGAAGTGAATGCCAAGACCGCAAGACCCCGCGCATGTTTTCCCAAACTGACGTCGAGTGCTGCCCCTCCAAAATCCGCCTCGTCCCTGTAGAGACACAATCCATACAGCAATCATGTCCGAGACAGCAGTCCTACCCCCCAAACAGATCGTCTACTGCGGAGGTAAGGCTTGAAGCTCAATTTCTACGTTCCCCTCACTGACCACATCATTCGCAGTCTGCAGTCTTCCTCCAGAAGTAGGTTAGGCAAAGCGCGCCGCTAGCAACAAAATATATCAAAGAGCATGGGAAACTGATCGGACCTTCTCACACAGTACTGCGAATTCGGCGGCACAACAAAGAAGTGTGAAGAATGGCTTGAGTCCAAGCACCCCGAGCTACACAACAAGCTCTACTCTGAAGGTTCGTCTCCGTAACTTGCCCTTACTCACCGCCTGTCTATACCACAATCCACCCTACCCACAGTCTTGTATCTCACTGACATCTTCCAAAACAAAAACAGACGCCGTAGCAGCAAACCTCTCCACCCTGTCAGTAGACGCCCAAAAACGCGCCGAAAAAGACGCAAAGAAGAAAGAAGCAAAAGCCTCCGCCCTCGAAGCCCGTCGCGCCGAAGAACTCGCCACCTCCAAAGTAATCATAAAGCGCGTAGAACGTAACAAACGCAAACACGTCACCGAAGTCTCGGGTCTCGAGGCATTCGGCCTGGACATCAAGAAGGTCGCAAAAGAGCTGGGCAAGAAGTTTGCTACTGGGTCTTCGGCGACGAAAATGCCAGGAGGAGTGGGTGAGGTTATTACGATCCAAGGAGATTTGAGTGAGGATATTCTGGAGTGGCTTTGTGAGAAGTATGAACAGATTCCGGAGGATAATGTCGAGTTGGTCGAGGATAAGAAGAAGAAGAATAAGGCTGAGCCGCCCATGGTTGCGCCTCAGTAGGGGAGGAAGTTGGAAGTATGACAAGAGCTTGGATTTTTGCTGTTGCAACAGAGAAAAGGCAGCAGTTTTGATATCCTCGAGAATTGGACTCCTCTTGGTCACAGGAGAGAAAAGCAGTTTCGCAACTCTTGTGAGTTTCTCATTACCAAGTGCTTCTTCGGACGATCTGATTCAAAAGAAAGCAGCCCTACCATCTTTAGTATGCTGTCCCTTTCATGATAACACATGTTCTTCAACTTGAAGATGGATTCAGATCAGATGAGCAGAAAACAATACACTCCGCGGAACCTGACGATGATGAAACAAACCTTTTCCAAGATCTTCAGCATGATCAACTGTCCGTAGGCCGTATACGTCAAGAGCAGTGTCCAAACGAGGTGGCCGAGTAATCTGACATTACAATCGCAAGCTCTTAACAACCCCTGCCAACGCCTTTGGTAGTCCTCATGAAGATGCTTGGACCAGATCGAGAGTCTTGGGAGGCTGATCTACAGTAGTACACAAAGAGCAGCGGTCTGAGTTCATTTAATGCGATGCTGACGCGATTTAACCACTAAATCTGTACATTTCTATGGTACGAACCCTTGAGGCATTGAAGCAAGCGATATAATCATGACAAAGTAGTGATTCTAATGCTTTGAGTCTGGTGTAGCATTGAGTGACACACACTGTTCACAATGCCGCTCTTCCTTTCTGCTCTTTGGGTAATTGTTGCTCTACTCAGAATTGCGTCAATAGAAGGCATCTTGCTTCACTGTTGCTACGACGTTCAAAGATCATGTTTTCTCATATGCGAAGCAAGGAACACATTGAAGAGTATCAAATCATATCCATTATGTTCGTATCAAAAAGTCGGAACAACACTGAATCCTTCCTATAAAAGAGGTATGTCCCCTTTGGGAACGCGAAAAGAAAATCCCGTAGAAGTCGTTACTCCATTACGCCTGGGTCCATGCTCGTCAAAAGCCGGACCTTCTAGAACTCGTACTCGTCATCTCTCTGAGAAGAGTGGTAGTTCTGAGCGCGTGCTGAAGATGCATAACCCTTCGCACCAGAAACAGCATCGTTCTCAGTGGTAGCATTCTTGTCACGGCGACCTCCCATACCATCGCCTCGTGTCTTGTAGATGGCGGGTCCTCTGGAGTCGTCGCCGTCATCGCCAATATCCCATGACAGGCCGCCGTCCCTACGTCCACCCATACCGTTACCGTAGGTCTTGTAGATAGGCTTCTCAGGGGCAACTTCTTCAGGGTCGTCCCAGAGTGTAGGGGCACCAGAACGTCCGCCCATTCCGTTTCCTGCAGTCTTGTAAATCTTCTTGGGAGCATCTGATTGACCGATGTTGAAGTGAGGTTGGTATTCATCACCGCGTCTAGACTTGTCGACATTGGTGTGGTTGCTGAATGGTGCCTTGGGGCCAGCAGGACTGTCATCCGAGATCTCGAAGTGAGCGTTGGCATCAGGACGAGCAGCGTGAACGATGGGACGTTTCTCGGGGGAGATTTGATCCTGTATCACGTTAGAGAAAAAAAAGAAAAGAAGACCAAAACCAGACATACCTCGTCTACACCAGGACCAATGTGACGCTCCTGCTCGGGGTTGGGTCTAGGCTTGTGCTTCTCAGGGGTGGTGAAGTCTTGGAAGTCCCAGTTGCTTGTGTGCGTCGAGCCCTTGGTAGACATGCGTCTGTGAATGTCGGAAGCAGGGGCACTACCCTCGCCTGAGGAGAATTCGAAGTGGTCATATTTCCTGGGGTCGATCTTCTTGCTTTCGGGAGACAGGATTCTTTGGGGTTGAGTGTTCTCGTCGAAGAGACGGTTGTCTTGGAAGTTCTTGCCAGAACCGGCCTTGGGCTTTCCTTCAGGCTTGTAACCTTCACTGTTGCTACCATTTGCGAAGATCTCATCCATCTGACGAGGAGCGGGCTTGGCTGATGTACGAACAGCATACTCGGGGTTGATGTTGGTCTGGCTACGGGGTTCCTGACCCTCACCAGTGGCGAACAGACGAGCGTGGAAATCGCCGTTCTGACGACCGCCGGATTGCGATTGGTTCGAGGCGGGGCGGACAGGCAGAGATGTAGAGGTGGAGCCGGCATTGTTGATACTGTTCTTGATGGTCTTGATCATGTTTGTGCCGTCACGGATGGGCCAGTTGCGACCACTCTTGCCAATGGCTTCGACCTGTCTGAGAATGGTTGCTTGGTCCCAGTAGAGTCTGATCTGGCTGATCTTGCCTTGAGAGTTGTATTGGACGACGTGTACCTGATGTGTGTAAGTCTTGGGAGCTTGTCAGTATGTAGAACAGTACCAACCATAGGAAGAGTAGCGATCGAGTCAGCCAGCATGTTGTCATCCATCTGTGGCAGGATAGTACCACCTCCACGAATGAACTCAAAGGTGGTTTCTGTCTCGACGACGGCACCATCGGAGCTACCATAAGAGCTCAAGACATTCTCGGACTTCTTCTTGAGGACCTTCTCCTGGGCCTGGTAATGCTTGATGATGGCGACAGACTCGTGGATTGAGGTAGTAGTGGTGATATAATGAAGGGCAGCATCAGATGCAAGCGCGGACTCGGATGGTGAGCGCAGGAAAGAAAGGTATGTGTCGGCCATGGTAGGTGAAAGTGCTGTTCCAGACGCAGCGGGCGAAAAGGGTTGAGAAGAATTGAAGAGTCGAAGAGAAAACCAAGGCAATTGATAAAAGACAGGCTCGACCAATCGAGTAGGCACAAGACGAGTCAGAGCTTGCCTGTTCGTCTCTGTTTGTCGCAAAGTTGAAACAACGAGGGGAAGCGGGAGCTGCAGTCCGCGCAGCCGATCCATCTCCAGAGCAAACAAACAAAACATCCTTCCTAATCGGGCTCATTTAGCCAACATTTTGAACATCACTGTGGGGAAGCTTTTATATTGCAATCATATCAACTCTGTTATTGCAAGTCTATTTACTGAGCCTTCTTGGACTCTGCAGCCAGACGCTGCGCCTCTTCAGGACTGCCTGGTACTAATCCTCGTCTGATGGTGTCTGCCACTCCTCTCTTGAGTCCCTCAGTAATGCCCACGACTGGTCTGTAACCCAGTCTTCTCTTGGCCTTCTCAATACTGTAGTATCTCGTCATGCAGCTGTACTTGACCTTTTGTCTGGTCAAGTTTGGCACTCCGAGCTGGAAGATCCAGAAAATGTACTCGAACAAAGTTGCGATGAACAGTCCAAAGTCCTTGGGAATCGTCCAGACCTGGCTGGGTGTGGTTGTATCACCAGCTTCTTTCCATGCAGTACGAGTAAAGTCCCAGAAGTACATGGGCGCATCGTTGGTAATGAAGAAAGATTCGCCATCTACCTTCTCGTGACTCAATGGAGCAATCTGTCCTGCCTCTTCGCGCTCATATGTTGTCAGGAGAGCAGCCGCTGCCAGATGATGTGCGTGGGCGACATTGACAGACTCGGTGAAATCGAAAAGGTTGGTGTTGTCGCCAAGCTGGAACTTGGTCTGGCCCTTGTAGTATGCTCCGAGCATACCAGGAAGAAGGGTCTGATCGTTGACGCCGAAGATACCAGAAGGACGAAGTGCGCAGGTGAGGAAACGAGGGTTAGAGGCAGGGCGATTGTACTGGGTAACGGCCATCTCGGCAAGAGCCTTCAATGCAAGTTAGTGGTGGTAGAGTTCGGGTGGGCTTCCGGTGCGTACCTTTGTGTTGGTGTAGTAGTCAGGTTGCTCCTTGCCGGTCACAAGAGGGTAGGTCTCGTCGGCGTTGATCAGGTCGGTCGCGCTGTCGCTGATGACACTAGCACTGCTGGTATAGACAAAGGCCTTGACTCCAGTCTCAGAAGCTACGCGAAGAAGTGTCTTGGTTCCGTCGACATTGACTTTGTACAAGATCTCGTCGGGCATGTTGAACTTGGGGCTGGCAGTGTGGATGACAATGCTGGGCTTGATCTTGACAAACAGCTCGCGCATAGCACCCTCGTCCGTGAGATCTCCAAAGTGGTATTCGCAGCCCTTGATAGGCTCGGCAGCAGGTCGCAGGTCCATTGCTGAGAGCTTGGTGCACGCATTGCGTTCGAGCAGGAGGTTGATGATCTGTGTTCCTAGACCGCCGCATCCTCCAGTGATGAGCACATGGCCCAGATCCTTGGTCGATGTCGTCTTGCGACCGATATTACTGTTTGGGGTGGCCATTGAGTCGTGTGTTTGGGTTGTGTAAGAAGGATGGTCAATTTAGTTGAGATGGGAGCACCCAAAGTCGGTCGATCTGTTCGCGGGGAAATTGCTACTCGGGAGATTGGCCAGTCCCTGGATGTAGACACTCACGCCATTCTCAAGACATGCACTGGAACACGATTTTGAAAAGCTCAATGATGTGAATAGATAATGTAGGTGTATTACCATGCTAAACTATAGATATTCAAGTAAGGTCATCCACCTCATGTCGTTCTCCAGCACCAAAACCATGGCCCACAGAGGATTGTTGAAAACCTGATTATTCTTGTTAGCAATGAACAAGACGTAGACTTCTTGGTATACAAGTAGAAGGACAGGGGTAAAAGTCAGAAGGAAGGCAACGGAAAATGTCCACAGGGTTTTGCGCTCTCGGACAAGACAATAATTTTTACATCCGAAAATACTTCATCATCCGAGGAGAGGGTGATATGTGCTGTTGGAAAGACAAAGCTTACCTCTGAGATGACAACGTTTCTCAAGCAGAATGGTGTGCGGGTTTGTACACGATATGATGCGTGACTGATGTGATGTAGTGAGAGAAGAGAAGTTTGCTGAAGAAATTTGGAAGATGGATGGAGTCGTGTTTGCTTGGCATTTTGCATCTGCATTGTGGAAGGTCACAGCGCTCCTCTATGAACAGAGAACTTGAGCTGCCAATTCTCGAGAGTCATGTACAATGATGAGACCCGGCGAGTTTGCATAGCCTGTACAGAGCAGATAGCTAGTGAGTAAATACGTGAGAGTTAGATGTAGCGAGCTTTTGTCATTCATGACTTGCTTGCACAATCCTTTGAGCACATCTTGTGCAATCTTCGAGACCCCGACCGCGATATCATGTGATTTCAGCCCTATCATCCGGTGAAGCAACACGGCTCACGACAGACATCTTGACACTGCCGAGTCGCGGTACAGCTCCGCTGCAAGGCGAACAGTCATTTGTTGATCCTTTCATCCAGCGGCAGGCTTACGGCCGACTCATGAAAGTTGATTTCTGATCCTCCCGCGAGAGAAGCAGAACGACTTGAATGGAACCTGGAAGCGACCATTTTCCTGGGAGGAGCACAGCCCGGCGGCGTTACATTTTGGCCGAGAGCCGACTTGACGCCAACGGTCTGGAGAGACCACGGACCCTGATGATGACTTGCCACGAAGGTGAGGACTTGAGAAGCAGAGTCGAGTTGAAGAGTGGGTGGTATAAGCATTAAATTTGAACATTCTACCAAGAGAGAGCAGCTATAATAATTAGCATCATCAAGCAACAGGGATCAAGTTGGTAAGGTGTGCACGTGGACGCGTGATCCGAGGAAGGAAGGTGAGGCGGAGTACGAATGGCTGCTGCCTAACATCTTCAAGAACCGCTGCGACGACCTCAGGAAGACGAACCAACGATTCCCTCCCGGTGCTTTTCTTCGACTTTGTCAACGTGGCCTTCGCTCAAACATCATAATCCTTGCTTGGCCTCGCAACTATTCATCTGCCCCTTCTTCGCGCCCGAACTTTCGACGTCTGTTTTACTCCATTCTCGAATCTTGACTTTGCGCCCACTAGCCCGCATCTCGACACCGCCGCCGTCACCGGTCAAGCTCTTGCTATCCACACCACAACTCGCATTGCTGTCCACTTCCAATCTGCGCCCTGTCTGGGTCAACCATTCGGAGCTGTCGCTGCTTCTCGGACGTGACTCACCCGCACTGGCCGTGTCTTGCGACCAATCAACACCATCCTGGCCCTGTTTGATTCGACCAACGCACCCTCTCAGACCACTTAGCTGTACCAACAGCATCCTTCCGACATGCCATCCAAAACCTCTTCTCATCCCCGCCGTCGTCAGGGCAGTCCCTCAACCACTGCTGCCCTGATCGACTCCTTTGCTGGCCTGTCTATCCAAAAAGGAACCACTTTCCACTCTCCATCTTCAAACAAATCAGAACTCTTCAACCCTCTCGACGCTGTCGCTCGGTCTATGACGACTCGTTCTGTTACAAGTCCCAAAGCCCTTGAAGACTTGCTTATCGGTGCTGGCGAACGCAGAGCTGCAGACCTTCTTGCCAAAGTCGATCAAGCCATCGCCGACAACAATTCTGCCGCTGCTCTTGGAAAGCTTCTTGCCGAGCCTGAAGCCTTGCCTCACCCTCGTTGTGTTCTAGACAACTCTGGTCTTGAAGGCATCGCCCAAGAACGTCGTGATAGTCCCAACAATGCTTATGACAGTGGTCTGGGTTCTAGCATTGCCGATTCTGACGAATTCGACACCAAGAAGACCAAGGCTTCGACCAAAGGTAATATTCACTTACTTCCTATTGTTGATAATTTAGGCAGCGCTAATTATTGTCTATTGTCAGGCTCCGCATTGAAGAGATCTCCCTCTTCAGCCTCAAGCTCGTACGCTGACGAACACCTCAGCGAGTTCGCATGCGAGCAGATCCACAACTTCATCGTCAAGCCTATCCTCAAGCAACAAGCTCTTAAGGACTTCCATCCCCTTGTCAGAGGTGTTCCTCGACGCATCGCCTCTCGCCAAATCACCACCCTTCGTGACCTCGAAAAGACTTTGGTTTTCTTGGCTCCTGTAAGTATCTACTGCGGACTTTCTGCCCGCTCAGTTGCTTATTTTCGTTCTCTTTCTCAGGATTACTCTCGTACTCCTTCTGATTATCTCAACTTTTGCGAAACCTACATCGACTGTCTTCACGCTACTGTCGACATCGTCCACGAGTCAGACCACTGCTCACCTTCAGATCGTCCATACACCAGCAACTACTTCATCGACTTGGTCGGCCAAATCCGCAGATACGCACAGATCGTTGCATCAACTCGCGCAAAGAAAGAACGTGGAGAAGAGCTCGACGAGATGGATGTTACTCCGTAAGTGGTTCTGATGTTCCAAATTTAGACTTGGCGCTAACGTATGACTCAGTGATGAACGCCTGCAACTGCGGGGCGGCCACCTCAGGGGAGGTGCAGCCGACAGTGTGACTCACAACACACCTCTCCAACTCGTCCGCCACAAAGCAGGCAAAGACATTTCTCTGCTCGATGGCTCCGTCCTTTCTTCTGTTGCAGACCACTCCATGTCTTCATCGAAGCGTCCCATCATGGCCGACTCTTTGAATGATGACGTGGAGAGGTCCATGGCACGTCGTAGAAAGGGCGAGCCTATCAAGACGTACGACTGCGGCTTTGACGGATGTGACAAGATCTTCCGCCGTCCTTGCGACCGTACCAAACACATGAAGAGTCACGAACGTCCTTGGAAGTGTCCTCACACTGACTGCAAGTATCACGAGGAGGGCTGGCCCACCGAGAAAGAGTGTGAACGCCATGTCAACGACAAGCATGCCGAGTCTCCAATCATGTATGCTTGTTACTGGTCCACTGTAAACAACTGCCCTTACCAGTCGAAGCGCCTCAGTAACTGCAAGTCACATATGGAGAAAGCCCATGGCTGGGTATACATTCGTTCAAAGACAACGGTGAAGAACGGCAAGACCAAGGTGAAGCCTGATCAGAAAGAGCCTATCCAGCAACCCATCAAACTGGTTGGAAGTGTCGCTGCAAGCGCAGCCACCCCATCAACCTCGTCGGCCTCTGCATCCACATCCACAACCCCCTTCATGCAGACAGAGCAGTACCCTCCAGTGAGTGACCTGTCCACCACCTTGACTTCTCCTCAAGAATTCTCGGTGCCCTCCATCGGCCAAGGTATCATAACTCCCTTTGAGAGCCCCGACTTCAACATGGCTATGGACTTCCAGCCAGAGTTCGTTGATCACTTCAACTTTGATTGGGCTAGTGCCTTCACTCCAGGTGTCAACAACCCTCTTTACACCCCTTCGCTTGTTGATGATCGCCGTTTGTCGCACGATTCGTCTGCTGTTAATACTGCACCCAACTCGACGCTGCTTCAAGGTGAGACATCTTTCGACGACGCATTCAACCCTCCCACACCTGAGGACAGCCCTCACTTTGTCGCCAACAACGGCTTCAAGATGGAACAAGGTTTCCAAGCAGGTCCAAGCAACTACATCAGCGACCAGAGTCTTTTGTTCTCACGACCTCAGTTCCTGGTCAATGGTTCTGATCCTATGCTCACTGTCCCTCAACCTCTGACTCACCAAGGCTTTGGTGGTGATGCTTCTATGGACATGAACATGGCCGATGACGACTTCGACATGTCCAAATATCTGCCTTCCGACTACAACAACACCGATTCTCTCTTCCCCTCGAACAACGATTATGGTCTCGGCGCTCAATTTGACGAGCAATCGTTGTTCCCTTCGGACAACAGCAGCAACACAAACAAGGCCAAGGAGAACCCCTATGCGAAGTTCTTCCCTGAGCTTCAGTAAAAGTTGTTTCTTCAACTCATCGACTTACACCATTTCGACATTTCTGCTTCCTATTTTCATCCCCCACTCCACGCTTTTGTCGTGTCGAGTTCTTTCTTTTCACATATCTGCACGCGTTTGTGCTTTCACGACGGCTACGAAGACTTATAATAATTTGGATGGACGGTCCCCAAGAGGGGTAAAATGGATGTTCACACTGAAGAAAAGCGAAGATAAAAAAGAGGAGGCTGTTTATGTAACATGCTTTGCTTGCTTTCTCTTTACGTTATCAAGGCGTTTGATGGATCACGGTTTCACGGCTCAGAAGGTTGTCACGATCCAAGACAGCACTCAAGGTTAGCCGTTTCCCCTCTCCACCCAAATTGGCTCTTCTTCTTATACTCCACTACGGAGGTATATACACCAATCCAATCACTCTCACCTGATAAATTACATGTTCCCTGAACCTAATTGCACGTCCAACATGCGCATAAGCTCGCTGTTTCGCATCCAGAATCCCCTACAAAGGTTACGTTCCTTGGCAGGATGGGGTCAAGCCTATCAGCTGTTTGTCCCCTACGATTTAGCTATAGGCTGTCTTGAGTAAAGAAATGGCTAAGCATAGATGAACCTCTAGGTCCACTGATAAGAGAACGATGATGTGATTGTGGTTTCATTCTGCCAACTCAAACTGACGTGCTGATAGTGTTTCACCAGCCACTGATTACGACGTAGCAATGAGCATAGCATATAACTGCGTGCCTTGAAGCAGGTGCAGCAGTACTTTTTCTGTTCGTCCATCCAGTATCTCATCACTAATTTCGACATCCAAAAAGCGAGGAAACAACAACCAAAACTCCATTTCACCATCTCCGTTGTCACTGTCACCTTCCGTCGTTCCTTCCCAGCAAGCACCGATTTTTCTTCTCTTCTCATATCTTTTCACCAAAATGCCCTCACCATCATCCAAGGGCAGACGTCGTTCCTCGCTCTCAGCAGCCTTCGATAACTTTCGCAACAAATGCCGCAGAACCAGAATCGACAGCCTTCTCTCACCTCCAAAGCTAGACTCTGGAGCTTCGAACGATGAAGAGGAGAGTTTCAATTCTCCTTCCGATGAGGAAGGCGTGCTCCTGACGACCAACTCGGGTGACAAGAGTCCTGGGACTAGAGATGGGGAGCATCATGAACAAGCAGAGAGCACTCATAGCCGCTGCGATAGCAGATTACCTGAGATTGTCGTCGATGACTGCTCTTTCGCTACGGGCTTTGGGATTGGAGCTCGAGACAACGATACCAGTCCCGACGAGAACAATCGACTCGTCTCTGCTCTCGCAGACTTTACTGCCGAAGCTACGGAGCCTGAAGATTTTGGACGATACTTTTCTCTTTCTCGTCAAAGCAATGATTGTCAGGCTGCTGATTCGAATATCAGTCCTACCGAAACCACGACTACTGAACTTGCCTCTCTACATTCGATGAGTAGACTATTGCAGTCAGATGACTCAGGCTCGACTTTGGAGTTCGAGATTGGGGTGCCTTTGCAGAGGAGTCTTGCGAGGACGAACTTGCAGCAAGAGTGGACTACGCAGGTGCAGACTGAGCCGCAGACACAAGAGCAGAGTCTGTTGCAAAGCACTTATGCTTTGCTGGATGAGGTTGTCCACGAGACTGTATTGATTGAAAAGGAGAAAGACGCAGGTCAGGAAGAGGAGGGTGCAATGAGAAGAGGAAAAGCAACATCGCTGATGAAGACGGTCGATGGAGTGAGACTGGATGCGAGGCCTTTGGTCAGACATTCTGGTACTGCAGCACCACCACACAGTTCCTTGCAGTTGTGTAATCTCTCGGGTCCCAGCAGCCCTGGATTGGTTGATACGAGAAGGCAAGGAGTTGTCGGTCAACCACGTCCGCAACTTACTTCTTGGTTCTCGTCGTCAAGCGAGTCGAGCACCGATGGTATACACCTAAGCTTACCTTCCTCCCGTCGTCGCCACATCAAGAAGACAGACCTGTCTCCGCCTTCTACCATGTTGAGGAGGAAACGCCATCAAACGACTCACGACACCAGACCTCTCCTCTCTTCCCCTCCTCCGTTCTCAGAACCACCAAAGCACTCTGATATCACCAGCGCACCCAGAGGCACTCAAGTCGACAAATCTAGAAACAAACAAATGGAATACTCCCATACCCCTCCCTCTCCACGACCAAAATCAACATCAGCCTACACAACCCTCTCTTCTGCCTCTTCCATCTCCAATTTCCACTTTACTCTGAACGCAAAACTGGACGCCGCTATCTCTACAGGAGCAATCAAAGCACATCAAGTCGGTGTCAAAGAAAGGGTGCGTAGACTTTCTGGAGCTAGAAGGAGTTTGCAACAGGGATGGAAAGCTGGTGGGAGAGTGGCATCTGAGGGAGCGAGAAGAATGAGTGGGTGGGGAAGAGGGATTGGTGAAGCTGTTGTTGCGTCGGGAGGTGTGGGTGTTGGATGGGGTGATGTAGCAAGAGAGGGAGATGATGATGTTGGGAGAAAGAGCGCTACCATGTACTATGGCGGTGGATTTGTCTAATAATCCAAATGAACTGGTCTCACTCTTTTTTTTTTTGGGGTCTTTGAGTGTTTCAATGGAAATGAGGATGGGCACCTGGAACGAGGGCTTAGAGGCAAGGAAAACTGTCATCGAATCCGAATTGAAAAGCAGCCTTCTCCCTTCAAACTGTTCACAAGCATATGCATGATGGCTGTCTATGAACAGCCTGGCAGTCAGTGGCTCATGACTAGAAGGTTTCTCAGCGAGATATGACTTTGACCTAAACCTCGCCTGCTGATTGCGATGGATGTCGAACTAAATCGTTACGTGCAAGGTGGGAAGGTGGCAAGAGGCTAGAGGACGTCCTTTCTCTGACGAGTGTTGCCAAGAATGGTCCTAAGGCGCCATTATTCGTGTTTCAAGGATCTGCATGTACCGCCAGAATCAATCGTCTTCCCGGCGAGAAAGCAAGTTGCATGCATCAGAAATCAATCAGCCTGATCATCAACACAGAAAACTCTTCTTGTTTGAATCAAGATGGCGAGTCTCCAGTATGAACAACGCAAGTCGAAATGCCAGAAGGCTGACCGAGTCCTCCACGGCATGACTTCATCTGCGAAAGATGACAGGAAATTTGTCTTGCTCTCAAGAGCTTCTTCTTCTCATGAATGAAAGGAACTGCACTCTTTGAGCGATGTTGTGATGACCGACACACAATTTGAGGGTCGCCTTGAGAAGCCCAGCCTGTAAAGAGTACCAAGCCGGCTTGCGTATGTTGGTCATGACCTAAGTACAAGGAGAGCCAAGTGCTTGACGTGCGTAATGAAGGAAGTACTGGACCGGATATCATGCATGGTGAAAACTCTTCAACACAGCACCAATGTGGAGCAAGACCATGCGCCATACGGCTCCAGGTTCAGAGACAGTCAACTCGTATGCAGGGCATCATGACCTACGATTGGTTATCTGCACTTCCAGCTTTCTGTGTAGACAATCACAACTTGTTGACCTGGGGGAACCCCGCGGTTATGATACCCAGCCTCGAAGTGACCTGGCGGTGGCGAAACCACACACGCGGCCGAGCAATCCACTCTACCATGCAGCTCAGGTATAAATCTTGGATTGTGCGCTCGTCCCTGTCGAAGAATATCAGCAACGGCCGCAACACACTCAGACCACCATTGTCCTATAGTTCTCTTTGAAATAGCAGAAGCTTGAGTCAATACCTGAAGCCCCTAGATCATGAACATCCAATTCGACCCTTTCAGCTTCGGCGTTGCAACTTTTGCTCTTGCTGTTGCTATCATGCAACTCTTCTGGAATAGATCTCAGCATCGCGATGTTGTATGCCAAAGCCCTTCCAAAGTCCTCTGCAGTGTCTGACTTGCCTTCGAAGCAGGCTGTGATCAATCATGTCTAAAGCCATGACCTACCACAACATGATCAATGGGGTACGACGATGCTCTTCGTGTCAATGTTCTGCTGTCTCTGACTGTCTTGCTGCAGACTGATTTCGGTATGAACGACCTAACCTCACGAGACGTTCGCACTTTTCTCATCGTGGCATCAGGGCTTTTTCATCTGTTTTTCGTTCATGTCTTTGATAGCTTCTGGGAGCGGTTGAGCACATCTTGTATTAGCATGGTGCGTGGGTGGAATGAGACATTGTTATCTCATCTTTGGTATTAATCCTTTCGTCTTGACGTTTTTGCGTCAGGATAGAGCCGCTCTTCATGCTCCATGATCAGATGCCTCTTCGCTTTGCGATCTCTGTCGCTCGCATAGATCGTCTCCCTTAATGGTTATGTATGTGCATGCTTGGGATTGCAACAGAGGTAGATAAGGTGACAGAGCAGAGGGATTTGACATTTCTTCCTAGGCGAGAAATCCGGAAGGCAACTCACAAATATACTCATAGTATAGAAGGAAACAAAATGGGCGTGGTAGAATCAAGGAATTTAGGCAGTTTGCGATGCAGCACAACATAGAGTACATGCATGCGACCTTCTGCCTTCCCAAGCATCTGGCCTAATGAATCGCAGCAGAGGACCGAGATGAGAAGTCAGGATTTGGGCTTTGTGGTCGCGCGGATTTTGTTTGAGCGACTCTCAGAAATTCTGGCTATTGATATCAGGTCGTTCTCTTATCTTTAGCGGCCGATAGCGAGAGATCGTTATATTAGCTTCATATTTCCCGACACAGGTATCATCATACTTGGCGTCAATGACAGTCGAGTCGAAAGGTTGCAACGTCTTGGAGCCGAATGAAGGATGTTTAGAGAGGAGCGAAAGCCACCGGCATGGCGGCAGATCTTCGGAAGCACTTGACCAGCAAAGATGATGCTTTCCAAGCCACGAAACTTGCTTCGTCCGCCAGCACATCTCGCCAATGGCGACCTGATCCTCCTTGATTCTTTCTGATTGGCAGAATTGTTTGGCTGGGCGAGGCGTCCGAAGGCGCAGTGTGTCTCATCGCCGCTTGGAATCTAGTTGCTTTCCTTTTCGTCAAGACCTGTCGTCCACTTGGCGGCTATTTCTACTGCTGTCCTGATTTGATGCAAGAGAGAAAACCTCACTCGAAGCAGATCTGCTCAACGCCGTACAATACTCGTTCCGGCTGACGCTTGATAGACTGAGGCTAAAATTATGTGTTCCGCATATCTCGGATATCTATTCAACCGCTCGTGCTGTTGTTATCATGCAGCTTCACTGGGATTGACCCCAGCATCACGACTTTGTATGACAACCGTTCTGTTACGTTTTTCAGCGCAGGAATCTGCGGACCAGTCCTGAAATGGTGATGTTGATCAGCCACCCTTACAGCTTTCACGCGAATATTTTAACAAACTTTGCGAACATGCAATAAGTCAAGGTACAGTCCACTAAGTACACGTCGTGGTAGATTGATGCGCACTCGAAGGTCCATTGAGGGCTGCCTATTATTGTTTGACTTGCGGTGCCCGCTAAACGATCATGGATCTGAAGTGCGTCTGTGGTTGTCACACCACAAGAGTAACGAGTCCATCTACGTTGCATGGACGAGATTCTATTGCTTCTTCCGGTCGAGATTATCCAAAAGCATAAGCAACAACGGTCTCAACAAACACGTCTCACATACCAGATGATAGATTGGTACCTGCTTCTGAGCTCTACTACTTGTGCATGCAAGTCTGAACCAGCAGAGCGGGTAATTATGATCTTGTGCAGGCTAGGATTAGGCTATTATCATTCCCCTGACCAAAAGGCGGAGCTCGTGCAACAGCTATCTTCAAGTCTGGATTCCGGTGCCACACCTAATACTCGTGGTTCCCACACGTCTTCGTTGATCAGCCGAGGCGCGTCAAAGGCGGATCTGTCAAGTGCACGCCTCCTTGTGATTGGAGAAGCTGTTCTCGAACTGTGCGCTCACGCTTTCCAACTCCATTTGGACGCATCAGCGTAAAGTGCAGGTCGACAACTGATCAGTGAAGGTCCCTGCTTGTAACGGTAACCATATAAATCCTCATCTTGCGCAGCGCTAGTCTCGAGTATAGTTTTCCAATTCTCTTGACAGACGTCGCTCTCCAACATTGCGACAATTACCTTCTACAGAGTTTCAACACCCTTGGCAGGTATCTCGAGCTCGGTCATTACCCTCCAACGACTGAGCTTGCACAGTCCCATCGACCTAATCCACCAAGACTCTGCAATCTGTTCTTGTATCTCAGCAGTATGAACATCCAGTTCGACCCTTTCAGCTTCGGTGTCGCGACATTTGCTCTTGCTGTGGCAATCAAGGAATTCCATTGGAATAGACCTCAGCATCACCATTCTGTAAGTTTACCATCATATCCATTCACTCCTACTGTTTCTGACCGTCTATATAGCGACTTACAGGCGACCTTCCTCGATAACTGTACATAAGAACCGCGACTTGCACTATTCTCGAATAGTGCGCGTGTGTTCAACTCTGACGGATGGAAATCTGGTTTGTTGAAAGGCGTGTGGAGAAAGATATGTTGCACACATTTGTCTTCGTCGTGGAACCGCTTTCTCTTCCTCGGCTCAACTTGTATGCTGGATTTTGGTATATTCTGCTTCTGAACGTGCGTCATGAAAATTCTGCAATGTCGTCTCGCCTTCTGTTTCTGGTCCACATCAATGATGGTCGCTTTTGCGAATCGTCCTCCAGGCCATCAAAGTATTTTGCAGGGCCAAAGAGTCGAGCGATCGGTGGCAACAACATCTAAAACCGTGGAACAGCTGTAAGCATGCAAGAAAAAATGGCGTAGTCCTATGCAGCAGGCAGATGGTTCCTGAGAGATCTGTGCCCACATGATCTCCCATATCCGCTTCAAAAATCCTCTTACAAGCTCTCATCCACATACACTGGTTCTCCATCGATCGAATGATTTGCAATTCCCTCCCATCCGCTGCAACCAAATTTGATAGCAGAGGATCTTGCTTCTCGAGATGCCATTTCAAAGATTGTCAACCATCGAAGCTATGCAAACACATTGATAGTGCACAACTTGCTTTGAGCAGCACACGAATATTCACGCCAAGTCACGATCATAACTCAGCCACGATAGAAGACTCCACGAACTGCATTCTCTCTCGCATAAGGTCTCTCTCGCATAAGTTCTCTCCCATCTAGAAGTACAGTAAAAAAGCAAAGACTCCTCTCCATGAACGTTCATTCCTTCTTCCATTGTACCAGTAACGCCTTGTTCCCCATAATGCATCTTCTCCGCCCATTCATTACCATCGTCGAGAAAGAAAGAAAAAACAAGAAAAGCAGAAAAGGAAAAAACGCCTTGGAGATGTTTTTTCGTGGTACCCTTTTGTGTCCTCGCTATGCATTGATTGTAGCAGATCGCCTCTTACCCCAAAGCGTAAGATAGAACACCATAGAACGCCATTTTCCGATGTATTGTTTGGTTCAGTCTGTCGTCTGCCTGAAGACTTGGGTGTTCGTGTTCCTCCTGGTCATGAAAATCTGCAGTCATCCACGCGACGACCTGCTTCATGAGCAAATTCTACTCATTCGTCGAAATCCGCAGCGTCACTCAGCGAATCGTCGGAAGCCACGGCTTCATTGTCTGAATCTGGAGTGTTTGTTAGCAATCTGTTGTCACAAAGAACAAGCATTTCAAGAGTTAAAACTCACCATCTTCAATCTCAACAACATTGCTGTTTGAAGGCACATCCGAGACAGAGTACTCGTCCTGCCACTCACGAACCTGGTGGCGAAGCTTCACATGTATGCCCAGAAGGTTATTGATACTGCCGATTTCGTTGAACAACTCTTGCACAACAGTATCAAGCTCGGTGCCGGCTTCGGTGTCAGGTGCCTCGCTCTTCAGCCATTCTTCCTGTTCAGCATCATGGCTTGAGAACACGAGATCCAAGTAATTGCCGCAGTCAAGATAGGCATCAGCGGTGTATTCGTAAGCGCTGCTTGACATACTTTTTTGAATGGCCTCATCTAACAAACCACCGAGGCCTGCGAACAGTTCCTTCACAGCATGTACTTTGTTGCGGAGGAGTTGAATGTGATCCACAGCATAAGGTTTGGTAAGCACTTCTTGAACCAAGATGTCGTTCCTCAACACGTCCCGGGCCTCTCTCTCCACGGTACGATCATTGTAATCCAAGAGAATACGAAGAATGGTGGCCAGGTGATGCATGATCATCTGTGGATGAGTCTTGTAGACTTGTGTTACAACGAACACTATGCTCCAGACGCATGGGTGGTTTTGTTGCACAGCCTCGCGACCAAGGACTGATTTGATCTCTTGGAAGATGTCTTCTTCAGTCTTCGACTTCAACTTCCGCTCGAGTAGGCAGGATAGAACAGACTCTGCGACTGAGTCATCTTCTCTGCAACATTTCAGATTGATGGTGAGCGCCCGGATTGCTTCATCATAGAGTTCGGAAGAGACTCTGTCGGCGTCGGTAAGCAGCACGATGAGGCGGATTGTGGGCGCCTCACTCCAGTTGCTATTATGAGTGTTAGCCATCGAATACACAAGATATAATACTTTTTGCTCACCTCCTCCTGGTCAGCGGTATTCCTTGCATACAGAGCTCTATAAGCCAGTTGCTCGCAGTAGTAGAGCGGTGAACCAAGTATTCGTGCTCTTCATCAGTCAACAACAGCATCTGTGCGTCTGTCCATCGGCTATTGGTATCAAGTGCAGCGGAACCACGAAGATCGACAAACTTGTGCAGTAGGCCGTATATGCAGTTGACCAGTGCGGCATGGTTCAGCCAGCGAGGATTGTCGACAATCAACTTCATCACGTCTGGATACTCCTTCTGCAACTCTGTCATTTCTTTGATGAGTAAAACTTCCAGGCACCACTTGAGAACGTCTTGTTCGAGCAGCACAAACGTTTCGTCGGGACCAAGCTCTGCGACATGGCGCACAAGCTCAAAGTAATCCTCCCAGACGATTTGGGGACGCTCAACAACACGGGGAAGAAGATCGATCAGGCCGTGGATGGCATCCACCATGGAGCCGAAATTGCCTTCGGAATCATGTTCGTCCTTCATGTTAAGGAAAGTCGAATCGTGCTCGCGAAGGTATCTGAAACAAGCCAGAACTAGGCGCTTCATAGCGACACGGACTGCACGTTTGTGATGCAAGATAAGGCTTTTGGACTTGTCCTTCTCGCTTCTTTGAGGAAGTAAAGCCATCAGCATCCAACGTGCAGAATCCTTGCCACTGCATGCGAGTTTCTGAAGCAAGACTGGAGTAAATTCGATAGATTGAGGAGAGTAACCGTTGTCGAAATTTGCAACAACGCGAGTGTAGTATTCCAAGAGCATCGACATGAGCTTGTTTGTCGCCCTGCTGGTTGCGGAGGCATCGACATTCTTGAACGTTCCCAACTTTCCGACCAGACCGCGGACAAATTCGAGATGAGTCAAGGAGAACAGATGAAAAATGAACATCTTCTGCTGGTTCTCCTTGGTGATCTGAGTCTCAAGGTCTGTGGGCAAGCGGACCTTGGTGTGTGCTGTAAAAGGAAGCGCAGGCGTGCTTGTAGCAAGGCACTGTGCAAATTCAGTGATCGACGACACGCGTTGGTAGAACAACACATATGCATTGTCCGACCGAAGACGCGGGGATTGGGGGCCTTGGATGGATGTCATCAAAGTGGGAACTGGTCCGCCACGAGTCTCGCGAAGCACATGCTCGATGCTCGAAGGTTCGACATTCTTGTCCTCGAGGCAATACCAGCGTAGAGGCCTCGAACCACTATTTCCACGCTCAGCAGCGTATGACCAGTAATGTCCAAATGATAAGATGCCTGAATGTACGACCACGCCCACGAGTTGGAAGACATCGGACTCGCTAGGCCCTTCGATGCCTGCGAGACGGTTGAGCTTGTACTTGCTCATGTCGATAAATTCTGGAAAGTCGAATCTATCGTTGACCTTCTGGCCGCCATCGTAGGTTTCGTAGCGGAAACGTCTCAAACCCAAGACTAGATTGTCAGGGATGTGCTCAAGGGCAGTTCTCCGAACAGCATCAACGGATACGCCCTCACCCGAACCACAGGTGGTGCACCTGAATTTATCACTCCCTTCAAGAGTGGCTCCTTTGGTATACTCTTCCAAGCTCTCTTCAAGCGATACTTTGTCTTTTACAACCAAAGACAAATTGAAGTACTCATCTGTGCTTTCGGAAACATGCTTGCAGCTGCCAATAGTTTGTGACTTGTTGACACCACGGAAGAATGCTTTCAAGGCATTCTTTGCTTCGTCATCAGGCATGCTCTCTTCAAGCTGGCCGATCAAGGTCATGAAGAAAATGTGAGCATCATCTTGGACAGTAATGTCTATGTTCAAAGCTTTGGTAAGTCCATCGGGTTGGTAAAAGATATCGTAGCTGTCCTGCATGTAGGCAAAGGCTAGCTTGAGTTCGACAAGGACTGCCTGCTTCTTTGAGTCGATCACCAGCGTGTCAAAGATGAATTTTCGGAATCGAACATTCATGAAGAGCTGTTGCAGTAGAGAGTTGAAATAACATGTCTGGCTGAGATTGGCCAAGCCTGCATAGTTGCCTTCTCTTCGAATGTATTTTTCAGGACCAGGAAAATTGAAGCTCGGATCATTTGTGCAGAAACCAGCAATCTTTTCACAATCTTCAGTCAGATCTTCCAGTGTTTGGACGTTGTCGCACATCAACCGAAGAAGATCGTATACGCTATTGCGAGTTTCGGAAGCAATAATAGGCTGTACACTCTTGTCCGTCTTGAGAATTGGAAAAAGCAAGGACTTGAAGATCTGCGAAGGGACATCCCCTAGGCCCAATGGTTTATTCTGTGATGCAAGAGTTTGGGCACAGTATCGTATCAACGAAATTAAGCCTGGCACTCTCTTGTCGACAAAGCAGTCGCCGAAGCGCTCGAGGTGGCTCATGTTGAGTAGAAGCTTGACAAGCCTATCAATCAAGGTCCTCAAGAGTGCTTCATCGGCGGTCAAGCTTCGGTCCGCAGATATCGCCTGAAGACTCACTAGGAATGCGTTGTCGCAGATGGCTGGGTATTCCAAAGCTGTAGGTACGAGATGCTCCAAAGCGAACTTGGAAAAGAATGCTTTAAGGTCGTAAGAAGCTCTCACATCCTGGATAGCGTTCATGATGGATCTGGGAATTGTAGCTCGAAGATGATCGCTACTAGTGAGAAGAAGCGATAGATGGATCGGGACAATACTATCCGCAGCAACGAAGGCCGCGCAGACAGAATCGCTCAGAAGAACACTTTCCAACAAGCACTGGTATAGCGCCCGAATTGCAAGGTGCTTCGTAGTATCACGGCCGACTGTAGTCTCTCTCAGAAACTGTCCAATGGAGCAAATGACCCGACCTGTGAACTTGACAGCGTCTTCAAAGTACTGCTCAGTGACGTCGTTGACAGGCCGCTCTTTAAGCAATTCAGTCAAAGTTTCTGCTGCGCGGAGAACATCTGTGACTTCTTGCAGAATATCGGTACGGCACAACAAGTCCACGAGCAGATGGATTCCTCGAAGCAAGAACTTCTCGTCAGCAACACCGAGCGCGACTTGTTCCTTCAGCTGGATAGAGAGAACCTCGATGGAGGCTCGCGATCGCAAGGATGCGCCAGGAGGGAAAATCTGTTCGAAGGGCGTTTCCGGAGTGGCAATCATGGCTCTTATAGGACCGGGGAACTTGAGAAACTCGAGAATCTGTAGGACAAGCTGCGCCTTCGTGCCCGTACCATCGAGAATGCCATACAAGACGTCTAGATGTGATACGATCTCTCCTTGAATGATCGACTTTTCTGCGCTCCTGCTGACCTCTTCTTGGATACTCTGGAACGTGTTGTGCTTCTGTATGATGAGAACATTGCCTGCTCGAAGGCCGCGCTGAATTATCGATTGTTCTGGTTCCTCGGCAAAGTTGATCTTCTTTCCGGCAGTAACAACAGTGTAACTCGCGAAACCAGTCTCTGTGGCGATAGCAGCGTTCAGCTCTGAACAACTCGCTGACTTGTTGATTGTCACCATCTTGGTTTGTGGCTTTTCACTGCCTCTGTGGATGCGGATTGGGATTTGAATACTGTCTTGCGCAACTTCAGACCCGGCTTGATGATGTTGACAAGAGGTGGCTTGGCCTGAACGTTCAAGGAGTTCTTGGAACTGGGCTGATTCGGTCAAGATAACTAGTATCATTTCCGCAGCCCTCGTTGCAAAGACTCCTTGCCGAGTCATTTGTGCGACAAGCTTTTTGACTACCAAGATCTGGTTTTCGACGGCCAAGTCAGGGTGTTTGATTGCCTTGCCTCTGACCAGACTGTTCATGAGCAGCACCTTGAAATCATGCGCGATTTTCTCTGATGGAATTTCAAGCGCAAACCTGATCAACTGCTCGCCCAGAGGCAATAACTCGGTCAAATCGGAGTCTTGGAGTGCGTACTGAACCTTGAAGAAGTTGATAGTTTCGGGCGTCGCGAGGTCTGGCGAGAGGCCAGGTAAGTGTTGGTCGATGAACCGATCGTAGAACGCTTGGAGCCCCGGCTTATTGGATTGGAAAGAGGCGACGAAGAAATGCCATCCCACATCGCGCAGGTGGGGTGTCAAGGCATGTTCGCCTAAGACATGCTGCCAGAGCGACTTCTCCGCAGCCGCGAAGATGGGCCCCCCAAAAGCCATTGGGTCAGAGATTGAGACAACATAGGTGATGAGGTCCAGACGAGTCCACAACGCACCCGAAGCAAAGGATTTGGCATCAGTCTTTGTGCTCCCGAGATACTTGAGCAGCTCATCGACGCATCGGAAGAATGGCAGTCGCGACCATATTTCAGATGGTGGAACAGAGAAGTTTGGCTGCTTGACAATGCATATTAATGCCTGAACGTAGCCAGTGGCATCATCAGACATTGATGCGATGGGAGTAGCACACATCTCGACAAGACGAAGGCCCTCCTGTGGAACTTGAGGAGATGGGATCCGTAGAAGAAGGTTTGCAAAAGCCATCAAGAGTTGATCCTGCTTTAGCGGTGGGATGTGTGAGTGTTCGATCTTGGCTAGTATGTGAATGCAGATGTGAATTGCTTCATATTGACCATTGGTTGCGGTTCTCAAGAACTCCATTGTGAGGTCGCGGAAGAGTTCTTCTGCTTCTCTGGTGAATCGTGAAAGTGGGAGGTCTCTGAATTTGTTGCAGAAGTATCCTTTGGCAAGAGAAGATGACCAGGTTGGAAGATACCGAAGCACCTTCATGGCGCTTTGTGATTCATCTGGCTGTTGAGTGTTGAAGGATACGGCCCATACCTTGTCTGCAATGTGTTTGGTAAGCTTGCCTGTAGTAGCCATGAACACAACAATAGTCAGAGATCTGCCTATCAATGTGGCATGCGACTGAGGTCCCCAAAGGTAACCCAGAACGTCCTTTGACAAAATGAATTTGGCCATATAATCTTGCACCAGGCGATGGTAGCCTGGTGAAAGATTTCGCTTGTTCACGTGCATGTCCCAGACGACAGTCCCCATTTGTTCAGTCGCGCGGTTGCGTAAGTCCATACTGCTGCTTCGCATGAGGGCGTCGAAGAAGTTCAAGGAGCACGCGAGGAGTGCCACATCTAGCAGGTCTTCTCTGAGCAGAGAGATTTTCATGCTGTCGTGTACCCCAGACTCATTTGTGGCAGCAGAAGCATTATCCTGAGAAGAATCCAGCAAATCTTGCTGCACGATACGATATTCCACAGTTTCTTTCATGATCATGTCATAAACAGCCTCTGGAGGAAGATGCTTTGTGCCATACAGAGAGCGCAGCATATCTGCCAGGAACTGAAGGAGATTTTCGATGACGCGTTGCGATTGGTCGTCAAGATGTTGCTTAGGCAAGTTCTGAGTTGTCATGGTATAGACAAGTTCAAACAACTTGGTTGACTTGCGGAGGTAACGTGTGAGGTCGCCGTCAACGTTGGTGGGACTGGAAAGCAGGACATGGTGACAGAGGTTGATGTACTGGAATGCTGTGGCAAAAGGTGACATGATGTTATGCGACCGTGAGGCGATGTGCTCGATGAGTGTCAGGACAGCATCCATAGCACATTGTTGAAAGCCATCAATGCTTTTTTTCAGCAAAGACTTGATATTGAAGCGATAGGCCGACGACATGGGTTCAAGAAATTCCTTCGGGCTAACAGCCATTTGGATGAAAGTATCCACCCACGACATGAATTGTAACGAATGCTTCGGCGAATCGTTAGGGGTAGGTGAGCTTGTCGAATCCCTGCGAGCCTCGCGCTGCTTCAAGATAGCTACTTCGGTGTGTAGGAGCCTTTCGCCCAGTTTGAGCAGTTTGTCGAGTATGGCCTCAAAGAAACCGTAAGCATCGCCTGAGGTAAGTCCCTCGTCAGAGCCAAGAGAGCTGTATTGAGTCAGACGATGGATGAGCAGAGGAAGCAAATTTATACTTACCGACGTCCGATCAAGCCATTAAAGCAGAACACTACTCGATCCCAGAAAGTAGCATTGTCCGAATACAAATCGAACAACGCAGACGAGGCTGTGCCATGGTTCAGAGCGGCATCAAACTCGTCTTGAGTGTCGCGCAGATGACCGTCAAGCCAGGTAACAAGGTTATGTATGTGTAATAGTGCAGGAGCTACTCAGAAAGTAAGATAGGATCAGAGGTTGGATCATTAAAAGACATACCATTCCTGCGGTGACAATGCTCCGCGAATCTGATGGCAGCGCTTTCAGGGGTCTCGTCTTGATCGATAAGAAACGGAAAGCTACCGAGGTGTGCATCGGCAGCCACCTCATCCCCAGTCATGATGATAGAAATTTCAGACGGATCAGTGGACTGTTCCTGAGGAAATTCAAGGATGGTTGGGCTTCCAGTGCCCGAGGTGATCTGAGTATCGGAGAGGTGGGAAGATGGTCCGTTTGTGTGAGATGGCGAGTCGGGCTCGTCGCTCAGACGAGGTCGCTTGCGTGAATGAGAAATGTCTGCATCAGCGACGTGGTCTCTGCCAGGATGCAATGAAGGTGAAAGACTCTGGTCGGTGTTTTCCGCTGGTGAGATAGGTGAATGGTCCATAGTGACCAAGTTATGAATGCTGAGCAAGCGGCGTCATAGGCCGGAGCTATAAATCTGTTTGAGATGTTATGTGGCTGCGAGACATGCAAAGACGCATGGATCAAGCTTTGTGATAGTGAGCGGGTATTAGGTAGACGTAGAAGATGTTGTGCCACGCTGGCGGAAGAAGGCTCCAAGCAGCAAACGCCAAAACGCAATCTGGAAAGACGCGTGAGAATAAGCTCACAGTGCTTCAAATCGCTGGTCGAGGGGTTTTGCAAGTAGATAGTACTTGACCGAGCTTATCAGACAGTCTTCCTGCAGTATTTTAGACGAATATGTCTGAGTATGTCCTTGGTATTGGATTCAATTTCAGTCTGGCCTCATCCAGCAGACGCGACTTTCACAAAGTGGAAGTTGCAAAGCTCAAAATATTACCTCATTGGCTCGCAGACCGGCAGGTATACGCGAAGCTCGGGCACCTTCGGCTATTCTTGCTGAGGCACATAGCAGAAAGTTGCTTGCTCTCGTCTTGAGCATCAAATGTATCAATCACTTCCATCCATCAATCAAAATCTTTCGCAACATGGCCAGCACCAAAGCGAAGCCTAGCAGGCCCGTCATCAAGGCTGACACGACTTTCAAAAGTCCACTGATGTTTGTGTCTCTTTGTCCATGATGTATAGATGCGCAAGCAAGCTGATGCAAAACAGACCTGAGCTCAGCAAAGACAAGAGTCAAATCATCCTCGGTCTCTTGAACAAGTAAGGCATACCCTATACACTGGCGTTGACTTTGAGATCTCATGTCCCACAGTCTATTAGAACCAGTTGGAAGGCATCGGGCTGTGCATACTGTGAAATCCTCGGGTAAAAATTCCAAGAAGCGCAAGAGGACGTCTGAGAAGACACCAAGCCCGGCTGCTGAACAACGCCCTCTGGAGCCAGAAATCTTGAGACACCTGACCGTTGGTTTGAACTCGACAAGCCGCCATCTGGAGAATGAGGCTGCGTCGTCAAAACCTGGAGCACTGCCCACCACGGACAAGGAAATTCAGCAGGCAGAAGAGCAAGTGGTCGCAAAGCATCTCGCCGTTGTATTCCTTCCAAAGCCAAAGGATAATCTGGTATATGCGCATCTGCCTTTGTTGTGTTATACAGCCTCGTACGCCCAGAAGAACAAGGCACAGTGCACGCGTCTGGTTCTTTTGGATCCCTCGTGTGAACGTACTATTGCAGCAGCAATGGGCCTCCCTCGGGCTGGGGTGATCGGAGTCTTTGACAATGCGCCAGGCGCTGCACCTCTGTTGGAGTATGTACGGGACAACGTAGATCCTGTCCAAGTTCCTTGGTTGAACAAAGCGCTTTCTGGTCAGTGGATGGGCATCAATGTCGAAACCCATGTACCTGGTCAAGTTTGAAAGTCCTCTGCATGCGCATAGACTTGGATGACCATCAGGACAGCCTCAAAGCCACTGTGATCGAAGTTGAAACATGAATACAAGACAGGGAAAAGTCAAGAGGGCACCACCCATCACAAGGCTCGGGCTACTCAGAGAGCTCACTTACCATGCAAAGGATCGCGTCGGGTCAACGGACGCACAGCACGCTTCAAGTGTGGCAGTTCCTTTGCGTGTCTCTGATGGTCTGACTGAGGCATGTCAGCATTTCTTCCAAGGTGGCTGTCTTCGAGAGGCGATTTGATGCGGTAGAGATAGACAAGAAGAGACAGAACGTCGGTCTGTCCAAGCTGGTGCAAGGGGCTCTCCTTACCTGGTCGATCCGAACCATCGTGAATGAGCTTCAATAGCCTTGACCAAGGTCACGAAGGCGCCATGCGGTCCTAGCTTCTTGCAATACCACACATCACACCTATCACTTCGCACACATCGCTTTGTCTCAACGCATCCTAGGATAACAGACGAATACACCATGGCAGCCTATGTTCAAGTCGATCTTAGCGCCTTCCCTAGCGACGGAAGCGCTATGAACTGGCCCTCCGGCGATCGCTATACCCTGGGCAGCGAGAGAGATGAGATTCGCTGGCTAGACAAGATCAGCTACGCTAAGAATTGGGATCGTGCCCCTGGTATGTACAGTCACTAATGCTAGCTAATGGCCATTACCTCTAGTGTCGATCTCTCGGCTTACAACTTGCGCAGGAGATCCTCTAATCACATACACCGAGCTGCCTCATGGCTACCGTGTCATCGCGCAGACACGCGACAACACCAACAACAGAGCTAGAGATTATCTGCTCTATGGCCACCCTAACGGCCACTTCGACCTAGCTCATAAGGCTTCTGTGCACTTTAAGCACATATGGCTAGGCAATCTGGCCAACTGCACCTGCACTAGGTGTAATGTGCGTGCCCCAGCCGTACGCAAGATGCCATTCTGGCAGTTGAGATTGTAAAACAAGGTATGTTAGACCGTATGTCTCTGAGTACAACATAGCTAATTATGTACGCTAGCAGCGCCCAACTACGACGACACAGCTATGGCTATTATGCCTATAGCCTACGATTAGGCATCAAACCTATAGCTACTTAAGCAATGATGAATTCCTTCTCTCCTTTCCCCACCTCCCTGCGTAGAGAGTTCCTACAAATGTCACTATGAAAATGCACGATACTGTCTGCAAAACACGAGATGTCCATTGAGAATTCACACCGCGTATAGCTCTCTCTGGATGCATCTACAATCTCGAGACATTCATGCATTTTTATAGTCAGAATTGTTGCTACAAGCCGATGTGAGAGTATGAGTCTGTCTTCAAGTTCGTGTGCTCCCATAATGGCATACCTGCATGTTCGCATGCTATCCAAATGCACAATCCTTCTGGGATTCGAGTAGTGTCAAATGAGAGACCTGTTACTGCATGGCTCTCTTTGGATACGTCTCTGATTCTGATCCGTTCGTGCATTTTTACAAGCGGAATACTTGCTTCGAGCGGGTGTAAGATGAATTGATCTCAGCATATTGTGAGGTAGCCCGGTGATGTTGTGGATGGATTGAGGTTCAAAGTCTCCCACACCTACTGTCGCTGACTGCTGACCTATCAAAATGCACGATACAGTTCTGTGTGATGAGCGTTTCCACAGAAACCAGGCCGACTAACAGTCTTTCTCTGGACGTTGCTTTATTTCTAGAAAGAATTGTGCATTTTTATAGTTGCAGAAGAGGAAGTCACTTGTGCTGGAGATGAAGCGAAAGTCAAAATGTGGGGAAATGGCAATGAGCTTTGACCATGATTGGCGGGACTCTCGAAGTGGACGGCGCTCTCATGCGACAGTTCAACTGGACAAGTGGTGAAAGATAATATTTCTCTCACGACACGACATACAGCGACAATGGCAGCAACATTAGCCTCGCTGCTGGGTCAGGCCTCCATCACCGACCATGATCAAGTCCTCAGCGCATGCGAAACCACCCTCGCCAAATCCAAGAACGACCTCCAAGCGCTACAAGTCAAGATTGTCGCTCTTTTGAACTTGGACCGCTTTCAAGATGCCATTGCTACTGTTGAGGCTGGTGGGGAGGAGATCAAGCAAAAGGCGCGACTGGAGTATGCGTATGCGCTGTACAAGAACGGTCAACCCGCAAAGGCTGCAGAAGTCGCAAGACAGGACAGCAACGAGTCGGACAGAGGATTGAGACATGTCGAAGCCCAGGCTGTATGTTGCAAGGCTTACAAATGGTGGAAAGAGAGGGCGCAACTAACATACACACAGAGTTACAGACACCAGGACTTTGAACGGGCAGCCGAGCTATACCGCAAGCTTTCGACACAAAGAGGATCCGTCGATAATGAAGACATGGATCTGCGCATCAACACAGGCGCCACATATGCACAACTGGAGTGGGCTGGTCGTGCATCTGCAGACGCGCCGCAGAAGCCTTCAAGAGAAGACATGGAAGCCTTCGAGACTGCCTACAATGCTGCTTGCCAAAGCATTGCGCGTGATGAGCTGGGACAGGCTGAGGTTCTGTTGAGAAGAGCAAAGGAATTGTGCGAGGCTTCTGAGATGGACCAGGAAGAGAAGGACGCCGAGATTGTGCCCATTTCCATTCAGCAGCTCTACGTCTTGATCCGTCAGGGCAGGCTAGACGATGCACAGGCTCTTGCTGCCACCATCGACTCCAAAGAGTATGCGCTTTGCACCCTCAAGCCCATGACCAAGGGACTAACTCGTTCCGCAGTGTCCACGCCTTCCACGACTCGTCCACTCAGTTCATCGCTCAGACAAACACAGCTGCCACTTCGACAGAAACCACAAACCCCTACCTCACCCACCGCACTCTGTACAAGACTCCCTCAACCATCCTCCCCGACAAGCCATTCACCTACCAAAGCGCTGCCATCCAAAGAAACAACTACACTCTCGACCTCCTTGCCCGTAAATACGACGGCATCATCAGATCAACCACATCTCTCGCTCAAACACCCACCCTCGACTCTGCCACCGTATCTCTATCTGCCTTTGGTGCCGCCGCCCACGCTCGCAACCAAGCTGGAAAGGAAGCCCTGAAGTCTGTCCTGCCAGTCTTGGAACGCAGACCTAACGACATTGGTCTGCTTCTTGTGTGCATGCAACTCTACATCCACGCCTCCAACCCCGCCGCCGCAATTTCCCTGCTCGAAAACTTCTTTGCTCGTTTGTCTTCATCTTCAGAAGCTTCCGCACAAGATGTGCGTTATGCTCCTGGTTTGATCGGTGTTTTGGTATCTCTTTACACCTCTCGCGGTCAGCAAAGCCATGCTCGTTCAGAGTTGGCAAAGGCAGCAAGATACTGGCGTCAACATTCCAACCCACCCATCTCGTCACGAGCACTGGGCCATTTGTACAAATCTGCTGGTGCCGCATTGCTCGAGAGCTCTGTACCCGCGGACCAGCAACTCGCCGCTGAGCTGTTTACTTTCTTGCACGAGAAGGATTCTTCCGACCGTTACGCGTCCGCCGGTCTTGTCGCCGCTCTCGCACGCGCAAACCCTTCAGCCATCGATGCTGAAAAGCTATCAGCTCTGACACCGCTAGACCGTCTGGTCAGTGGCATCGACATCTCCGCCCTCGAATTCGCCGGTGTAGCAAAATCTACCCCTATCACCGCTACCACCTCCCAAAAGCGCTCAGCACCTTCTGATTCCGTACCAGCCACAAAACCCAAATCCAAGAAACTGAAAAAGAGCAAAACACCCAAAGACTTTGATCCCGCCAAGAAATTGGATCCAGAGAGATGGCTTCCTATCAAAGATAGAAGCTCTTACAGACCTAAAGGCAAGAAAGCGAAGGCTAGACAGGCTATGTTTATGCAAGGAGGAGCTGTTGCTGAAGATAGTGGCGCAGGCAGTGGGGCTAGTACGCCTGCTGCTCAGGTTGTGGAGGGCAAGAGTACGAACAAGAAGAGTAAGAAGAAGGGGAAGGGTGGGAAGTGGTAGATTCTGCTTGAGTAAACGGTGGAGAGAGGGAAGATAAGGAAGGCATAGATGCCGGATTTGTGTATAAAATCGAAAAGTCAAGTTATGTATGTCAATGAATGATCTTGCCCAACATGTTCTGTTTCTTTGTGTTCATCTGTCACTCTCTGGTCTACCACTTCCCATCAGTCATCTTGCTGATGAAGTGTGGTTTTCTCTCAAGTCAATGCAACCCTGCTTCTCTCTCCTCACCTTCTCTAAGGCATCTGGACACACTTTTCAGCAGCAGCAACAGAGCACAATCAAGCCTCTTTCTCTTCCAGTCGAGACAGTGGCAAAGAGGTGACTCTGCAGAGAAAAGACTGATCCTTCAAGTATTCATGCAAGACGAAGAACAGCACATCAAGGCAGAATTTTGTAAAATGGTTGTCTCTCAAAGGAACAGATGTGCAAACGTGCCGTGGCTCGAGCTCTTAAGAAGGATTATGACCGATGCTTGTCAGACAGCCGTCCACATGGAGCTGAGATGACAAAGGAACCTGTGTTTGTGTGACTCTCTGCTTTGTGGTCTCTAAGCCTCGAGGCTGTGGGTTGCGAATGAGATGAGTCGAAGATATCGAAAGAGATCTCATACCTCTTGTGTAGCATATCTGGTCGTGAAGAGGAAAGACGTGGAAGCAAGGCGGACAGAAGAGATGATTGTTTTGAACAAGAAAAAATGCTTCCATGGTATTTGAGATGGTTGGGGTTTAAAAGAAATCAAAGAGCCAATGTTTTCACACCACTCTTTTGCTATGCATCCTCCCTCCCTTTTGACTCCCCTTCTTAAAAAATTACACAACACCTTTTCCCTCAGTAAAGACCTCACTCTACAAGCAGAACATGCTTAGTTCTTCTCGTAGTAGTAGTTCTCCTCGGGGATACGGCCACGAAGGTACTCGGGCTCAGAGCCACGGACGTAGATGTCCTCGAACAGAATCTTGGGGGTGGCGTCGGGGGCGGGCATGGCCTCGGCCTCCTTGACCTCGGCGTCGACGCTGTCGCGTGCTTGCTTGTCGATGCTCTTGAGCTCCTGCTCGGTGGCGACCTCCCAGTCAAGGATCTTTTGCTTGAGGCCGGCGATGGGGTCTTGGGTGCTGCGCATGCGCTGGATCTCCTCACGGGTCTGTGTTTGGCGTGTTAGTAAGAAGGGACAAAAAGGTGGAGTTGAAGAGGAAGAAACTCACTCTGTAGGTGGTACCGGGGTCGGACATGGAGTGACCTCCGTATCTGTAGGTGACGAATTCGTAGACGAGAGGACCCTTGCCCTCGGCGGCCCACTGCTTGCCGAATGCCATGGCCTGCTTGCAGGCAAGGACGTCCATACCGTTGATCTTGAGACCGGGGATGTACTGACCACGCTTGTAGTACTCGGTGATGGCAGACGAGCGGTTGGCAGCGGTACCCATACCGTACTTGTTGTCTGAAGAATGGAAAGTTAGTGATCTGTGGTCGCGAATGCGTCTTTCAATGCTGTAACTCACTCTCGCAAGCAAAGATGACGGGAAGGTTCCACAGCTTGGCCATGTTGTAGGCCTCGAAGACCTGACCCTGGTTGGAAGCACCGTCACCGTAGAGGGCGATGGAAACGTTCTTCTTGCCCTGGTAGTGGTCGGCGAAGGCAAGACCAGCACCAACGGGGACCTGAGCACCGACGATGCCGTTACCGCCGTAGAAGCCCTTGGTGAACATGTGCATGGAACCACCCTTTCCGTAGGCGATACCCTCTCTTCTGCCGAGCAGCTCACCGATGATGGACTTGACCGAGGCGCCGCGCATCATGGCGAAACCGTGGCAGCGATAGGCGGTGATGACAGAGTCCTCCTTGGTGATACCGTGCTCGATACCGACGGCAACGGCCTCCTGACCGGTCGACAAGTGGCAGAAACCGCGGATCTTCTTCTCCTTGTACAGTCTGTCGGCAGCCATCTCCATGCGGCGCGAGGCGACCATGTCGTAGTACATTTGCTTCAGCTCCTTCTTGGTGGTCTGGAGGGTGAATGAAGGAGGGTCGAGCTCGTAGGTCTCGAAGCTCTCGTCGGACAGCTTGACCTCGAAAGGCTTGTCATCCTCCTGTAATATGCGGTCAGTCGTCTGGCCAATTGGTTCTTCTGATTGCAGGAGTTGCATACGCTGGGGACATCAGCCTTCTCGGCGTGAGCGCTGGCGGCGTCGGTGGTGACGGTTCTCAGCACTTGAGGAGCGACACGAGTGGGCTGGAAGGCAGCACGTCTGACCGACGAGGTGACAGACCTCGGCGCAAATCTGGACAGCATGACTGGAGGGTTGTGAGGAGAAGAGGGTCGAGAGGGAGAGTGAGCGGACAACTTCTGGTCAAGTCGTCTGTTGGGACTTGAGCTGCAACAATCCACGAAGTTTCTACGGACTCCGATTTCTTGCCGCCGAGACTTGTTACAGACCAGTCCGTATCTCTCCTATTCGGGAGCCTGCCGAGCATTTACTTCCGCACCTTCTTTATCGCGTAAAGACATCTTACAGCACTTTAATCCATAGAATCGCTGCAGCCGTGGCAAATGTATCGTCTCCTCAATCACTGACATACAAATCGCTATAGCTGCATCAATTCGTATGATCGTAACTGGGTGCATCTCATCTGGGACATTAGTTGGCGCTCCGTAAGAAACTCGGGACGTTTGCTATCAGCAATCCTGCACTTCGGGCCGGATCCTGCAGCCAAGCTTCAATCCCGATAAACATTCTACTGCTCACCCCTTCTCATGTCGTCAAATCTGGTATAAGCAAACGCATATTGAATCTCTGTCAATTCACTTCACTTCCATACTGCTCCTGAGTATCATAGCAAAAACCGTATATCTCTGCCGTCTAGAAAACGCATAGATATGTCGTGGTGACTTCTTGCCACTCACGCGCCCTGTTCCAAGACTTGTGTTCGCGCTTTCTCCATCCGGGATTATATCCTGCTTCATGGTGGTCCGAGGCATCGACAATAGCGAGGCTCCTTATGCATTCATCTAGAAGCTGGTCGAGTCGTTTCAGCGTTTCTTCATCTGACAAACGCAATTGTCCGCGGTTGTTGGCAGGATTATGCTTTCGATTATGCTCTTGTACGTAAAAAGATGGCTTCCATGAAAGCTGTGCTGCACAATCCGAGGGGACAGCGAGAAGACTTCAGGTCGCAGAGAGATTTCAAATGTCGCACTCTAGCAGCTCAATCCAGAGCTGCCGACGTATTGATCGTGGACAATTGTTCGAATGCGCCAAAGTTGACATTTTTTCTGTTCCTGTTATACAGGCCTTTCTGACAATCCGTATCCTCATATTCGTCTTTCCCTGATATTGTTCGAGCAGTGGTGTTCTTTTTGTTCAGGATCTTCCTCCCTTGATGACGCCGTCAGAACTCAAGATTCCGAAGAGTTGGCTGGTCAGATGTACCGAGTACTGGATAAGATCGTGCGGGATGGCAGTTTTGTCCGAACCTGCCATCCTAAAACCAGGAAATACTTCTCGAGAAGGCACGAATGATGCAAGTGCTTTCTGTTCCAGTCTCGTCGTTTCTCATCCAAGCCTCAATGCACACTCTCTGACCAACTCACGAACTCTCTGTTCGTTTGGCAGATATAACACCGCAACTTTCAACAACTGCCTCGCCTCATACTTGTCATCCATCTCTTTGAACGCCAAAGCAGTTCTGTAGTAGATCTTTCCCATCTCAGGTCCAGCGATCCATCCATTGGCAGCCTCTTCATCAGGTTCCAAATTCTCCCTTCCTCCTCTCATGATATTGATCGTGCGCATGCCAATATGCACCACCGTCTCGAGGTCTCGAAGTTTGTGGTACGCAAGTAATGTATTAGCCACAAGCCTTACTCGCAACACAACAGACACCATACTGCCATGCTGGCCCTCAAACGGCGGACTAGTAAGAAAAGTCTCAAAGTATCTTTCACCATGAATTTCGCGAGATCTGCCGTTTACGACGATGAACATCGCCTCCCAGGCTTTACGGTAGTGTTCCAGTGCTTCGAGGGGTTGGTTTGCCATCAAGGCTACGTTTCCTGCGTCTTTGTGTTCGGTGGCGAGGATGAGGCGTTCGAGAGGTGAGCCCAGTGGTATAGCCATCAATCTCTTGAATTCGGCAACAACAGCCTCGTCGGGTTTAGGGACACCTGTAACATTCACCCGCAACAAATTCTTGATCCTGCCGAAAGGATATAGAAGCCTCTCTTGCAATGCCTTGAGCACTTTTTTCTCTGCAGGTATACTATCACCGTCCAAGGGCGTGCTAGATGAAGGATTCCGCAACTCGAGTGTCAGCGCCAGGTGCCCATTCAAGTCTGGATAGTCGGCTGCCGAATAGAACCAAGTCTCGCAGAACTTCGGCAGGTCGTCGATGTGTATGATGAATGTATCTTGTTCTTCTGCTGCCGTCAAGGGAAACGCTATCGCCACGGACAAGCCATGCTGGGAAAAGTCGTCCGCGCAAGCCTCCGAGGCAACAATAGGCACGCCATGGTCGGCAACCTGATACCTAGACTCAGGAAACGGCGTGGAGATTTTGATGAATGTGTTTTGTTCGAGGAAGATACGGCGGGCTTCGTGGTAGATTTGACGATTCACACAGAAGAGGTTGTTGTGCGAGTATGTGTATGTTGTGAGGCCGTCACAAGTGGTGCGTCGGTTGGCCTCGGGTTCGAAGAGGTGGGTGTAGATGTTATCGCGAATCTCGCGTGGAAGCTCTAGTAGATTCATGTTCAGTAACAACAGGGTGGCTCTGTCTGGTAACAACTAGAGAGACGGAAAGGAACGATAGAGATGGTGGATCACTTGACTGTCTTGGATTGCTTCGGTAGTCGTCATTGTACATCTTAAACGTGCCGAGGTGTTTCAGAATTTACGAGCATGCAGGGCAACCCTGCTTGAAACAACTTCCATTTCTGGTCCTTCCTGTAGATTCAAGTCTTGCTCCGAGTACAGCTAGAAGTAGAATTTAGACTATGGAAAGGCACAATTGTTTTGGGGAGCACATGTATGCCTATACAAAGTCGATAACCTATTGCCTCTCTGTGGGGACTATCTTCTTTGTGATTGCTATCATGCATTTCTATAGCTACACGCGTTACATGCTCTAGTACACGGGGAGGGTACCAGCGATATGCAATTAAATTCCATACCACAGTCTGTCTTCGAACATCATCAGGCGATGTGCAATGTTAGCCAGTCGTCTGCTTGATTCTACCATACCAGCTTCCAAGTGTTACTCCGAGCTCCTTGCATCGCAGGTCGATCTTTTTTTTTCTTCAACCACCCATATATCAATATTGGATCTCGGACGAGACAGACACAGAGAAGTAAGGTAGCAAACGATATATTCTTTTTCAAGCCTATACACAGAGAGACTACCCATGAAAGATCACATAACTTTCGTACAACAAAGCTTCCGCAAAAACTACAAAGGTATCATTACAATATTAAACACAAGGATGTTTTGCTTTTGCTTCGAAGGAAGCAACAAGAGCTCAGTACATCAAGCCCTTTACAGAGCAAGAGCACCAAGGGCCAAAAGACCGTAGGGAATGGCGGAGGCCATGGCACCACCGGTGGAGGTGGGAGCAGCAGAGGTGGAGCTGCTGGCCTTGGAGGCCGACGAGGCAGCCGAGCTCATTGACTTGGAGGCGCTCGAGGAAGCGGAGGAAGCAGAGCTTGAGGCCGACGAGGCAGCCGAGCTCATCGACTTGGAAGCGCTGGAAGCAGCGGACGAAGCAGAGCTTGAGGCCGATGACATAGAGGCAGAGGCGGAGCTGCTGGCCTTGGAGGCGGAGGAGTTGGCGCTCGAGACGCCCGAGGAAGCGGCCGATGAGGCAGATGCCGACTGGCTGATGTACGAAGTCGACGAGGCGACGGTGTTTGTGCTGTCAATGACGAACTGGGAGCTGTAGTTGACCTTGGAGCTATCCTGATCGTCGACGATCTCGAGGGCGTAGTCGGAGCCGCGAGTGATGTCGCTAGGGACGGACCAGGTGTAGCTACCCGAGTTGGCGATGCCCTCTGCAAGTCGTATCAGCATCTGGTTTGCTATTGTACATCGGGGGCCTTGGAGAACTTACGAGCGATGTAGACTCCAGGGGTCAAGTTGTTGTTGGCGCCGGAGCGCAGAATGAGCGATACAGTGCCACCAGTGGAAGGGTCCCACTTGATGTCGTATGACTTTCCAGCAGTGATGCCAGTCCAGTCAGAGTTGGTGAAGCCATTGGGATCGGCGGCAAGTGCCAACAGAGGAGAGGCCAACAGGGCAACGAGGGTCTGAGTAGAGAAACGCATTTTGTTGTGTGATGTGATTGTTCTTTGGAAAGAGTGGTTAGATGTTCAAAGAGTGGTATGCAAGCAGGAGTGGATTTTGTTGCAAGAAGAAGGTGAAGAGGGAAAAGACCAGGGCACGGTGGGACCTGCCTTTATTCTATTAAGATGACGGTGGTCCGCCATCTCGTAGAGTCCAGAAGCTAATAGGGAGGCAGCAGGGCATAGGCAGGCGAACAACCCACACCTCTAAACATGGCGCCGTTTGACACAACGACGGCGCGCGGAGGCTTCCAAAAAGTCTCCCTTCCCGCGCTAGTCGAGCTTGTCCAGCTTACCTTCTGTAGTTTTTGTTTGTCCCTTTTTCCCTTTTCTGGATGTTAATCCACATAGTGGTGGCTCGGTTGCCACGGTGGTTGTCAAAACTCAATACCATCTGGACACGCCTCGCCACGCCTGAAGACATGGTAAGGTAACATCCACTGTTTGCGCGGAAGAGAAATAGCCGCATCAGGTCAGCAAACAGGATGGCAAGCGAGATTTCGCCCAGCCAAACTCGATCATGGGCGGAAATTATGCAATTGATCTGATGCTCGATGACTCTGGGCAGGCTCTCTGGGGAAAGCAAAACGATCGCCCAGTCGCCGCTGCTCGGCGCTGGGTCTAAACCGTTGCAAGCGCGTTTGGGACAAGGACAAAAAGACCCCTGGTTGCTTAGCATGACATCGGTCTGCTCAAACGTGCAGTACCTCTTTACTACCACCAACGTGCCTCTTTCATGGTACAACAAGTCATCTTACAAGCTGCATGTACTTCAGCTCGAGCAGCTCATCACATCCAATTCGAGGAGCTGTTCGGCGACATGCAGCAGGGAAAAGGCGAACTGATTCGTGGGCTGCCTCGAGCCAGACAGATCTGGGCAAAGAAGAGAAACGCTTTGACCTTCGGTCCGGCTGCTGCAGGAACAAGGCCTAAAATAGAGTGCTGCGGCAATTTACTTCCGCTCATTCGCACAAGCGCGGAAACAAGAGTGTTCACGTGCTGCGCTCCATGCAGGAGGTTCTGAATCCTTCGATGATGATGGCCAGCAAGTGCGTGAAGGATTGAGAGATTGCTTCATAAGGATGGCTGCGCCTCCGGTGGCCACGGTCACGAGTCAACCGTAGAGTCATTGCTGATCTTATAGGTCTCGAATCCAGAGCATTTTTCCGAAGTTGAGAAGGTAAGGTAGCGCACAGAAAACGAATTCAAAAGATGTAGGCATTAGACATTTGTACGTAAGGCATTTCTCTTGACCACATTTCCATACCCTTGTCAGCACAGTAGCAGAAACAACAAGGTCCAAAGTGCGATCACTGTAAGAAGAAGACTGCAGCGACACCGACCAGCGCGAAGACAGGAGTGCTGGCTTGACCCATGGTTGCCGCGGCGCCGGTACTTGAAGCGCTTGCTGATGTTGAGGCCGATGAGCCACGAGCTGATGTTCCCGAGCTCGAAGTTACAACTGAGGTAACGGTGCTTCTTGATCCACCTGAAGATGAGGAAGCAGACAGAGTCGGCGAGACAATGGTCGTGTTACGAACAATGGGCGAACCAGTTCCAATGCTAGGCACGATAGCGACGGTAGTAGTGTTGGTAGGCGGAGTAGGAGGCGAGGTCTGGATGGATACAATCGCAGTCAGGTTGATCAACGACGAGTTGTAGCTTGCGATAACAGACTCGATGCTCGAGACGGCGGAGGCTGTCAAGGACGATGCGGCTGCTTGAGACGACGAGCTTGCTGACTTGGCCGAAGACACAGCGGCGGGGTTACCACCAATGAGGGTGATCGTTCCAGAGTAGTTGATCTCATAGCCTTGGGTAATCTGGAGAGCGTAGTCGCTGGCATTGTCAAGTGACCTGTCAGGGATCCAAGTGTAGCTACCATTCAGAGCATTGTCTTTATAATGGTCAGCACAATGGTTTGGACTCGGATTATGAGTTTTGAACTTACTGGTCAGGGTCGAGACATCCTGCAGATTAGAAGGGTTGCCCTTTCTCAGCATGATAGTTGCAGGCTATTCTTCATCAGCATACTGCTCAAAGGTCACAATGTCGCCTTTCTTACCTGGGTCAGGTTTTGTGTTGTGTACTGGATCGTGACTGATTGACCTGCGGTGACTTCGGTAGGTGTCCTTGTGAATGCTAAGCGTGGAGCCTGAGCAACGACCAGGCTCGCAAGTGCAATCGCACCAACGAGGGTATACTTGAGGAAGTGCATGATGGTTACGAATTGTCTTCGACGAGATGAATAGGATCAAGGTCTGGATGATGAACAATAGAAAATACGCAGGCGTTGTGACAGGGTGTTGGTTCGAGGTGCAAAGAAGGTGAAGACAAACAAGCTTTGGAATTTAGATGTGATCAACTTGGAATATCAGAGAAGGAGCAGGCAGAAGCACCTACCTATATAGACAGCGTTGCGACGTTTGGCAGCACTCATCCTTATAACACCACTCGATCGACCAAGCAACGAGCCCATCACCTCACGAACTGCACTATCGGTTTTTCAACCACCTTGCATGTAGTCACGCGATCTCGAGTAGAAACTGCATGCATTGCAGCAAGGATGGGTTTTTCCTACGCCATGGCTTGGGATACGTATAGGACCCTGCAATCAAGAGCCATTCACTCGAAAGGAGCAACATCGAGTTGTACAGTTTCATGTTTCAACTAATTCTGTGTCACGTACGGGAAAGGCTACAGGGGCTGCAGGCGATTCGGAGATTGCAGAAAAGTAGAGAGATGCAGCCAAGCTCGGCTGTTCCGCCTGTCTTGCTCGTAGTGGCAAGTGACAAGTAATTCTTGGTGGATTTTCTGCAGGTCAATATACGAGATGGAGTACAACATCATCGACCGTCGGTCCCTTCTCGTGACTTGTCGAGTCTTGAGATGAGTCGCTTGACTCCGAACCAATCTTCACCTTTGTTGTTCCCCTCCAAACCACCGAGATCGTTGCCTACTTCGAAGACTGTCGCAATGCCATCAAGACCACCAACGGCGACCTTCTTGCCTTCGTTGTGCTCCCAAGCGAGCCTATTCAAGCTCTTTACACCAAACACATCGCCTTGGGTGTGGCTGGGCTGCGTGCGCGCGACAGGCACTTCGACATCGACATTGATATCAAATACCTCTAATCTTCCTGCGCCGTCAACACAACCAAAGACACCAGGCTTTGTAGGTGACCACTTGACATCGTAGATGACATCTTCGCGCATGATCTCTAGTAGAGGTCTTTCAGGTGCTCCGGAAGAAGTGCCTACTCCAGCAGTGGTAACAGCTGTGCTCGGAGGCTTGACACGCCAGATCTTGACACTCCAATCCAGAGAAGAACTGATGGCCAGATCGCCAAGATCGACCTTTCCTTTACTGGGGTGGAAGTCTAGTCCAGTAACAGGGGCGGCATGGCCAGTGTAATACACACGAGGATCGACGCCAGCCTTTGCACCCGCACGGTCGTATCTGTGGACTGGGACGATGGCTCCCTCTTCAGTACCGGCCAAGAAGTAGGTAGGATCTGCCTTGGGGAAACTGATACATGAAGGAGCAATGTCCTCTGTACGGTTACGCCCTATGGGCGAGATGAGCTCAAGATATTCCTGTGGTTTTGATAGCATGTCGAATGACCAAGCGCATGTTGTACCGTCAGTGCTAACACTGACAATGCTGCTGGCGTTTTGAGTACCGACTACTGCAACACTGTAGATAGGGTGGGCATGGCCTCCTTTTTCGCCAGCCAGAGGTGTACGTTGCACCGGTGCCCCGTCGTGCGAGCGGTGGCGGACATCCCAGAGACACACTTGGCCAGAGTATGTACCACCTAATACTAGACTGGGGTGGTAAGGTGAGAAGCGAGCAGTTAGGATATCGCTCGTTGCGGTGAAGACGTATTCGGGCTGAGACGGCATATGTGCGTTCCAGACCAGAGCCAGACCAGGAGCACTGTGCGAAGAGTTGGAAGCTTTTGTGTATGAAGCCAGTAACAACTCAGGATATTTAACAGAATAGTCAAGGTCACTGATCATGCGGCGACTTGTCCAGCGATCGTCTTGGAACTGCATCAATTCGCGCACACGACGGCCTCTGGTGGTGCGTGTTTGACCATCCTCCTCCTCATCATCCAAACCGTTCATACCGCGCATAGCATAATCAGCAAGAACATCATATTCTTCATCCAATGCTCTCTCAATGACCTTTGTGGAACGGTCGATAAAGTCCAGAAAGTCATCTGAGGCCGTGACAGCGCCCAGCTCTTCATGTGTCAAGGTGCGTGCAGGGAAGTTCTGCTTGCCGTTTGTTAAAGCGGCATCCTCGGACAGCTTAAGAGCCTGTAATTCTTCCTCGATCTCCTTGCGAATATTCTGCCTCAGCTCCTCATCCCTTTCGCGCTCTCTTCTGCTCAAGCGTTTCCTTGTCCTTGAGGGAGAATAGTTCGACTCATCATCTGAAGGCTGGCGATTTTGTTGCGGTGACCAGGGCTCACTGGTCTGTACACCCTTACTGTATGTAATGACGTCTGGTTTCGGGTCCGAAGGCTGGTTCAGGACGGTTGAGACGGCGGTGAAAGAGAGAGTCTGATTGGCAATAGGGAGAGGAGCGGGAGTTGAAGCAGCAGAGGGGCTATCGAGCGAGATGGAGTTGGGACGGCTGGCGCCAACATTGGCAGAGGTGGTAGGTGAGTCCTGATCGCGAGGAGTAGAACGGCCAGGGCGGTCGACGAGAGTGGAGATGAGCTGATCGAGGTCTGCGCGGCTGTTAGCACGCGAGGGCGAGGGAGAAATGAGCTAGTGGTGTCAGTGGTGGACGTACCTTGATGTGCCCTTCTTCAACGTACCTCTGCTGCATCTCCACTCTCGCGGGCTGAAGTGAACTCCTTTTGGCGCAGAGCACGCTGTCTTTTGAGTTCAGCGAGTTTGGCGCGCTTGGCTATGATCTCCTGCTTGCGAGCTTCCAGGGACGAGGATGAAGAAGACATGGTTGCGTGTATTCGTGATTAGGCGGTGAGTTGTTTATGCGTGTCAGGAGCTGTTTTGGGAATCGACATGCGAGTGCGACAGACCAGCTGAGCGCAGAACAGCTGAAGCCTGACACGGGGAGTCCAGGAAAGCGAGTAGACGCAGAAGCGAGCGTGTGTTCAATTGAATGATGAATGTTTGTGATTGTTGTTGCAAGCGGCTATGGACTTCTAGTTCGTATGCGATCGGGAGACGGAAGAAACCGCTTGGCTGGCCGCCATGAGCGAACGTCGGCCAGCTTTGAGCACCAGCAGCGACAGCATCCAAGCAAGACACTCAATTGCCCGTGCCCTGCCTGTCACCTCCGTCGTCCCGGTCTTTAGCAGCCTTTTCTTGACCTCGTCTACCTCACATCAATTCGTCACAATGTCTTCGTCCGGTGTCAACGTACGCGCGCCCGTGTCCCAACTTCTTTTCCCTCTATGCTCGGCCGCTGATGGATAGTCTTACAGGTCCTCCGCTGGTCGGCCCTTGGTCTCGGTGTCGTATACGGTATCTACCACCAATCAGCCATTACTGCTGCCGACAAGCTCCGTGAGAACGCAAAGGAGTACGAGCGCAAGCAGGCTCTCATCAACCAGGCCCGTTCAGAGTACCAGAAGAAGAATGCTCCCGCATCCAAGTCTGGTGGTATGTCGCGTCCTACCGATCATCACTATCCAAACAGACGCTCACTCATCTCTCCAGTTGTTTCCGACCCCAGCGACCCCAAGTTCGATCTGGAATCTTGGCTCAAGTCGGTCCAATAGACAATTCATCTTGCATATTCTCCCCATAGACCCGGCCATATCTCCTTACCACCATCACAAGAGGAGGATGTCTGTTTTTTTTTAATTCCGACAACAAAATGCGATCTTACTTATGCCCCCGATATTCGACATGACCACCGCCCCACGTGCCATCCGATCTATCGACACACGACCCAAGCCAGAAAGAAGAAACAGTCAATCTCCAGTCGCACAACCTGCTCCGTCTTGTCAATGCCGGGATTTTGGTCACCTGTGTCGAGACATCACACCTGTGGCTTCTGAATCTTGTCTCCGTACTCCTTGTTTTCTTTCAAAGTGTATCTACTGTAAAAATAAGGCTGCGCTTCTGCCGCCTGCGTCTTTATTAGCGGGTATAGATGAAAGTTTTGATTTCTGTTGTAGTCTGACACTTGCGAAATGACAAGGTGGTGAGAAGTTGCTAAGCATCCTTAGGTCGTCCCTGCTTAATTTGAGCGCAGCTGGTTCAGAAATGTAGGATGAACCGTTGTTCATACACAGGGAAGTTACTGCCCATGCCATCAGCGGAAAGAGCAGATGCAAAGACTCGAGTATCCAGATCTTTCTTCTCGTCCAACTCATCCCATTCAATCCCATCAACCATACCTGCATACAATTCCAAGCACCTTTACCAATCTTGCTCCTGATTCATCAACACAATTGCATCACATTTCAAATTCCATCCTCACCTTCAGCATGTTTCCTTTCATCTTTCTGCAGCTGGCTTTGACTATCAGCTACACTGCTTCGAGTCCCATCCAGAGAAGAGCCCTTTCCCAAAACGACATCATCGGGCTGCAAGTCGCCAGCTTCCTCGAAAACATGGAGCTGAGTTTGTACACGAATGGCTGTCAGCACATCAGTGATGCACAATGGCTTGCTGCTGGCTTTCCATCCACCTTCCAGCATGACATATGCACTATTGCCGATGTGAGTTTGCATCAGCCCGAGCGTGCCTTAGTGTCTGACACAGTACTTTAGCAACAACAAAACCAGACAGACTACATCTCGTCGACACTCGAATCCAACGGCATCTCTGCTCCTCAAGCATGCAACTATGCACTCTCGTACGACACCCCGATAGCATTCGTTCGACTTGCCAATCAGATCACATCCATCAGTCTGGGATACTACTTGGGGAGCTTGAACGACTTCTCCCCAGAGCTTCAGACTGTGGTTGCTTCGCTGGGCTCAGTTGAAGCTCGCCATGATGCTATCGTCAGGAACGGAATGGGAGCGTCTCCCTTCCCCACCAACCTCGACGTGCCTCTGAGCTCGGTCTGGGCATACAATCTAGCGCAGAAGTACATCACTTCTTGCCCTCAGCAGTTGCCCATTGTTCTCCTGCCTCCACTCACCTTCAATGGACTGTCAGGTAGCGGTCTCAATTTCGGCTGGAGTGCCAACAATCTCTCGACTCCGACTGCCAACAACTTCTCGACACTTGTAGGAGTCACTGGTCAAGACCTTTACCTCGCCTTAATCCACGCCAACGTCAGCGATCCTGTATACCAGAGAGTGCAGACGACAAGACAAGGTCAGGGCACAGCACAACTACCGGATGGACTTAGTGGCGTCGTTTACGCTGCTTTGACTGCCTCATCTGGTGACTTGACCTACCATGAGCTTTCAACGACTGGCACTTTGGCTGGACCTGCACAGCTCGTCCTCTCGTGATTACGCCTACATTTAAGGACTGTGCAGGGACAGTTTCTCACAGGGAGACAGTCTGAGATAGTACTTTATGGAGATGAGTAGTTGATTTTGCTCACTGCTTCGTTCGACGTGGGAAAATGAAGCCTAGGTAGCATCGTTGGAAGTTGCTGGCTTGGGCTGGGATGCATACAACAGGCAGCGTGGAAATAATGGCCTTGGCTGAAAGTAGGCATCAATCATCAGATAGACAGCAGCAGTGATTAATGACAAGAGACATGTTGACCTTGTTGATAAAGTTCGGCAGCCTGGTGGCCGAGGGAAAAGTCGGTTCAGCTTGCTGTATAAGGATGCCAAGAACGGTGACGAAGGGTTTGGTCGGCTGGAAAGTTGGTTTGGCTTCTGAACAACGGCCAGAGTCGCAAAACAGCTGCTGCGCATTAGCCCCTCGACTCGGAGAAGTGTCGCTCCTCTGAATACTTCGGTCACTCTTGCATCTCCCGGACGCATATTTCTCGTCTCCATCTGATCTCGAGGCGTCCAAGAGGTTCTGCAGCGCCTCCTCCAGCACACGACTCGGCTTGCAGGACAAACAAGCTTTCTCTCCAACCCGAAGGCCACCTCGTCCAGGACAACATAGACCAACACACCCATCATGGCCTCGCTCGGTGAAGACTTGCTTGGAGTCGTCAACAAGCTCCAGGATCTTGTCTTCAACACAATCGGCAATGACTCGCTGGACTTGCCTCAGATTGTATGCACGCTACCCCAAACCTCGGTACAACAAGCTGACAGCCACAGGTCGTTGTAGGTTCCCAATCATCAGGAAAATCGTCAGTACTGGAAAACATCGTTGGTCGCGACTTTCTTCCAAGAGGCAGCGGCATTGTCACTCGTCGACCTCTGATCCTGCAACTCATCAACGTCCCCAGCAACTCCGACAGACCCGAAGGCGATGAGATTCACGTGCCACACACTCCGGCCTCTGTCGCTGGCCAAGACGAGTGGGGAGAGTTCAACCATATCCCTGGCCGCCGCTTCTACGATTTTGGTGAGGTCAAGAGAGAGATTGAGAACGAGACGGCCAGAATTGCTGGAAACAACAAGGGTATCAACCGTCAGCCCATCAACTTGAAGATCTACTCGCCCCATGTTCTTAGTCTGACTCTGGTCGATTTGCCTGGTCTCACAAAGGTCCGCTTTCTTGTGCTCTGCCTGTAGGCTTCAACTGACTCTTGAGATAGGTTCCCATTGGCGACCAACCTGGCGATATCGAGAAGCAAACCCGCAACCTGATCACCGAGTACATCGCAAAGCCCAACAGTATCATTCTCGCTGTTTCTCCCGCAAACGTCGATCTGGTCAACTCCGAGGCTCTCAAGCTTGCCCGTCATGTCGACCCTATGGGAAGACGTACCATTGGTGTCTTGACCAAGCTGGACTTGATGGATCATGGAACGAACGCCATGGACATTCTTTCTGGTCGCGTGTACCCCTTGAAGCTGGGTTTCATTGGTGTTGTCAACCGCTCTCAGCAAGATATCCAAGGCAACAAGTCGCTCTCTGATGCCCTCTCTGCCGAGAGAGACTTCTTCCGCACACACCCCGCCTACCGCAATATGGCCACCCGTTGCGGTACTCAATACCTCGCAAAGAGCCTCAACACTACCTTGATGGGTCACATCCGCGAGCGATTGCCAGACATCAAGGCTCGTTTGAATACTCTGATGGGCCAGACTCAACAAGAACTGGCCAGCTACGGAGATGTCGCCTTTGCCGGCAAGGAACACCGTGGCTCGCTTGTCTTGCAGCTTATGACCCGTTTTGCTACTTCCTTCATGTCATCTATCGACGGAACATCTTCCGAAATCTCGACCAAGGAGCTTTGCGGTGGTGCCAGGATCTACTACATCTTCAACTCTGTTTTCGGCAACTCTCTGGAGACTATCGACCCAACAACCAATCTCTCTGTTCTGGACATTCGCACTGCGATCCGTAACTCTACTGGTCCTCGTCCCAGTCTGTTCGTCCCCGAACTCGCTTTCGACCTCCTCGTGAAGCCTCAAATTAAGCTGCTCGAGGTCCCCAGTCAGCGTTGTGTTGAGTTGGTTTACGAGGAGTTGATCAAGATCTGTCACAGTTGCGGCTCATACGAATTGTCGAGATACCCTCGCCTACAAGCGAAGCTGATCGAAGTTGTTTCTGACTTGCTCAGAGAAAGACTGGGCCCTTGCTCGCACTACGTCGAGTCGCTCATCTCTATTCAGCGCGCATACATCAACACCAACCACCCTAACTTCCTCGGCGCAGCAGCTGCCATGAACTCTGTCATTAACGATAAACAAGAAAAGGAGAAGGCTCTGGCAGCCGCAGAAGAGAAGAGAAAGAAGGAAGAAAAGCGCATGAAGGCTCTCAATGGTGCTAACGGTGCTGGTGAACCTGAAGACGACCAAGAGAACGATGCTGTTGCAGGCGGCAAGTCCGCAACCCTTCCTATTCGCAGTCATCTCAGCAAGGCCAGCCGTAGCATGTCCCCCGCTGTTGGCCGCACTGGTGCGAGTGGCACAAATGGCGCAAGAGCAGGCTCGCCGCCAAGATTCGCAGGAGCTGGAGGTACTGCTAGGGACAGTTTCCTCAACTACTTCTTCGGCAAGGATGGTGGTCTGCCGCCGTCAAACGGTCTTCCTGGCAACAGCATGTCTTCCTCCAACCTTCCAGTTGGGAGCAGACACGTTAGTGCAAACATTGAGCCTAGCTTCGCGGGTAGCATTCGCAGAGGCGACACAAAACTCCCCGAGCGACCCTTGTCATCGCACATTTCCGTCCCTGGTGACTACGAGACAGAAGAGGCTGACAGTGGCTACGTAAGTCTTCCGTCTCCTTCTTCACAGAGCAAAGCTAACAATAATATACAGCCACTAGCAGACGAAGGCCCAGCGCTCACCGAGCGGGAAGCTCTCGAGACCGAATTGATTCGTCGTCTGATATCATCATACTTCAACATTGTACGAGAGACCATTGCCGATCAAGTTCCCAAAGCCGTCATGCACTTGCTCGTCAACCACTCGAAGGAAGTTGTCCAGAACAGACTGGTCAGTGAGCTTTACAAGGAGGAGCTTTTCGGAGAACTCCTGTACGAGGACGATGCCATCAAGAGCGAGCGCGAAAAGTGCGAGAAATTGCTTTCCACCTACAAGGAGGCTGCCAAGATTATCGGGGAGGTTTTGTAAGATGGAACATGTACCAAAAAATTGACGGAGGCTTTATCATGAAAGTTGTATTATTTGTGTGTTGTTTTTTAGTTTTCTCTTGGTAAAGACTTTTGGTCAAGGATGAGCATGTCTTGTCTCTTTTCTGTCTTACTCAATTCTCTACTTCTTCTTTTCTTTCCTTTTTCTGTTTCATCGTTGCTCTTTACCTCGTTTGCTTAGATGCACCGTTGTTCGTTGAAACTCTAGATAGGAGGGGAAGGGGATTTCAGGATGCCGATGGTAGTGAGGACAACCCTGTTCAGAACTTTTTGTATAACATCAAAACCTCATTTCAGCATAACATACTTGATTTGTTCTTAGATGTGCAGGGCAGATTCTGCCTTGTAGCCTTTTTACAATTGTTTTCGTTCTTCGGAAAATCGGGACGAGCGGGAGAAGAAAACTTCACAAGGCCAGACCCTTGTTTGCTTGAGAAAGCAGAGGAGCTTCCCCACATTTCTGGATATGCAGAGTGACGGACCTTCAAGGCAGAAAGAAAGTGGCAAGCGACGACATCCCATCAGGGATCTTTCGTTCTTTGAGATTCTCTGCATGCCTTGTTGCCTATTTCTAATTTGCCTCGCGCGTGTGCCGAACAAGGCGAGAGACAAATTGAGACACCGACATAGATCAATGGAGCAGCAAACATGCACCGCCAGGCAGAGACACAGAGCGGTTGGTGAGTAGGAATAGCATAGAAGAGCTGCCGGGCACGCGGCCGGTGTCCTGAATAATGATTCTTTTTCACACTCCAATTGTCTCTCCTTTCTCCACTACGATTCAAATCTTTTCGCTCCGACTTTGCCCTTAGTGATTTCCGACGACTGCTTGGCTTTCTCTTGACTTTTCACCGGGGTCTCGGGAGAGCATCTGGACTGACTGCGCTTTGGCCTTATCTTTTTGTGTCTTATCGCTCTCGTTGCTTTTCATTATCTTCCACTTTCACACTTGCTCACAACAACACTCTCCCTTGCCTTCAATTCTTACACCACCTCACTCTCAACACTTCGACTACTACACACCAACAAACAACCTTCACAATTCCTTTCTTACACTCTACCAACGGCCCACACTCGGCCGATCACATGGCACCAAGCGCAATCGAAGTCGAACAAATCAACGAGCTTGCTCACACGATCAACGATCCGCCCGTCGAACACAACCTCGAGGAACACGTTGCCTTCGGCGGAGACGACCAATGGTTCTACCACATTCCCTCTAAGCGCTTCGACCTTTCTCGTGGCTCCAAGCGCAAGCTCATCATCGACGCCGACGATGGAATTCGCAACCACCGGTATTGACGCACCGCCCTAGAGTCCTCCATCCCGTCGCCCCTCTTGGACAACAACGCTAACTCGCTGCTCTTTCAGAGGCTGTGCCATCGACCCATCTTCCACTGTTCTTGTCATAATCGACATGCAGAACTTCTTCGTACACCCCATGTATCACGACCACAGCAGTGGTATCGCCACCATTGACCCTATGCTGAAAGTCATCGACAAGTGCAAGGACCTCGGAATCCAGCGCTGCTGGCTGAACTGGGGAATCTCCGACTACGATCTCAAGGTCATGCCCGCAGCTGTCACAAGAGGTTTCAACAGAAACTTGGCGCAGGACAAGGGCCACGGCTGGCACGTTGGCTTGGGTGCCAACATCAAGGATGACAAGGGCAACACTGAGCGCTGCCTCTTCAGCGGCACCTGGAACGCCGACATCTACGAGCCTCTCAAGAAGGTCATGACACCAGAGGACGTCCGTTTCGACAAGGCCCGTATGAGTGGCATGTGGAACCCGGACTTGCCTATGAACAAGTGGCTTCGTGAGAGCGGCAAGAAGACTTTGCTCTTCGCTGGTGTCAACACCGACCAGTGCTTGCTGGGCACTGTCACCGACGCTTACAACTGGGGATGGTACGTTAGCAGTCAAGCTTCAGGCAGTATGCGCAAACCAGCTAACATGAATGGCCATAGGGACTGCATCCTCATTGGCGACTGCGCAGCCACCATGACTGGTCTTAATGCCCAGGCTGTTTGTGATTACAACATTGCGACTAACATGGGCTTCGTTACCGACAGCAAGGCCTTCCTGGAATCTGAGCTCGTCTTCGGGCCTTTGAAGTGAATGCATGGCCAGCAAGCCCGTCTCTCGCTTACGACATTTTCTTTCGCTTTTCTTTTTGTTATCGCAATGATGGTTATGGGTTTGCTGCAAGTACACATGGAAGCATCTTCGACTTCTTTTTCTGGGCGGCAGGGGGAGGAAATCAACCATTATCATCAGCACCGGCGTTTCTATCATGGGAAGCACACAGCAGGGGGTCTTTTCGTTTCAGCCTCATGTGCTTATGTATCACGAGATACCCTAGATGTTTTTGTTTTCTTTTTAGCTTTTGCTTCTGTTCACCACAGATACGATCACACACAGACAGAAAAATGCAGGGACAGATGCAGGTCATTCTGTTCACTTCAGCCAATCGGTCTTTTTCACTTGTTTGCGTATCTTTTGCATGTGATACTTGACACTCTCCGCTGCACGTACTAAGGTATGTGACGCCCATAGAAATGCATATAGTGATAGGAGATAAGATGTTATCCACTGAGATGTCACAAGCTGTCAATTTCCTCTGGACATGCATCTGCTTTTCTAAAACGATTGTGCCTTTTTATAGTCTACATTTTGCTCTTAGCTGTAGCCGGAGTACTCTCCCCTTGTGCCAAAGTCTGTAACCCCCAATTGTATCTATCGTCCTCCAACCACGCAGAGAGCAGAATATATGCTATAAAAAGGCACAATGTTTTTCAAAATGTAGCTATGTCCACAGAGAGTCTATAATAAGTCGCTTCTCAGTGGATACTATTCTGGTTGTTATTAGTACTGTGCATTTTCACAGCACATGCGTTGTACTTCAGCACAGGGGAGATATGATATTTACTTGACTCTTTGCAGTACCCTCCCTGTGTTCAAAAGTATGCCCCATCATACTCCGACCATGACACAGAGCAAGGCACACGCTATGAAAAGGCACAATCTCATTCAGAGACAAGTGCTGTCCATAGAGAGTCCATATTGGAGGACAACCATCGCTTACTGGAGCGTCGCTACTACCCAAAAAGCAAAACATCCAAACCTCGATATCAATACGAGACTACACCATGGGGGATCTTCTGTCCAATCTCCCTCTGGGATGAACTGGATCCTTCGCCTCGGGCTCGACGTTCGATAATTGACTGCAAAGAGCACCTCATTCATATGCGCGGCGATCGCTGTTTGATAAGCCTACAATAATAACAATCTGCTTAACTATCACCTTGGGCCAAGACTCCAAGTCGCAAAACACGGATAGATAAGCATGGAGCGAGGGTCAAGGCAGCAAGGGAGAACTAAGGCCAACATCGAGTCTTAGGTCTGCCCTGTTCGTCGAATCGTCTGGCCCAAAATCTCCTCGGAAGTTGCGTTTCGTGTTAAGCATAACGTCTACGGGAAACAGGATGCATAACACAGAATTACTCCGAGTTGAGGCATGGATATCGGGCCGGAGCAAGAATATTGAAGGGTAAGGGGTAAGCAAAGTCAGCACAACAACAACCACAGAGCATAACTCCCGAGCACTTCTTGCATAACTCAGAGCAACTTCACCGACTGATCCGCGACACGAGCAGACCAATCGATCCGCAACGCCGCTGTCGACATCTCTCGCTCCACAGCTTTCCCTTGCCGCGCGCGCGCGCGGGCGCCCGTGGGCCGTGACAGTATGATCGTCGAACAACCGGTTGACCCTGAACGGATCTGTATGCAGCCGAAGCGACTCAACTGCAGGGGAGTGGAGCCCGCCCCAGCAGCAAAGCCTCGAAAGAAAAACGCCACCGAGTCGCGCGACAGCATGGCACACAAGCACTCAGCGAACACGTTTCAGCCTCCTGCGGCATGTAGAGAGGAACTTATTCCGTTGAGCACACCCCGAGCATGTGAATATGCAAGGTACGAAAAGAGACAACTGCTCCGAGGTGTCTGTCAAAAGAAAAAAACACATCTTTTCGGACAGAATCGTGAATAGAGGCGCAGCAAAGATGAAATGCTCTACCGCTCTGGGGACAAGACCCTTGCTGGAGCTCAATCTTGCAGGCCCTTCCTCTTCGCAGGTGGTACCGCAAATAGAAAAGATCATACACCCAAACAATAGACATGAGAACGCGCAACAGGGGACGGAGGTTCCACCTGGCGGTTGAAGATGATGCAAGTTGAAGACTTGGCAGTCCCAATGCTTTCGCAGCACACCCATCAGCGAAGGCAGTGAGCACTCAGCACAGTTCTGTCGTGTCCATCGTCAACAATCGATTGGTCCGGACCCGTCTCATGTCCTCTGCATCTCGCACATCTTTTTGATTGTCAATTCGCAGATGTTCCTTGTTCCTGGATCCCATGTTGATCTGATTAACTAGTCTAACGACCTTTCCTCTGCTTACTCATTTCTTCCATTTTTTCTCCTCTGTTTCTCATTCATACACTGAACATCCCCTCCTCGAACGAACCCTACACTCGTTGTGCGGGTTACTCTACATTCGCTACCATATCGTGTTGATCGAAGTCGGACTTGCCGTGATCCGGCCGAACGCTTTGGGAGACGCACGTTTCGAACCAAAGCTAAAAGTCGACAACCACAGACGTCATTGAATGAGCGAACTTTTAATTGCCTGGTACAGCTCTATTGTGATTGTTTGGACCTTTTGCTCGAGAAGAGGTATACACCATGTCAACACCGAACGACGAAAGACCGGAACCCACATATCATCAACCCTCATATCACTTGCCGTCCTACAACGTTAATCCACAGACTGGCCATCCTCACCACGGCGAACGATCCTCAGACGAAGAAGGGACAGTCGTTGGAGACCACAGAGACCAGAGCAGTCACAGCCATCACAGCGACATCAGAGATCACCAATATCACGATGAGGACCGTGATGGGCCTATCGATCCTCGCGTGCATCGCATGGGGAGCCACCTTACTGTAGACACTGCCAACGATCCTCACTATCATCCTCGACTGCACGACATGACATCGCCTTCGCAATCACGAGAAATGGCCAACCGACTTGACGATGACCTGGAGTTACTCAAGATCGAAAGACAAGTGTCACGCGATGCCGATGTCAGAACAAACGATGGTGCTTCACACATGGGTCGTCAAACTTCCAGGAGGGATGACATTGATGAGTTCGATGTTGCTACAAACCCGATCCACGAGCAGGCTGCCATGTACAAGCCTCCTCAAGATCCTAGTGGCAAGTTTTCCAAGCTGGTCAAGAAAATCCATCATTCAAGTTTCCTGGTCCGCTATCTCACATACATTCTGCCTGTGGTATTGATCCTTCTGATCCCGCTGTTGATCGGCGCGTTTGTCAGTCCTGCCACAGATGCTGTGGTTGGAGGTGTTGAACTCATGTGGTTCATGATTTGGCTGGAGATTGTTTGGCTCACGCTTTGGGCGGGTAGAGTAAGTTCAATCAATTGTATGACTGACTTGCCTCTCTCTAACGTGAATAGCTTCTCGCAAAATGCCTTCCCTATCCTATCGGTCTTGTCTCTACTATCTTTACCAACAACAGCAAAAAATGGCGTGATATGGGCAAGCAACTCGAGCTTCCCGCGACTCTATTCTTCTGGTGGCTTGGTGTTGAAGTTTCATTCTTGCCGACCATGAAGAATCATCAGGCTAACGGGAGCCATGATACAAAACACTGGATGGGAACCATGAACAAGGTCCTTGTGGCAATCTTTGTCGGCACGATTTTGAACTTTGTCGAGAAGATCATTATCCAGCTCATTGCCATCAGCTTCCACTTGCGCACTTACGCTGATCGTATTGAGCTGAACAAATTCCAAATCGGCAGTCTGGTCAAGCTTTACACTTTCTCTAAAGCTAAAATTGCCATGGAAGACTCCGAGTTCGAACAACCCTCTGCTCCGGAATCTGGTGCTCGTACCCCTGGTCGTTATCTTCAAGAAGCTCAGAAACAGACCAAGGAGATCTTCAACAAGGTTGGTGATGTCGCGGGCAAAATGGCAGGCGATTTCACTGGAAGGACTGTTGCAAAGAGCACTCACCCTCACCAAGTTGTATTGACGCTCCTGGGATCCACCAACGGTAGTCAAGTCCTTGCGCGCCGTCTTTACCGTACTTTCGCTAGACCCGAGACCGAGACTGTCTACAATGACGATTTGAAGAACGCCTTCGACAACGACGAAGAAGCTGAAGCAGCTTTCTCCATGTTCGACAAGGATATGAACGGCGATATCTCAATGGAGGAACTGGAAGCTGTTTGTGTTGAGATTGGTCGTGAGCGCAAGTCTATCACTGCCTCGCTGAAGGACCTGGACTCGGTCGTTGGCAAGCTCGACGACATGTTCATGTTCCTGGTTGCCGTTATTACCATCCTAGTTTTCATTTCGCTCATCTCGACTTCCGCTGCTGGTGTTCTGACTTCAGCTGGTTCTACTGTGCTTGGTCTCTCATGGCTTTTCTCGGCAACTGCAACTGAAGTTCTGCAGTCCATCATCTTCGTCTTCGTTAAGCATCCTTTCGATGTCGGAGATCGTGTTACCATCTACGGAAATACTGGTGCCACTATGACTGGTGACGACTACTTTGTAAAGGAGATTGCGCTTCTCTACACTGAATTCAAGAAGATGGAGGGACACGTGGTGCAGGCACCTAACAGCTACCTCAACACTCTTTTCATCCTGAACCAGCGCCGTTCAGGTGGTCTCGCTGAAGCCGTCCCTGTTGTTATCAAATTCGGTACTACTCTGGAGCAGATTGAGACTCTTCGCAACCGTCTCCTCGACTTTGTCAAGCAAGAAAAGCGCGAGTACCAGGGCAACATTCTCACCGAACTCCGCGCAGTCACCGAAGTCCACTCTCTTACTCTCAATGTCATCTTCTTCTACAAGTCAAACTGGCAGAACGAGGGTCTTCGTCTTGCACGCAGAAACAAGTTCATTTGCGCTCTTATGGTCACCATGCAAGAGGTTGGTATCGAAGGTCCTCGCATGCGCTTCCCTGGCCAGAAGGAGTCCTTCCCCGTATACATGCAAAATATCCCTCATCAGGCTACTCCCGGTATTGGTCGCAATGGTCATCCTGACAACCCGACTGGTTGGCAGGAAGGCGAACATCACGACCCACCATTTGTCGCTCCTGCTGAAGGTCCTGTTGGACGTAACGGATCTATCCTCCGTACTGGCTCTATCGCTCGTCGTCATGAAACTCTTGCACAAATGGGCAAGCGTGTTGACTTCTCACTGGGTACGAGTGGAGAGGCAGCAAACAACTATGCTGGTGACGTGTTTGAAGGAGAGCGCAAGCCACGCCTTCCTATCAGCATTACCTCGCCATCTCCAGACAACCGCGTCCGAAAGTCAAATGACACACATAGATCGACCGACACTGGTCGCTCTACCTCGCGCGACATCGGCCCTGGTCGTCTGGCCCGCAGATCCACAGACACATCCACAACCTCGCGTCCTCACCACCGCAACCGCTTCTTCGGCCGCGCCCGCGGCAACACTATCGACGAGCAAGCCATGATGGAAAAGGGCATGGCCGACATTCCTGAAGACTCTCCCAACGTCGCAAGCACCATTGATCCACGCAGCGGTCTCGTATCTGGAGCCGCATGGAGAACACGCACGAATGAGAGTAACGTCGTAAGAAAAAGTCAAGAAAGACCTAGAACAGGGCACACTGCCGACACAGCAGGCCACTCAATAGGTCTTGACGGACCACCACAATTGCATCCCGGCGACCCTCCTGCCGAGGACTTTGAGATGAAGAGGTTCCACTAAGCACTTTGTCTCTCTGCAAAAATCAAATCAAACAAAAACAAAAGATATACAATAGAATAGAAGGGTTGGGATTTTTTATCTTCATTTTGCTTCTTGCGCCTTTAGCGATTTTGGTCTCTTTCTGAAAGAAGGGAGGAGATCTGTTTTTATCATACCCTTTCTGCATCGATGGAGAGGAAACTCAGACATTCCTTGGAGTTTCGATTTTTCTTTGTGTTGTATCTAAGACTGTTTGTGTCACATTTTGTCGACAGATGAATTCACAATTTCTCGTCTCTGATATTTTTTTGTTTCCGTCCATTGCCTGTCTTTGGTTGCTGATGAGACTCGGTCACAGCGACTTGCGTTGCTGCACCTTCCATTTGGAGCCTTCGCGACATCTCGGTTCCAAACAGCTTGAACAAGACTGTTTGCACCTTGTCTTCGGAGAGTCTCGGTCATCATCGCTTTGTCCATGTTGACAATGCACTATGCTGCCTAGTATCACTAACACGCAAATCGATTCTGTTCTTGTTTTGGTTCGCTGCAAATGCGGTATCTCCGAATATCGCAAGCATGCTTTCAGCTTCCATCAAACGGCTTTAGAGAGCTCAGTCATCCATTGTGCAAGACTCGATCATGACGTTAAGTTGCCAAACAAAGCATGCAGCTGAGCTACATACAATAGCACTCTGCAAACTTCCCACCTGGGTAATTGACTTTCTCGTTCTGTGCCGATATCACAACCGACCAAAGAAAAAAAAAGCAAATCTTCAATCTCGCAATATGGATGCCTTGCGGCGTTGCATATACTGTATCCATCAATGTAAGCCTCCAAGCAGACAAACAATTCGGATGCCTGGGGAGCATGCAAGCCACAAACCGGTAAACCATCCCCAGGTACATCCAATTGACCAACCACAACGCGGCAATTTTTGGTGCCTGAGTAACTTCCGTTACATGCACCTTTTGCAAACCCTGAACAAGAGTCATGTTCGTTACTGCCTTGATTTCGATATTTTGTGATGACTGGTACTGTAAGAAGCTGATTGGCGATGACTTGAGAAACCGTTTTGACATGGGTATGTGGCTTGCTTTGCGGTACAAGCGGTGTCTGTGTTTGGTGTGGGGATGAAGGGATGCTTTGGAAGGATTTTGAGGGCATTGCAGGGATTGGATAGGTGAGTGAGTGGTTTTTGGACACCATCACCGAGAAGCTTACACTTGCTTGCGTTGTTTTGTGTTGCGGCCTTGTGAGGCAGCTGTATACCTGCGTAAGCAGGACAAGGTATAAGTATTGTGGTTCCTCGATCTGGTCAGACTATCATATCCATCCATCTCTTTCTATATTATTAGCAGAGCAACAAAGTCCTACCTAGAACCTCATCTATCAGTGACTGTCTTCACATGTCTATGTCCTTCGGTACTCTTGGTCATCGCCTACCATCTCAGAAAAACAACAAGACAACATTGACAATGTTTGGCGAGAAGACCATTACAACAAAATCCACGTCATCAACGCCTGCCTCAACACCATCAAAGCCCTCGTCACCACAAACCATGACACCCAGACACGCCGAGCTCGAATCCTCATATCCAGCCGCCTTCTTCGGCAAAAAGTCTTCAACAATCAAGTTTCCCATGGTGTCAGAAAAAGAACGCAGGGATTCTGTATCCAGCACAGCAACAACAGCAACTTCCTCTTCTGTGCTCAGCTCAGCAACAACAATCGCTGCACCCTCGCAACCACCAGAAAAGCCTTTCGATGTGTTTGAATACCAAACGGCTGGATATCTCTCCATGCCCATGAGCCATTCATCCCAACCCTACCTTCAGGAGGCACCTTCAGGGCGGAAGAGTTCTGCATCTTCGTCTTCTTCGGCTGGATCGTCGTTGTGGAGTAAAGCCAAGAACAAGATGCAGAGAAGAAGTCCTAGTGTAGAGGAACAAGAGGCAAAGGAGAAGAAGAAACAGGAGAGGAAGGAGGAGTACGAGGCTTTGGGATTGGAAGAGAAGGTCAAGTTTGGGAGTAAAGGAGGAATGAGTATGGTTGGTTGAGTAAAGGGAAGAAAGAAAAGGGTTTGAGATGTCGGTTTTGTACTTGTCTTGGTTTTTGTCAAAACAGAAGAGTTGCGAAGGATTCGTTTCTTGGGTGGGTTCAACTAGATTGTCCATCAGGAGTCTTGGGAGTTAGGAAACTGCCGAAGAGTTAAGCGTGGTGACGGCGAAGATAGGAGATAGCTCCATCAAGATACAAATACAACGATCAAGGTCAAACCAGATATATCTCCTTTTCGATATTTTTCAAGGGCCGTTCTTGATTTCTTGTAAGACCTAGATTGTCGAGGTTTGTGATTATTGAGACGAGACTAGTGATATGCTAGATGGTAGAGCATCGCACCCTGTAGAGCTCTCCGCTGATCAAGAACTCGACATGACTTCGAGCACTTTGATGCGCCATAAATTGCATTGCATCCAGAAATCGCTGAATACCGAGCATCTCTGCGAAGACACATGCACTCCCTACGATTCTCCAGTCTTGTAATGTGATGGTTGAAGATGATATTTTGTACAGTGCAAGCTTTCTCGCTGCTGGATATGTGTACACTCGTCGACCGTGGTAGAATTTCCATTGCCCAGATGAACTCCATGAAACGCCTTTTTCGTGATGCAGCAGAAGCCGCTGATCCCCAATGCTCTTTTGTCGCTGCTTCCAACCCCGTAAATACGTATTTGTACAAGCTCTTGGCCTCGTCCCCAGTATTGGACATATTGCAAAAGATAGAGGTTCGCAGAGTGCGAATCGTTTACCTCTTCTTCTTGCCGAACTTCTTGGATTCTGTGTGGGCGCAGAAATGTCAGCAAAAGTGCTTTCGCGAACCACGTTCTCTGTCTCTCTTGCATCTTCATGCCTGTTTCTTCTTCTCCCAGACCGACGCATTTTCCATCTCTTCCTCTTCCACCTAGCTTTCTTCCTCCTCTTCCTCGTTCCGCGACAAAACTTACCAGCAGCCGTCCTCTTCTTCTTAGGAGCACCCTTTCCTCTCGACTTGGAAATCTGGACGTGCTCGACACGGTCTTCTTCAAAGTCGTCATAGGTCTCGAATCCAGGGTATGCCTTTTGCAGGTCGGCGAATCTGGCTACGCGGCGGGGGTAGTAGGCAGCCATTGCGGGACCGCGCAGGCGTTGGCGCAAAACACTGTTGCCGGTGCGGAGGGCGGAGGGGTTGTAGGTGGTGTTGAAGATGGCGCATTGGGTCTGTGTAGAATGTTAGAGATGCGAAAGTTTGAGGTTGGTAATGTTGAAGGTATGGGCGGTAGCCGGAAGATAGGAGGGGATGAACAGAACATACCTCCATGAGCCTGAGAGCTAGTGTTCTTGCGACTGCCATGATGGGCGAGCGGTGTATGCTACTGGGCCCTGGGATATGCTATGGACGATGATGTTCGAGATGGACTGCGGCGGCCATCGCGCTCGGGAGACGGCATTTGCCGATCCTGCCAGCAACGATAAATATTTTCCACTTCGCGCAGGCTTGCAACCAACAACTTCGCGACCACGAGCGAATACTGCAGACGGTGCTATATTACAGCCTTCTGCCAGTATTGACACGCGTCGTGCGCTTATGGACGGCAGTTCTGGGAGGCTGGTTTGCGCGAACGTCGAAGGAATTCAGTCTCCCATCAAACAGTAAGGTAAGCACTTTCTCACTCACACCTTCCCTCTTCCCGAATGATTATATGCTTTACACATGCATGGCTTTCTTACGCACCTTGACCGGTGCATCCATGGTGAAACAGCAACAGACATCTGACAACAACCCCTCAAATCCTTCTCATCACATCAGTTTTTGAGACACAACATTTGCTTACTTTGAGCTTACAGTTTCATACATCGATATCACAAGTATAGAGATACTTGCCCAGCATGTGCAGAAGCAATTTCAGGGTTGAAAGACGGGATCTCTATAGACCAGATAGACATTACAATTATCATCGTTACACATCACTTATAGATATGCTTCCCGTGCATGACCTTGATTGAGACCGTGAATTGACTTGCTGTTGATGAATGCAAATATCTACTATCACCACCACAGTATCGCTTGCAGTTTCAGCATCGGCAGCCCAGCATCGCCCACCCTCCACAAATAGCACACCACCCACACCTTCTGCAAGATCTCAGCAACGTCTTTACACCAAACAGACCATCGCATCTTGCATACAGCACTGAATGTCGTTGCTCGAGCTGCATCTCTCTTTAGTGTCGATCGTACTGCTATTCTCGACTTTTCTGTAAGATCTGTGACGCGCTTTGAACATTAAAAACGTCTTTGCAGAATGAATTAATGCAATGCATCTCGAGCATTGATACTGCAGACTGACAAAACCTGGTCGCCGGGTACAGCTGCATCTTCTGTAGAGGTATTCGCTTCAACTATCGCGAGTGGTAAGACGATAGAAATGAATATTTAGCAAGTAGTCGTCTTCGGTCTCGTATACCTGCTCGGCTTGTCGTGTAGCAACACGAAAGCAACACCAACGGACAAGCTGAGTCTTTCGTTCAGCTACTAAACCACTGCGCTGTTCTTCTGCGCAGAGGATATATCCCGATATCTCCGTCGCATGCATCAGCACTCACACTCAAAACTCTCCGCAGAATCGACCATGCAAGACCGTTCACGTTGTTACACCCAAGCGAGTCTCGTCAGCAAAGCACACAGACACACCTGAAGAACCCCCTGGGGTACGCAATCAAGATTATCGCAACAACGTGCAAACAAAAGGGAAAAACAAATCGGCGTAAGGCTGTTATCACGGACGTTCGGCACATTGTTGTCGCAGTTCGTGGGATTCTACACGTAACGCATGGTGCCATTGCCGGTATAGGAGATTTGGGGCAGAAGAGGTTCCCACAAAGCAAAACAATCAAAGTGGTCTGCTGACTATGTATGAAGATCGCAAGAAACGGCCTTGCTCGCGATGAGCAGGCAGAAAATACAAATCCCTGTGGCGGTTTTGTTTTTGCGTGCGTGGCTGTTTTTGGCTAATATCGATTGACTCAGGACGTTGACGTTCAGCTGGGCTGTCCAAGAAACGGCTTTTCTCGTGTTCGCAGTACTTTGTCAAGGAGGAGATTTGGGAACTGTGACGTTGAAAACAATGACGACGAGGCAGGAGAAACAGCCGAGCAACATACACACTTGGAAGATAGTTTTGTTTGTGAAGATGTTTACTCTTGAAATAGAAGAAATTCGTAGATACAGAAGAATATTAAAAATCTAATCCTTCGAAAGAGAAAAAGATAACGCCAATTTCATGAAATTCCCGGTCCTGTGTATATGAGGTACCCTTGATGTAGACATAGGAAATAGAGAATACGAAAAGGAAAAGAGACGAGAAAGGAAATTGGTCCGGTGGACTCGCATGCGAGTGTCGACCAAATCTTTTGATGAGACGAGGGCTGAAGTCCAGCAATGCCCTTCGCGCGGTGAGATGTGCCAGTCTATAATGCTCCGATGATGTGATGAAGAGAGAAGGAAATTTAAAGTGTTGCAGAAAAGACGAAGACACGGTGGTGATCTTAGCATGTCAATTCAACTGCAACGACTGTGGTTTCGTTCTTCATAGGGGTGAGCTCGGGGCTGGCTTTGGCAGAGTCGACCTGGGCCTCAATAGGATCTTCCATGATGGTGTCTGCGGGCGAAGGAGCAGCAGAGGCATAAGAGAAAGTACCACCGCGAGGAGAGATCAAGCTGGAAGAGTCGTCGTCGATTTCGCAAACACCCTCCATGCTGTGCAGGCCGTGAGCGGCGGGAGTGGTGAGGATGAGAGGAGCGGGCTTGTTAGCCTTGGGGGAAGAAACAGACTTGGTTCTGAAAGAAACGGTGGGAGCAGGGAGCTGCTCGGCAATGCTCTCTCTACGGCACACCTCAGCCTTCTCCTCAGCGCTGAGAGGAGTGGTAGTGCGAAGGAAGCTGGAAGCAGCGTTACGAGGAACGTAGCTAGGACGGCGAGAGGCGGTGGGGGAAGCGGTAGGTGAAAGGCTACCAACCGACTCCGAATCGGGGTTGTGGCTGCTGAACATGGAGAACTGAGAGAACTTGCGGTCGATGGCAGGAACAGCAGGAACACCAGCGTCAGTGTCAGGGTTGGCACTTCTGAACCAGCTTCTGATGCTGTTCTTGGATGAACGACGGCTGGAAATGCTGAATGCACGGCTCTTGGATGGTGAGCTTTCAGAGAAGCTGCGAGTGTCCTTGGCTGCAGCGGACACGGCTGATGCCTTGCGGTTGTAGGCGGGTCTCTTCTGTTCAATGCCAGTTGAGACTGAGGTCATTCTGATCTTCTCGGCAGGCAGGGTAGGGCTAAGCATGCCAGAGTCCTCCATAGGGACAACCTCGCTGCCCATCTTGAAGTTGCCGAACATCTTTCCCCACATGGATCCCTTTCTGACTGGGGGGAGGGCAGGGGTAGGGGCAAGAACAGTGACGCTCATTTTGATTATGTCGTGAGAAATGTTATTCGTGATTAGATATTAGTGGTCGTTTAATGTTGTTGGAATGCTTGTCCTTGGTCGTTGGATTGAAGGTCGTAAGAGAGTTGACAACTTGTTGTGAAGATGATAGAACGAGCGCTGCTGAACGAGATATTGATCGAGGACATGTGCTCTTTCTTATATCAAAGCACAACGTGCAAAAAACGCCCGTATCATCTGCCTTGCCGGTTCCCTGGCCGTTGAAAACAGCAAGCCCTTGGAGAGCATCTCGAAGCATAAGCGCAAACGTTTGATGTGGAACATGTCTATCAGACATAGGTCGTTGTACTATTAGCAAATCCCACAAACGGTGCAAAAATGAGTGGACTTCGCCTTGGTTCTCCTAGACAACCCGGCTCTGGATGTCTAGAATTGAAATAGACGCACGTCAACCGCCATTCCTGGAAGTGTATACGAAGTGATCTGCGCTACCCACCACTCACACAGAATGTGGCTCTATTTCTGGCTGTCTCGTGGACACAGAAGATCTCGTACGAGACGAATCAATCTCATGCGGCTCTCTCTAAGCATACTGTACCCTGGAAGCCAGTGACGATGTGGCCCAGTCTTCTCCGTAGGCATACAAATCGGTAACGGCCAACTATCGAGCGAACAAATGAAAGCCGTTGCCAATTCCCAAATCCCTCTCCCCCGAAGAGGAGCGATGAGGGTGTAGGAGAAACGGTTGCAGGCGAGCTTTGCCAGGAAAGGTCGGGGTTGCGTTGGTCACAGATCTTGGCCTCGGCGCGTGAGCCCGATCAAAGGATTTTGGCAACGAGTTTTGCAGCCGTTACTGCATTTTGGCCCATCCCCTTGGCTCCTTCCCCAGACATTTGTCTCCAACTGCCGTGCCATTTGCTGTTGCAAAGGATATCGCTGTACAGGAGAAGACGTTGCACTACACCCTCAGACTCAGCTCAGCTCGCCTACATGCGCAAACACCTGTGCTCCTGGATCGACTGTTATGCGTTCTAGGATAGAAGTATCACTTAGTCTTATGCACCGGAGATGGAGATACTGCATGGAATCTGAACGAGATCGCTATCTCACCGGTCATGCGTAGTTCCAGGCCTCCTACACAGTGCCCGCGTAGCCTATCACCAGAGTGCACCGTACATGAAACCTGTTCGTCGCGCTCCATGATCGATTTTGCGCTATTCTCGTCCCCTTCTTACGTCCACAGAGCCTTTCGCCAGTCTCGGTAGATCGCATTACCTCGAACGCCGGTTTCGCACGCATTCCTCCTGATCCAGTCCAACGCTCGCATCTTTTCTCTCGTTGATGACCCTTGCACTCTGAGGCTGACTGATCAATTGGCTTTTCGGATCAATTCGCATTCTTGCGTTTCTCCTGCTATCCATGCTTTGGGAGCCGTTGTGAATGCTCTATCTTTCGCCTATGGGATTTTCTCAGACATTCGCAATATTTCAACGTCATAAGTCTCAAATCCTTCCCTATTCGAAACTTCAGGGTCAAGGGCTTGGTTACAAGAGCGGCCAGTATACTCCACTCGGAGGGATGGCCGTTGGAACGATCCTTATCGAGTCTCTATCCGGCAACGGATGAGCTCGGCCACCTCTCGCTCCGACGTTGACGCGATGGATGCCGCTGCGAGACAGAGATGTGTCCAGACAAGATCTGAAGTCCACATGCACAGCCACGGGATGATACAGCGACGAACCGTCACCATCTAGAGCTTCAAGCATCTCTCTAGATCATCCTTCAGACTGAGCAATCTGCTATAATGGCAAGAAAATTGAGAGGGAATAAGCCCGAAGGTCAATACGATCTTCCTATCACATTTTGCGCTCCGGCGTGTTAAAGTTCTCCTCCCTGGTCATTGATATGTCAACGGGCTGTTGTGGCTGATATCTTCTTTACAACTCAACATCAGGGTTAAGCAAACCTCTGGAATAACCAAGCGAAGCACATACGTCGACCACTACTCGATAGGAACTCTTCCTCGATAGAGTCTCGGTTCTTTTGTCTGGACCACTGCATCACTTCCGCGACCAAGACATTCTCACAAGGCTGTAAGGATAGACAAAAACTTCCGAAATGGTCTGGAGTATCATGAGATTTTCTGGGCTAACTACAGAAACGCTACTGATTTTAAGTAGTGCGGGCCGAAGTGGATGGCGCCCGTTAAACTCCACTTATACTGAAGTTTATCTCTATAAAATCCATCGTGACTCTGAGACAACAATTTTTGAATATTCCAAAAGAGAATATGGTTTTGCTACTTTGATCAAGGTCTCGGTAATCATCTTGCTAACTTTTGCAGTTTTGCGTTTTTCAAAATCGTGCTCCTCAAACGTTGAGCTGAAGACTGTTGATATATTTTCATCAAAATATAAGCCTGCGATTGAAGTAGAGTAGACAGGACAGCCACATCATCATTGTATCCAGCCACTGACTGTGGTATCGAAGCAGGCAGCCAGCCACAACACAACGAGGCACCATAGATCTATATCTGCTTCTCGTCTATATGTACCGATTCGGGAATTGATTTTTTGTATTTGATATCGCTCACCATCTTGACTGTCATGAGCACGTGTGAGATCGAAGTCCTGTCGCATGAAAAAAGCTACTCGGTACAAGACTCCCTGTTTTGACATTTTCAAAGGCTCCAAACTCTCGAATTCTCATTATAGTTTTTTCCAACATACTCTGGGATCTGACAGTGCAGATCCTTGGCCTGATACTCGATGTGGCCTTTGTCAGTGGGATTCGGGATCCGGGACTCGGAAGACATTTCTACCGTGACCGGCCCGGCAAGTGTCGTTTATCCTCTTGATCTCTTCAAGATGTGATCAGAGATTGACGGAGCAGCGAAAAGAATTTCTCGCCGACAAGTCTTAGCAGCCAGATGTGCTTCACAGACAAGACTTCTGCAGCGTTTCGAAAAAAGTCGTGTCTCCTTTGGCCTGAGTAGTGTCCCGATGGTCGCAAAAGGATACACGATGCAGAGACCAACAGTCCCTTACACCAGCTCAAGCAATACCCCATCTGCTGAAAATACATCATTCTCCAATCACATAGGTACAGCCCTCGGGGCCGATCCACACTTCATGGCGCTTGTTGGCGTCGACGTCGAATCTGTCACCGACATTGCACTGCTCTTTCTTTGGATTGGGATTATCAGGATAACTCAGAGTAAGGCTTCCTTTGAGAACCAAGTGTGTTGTAACGCCGGCATGTGTGTGAGGCGGGTAGTGAGCGTTGCTTGCGACAGGTCAGTCATCGTACCATCCATGCACCAAGATCGGTATGAGGCTTACGGGCCGTCGGTCCAAGTAAAAACGTGGTTAAACCCCCATCCTCTAACCTCAGCTTCTGCTTCTTTTCTTGACATGGATGCCATGATTGATATGAAGAGGAGTTCAGATTGAAGAAGACGACCACCAAGGGCACGCTGGCGGCGACATTGACTGATCGCTCATGACGCAACATTTCTCCAGTTCTTGGCGGCCGAGACCCTGACCGCCTGGACATCAGCACCTGTCAGCTTTGACCAAGCGGTGAAGTGTCCATCTTGTTTCAAGGTGGGTCGAAACAGGATTGATGTGGAAGGAAGCACCAAGCACATCAGACACGACATGACATTCTCCATTGTTTTCTCCACACCATGACTTGACTCGTCTATCAAATCTTCTACCACCACTCAATTCCTCACGCAACTATCGCCCTTACCTATCCGTTCATTGCCCTGTCACAACATTCCCCTTCGCTGCCCCTGATTTCCGATATTGATCTCCAACATGGACTTTATCAATTCTCAGTCCTGGTCACCGGCCATTCTAGACTATGTCAAAGAATTCGCTGCCGAGTCTTCCCAGCTGGACAAGATTGAGGGCAAAACTATCGGAAGTGATGATCAAGCATCCCATCGTCTACTGGAATATCTTAGCTCCGATGAGGCTGATGCGATGGCACCTGTCACTTTGGATGCCTCCCACCCTCTCACGGACTATTTTATCTCAAGCAGTCACAATACCTATCTGTGGGGAAACCAGCTCTATGGCAAGGCTAGCACAAAGGCTTACCAGAAAGTCCTTGAAAGAGGCTGCCGCTGCGTCGAGATTGATGTCTGGGATGGGCATGACCCCGACTCTGATACTTCGGACTCGTCCGCCGATAGCGACAGCGACGCTGAAAACGAAGGCGAAATTAAGAAGCTAAGCAGACGTTTCAAGAAAAAGATCGGCCTCGCCAAATCCAAGCCTGAGACTAGATCAACAGACAAGCAAGCATCTGCGTCCAGTCCGCCTAAGTATGAAGGTGTGGCATCAGCAGGTCTTCGCAGGACGGTCTCCAGGACCGAGCCACGTGTTCTTCATGGGCACACCGCGACCAAAGAGATATCTTTCAGAGCCGTTTGCACCACCATTCGAGACTACGCTTTTGCCACAAGGTACAATGGCACATAACATGCATCCGACTGCTCAAGTACTCACTGTCACATAGTGATCTTCCGTTGATTGTCAGTCTTGAGGTTCACACTTGTCCCGCTCAGCAACAAATCATGGTTGATATTATAAGAGATCTGTGGGCTCCATACCTGGTTGAACTCAATGCAGTGACTGGTCATGAGATATCCCTGCCAACTTTGGAGTCCTTGCGCAAGAAGATACTCATTAAAGTTAAGTACACAGCTCCCGAGATCGCCGCACAGAAACCTGTGCCAGGTGTTGCGTCAAGCAACGTAGAGCCTGAGTCGGGTTCAGAGGACGAGTCTCTTGGGGCTCAGGAAGCGCCTGTCAAGAAAAGTCACATCATTGCAGCACTCGCTTCCATGGGTGTCTACACCCGCGGGTGCCATTTCAAGGACTTTGATCAACCGGAGGCCAAGCTTCCAAATCACGTATTCTCCTTATCCGAGTCAAAGATCATCGAGGTACACAAGCGTGATCACTCTGCATTGTTCAGGCACAACAAGGTATGTCGTTCCGCGGTGGACTATCCTGTGCTAATGTTGTGCTAATATATGACATGTCAGCGCTTCTTCATGAGAGTCTATCCCAAAGGCATTCGTGTATCCTCGAGTAATCTAGATCCAGCACCATTTTGGCGTATGGGTGCACAGGTTGTCGCTCTCAATTGGCAATACATAAATGCGGCAACCATGCTCAACCAAGCGATGTTCCACGGGACGGGCGGTTGGGTGCTCAAGCCTGACGGCTACCGAAGTTTCCATAGAGCTCAATCTCAGATCACGGCACTCGACCGTGGTAAACTTGACTTGACGATCGAGCTGCTGGCTGGTCAGGATATCGGCCCGTCTGACGAGAAACTCCACCTCTATGTCCGCTCCGAGTTGCACATCGAGGACATGGAAGAGATCAATGGCGGGTCTCTACCCGAAGGAGGATCCACCAAGGAGGGACAGATCAAGGCGGTCACGCAAGTTGGAACCGCTGGCAGGTCGCCAGATTTTAGGCGCCAAGTGCTCCAATTCAAAGTCGACGGTGTTGCCGAAGAGCTGACCTTTGTGAGGTAAGTGATTTCTCGCCCTTGTCTAAAAGAGACTTGTCATATACACCCAAGCGCTGCTTGCACCCGTCTCTTTCATATGGCTATGTTCACCGCTAAGCTGCGATCTGAGAAGTCCGCAGACTAAAGTTGCTGTGTCTTGTTGCGAGTCTATGCGACATTGCCAGAAACGCTCAGTCGCTTGCTTCTACGAGGACCGCACGCGCTCTACGGTTATGTGCATGCTCAATTCACTGCTCATGGCAGCATCATCCGAACAATCGGGTTCACCAGCTGCGTGGTACCAGACTCCACACAAGACTCACGGACCCGTCACCCAGGTTCTTTTATGCATACTTCGCTGTCATTCTTACCTAATCTAGTTACCCAGACGTTTGTCGCTTCTTTAGCTCATTCGCTGACACGTTTGTCATAACAGGTTCAAGGTCATGGACGATGACACTTTCAGCCGCGATAATCTAGTAGCATGGGCATGCTTCAAATTGTCCAGGCTACAGACAGGTATCAAAAAGATACGTCTGTATGACTGCGAAGGTCAGCAGACCAACGGAATGCTGCTTGTGCGCATAAGCAAGAGACTCGAGATTGAGTAAAGTGTCCTGCGGAATCACAAATTCTGACTCTTGATTGAGATGTGAGTCGGGCACAATCGCAGTCTGACTGTAGCGTTCCGACACGCCATCAAGGGTCACCCGTGCCGTTTCATTATTTAATTAATGTGGACTGCTATCGCCCGTAGGGTTTTGTGTCGAGCGTACGAGTTCTTTTGACCGCCCATGAATATCGCTGTATCGTCGCATCATCTTGAAAAACTGCACGAGTCCTGCCCGTCACGAACATGCGACCTACGAAAGTTCGAACCCAATGTAACAAAACTTTGACAGCGCTATTCTCGTACCTCTGAGCGCATGTAAGGCATGGTTATAACGCAGGTTTTAGTATGCAAGCACTATGGCAGTTTGTAAAGATCTAATCTTGACGGCGCATTACTCAATCGAGATTACCGAGCCTATGGTACCAATGGACTGGGGACGAGGGAGTACAATCGGAATGAGGCACGCACATATGACGAATTAAAAACGGAACAAACTGCCGGCATGCGACCATCTTTTGTACCAACGTGTGTATTCAGCTGCTCACATGTCACAGGTAAGACAACATTCGATGCAGGCTTCCACAGGCGCTTCTTGAGCATAGATTAAGATGACATTGAGACTGAGACTTGGCTCTGAGCGACAAATTCATCTGTGTCGGTTTTCGCACCTTACCATTTCACAATGTTGAACAAGTGGAAGGAAAATCTTGACGAGGTGTTGATAGTTGATAGATCAGTTCCTCGTGCCTTGCACATTGACAGTCGGCGAAGCCATGGCGCATGGGCAATTCTGAGCAGCAAGGAGCTAAGTCGTTGCTCAAGCGACTCGATCTGACATATTGTCAAAAGCCGGGTAATCCAACCTTGAAGCACCAAAGCCTTGGAAACATACAGCGCACTGACTTTTAATTCCGACATCACTTCCCTGCGAATACTGCAGTGCGGTAATTGACATTTCGAAACCACGGAATTTGGTCACTTCATTGCCTACCTTTCATGTCCTGCACCTCTACTCAGGGTACTTTGGGGAACATGATATAGCTCCGATTGTGGCAGCTGACGGAAGGGACGGGGCGGGCGCCATGTCTGGCGTACCGATCTGTCGGTAATCCGATGCAATCCGTTCCTAGATGACATTGACGCAGAACCAGGATTTGAGAAGGGCACGGTACTCGAAGACTCCTCGGAAGATGCAGGCCGCAAACACAGGAACTGGTGGAATGACTTTTGCTACTTGCTGCTGCTGCTGCTTCCTTGCTGCTTCTCTTAGAATATCAAGGTGCAGGAGCCAATGTATGTGGCTAGCGTAGGCTACACCTGATGGCTGTTCCCTGTGGGTATACCTCCCATCGTCGCACGTTCGAGGGTTCCGCAAGTGGATAGCCGTGGGGCAGATAATTTGTCTGCTCTTGCCCAAGCGCCCGCGTACACACAAGGTCCCCTTTCCCTTCTTTCTGGTTTTGTATTTAGACATTTTGTTACTCGTCGTCTCTTTTCTGTACCGCAAGTCCGATAACACCAATATTGCACTTGAGCAAGAAGCCGGGGGGTGCTCCACTGCTTTCATTAGTTTTCGAGACTGCTCAGATTGTGAGGCTCTTTGCAGCGCCAAACGATGCAGGGTTACTCTATGCGAGGTGCTTTATCAGTCGAGTCGGAGAAAAAGTCTATCACAAAAGGTCAAGTCAGATCATTCGAGGTATGCAGTTGAAGGTATTTAAGAAGGGTATTTGTCCTCTGCTTCAACATACTTCTCATCCACCAGCATCACAAGCATTTGATTACTCTGTCACACAATCAACCACCTACCTTCTGTGCCTGATTCTTCTATCACCTCTTCCTATCCACATCACTCTTTCAAGCATCCGTTCGCTCTCAGCAACCATGCCTAGCAACACCGCCCACATCCAGCAGCGTGCCCAGCTCAAGCAGCACGACGACCTCGTCATTGCTGTCGATGAGCAAACCGAATGGCACGAGGGTCAGAACGAGCTTGGACTGCCTTCGACTCCAGGAGTCCGCTCTCGACCTGCACCAGTAAGAGAATGCGCTGTCAGCACCATCCCCTCCCTCTTCCAAAGATCTGACAGACTAAACAAGGTCCAGACTCGTCAGTGCGCCTGTGGAAGATATGTCATCGCTGGAAAGAGATGCACCTGTGGCCGTCAAAACTAGCAACTCAAGCGAGGTATGTACTTCTCCAAGCACAGCACAAGTGAATTTGGCTGACATGGCTCGGCACAGAGCGTCGTCAAAGGTCCTCGGACTCCTTGGAGCAGCAGCAAAGGCAACCAAAGCAGTCAAAAATCGACATCGAATACCTCCGGCAACGTTTCGTGAAGCTCAAGACTTCGACGACCGAAACGGCGCCTCGCGGTATCGCAGTCGAGAATACGCAGCCACGGTTTCGTCCTGAGCGTGTGTACTACTCCGGATGTCGACCTTTTCCCGAGGGCTAGCCCAGTTGTCTGGGCTCATCCGTTTTTCTTGTCTCTTTGGCACTCGTTTGATTTCTGTTGTTTCCTTGTTGAGCGCAATGCATCATTGCTGGCGTTCGTCTTTTACTCAGGTGCAAGTTGAGAAGAAACCTCTGAAAATTGTTGACAAAAAAGGAGGTGAGCAGGAATGGTTTCCTTTGTCTTGATCACAGCATTTTTTACAGCAGTGTCTATGTTATTGTATCGTGATGAAAGGAGCTTCGGGGAAGAAAAAAAACGCAGCATCGAAGAGACCTCGGAATCTTCTTACCTATTGTATATGCAGTTCGCAAACATATCGAAATCGAAAATCACATTCTCTTCACACGCTGCTTACCTACTAGTTTTACGCTTTGAGCATATCGATGATGATGTGAAGCAAAGACAATATTAAAGAATAGGTGAGGACTGCAGGCAAAATAGGATAGATCGCGATCATCAAACCCTTGGCTCGATTCGATCATCAAGAGGCTCTTCAGCGTCACCACTTTCTGGGGAAAACGTTCATCCTGCACTTTCTGTCCTCCCGAACACGTCATGCTGAAATCAGATATGCATATATTGGCCTCCGTCAAGTCGTTTGTAGGTGAAAATTGTAGAAGGAAGTCACATAAGTCGTACCTGCCACATCGGAAAACTCGCTTGAACAACACATAAAAGCGCTTCTCTGCTTCTTTCTCTCCGTCATGTCTTTCCAACCCATCAAGAACTCTTTCCGTTTCGTGAACACCGCTTCAAGACCTTCATCTCTTTTCACTCGTCAATTCCACGCAAGAACTATAATGGCTGCTCAGGTTCCTTCTTCGCACGACATCTCGGCCGTCGCCAAGGAAGAGAACGGTCCCGTCAAGGGCTCTGAATCTGCTCAGATGCAGAGCCAGGTCGGCAAGGTCCAGGTATGTTCAAGCATCGCCTCGCACACATCGCAATCCCTAACAAGCATGCACAGAACTTCGAGAGCGCTGCTCAGGATGTCCTCAGCAAGATGCAGCAGGACCCCAGCTCCATCACCGCCGACGACGCCAACTACCTCAAGTCTCGTGAAGCCCGCGCCACCGGTCAGGCTCAGCCTCCCAAGGACAGTGTCTCCGCCGACGCTCAGCGTCTCGCCGCTGCTAACGAGAAGGGCACTACACCCAAGACCGGCCCTCTGGATCCTGCCGAGCAGTCCCATCTTACCAAGGAGCGCAACCTCGAGCAGGCCGTCAACCAGGTCGGCTCCAAGGACCCTTCACAGATCACCCAGGACGATGCCAACCTCCTTCACAGCCGCGAGCAGCGTGCTCACGGTCACACTGAGAAGGGCGGTGTTGCCGCTCAGGCTCAGCACATCGCCACCGAGAACTCCCGCTCGTAAAGCATGAGCGTTAATGATTACGACTCTGTATCTTACTGCATACATGGCATTTGCATGAGCGTCGCAGCTGGTTTGCTGCAGGGTTTCCATCGGAGGGAAGGAGGGAAATATCACGATTACACAAAAGTATAATATGTACAATAGCATGACATGAACACAAACCCCCATACACGCTGGGGTCTTCCTTCACCTCTTCTTCTTCCCTCCTTGACCGTCTATATACGTCAATTCCTTCTGGCATCGTGTCCAATTGAACCATGTTCACTTATCAAAACCCAATATATCCTGAGCTCCTCCAAGTGCGGGGAAAGCTGTAATTATGCATGATGATCATGACATCGCTCACCAGGTCGGGCCTGATAAATAGAAGCTCCCACAAACATCTCGAAACCATCTACAACCTTCGGCTACAACGTACAACATGTTATTCAACATGCTGGTCCGCTATTTCATGCTCTCGGTGCTGGCAGAGCGTGTAGTCAGCTTCGTACTTCCATCCCAAGAAATCCTCACTTCTTCTCCAGCAGAGAAAGACCCCAATGCAATTCTCTCGGCGTAAGCATCAATAGTCATTCATTGCAAATACTGTAATTTACTAACAAGCCCCAGCCTTCGCGATGCAGAAGTCATCCCCGATGTTCTAGACACATTCTCACCTCTGCTCTCCCTGACCGCAAACTGGTCTTCTTCCGCAGAAACATCCCTCGGCAACACACTTCCACCATCTCAACTATCCCATCGTCCTGACATCTATGCCTCGCTGATTCCTTCTGCGTACCTACCCCATGGCATAGAATACGTACTTGCCCTCACAGACCCTGATGGCCCTTCCCGCGACAACCCTAAATGGAGTCAAGTATGCCATTGGCTGGGTTCCTCCAGAGATGGCGATGTCAAGGAGTTGGTGGAGTATAAAGCTCCTGCGCCTCCAGAGAAAACTGGAAAACATAGATATGTTGCTGTGGTTTTGGTACCCAGGAATGGTACTACTGAGCCACTGGATTTGGTGGTTCCGGAAGAGAGGAAGAGGTGGGGGTATGATGGGGAGAGAGCTGGTGTTAGGGAGTTTGCGGGTGTGAATGGGTTGAAGGTTATTGGTGAGTCTTTCTGTTTTTCCTTTGCTCTGTGGTCTTTGTCGACATACTTCCGACATTGAGATTAGGAGAGGACAACTTCTCTTGCTGAGGAGCTGAGCTTTGATATTTTTCCTGCATTCGATTGTATCGCTTACTGACTGATCCTCGGCAGCTGCAAACTTCATCTATTCGCAGAACGACAAGCAGTAGACGATACGGGTTTTGCTGAGAGCTCTATACCGACGGACCCAAATCAATTTGACATACATGATCTTCTTCACTTGCTGTCCTCATCAGTTGTCTATACATCGCGTATGCAGTCGTTCGTACAACTACCTTGGCTTGGTCCCGTCGTCTTCGAGATACGGTTTCTGGTACATGGTGACAGGGTTGTACCCGCGACAATGGTTTCGAACAGTCAAAATGCGATATCTCGACAGCTATGCATCTTTATTCTATCACACTCCTTTAGAACATTCTTTACTTTAGTTGGTCTGTGGTGTATGTGTCTTGGATCGTCAAATGCAAGTCTGCGGCTACAATGTGACTTTTTGTGCTCTTGACCATCCCAAATTCCGAGGCTGCTCTCATTCGCACGAGACCTCACCACGCGGTATGTCTCAAAGACCACACATGTCTATCACGTCAAAAGGGATAGCACTGTGTATATGGACCGTATTCGTGGATTGAATTGCCTCTGGAGTCCTTGATGACACTAGCTGTGACCTAGACATTGAATGAATGCGAGCGTGCAAGAATGAGGCACGAAAAGTTGTTCTATAGATTAGAGATTATCGTTGAGCCTCTGTCCGTGCACTCGAGCTTTCTAACAATCACAGGAGTATCATAAATCATCTTACTCAGAACCAACAGAAAGTCTCTCAAAGACAGACAAAGCCCACAATAGGCCCACTCTTTCTCCCTGGACGCGCGCTGCTTCCGACTTTTGCCCTGTGCAAGGATTATTGTATTGTACTTTCAAGCCGTACATCTTGTTCCTTGACCAACAAAGTTAAGATATCAACAAAAAAACACCAACATGTACCTGGCTCCTTAAAGCACAGTCACTGAAGAACCAGCACTTGATTAGACTTTCCCCATTATTCTCTAAAGCGAACAACCCTGGTGCTTCCTGTCCGTAGCTTCCACTATGACGCCGATACCACGGACGTCTTAGCGAAGAGCCATGCCGACATCAACCCGGCCATCGAAACTTGGTCGCAGTGTAATTCCCGTAGGTAATGAACAAGAGAAGGTCCTCGTCGCTGAAGCTGGCGTCGGTGCAGCAGAAGCTTACCAATATGCCACCATGTTTTGTGAATGAGGAAATGGAGATGTTGAGTGGAAATGCAGATGAAGTAGGCAAGAGAGATGGTGTCTTGGCGAACGACCATAAGGAAAGAACAAGGGTTGAGGACAGGCTCAGAACGAAGAAAGAGCGAGCATGTCACTCTGTATTTAATGTAATCAGAACGGAGAGGGAAGGCGCGGTTCTCGGAGATGTTCAAAGACCGTTCTGGCAGGAAGAAAATCAGACCAGATGTCAAGAGAGAGAGACAGGTCCTGAATGCCGAGACACCTAGAGATTCATCTTCTTGATGAGCATATCATTCTGCACGCGCAGATGAACACTCCAGCGCGGCCGTGTTGTTTGAAGGTATGCCAGATAGTCGTCTACCGCAAGTAACTGATTTCACAAGCGCAATGCGGCGTCAAATTGGATTGCCGAGTATGATAGAAATTCGCGTTTGCGCTGTCTTATCCGCTCTCGCATTCTTCACTGGTCTCAAGAATACAGGACAGCAACACGAGTGTCAAAAGAGAAGCGACCTATCCTACTCCATGGACCGTCAGCAAACAAGAGCTGTCATTTGTCGGGGAGGCGGGCGTTGGGAACTCGTCCTCTCGACCTTGCGACCTACAATCCAGCTAGCGCTCGTAGTAGCAAGGTGGTAAACTCTGTCGTATGCTGTAGTCATGTGCTGGTTGGCCTCATATGGACTTTCCACTCGACGAAATCATGTTTGACTTGTGACGTAGTCGAGTTCTGACTCTCGGCCGAGAAAAGCCATGTCCACTCAGTGACAGCAAGCCTCATGCACTGCGGTCGAAGGACTAAAGTAATCTTTGGCTGATGGAATACCTACGTGGTCGGAGACATCAAGGACTACCGAGAAGATGCAGCCAAGAAGCCTGCAGTTTGTTGAGAAGTAAGCCGTAGCTGACCGCGGGCTCACCTCCATCAAGGATGCTAAACGATTCGCCCATGTTCAACTCACAATTCGATGAAGCTGACAGCTGTAAAAGTCGGTCTGTGACTCCGGGCGCATGTGTCTCCGAAGCTGACCAGCAGGGTAGTGAGGAGGAGTGGCAGGAGTCTTTGTACATCCTTCAGCGTCTTGTTTCCGGGGTAGGGTACGCGTGTCACGAAATTATGGTAACAATCTTTTGTGTATGGGTAGCTTTGGGGTACGGAGCAACCTACCCTCTTGGCGTTAATCTGGAAGAAAAGATACTTGTGAAGCGAAATCTTGGTATTGGATTTCTGCTTTCCGGATATGCCTCGAATTTGGACATGTTGTACAACACCTCTGTAGAAGGCAGCTGTTGAGGTGTAACGTCAGCAGCATATAAAGCTTGAGAGGATTGTCCTTCTGATCTGACAGACGCTTTACCTACGCCCGTATTGAGTTTCGAGTTCTCTTGGAAGCACTGTCCGAGCCGCTTTGTTTGCATTGTTGCGCTGGATTCTTTCTGATAAGTCACAGGTGCGATGCTTGCCAGTTTTCTTGCATGTCGGCACGACAAGGAAAAGTCTCACACTGACCGACTGCACTCGCCACGGCACAATGCTGACCTTTGCGACCAGGGCAACCAAGCGTTGTCTAATAACGACGTACACGCTTCTGCTTGGTCAGTGAAGATTGATGGAAACATGACAACTTGAGCGGGGCTGTGCCCGGTAGGATTGTCAGACATGACCAGCAAACAAGTGTAATGCCTGTAGCGCGTCACGGTTTTCTGCCTCTGGCGTTCATGCCCCAAGTCGTGATGTACAGATGCACCAAATCCGCAGAGAAGAGGCGTAGTCTTAATCGATATCAATGGCAAGATGCATCTTTCCTGAGCATCAGTGTTTAGGCGAACGCGGTCATACTGGTGCAAGGAGGGTGGAACATTGTTCCTGTTTCCTGGTCCAACACGTCAAGGTTGATATCTTTAAGTATTAGCGATGCCGACGGAACTGCTCCATAATGAGCCCTATGAGGGCAACGTAGCGTCGTTGCAGAGCCTCAGCCGGGCTGTCGATTGAGGGCCAGCGACAAGGTACCTACATAAGTGGCTGTGCCTTAGTTAACGCAGCTGCGACGGGCGTGCAATACGATGGGATGCTGTTTTGCAGCCAAAAACGCTTCGTGGGAATCCCGAGAGAACCCATCCACTCAAGTGACGCAAAGTCTTCCGTAGTGCACATGGGTCAAGACGCACGGCAGATATTGATTCAGCTTTTGCGTCACATAAATGTTGTGATGAGTTGAACTGAAGATGGGTTGATCAGTATGCACATCATTTGATGCTGTCGTCGTGTCTCGAAGTCTTTTTTGTAGCCTTGATATTCCGACCTTGGGTCGAGATACAAGCGTTAGGGGACGCACCTCGAACATCTAAATCGGAAGATGAAGTGGAGTTGACAGCTCCACCCGCAACGTGATGTATGCTTAACACGTACGTGCAATTACCGAACATGGATGTGTTAGTCTACGCAACTCGTAACGATGCCGTATGAGTGACGTAAATCAATTTCAGGAATCGGATCGACTTTCACAAATCACTGATTCTAACTGATTAGACTGCACCCGATCAGTCGATGGGAAAGCATCCTGAACCCTACTTTGCATGATCGGAATGCTGAAAGAGTTTGACTCAGTCTGCACGTTGTATGCATGTTCTGAATAAGCGAAGCTTTATCTAGATGGCTTGCAGCTTGGAATGACTGAGTGATTTGTATCCTCGAGTTCCTGATACATATCTGAGGTAGCATGCTCATTTGTTGAGATGGAGGCAAAACATTATGTTCAGAAGTCTGGCAAAGACGGAGCACACGACTTCGCTCAGCGAGTAAGAACAGCTCGTCCGAGATTGGTGTGTTCATGGTTTCTTCATGATGCCCCAAGCTCGCAAACCTGAGTGATCCAGATGTATGCTGGTAGGGGACAAGCGGCCGGCAAGACTACTTTACTGGTACCAGACGGGATTGACTTCAGATATCAGCTTGTCTCAACAATACGCCAAGCGTTAGTCGTGTTGCTGATTGGTACTTGACTTCTGCTATGCGGTAAAGCAAGGTTGCAACCGCTTGTAAACATTGACCCCAGAGTTCAGGTCAAGGAGCAAGCCATGGTGCAGCCAGAGATAATCAGATCTCTTGGTAAAACAATTGAAGAGCTAAAGCAAGCTGATTTGGGGAGGGCTTCCTGGACCGAAGTTAATACTGCGCCCGCAGAGGCGGAATGCCGTGTCGAGTTGAAGGGTGAGTGAGCTTGTTCCCTAGTGGACTATGGATGATTAGATCTTGAGAGTCGTGCAGACATCGATTTTCTGACTCCGTAGAATTATTGCAGGATTCAAGATCAAGCGATTTGAGCAAGCCACTGATGCCATCTCGCGACACGGGAAGTTGTGACTTGTCGCGTGGCATGGTTCGATTCCATGCAGCCGACCAGCATTCAAGCGTCGCCGTCTGTGATTGACGATTGACGTTTCACATCGATCGAGAAAGCAGGTGAGTGAAGAGTTGATCCTGTGGAACAATTCGCAAAAAGTCCGAACGGGAAATGAGGTTGGATCGGTGCGTTTGATGTACTGTATGCCAAATCGTCGACTACTGCCCTGTGGATACTTGTAATATTGAGGCTCTGTTTGGTGGAGCTCAGCTGCACCCCAGTTCTGGCAGGCATGTACTCGAAAACAGAGGTGTGGGTGTAAGACAAGGTGATGGATCAAGGAACGGGTGACTTATCGGGTACATCAATCGTCGATGTTTCGACCGCGACCCGCCAGCACCCCTCTACCATTCGCTGTTGAGGTCCCCATGGCGCATGCGCGCTCGCAAACGACGATGGCAGTATCTGCTTGCGACGGAATGGGCTCGGAAGCAGGATTAGCGTCTCCTTGGAGCAATGGTACTCAACCGCGAAACCGCAGAAGGCACCTTTTCCTGGGCCAACACGCACCCGGAACAGTGGTAACACGTAGGCGGACAGCTTCTAGCCGCGACGGGCTAGGGAGCTCTCCTGCCGTCTTTGGTCGGTCTCCCCCTGCCCTCGCTCGCCTGCGTGGTCTCTTTCGGTAGTGCCGGGAGGCGGGCTGGTCGCGCTTGCAGATCGGTCACCCTGACATCATTCCCCCACCCATGGTTCCCCGCCAGATACGGGCTTCTGCTAACTTCTGCCGCTAACATCTCGATCGACTCAACTGCAGCCATCCCTCTGTATCGACGCCAGCCAGCTGTGCGGCTCGTCGTGTGTGTTGCCCGTGTTTGGTGCTCGACTGTTACCCACCAACCTTCGTCATGCGCCTGTCCATCCCACGTTTTTGGCGCTCTGTATAAACTGCCAAATCCGATAGCCAGGTCTTTACTTGTACCTTTGCTCCCGCCGCGGTCATTAACTGTACCCATTACGTTAGAACCCTCCCATGTCTGTTTCATTCTGACTATTATACCATCCTATTTCTTCTTTTTCCTACTATCCACGTCTACATACCCATCCACTTTCTTCTAGTTGATCCAGAAGAAAGCTTCTTTCAGCCTCGCAGTCTATTCATACTGCATATCTATCAGTCCTCCAGCACTTTCCTCTCCTCCTCACAATCATATCAACTGCGTCATGGCAGCTGTACTATCTCAACCGACTGCTGGCAGTTTGCTGGGTCGTCGCCGTCTCAGCAATTCTCAGTACAGCCCTAGCATGGTATCATACATGCCAACCTACGACATGAACCTCAAGAACCCAATGGCACAGCAACATCAAAGCCAACCGAACATGTCTACCTCTCATTTCATTCCGGTCCAGACTGGCCCGGAAATGGATGCAATGATGGACATTAATGCATATTCACAACCCAACATGGTCCCAAATACCATGGCATACCACAGCACAATGCCCATGGACCACTCATTCACAAACTACCACATGGCTAACACTTTCAATGGAGGCATGCCGGTCATGCCTCTCGAGCCAATGCCCCAATGGCAAACGTATGACCACATGTCCATGCAACAGCCCCCTCTCATGTCTCACATGAGAAGCGAGAGCCAGTCAAGTATTGAGAGCTGCCCACCTCTGATTAAATCCGAGGACGAGCAATCACCTATTCTTCCAAGCCAAGTCTTCTTTAATACTCCTGCATACTCTTCCATCCCGACCGACACCTCCAGCTCGGCCGGCTCGGACGATGTTCCCACCACAGCCTCTTCCACCGATATCGATGCGTTGATGAAGGCCATTCAATCAAAAGTCGGTAACGGATCGGAGCAAACAAACAAGCCAGTGCCTGGTGAACAGCCTCAGGCGGAAGCTTCAAGTCCGTCCAAGCCGAGAAAGAGATATCAATGTTCCATGCCAGATTGCAACAAATCCTTCTACCAGAAGACACACCTCGAGATCCACACACGAGCACACACTGGCGTCAAGCCTTTTGTTTGCAAAGAGCCCAGCTGCGGCCAACGTTTCTCACAACTCGGTAACCTCAAGACACACGAGCGTCGTCACACCGGCGAGCGCCCGTATAGCTGCGAGCTGTGCGGCAAGACATTTGCTCAACGTGGTAATGTCAGAGCACACAAGATCGTCCACACAGCAGCAAAGCCTTTCACCTGCCGTCTTGATGAGTGCAATAAGCAGTTCACTCAACTTGGCAACTTGAAGAGTCACCAGAACAAGTTCCACCAAGAAACCATTCGCAGGCTCCGACAGACTTTTGAGAACCTCCATGAGGGTGACCACGTTAACTCGTGGGAAAAGGCCATGTGGGATTACTTTACTGGCCTCTACAAGAACTGCAACAAGGGCATCAAAGGCAGAGGTAAAGATCGTCGTATCAGCACCACCGGTCTTGGTATCAAGTACGAAGACGACGACCTCGACCACAGACGCAACAGTTACGCAAGCGTCAGCTCTGTGTCAAGCGGATACAGCATGGCAAACGGTATGGAGCACCTGAACATGGGTGTCTCATCGTCAATGCCCGAGCAACCAACATTCAGCTCGCCCGTCTACGTGGTCCCGCAAGAGCATCGCGCATCCTTCTAAAGACGTGTAGCCGCATAAAAACGGCGCGAGACAATGATCCTTTGATTTTCCTGCCAACCAACACCAGCACGACGTTTTACGAATATCGATCCTTCCCTATCTAGCGGGGTTTTGTTTCATTTCACTATATGTGCCCGGATCGGGTGGCTTTTCTGCAACGGCGTAACGAGGTGCTATAGACCTTTGTCGTTTTCTGTCTTTCTGTTTTTTGTTCTTGGAGCGCTTATAGGCGGGAGTTGTCTAGATAGGGATCTGTTGTTTCTCGTTTCTGTCTATGTTTCTGTTTGAGCGAATGTTTTCGCCTTCTTGTACACATGTAGATATCCTTCCGTGATGATTCTCCATTCCCATGGAGAGACGAAATGTATGACTAGTTCTCCTTCAAACCATCTGCATCCTTCAAAAGTTTACAGCACACCTTGATCGGGCTTTCCATCCCTTATGCACTGCTCGTACATATGATCTCGATTCAACTCTCGGTGTTCTTCCGACGAGTAGTGATTCAAGATTTCTTGGTGGTCAAGAGTCAAGACACTCTTCTGCAACCTCGATCTTCGAGTCATCAGATGCGCACAAACTCGACAGCTGAAACCTCTACCTGCGAACATTTCCTTCCCACATCTTTACCTCATACCTTTTCCTCTATTTTCCTGCTGCATTCGGTTTCGGTCTTCGATCGCAAGAACCGCAGCTTTTAGCCTTGGGAAATAAACTAGAGCCTTAATTTCTGCCAGTCTTCTGCAAGCCTTCGAGCGGCGCCCCGTCAAAAGACACATGCAGCGACGTTGCGACTATTTTAGGGGCCAACGAATAATCAAGAGGCTGTTAATGCACCTTTTGGGCTGAGGGCCTTGGCTGCAAAAGGCAGTTCCAACTTGCAACAATTCCCGAATAGTGTTTTCTAGACGAGAGCGGTACAGAGATACATGATTCTTGTCTTGGTTTCACTAAAAATCCTGCTGAATTGAGAAGACACTTGAGTCGTGGGATGGAAGACTTGACTCGAGTGGTGCTGGAGAGAGGAAATGCAGTGCAGAGTTGTGTGGTTGAGGGGCTTGCGGATGCGCGTGGAAGGAGAGCAAAACCCCCACAAATGTGCATCGAGACCCGGACCACCACTGGTGATCTCTGTATTGCGCGGATATGCCGGTCGCAAGGAGAGAGAGCATCAGAATTGAGATGTGCAGCAGATTCGCGTGTGTTTACGTGTATAGAAGTATGTATGTACGCGTCTGTATACGAGAAAGAGATGCACAGCCGCGGGTTTCATGGATACAAAATCACCTTCCTGTTCTCGTAGGAGTAGCAGCTTTGGTTGTTTGATAGACACGAAGGGGACCGGAGACCACGCGTTGTCCGACTGTCCCTGCCTTGGTTTGCGGAGGGTCCTCTGTTGATTGCTGTTGCTCCATGCGTCCCAGGGCAATGCTGTCATCTCAGCAATGAATGATGTAAGTTTCGTTCGGGGGATATTAGCATATCAACCAAGGACGGTCCCAGACCATCAATAAATCGAAGCAACGCGGCCGAGAAAGCCCCTAAGAATATTTGGGCAGTGGACACGGATGCCAAACAGGCTCGCGACAATCATACAGTAAGTGACTTGGACGGGTATGGACCCAATTGACTTTCTCTACCGATCTCTGTTCTCCTCTTTCTGACCGCAGATGGTCAAAAAGGCAGAAAAGAGAGTTTTCGCACCGGGGCTTGTGAGATCGTAGATGGGAATAATCTGAGATGTGAGATACACTGATACTGCCAATCTCGATGTCCTTTGCAGATGATTTATCTGATCTTCGTGAATCAAGGGATAGTCTTCGCATGACTCAACAGCTGATGGTGTGCTACCGTGAGTATGTTTCGAGGGATTGATCTACATCGCTCATTCCAAGATAGAGAAGTTTACAGCAACATCCGGATGCCGTATGAAATTGACTCTGGCACAGTATTTGAGTGAGTGGGTCTATGGACGGGCCCGCTGTCGCTGTAGATCAGGGACCGTATCGGCACGAGCAGAAAAGCGAAAGGTAAAAGAGAGCAAAGCAGCGGCTCTCTCAGGTTGTTCGCGGCGTCGGGCTTGGGAAGCAAATTGGAGGACGGCTGAGTACGGGGTCGTCCTACGTCACTGGTATGGAGTCGTGCAGCTAAGAAGCAGAGCGCAGCAGGATGAGCCAAAGCACGGGTCGCGTCGAGCTGCCGCGTCTTCTCGATGCAAGACCCCGCAGAAGAGAGCGCTGCTGCCGCTGCACCTTTTTTCCTTGGCTGGTAAGGCTGCTTGAGCACCGGTAGAGCGGCTAAGAGAACGAGCACGATTGCAAGCTTAGTATTGCTGCGTCTTACGCGTCTATCTTTCGCATACAGCATGCAGCCTACAACGACTGCCCTATTGCATGCGATTGCGAATCTCAGTGTTGCATTTGTTGTCAGCATGCACATGTTGCGATTGCGTGTTTCCGCATGATCGAGGTCTTCGATCAGAAAGGGTCAAGCCTACTTCCTTATCTTTGAGACAGCAGAGCAAGATGTTGAGCTGTGATATAAGTCATGAAGTCGTCAGCATGCTGGTGTTTTCTCCACTTCCGGGCTTCTGCGCAGTGCGCACGTAAGAAACGGTCGAAGAGCGTCTTGCTGTGTATAACGGTCGAGGATCGCAGCCTGCAGGAGCTCTAGATGTCCTTCAGTATGGCGCAATCACCAACAAACTATCGGCAAATCCAAAGCTCTTCTCAACCGCGTCAAACGGTATGCGTATTGATGCAGTCGGGTCGAGACATGTTTCGATAGGATGAACTGTGGAGAACTATCTTGCTGATCATATACGCATCAAGAAGGGTCATACCACCATTGCGGTCGACCGATCAGCCTAGGCACAGCTCATGGTGCTCGACGTGTGCTCGACTGCAAACACTGGATGTCCTGCGGAAGCCATTCACCAAGGCGGCGTGCCTGAGGTTTAGACTTTCAAGCCCAAGGTGGGTGACATGCATGACAGGAGCCTTTCTCTGAGGTAGGCATTTTTAGCGAGTATGTACTTTGACATCTGCCTGTAGTATCATCGATTTGGAAGTTGCATCCTCCCAAGCCTGAGCAGGCCGAGGTAACTCAGAAATCTGGTAACGTTAGGCCGCACGGGATTGGGATGATCTGTAGATGCAGTAGAGCATCTTATCTCGTGTAGGTTTTGAGTTTTGGTGGTGCGGAGAGAGCTTTCTTTCGACCGCGATGGATGAAAGTCTCAAAAGGACGATCGAATACCATCGATAGCGATGAGCGGCACAAGTCAAGTCAGCGAACAGACACATATGTGCTTAACCGAGCGGTTTGACTCGGCATGCACCTCGAGTTGTGAAGGGGGATTGTTGAAGTCTCTTTTGGATATCGGCATCGCGGAAGAGCCAAGCGAACTCTGAAGAGCAAGCCAGGTCTGAAGAGCAAGCAAGGTATGGTATGCGACCGAGGAACGAGTTGGCCTCAGGTCATGACTTTTGCCATATTAATATTTGAGACAGCAATCAGTCTGGTGAGACATGCACTTTGCGACAATATATGTAGATTGAATACCGAATATCCAGGATTCCAGGAATTTTTGAGATTGACACGACAAGGATGTCCACAAGCCTGGTTTTCGGGAAGAGCGGATCAAAGGGCCTCGAAGTGTTCTGTTTAAACCCCATTATGCATGCGGACCGACAAGCTGTCGAAACAAGTCTTTGACATCCATGTGTAACCAGGGTTGGTGTTGGTAATGGCAACAGAAGGGCAGAGTGACCCGCAACAGCTTCAGCTTACTCGAATCATGCTCAAACAGCGATGTACAACACAAATAAGGCTTCAAAGCAGCACGGTGATAAGGGGAGAAGACTTGTCCAATGGTGCGTGTCACCTTGTGCTCAATCTGGGAAAAGCGCAATTGCTTGTCAACAACAAGGACAGGATGCCGAGAGGTCTCTAGGGATTCGAGGAGATGATGTGGTAAATACTGCAAGATCGTCGACTCAAGAACAATTTGAAGGACGCTCTGAACATTCCTGTCATTGCTCTTGAGCGACAGATATGTAGTAATCTAGATGGATGAGGTGTGGTTCGAAGAGTCGGCGACAGACCTTGAGGGGGACAGGCCGCGGTTGCTTCAGCAACGCAAAGCAGTTTTGTGAGGGGGAAAGATGTCATGTCTTTTCGCGACCGACACCCGCAAAACGCAACCAAGTCTGCACCTTTGAACATCCTGTCAACACAACAACCACTTTCTTCCTCCATCGCATCATAGCCAAACAGCAGTAACCAGCTTTACACATCAATCGGCCTCCTATCATACAACCAAGCCACGCATTTGAGCATTACGCATTGATTCCTCTTGGACCTTCCGGAAAACCCATCCATCAACCTTCAACAATGGCCTCCAACCCTTTCAACTCTGCCGAGAACTCCAACTCGGGCGCAAAGTCAGAGAAGATGAATGTCCACCGTCAAATGATGGAGAACAAGTTGCGCGAGAATGAAGGGTGAGTCAAGCATACCACCACCATTCCTGCCTTGGCCTGTCCTTCAAGGCTTCCCTGGCTCTACGGTCTACATGGATACAATATCATAAGCAGCGCTAACGTGTACTTTCCAAAAGCAACCCTACCAACGCATACGTATCTCCATCGGACGCCATCATGAGCCCCGCCAGCCAAAAGCTCTCCGGCTTCAAACAAAGACAAATGAACAAGTCGTGAGTGGCCTCTCTCCCATTCCACATACCCTGTTATCATTTGGCTTGCTTCGACTCGCAAGGTCCCTTACGCCGATCAGAAGAAAGAAGAACAAACTTGCTGACAGAGCCTTCATGCAGAAACCCAGTCAAGCCACGCACACTGTTCGCAAAGACCGCCGCCTCAAAACCCGAAGAGGAGACTGCCGAGACAAAGACCGAGAATGCCTGAACGCTGGCCGCACAACCAGCAATGGCGCAACCTCACTCTCGATCTTCATCTCTTCGCCCTCTTGCGTAGCAACGAGGCAAAAGGCATACAACTTCTATTTTCGTATTTTTGCGGCCGGAACCCCTTGATGTGCCGGCGCACACCTTTTCCAGTTTTCTTATGTCGCAAACGTCTTTTTTTTTTCTCTTAGTTAGGAGGATACCAGAATGATGGGAACACACATGAAACTATGGGACCAAGTCACAGAATATGACTGGTCCTCGAGTTTCCTTTTGAAAAGAGGCGTTTACCTGTTGGGTCGGCTGGATGGAACTTTTGCTCTTTTTCTCTCTTCTTCTTCTTCTTGTTAACTGCTCTTGTTTAACATGCTGCCTCTGGCGTTGCACGACAGAGGAGCCAATATCATGATACACCACTTCACTCACACTTTACCTTCTACTTCGTTGATGTACTTCGGGTCTCTTGAATTGGCCATATGTCCAAGTTCATGGGAGACACCCTCGCAAGTCTGCACATCTGTGACGAACCATACTCGACAGGACAATTTGTGGCACAATCTGTTAGACAGCAATACAGTTTGCTATTCTCCCAAAGAAGGGGTATCGAAATATATAACAAGTTTTGACCAACTAAAAAGTGTACGCCATTTTTGATAGTCCCCAATTGAAACGCCATGCATGCTTTGGAACGAGTTTGTTCCTTTTGACCTCCTTCTTGCTAGATCCTGCAACTTCTCGTTCAGATAGTCAGAGTTTATGCGAACAGCATCTTCTCGTCCAACTCATCAACTTCCTTAGCCCTTCCACCAGAAGTGGTAAGACCCAAGTCTCCCTTCTTGGCCTTGCGCTCGATGACGGCTTCGGCGCGGTTGTTGTATTTGGCACTGCGGGCGACACGGACCTCACGTCTGACCTGGTTAGGCGAGACGAACTCCTTGTTCTCGTAGATGATAGGGCCGCCGAAACTGCCTTCTTGGATGATGATAGGTGTAAGCACGAAACGAGGGCCAATCTCGACCAGGTTAAGTTTGGTCTCTGCGTCCTTCTTGCCCTTGGCGCTAGTGGCGGTTTCAGTGGCAGAAGGCATAGGCAGTCCTTGCTCGGGGATTGCAGAAGTCTTGCCAGCTTCGGTCTCATTGATTTGGTAGACGCGGGTCCAGACTTTGCCGTCTGCGACTGTGAAGGCCATTACGTGGTCTACGAAGGGCTTTGTCTTTCTGGCACCCTTGGGGACACCGAATGTTTGTGTCAGAAGCTCCTTGATCAGTTTCAAATGCGGTGCGCTCTCGAAAGTTGAGTCGAAGCTCAGGATTGGTCTTGAGCCCTTGAGGCAGTTTCCAGTAAAGTGGAGTTCTTCCATTGTGTGCAGATTTTGAAGGTGGAACTTGACGGTGGGACCGTTCGGAGGCTTGGACATCCAGATGTAGAGATCTTTTCCTTTGCGGGCCTCGAAGAAAAACACATTGTTGCAGTTGTACAGGTCGGCTAGTTCGTTGAGTTGGTAAAGTTTTGTCTTTGTGTCTAGTTTTGCGTCTTTGCGGCTGTGAGGGAGGAGAGAGTATAGATCATTGAGGAGGTGACGGTGGCTGTTGGACAATGGTCAGTTACGAAATCTTCTACTTTTGCGCGTGCTGAATTGAAGAATGCGCGTACCGATAAGTAATGCCGCGCGACGACAAAATCAGCACTCTTTGGCGGTTCTTGGGGCCGGTGGATAGCGCATCTTCCTTGGATGCAGGGGCATCTGATTTTGACAGGGATTTGTATACGGAGGCCATTTTTGCGATTGTGGAATGCGAGGATAATTACAATGCGATCGCGGATGGGCAAAAAGTTTGGGCAAGGAAAAAGTAGATGGACGACTTATCTAATCTGATCTAGAAGAAAGCTTGGACTGACTCTCCGCGTTCCTTGCTTGGAGAAAGTGTTTGTGCTCACACCGGATGATTTCTCTTTCGTGATTTTCTCGGGTACGCGAAGGTACGAGAAGACCAAGAATGCTGTAAGCGATATTTGGTCTAGCAATTTCAACTCAGCACAAAACTGTCGTCAGGCACAATTCGGTGGAAGGAGCGAGGAGTAAAGGGTCCAATCGTGACGCCAAGTCCTGATAGCGACTTCCGTTTTGACGCGGAATCGCGCTTCGCTTTGAGCCTGTCGGGCTGAGTTGTGGATGCGAGGCCGGCCACACCAAAAGAATTGCAACTCGTTGCCATGAGCAAATGACTTCTTCAGCTATAGCGAGGCAAGGGCAACAATACAAGCCATGCCCTCTCGAGTATATATTCTCCTTTCACTAGTATAAAACTTGTATATAGCAGTCTTGGCACAACATGGTTCCAGGTGCAAGTAGAAGCAGAAGTCGTCTCCACGCAACTGTGCCGGGACTTTAAACAAAGCCTGTGTCAAGCAACGCAATAATGGAGACAAGAGAAGCCCCCAACCAGCCAAGCGAGGCTTCCGCGAGCCGATGAAGGGTAACACCAGCACATCCACATCTCTCTCCGTCCATCTGTATAAGCCATCCATCCATCCTCATCGCAGCTCTCCACATCCCACGCGTTGCTGTCTTGTACCGAGCTACCGCAGACCCGGTACGCCCACCGTACACGCGAATTCGCCCCTTCGGGTGCCAACCACCATCTCTTGCCGCCAACTACCATCATCTCACCCTACTTCCCAACGTGGTCGCCGAACCATCCGCATTGTTTCATGCTGTCGCGCCATACAGAGTTCACTTCGTAACAAAGTGCTGCTGGCCGCTTTCGCTCAAGCTTCGACCACCGCGACAGAATGCAGGACTATCCACAAGGCTCTGGAAGGCCACCATACTCTCCTCCACACCAACGCAGCCATCCTGCTTCGCCGACCATGCATCGAAATCCCAGTCCGACAGCCCAGCGATCTGGCTACTACGATCCTTTGTCCGACTCAATACCCGTTTGTCTACCAACCATCTTCACATGCCGATAGACTTTGCTGACAAGGAGCCAGGCTCGGAACCATGCCGTAGATGCTGCTGACAGACACCGCGAGAGCAATGGCTACCACTATGACACACCTGCACGACCACGAGGCACAAGCCAGTCTTCACATCCAGGCCCTCAGCTGCCTCCGTTGACTCCAATGAACCATCCGCTACCTCCTTCATCACCAAGCTATCACTCTCGCCCAAGTGCTGCACCCACAGAGACACCTAACGTTAGTAAACCATCATGCCTAAACACCGCGCTATGCGCTGACTTTGAACAGCCTCCTGCCCGCTCCGCCAACCCCATGTCCATGTCCAATCTTCTGTCCGACAGTGGCCCCTCAGAACCTCCGCCACCTCCTCCACCCGTGGCAGCAGCACCTCCTCCACGTCGTTCGCCGGAGGTACCGCGCGAGCCTGTCAAGCCGTATATCGCCCCTCACCCTGCGCCTGTTCCTGATGCCTACCCAACCCCTGTCGCGCCAGTCGCTGCTCAAATCACAGACAACAACAACAACATCAAGCGTGAACGCAATGGGGATGTACCTCCGGTTGCGCCGCCTGTCTCGGCAACTACCTATCCTACAGGCCCGCCAGGTCTCACGATCGAGGCTACTGAGGCGGCATATGCTGAGATCGAAGCAGCTGAGATGAGCGATGTTGAAGCAGCTGGGTTTGAGGGTCCCAAGGTCGCATGGGTAAATAGGTCTGCCAAGCGTATGATTGAGATAGAACAGAAAGAATTGGGCAAACGAAAGGTTTAATTACTCCTTCTTAGGACCGCAGTCAGCACTAACAAAGCATACAGAAACGCCGTCAAGCATCATTCAAAATGTACCTCGACCTGTTCGACGCAAATGCGAACCTCGCCAAGGACCACTTTGTGGCTACGCACGAGAAGCAAGCCGAAGAAGAGGTGCGCGTAAAGGACGCCGAGGAAGAGAAGGAACGCAAGAAAGACATGCAACGCAAGCGCAGACGGGAAAGAACATTACTCAACGAAACCGCAAAACGCGACGAAGCGATCGAAAAACTCAAAGACCTCGAGGACGAAGACGAAAAATCGCGCCTGCTCAAGGACGTTCAGAAATATGGTAAGAAGATACGGAATACCGAAGACCTCCTACACGGCCGCCTTCCCAGCAAAGCTCTCCTCGGAGACTCGCCCGGGCCTCCCAACCTGGAAGGAGGCTTTATGTCGTCTTTCCAAGCTAATGACGACCTTACAACAGATGCGAAAGCGAAGAAAGGCGCCAAAGGATACCGTCCCCGTAAGAGCAAGGCCCAGAAGCAAGCCGAGAAGGACAGCGCCGCTCAAGCGCAAGCCCTCATGGACCGTGGCGAAGATATGCCCCCTATCACTCCAAGGGAGGAATTGCGACTCCGAAGTCTGCGCGGCACTTCTAGCGATGGCATGGAGGGAACACCAATGGAAGACGTCGAACCTGCCGAGAAGACATACGACCAGATTTATCGGGAAGTCTGGAAGGACATCTCAGTCAATGCTTCAAAGATTGCTCGCACCAGACTCCAGGCACTAGAAGTTAAGCAAGGCAATATGCGCAAGACAGCTCAGCTGGCGTCCAAGGAGGCACGTCGCTGGCAGCTGCGAACCAACAAAAGCACCAAGGATGTTCAAGCCCGCGCGAAGCGTGCTATGCGTGAAATGCTTTCGTTCTGGAAGCGCAACGAGCGTGATGAACGTGATCAGCGCAAGATGGCAGAGAAGCAAGAGCTGGAGAATGCCAAACGTGCCGAAGCTGAGCGCGAAGCAAACCGACAGAAGAGAAAGCTGAACTTCCTGATCTCACAAACAGAACTGTACTCGCATTTCATTGGCAAAAAGGTCAAGACGGACGAAGTCGAAAACTCAACCAACGACGTATCTGTTGCGGATGAAACCACAAGACCTGGTCCAGCCAACGCCAATACCATCGACTTACCTGACAGTGTTGCCAACCTCGGCACAAAGGTTACGAACTTCGAAGATCTTGACTTTGATGCAGAAGATGAAACAGCTCTGCGCCAAGCCGCCATGGCGAATGCTCAAAACGCAGTCCAGGAGGCACAGGACAGGGCACGCGCGTTCAACCAGGATCCTAACGGAGAAAATAAGATGTCACAGTTCGATGACGGCGAGATGAATTTCCAGAACCCTACCAGTTTGCAAACCATGGACGTTTCACAGCCGAGCATGCTCACCTGTCAGCTCAAGGAGTACCAACTCAAGGGTCTCAATTGGTTGGTTAACTTGTACGAACAAGGTATAAACGGTATCCTTGCAGATGAGATGGGTCTTGGAAAAACTGTTCAATCTATTTCGGTCATGGCATACCTGGCTGAGGTTCACAATATCTGGGGACCCTTCCTCGTCATTGCTCCCGCTTCGACACTCCACAACTGGCAACAAGAAATTGCCAAGTTTGTTCCGACGTTGAAAGTCCTGCCGTACTGGGGTAATGCAAAGGACCGTAAAGTTTTGCGCAAGTTCTGGGATCGCAAACACATCACATACAACCGAGAATCGTCTTTCCACGTCTTGGTAACATCGTACCAACTTGTGGTACAGGATACGCCATACTTCCAGAAGATCCGCTGGCAGTACATGATTCTGGATGAAGCTCAAGCCATCAAGTCTTCTCAGAGTTCGAGATGGAAGGCCTTGCTAGGTTTCCACTGCCGTAACCGTCTGCTTCTGACTGGTACACCGATCCAGAACAATATGCAAGAACTGTGGGCTTTGCTGCATTTCATCATGCCTAGTTTGTTCGATTCACATGACGAGTTCAGCGATTGGTTCTCCAAGGATATCGAGAGCCACGCTCAGAGTAACACCAAGCTCAACGAAGATCAGCTCAAGAGACTGCACATGATCCTCAAGCCTTTCATGTTGCGTCGTGTGAAGAAGCACGTCCAAAAGGAACTTGGTGACAAGGTGGAGAAAGACGTGTACTGCGACCTCACGTACCGTCAAAGAGCTTTGTACGCCAACCTGCGAAACAAGATCAGTATCCTGGACCTCATTGAGAAGGCGGCTGTCGGAGATGATCAAGATACTGCAACCTTGATGAACCTGGTGATGCAATTCCGCAAAGTCTGTAACCACCCTGATTTGTTCGAGCGCGCAGATACAACTTCTCCACTTGCTCTCTCATACTGGGCAGAGACTGCTTCCTTCAGCAGAGAGGGCAGTTTCGTCAATCTTGCATACTCGGTTCGCAGTCTGATTGAGTACTGGCTACCGAAGCAGCTCGGTAGTGATGGTGGTCGTTTGGACCTGGCAGGACCTGATAATCTGCGCGCTGGTTGGAGAAACAAGTGGCTGAAGCACATGATGAGCATCTGGAATCCTGAACACATCAAACAAAACACGAAAGACGCAGAAGCGTTCTCATGGCTACGATTTGTGGATCAGTCGGCTAGTGAAGTGGCAAGAGCTGCTCGTAGCGGCATCTTCGACCGTGCAGTTGAGCTTGAGAGGCAATCAAAACGCCGGACGTTCTTCCAGCAGGGCGATTACCTCGATGGCAAGGAGCGCTATGTGCCTGCTCACTCCATGCTAAATATCGTCCAGCACTCCAAGCCAAGCATGATTGCAGATGTCTCAGGCGAAGGCTACTTAAGCAACCTGATGAATGTGTCTCGAATGGCGGTAGAGGAGACTGGTTACAGTGACATTGAGCCTTGCTCGCTCCCTACAGCTGCTGCACCTCCGATCGAATTGGTCTGCCCCAGCCAGCAGTCCATTGTCGAGAAGGAAACCACATTCTTCAACACTCCGATTCGAAGCACGTTGAATCCTGTCACTCTGGAGACCGAGCAAGCGCTCTTGTCGAGCAAGATTGAACCAGCAGATTATCCGATCACGAACATGTTGCCTGAGCCCATCAACAAGAAGCAAGGCTACACAAAGATCGAAGTCCCAAGTATGCGCCGCTTCGTTACTGACTCTGGCAAGTTGGCTCAATTAGACAAGCTACTCAGGGAACTCAAGGAGGGTGGCCACCGTGTCTTGCTTTACTTCCAGATGACACGCATGATTGATTTGATGGAGGAATATCTCACATATCGCAACTACAGGTACTGCCGTCTGGATGGTTCCACAAAGCTCGAAGACCGTAGAGATACTGTCGCCGCCTTCCAGTCTACTCCTGAGATCTTCGTCTTCCTTCTCAGTACACGTGCTGGTGGTCTCGGTATCAACCTTACATCTGCCGACACTGTCATCTTCTACGACAGTGATTGGAATCCTACCATCGATTCACAAGCCATGGATCGTGCTCATCGTCTCGGTCAGACAAGACAGGTCACAGTCTACCGTCTCATCACACGTGGTACTATCGAAGAACGCATCCGCAAGCGTGCTCTGCAGAAGGAAGAAGTCCAACGCGTGGTCATCACTGGTGGCGCCGGTGCTACAAGTGGCGACAGAGGTGTTGACTTCAACGGTCGCACAACCAGAGAGAACCGCACCAAGGACATCGCTTTGTGGTTGGCCGATGATGATCAGGCTGCCGAGATCGAACGCAAGGAAGCCGAGTTTGCTGAACAAGAGGCCAAAGAACCAAACAAGGCAAAGAAGAGGAAGGCTCCTACGAAGAAGAAGGAGATCAGCATGGATGACATGTACCATGAAGGTGAGAATATTTTAGTTGATTGCAACTTGATCAGAGATGCTAACTGTATGCTTGCAGGTGAGGGCAGATTCGATGACGGCCACAGTAACAAACCTTCTGGTGCAGCAACACCAGTGCCTGGCGCTATGGAAGGTCCCCCATCGAAGAAGAAGAAAACCACTGGTAAGAAAGCAAAGACGCTCAAGCAACGTCTTGCGATTGCCGACGGTGATGTGGATGGCGGTATGGCTTCATAAAGCACAACGTTTATTATTCTTATCAAGCAGCACGCTGCAATTCTTGGACCTTTCTCTATTCGCTATTTCTCTTATGTCGCTATCTTGCTGGAATCAGTATCATGTCGTATCTTATGTCTGGCGTTCTGGAAGTGATGATTGGCAGTGAACAGAAGACACTTATTAGCAGGAGGGCCAGATCTGTCTGCAATCACCTGCGTGTTTGATGAAGCTGGGAAAAAACTGCACCAATGTATACCTAGAGGAGCTATTTTATCTGAGAAATTCTCATTTATTGCTTTTGATCTTTCTGCTTCGCTCTTTGAACTATAACATCACCATCATAATTAATACCAACGAGGCGCAGCAGATGGATGTTTAGAAAAAGTGGTTCCTTGACGATGTCATGCGCATTGATTTGCAGAGCAACGGTCTGGGCCAAGCTTTCTTGGTCGATCTTGCAGTTCCCACAGCCTCCCCGCGGATGACCACACTCGCGGGAAACATCATTGACAGGGCAAGAACCATGACTTCTATTGCGACTTGACAGTTTTGGTCTTTTCGAACAACCTTTGGATACAGTTTCATCAAAGGCGACACGGGATACCTTGCTCTCGACTGGCCACATTCCAAAACTCTCCAACCCTTTATTGAGCGGGATCATCGGCATCCTTCGCGCACTCGGCATCCTTGGAACCCTTCTTGTTATTGCAACCGAGAGGCCGAAATATGTCGAGTACGAAATCATCACGACCAACGAGCACTTCTAGCAGTTTGATGCAAGAAGTGGTCAATTCTCTGCCTGGCGGATATCCGGAATCGATACAACCCCCTACGTCAAACCAACAGTCGCTTTCGCAAGCAGTTTACAGTAGGAGATCTGAATACACACAACCGAAGAATATCAAAATCAAGGTTCGTATCTTTTTGCAAGCGCTGGAACCTGTATATTGAGTCGAGTCGTATGGTTGACTTTCTGATTGTACAGGTCGGCACTTGGAATGCTGCAGCTTACAAAGGCGCTGAAAAAGATATCGCTTGGTTTATTGATGGAAAAGGAATTTCTGAGGGTCTGACTGATCTTACCGTATCGGACAATTCTGAATCGCAGGACGATGCGGTAGCGGAATACCGAAGCTCACTGGACGATCGCGAAGGCGTGGAAGATCAAGAAGCGCGCTATGCGAGGAAGAAGTCCACACTACCGCATGATGACCCTAGTCTACTACCTGGTGGCGACGATATTGGTCTCTATCTCCTAGGACTTCAGGAAATTGTGGATGTTAACTCTGCTGCTGAGGCACTGAGACCGTACACGGATCCTTCGGTAGCACAGAAATGGAAAAGCGAGATGGAAGCTCATCTGCCCAAAGGGTACAAGTTTGTTGCAGAGCAGCAGCTCATAGGCATGTTGTTGCTCATATATGCCTCAGACGACGTGGCTGCGGACATCAAATCTGTCAGCACGACCAGTGTTGGCACAGGTTTGATGGGATATATGGGCAACAAGGGCGCCGTCACAGCTCGTATCGTCCTTGGAGAAACCACTCGCCTTGTTTTTGTCAACGCACACCTTGCTGCTGGAACAGACAAAGGTGCTGTTGAACGCAGAAACTGGGACTATTCACAAATCATGAGTCGCACCAAGTTCGAGCCCATCCAGGACTCTATGGACCTTTCACAAAACATCGGCGAAGGCATTGATGACGCTGACTTTGCTTTCTTTGTTGGAGACCTCAACTACCGACTTGAGGGTATTCCTGGCGAAGATGTGCGTCGCTTGTTGATGCTTCACACTCGTAATGAGTACGACCTGTCAAAGAAACAGGGCAAGAAGGTCGAGAAGGAGATTGCACAGAACCAAGCCTCTATTGAAAGGCGAAGAGAGAACAGGATGTCGACTGACTCTGGAGTATCTCAAGTCTCTATTGTCAGGTCTCGCGAGGAGCAAGAAAGTATAGAAGAGGAAGACCTGGAACCAGAAGATGTGCTGGATCCTGCTAGCGATCCTGCATCGTTACATACCACTTTGTCGTCTCTACTACCACACGACGAGTTACATCAACAACAAAAGGCGAAAAATGCCTTCCAGGGCTGGCAAGAAGGACCAATCACATTCTTGCCAACTTACAAATACGATGCTGGAAGTGTTGGCGTTTTTGATTCGAGTGAGAAGAGACGCGCACCCAGTTGGTGTGATCGTATTTTGTGGCGCACAAGACGCGACATGCTTGCGTACGAGAGCCAAGTTGCCGAGGAAGCAGATGCCAGAAAAAAGGATGAGGAGATGAAGAACAGCGGTCTCGATGAAGCAGGCAAGGATGATGAGATGCTATACGACTACGATCCCGACGAAGATGCCGACGAAGCTGGCGCATACGACGACGCATATGATGATGCTCCAGAAGGAACAGTCATCACCAAAGAAGGGTTTGCTGATGAGATTAGACTGGAAGCGTATGTGGCGCATCAGAGAGTCCTGTCTTCCGACCACAAGCCATTGGATGCTGTGTTCTCGTTCAAGTATGATGCCGTCGTACCAGAACTGAAGTCAAAAATCCATCAAGAAGTCGCGCGGGAGTTGGACAGAGCAGAGAACGAAGGTCGACCAAACGTGACAGGTTTGTAAAGAAAATCTGCCTGTTGGATTATGCAATACTGATGTGGTTTGCGTCATCTAGTCGTGGCCGATCGTCCACATTCTAATGAAGAAGGCATTTCTGACGACGATCCACTCAAATTCGAAGGTGTATGGTTTGGCCAAGTCAGATATGCTATGCACAAGCACCGAAGCCTTACCATAGCAAACACAGGTCAAGTCCCCGCAACCGTCTACTTCATTGACAGACCAGTAGGTCCTGGTCAAGACCCAGGTCTTTGTCCTAGTTGGGTGTCGCTCAAGATCGACGACGGCTCCGGAAAGCTATCTTCTGACATGGGCAAGCGCACACTCGAGCCAGGTCAAGCCTTCAATGTCGAGCTGGAGCTGCGTATCCTTGATCTCGGTCTAGCGAGAGCTTTCAACGAAGGTATCAAATCTCTGGAAGATATACTCGTTCTACGTGTCGAGAATGGCCGTGACCATTTCATCCCTCTGCGCGGCACATGGCTGGAATCATCACTTGGCCATTCCATTTCAAAGCTCATTCGTATACCTGAAGGCGGAATTCGCAGGTTGCAGCGACAGAAACCGGATAGCGGAAAGACCAAATCCGGCAGTGTGTCTTCTGGCTCTGTTTTGGACGATGACGAGGCAACACCTGTAAGATGGTCTGCGCCTCGTGAGCTGTTCAGGCTGACGGAGGTGATAGAGGAACTGACCGTTCGCGTCACCGCCGAATGGGCCATGTTGAATGACTCTACCGTTCGACCTCCCTGGGAGAAATCTGCTGGATGGCCATTTGCAGCTGCCTCGTGGATCCTCGAGGACAAAGCCCAACGAAACGATATCCTTGCTGATATTGGCGAGGCTCTAGATACTGATTCTGCTTTTGACACAAACCTTCCCCCTACTCTCACTCATCTGCAGAAACTAGAATGTCTTGCTGAATATCTGGTGCTCTTCGTCTCTGCCATGCACGAAGGGGTCGTAACACCACAACTCTGGCATTCGCTAGACGAGGGGCTCCGCAAACAAGAAAAACTGAAACAATCCCAACAGGCGAAAGACGAAGATGTACGTACTTGGAGTCAAGAGATCTTGAGTTCATCACCAGCACACTCGATCGCTTTTATCCTTGTTGCTTCCATGTTGGATCGTATCACTTCTGAGGTTATGACGACTATCCAGCACAACCATCCTGAAGTACTTAGTAAAGCTCCGCCTGGGAGTTTCTGGGAGGGTGTTCCTAGTCACCTTAGGAAGAAGAATTTGCCCAAAGAGGGCAAGGAGGCTTGGAGGTTGGGGACCCACAGAGGTGTTGCCGGTGTTCTTGGGCCTGTGATTGTGAGGAGTGAGGAAGGGAAAGGTGGGAAGGAGAAAGAGCGGCATGCGGCAGAGGAGAGGGAAGTAAGGTTTTTGGAATTGTTCATGGGATGATGATGACGATGGGAGGTTGTGGGAAAGAAGTGACGGCTGATATTGGACTTCCGATTAAGAAAGTTATCGTCATCAATGGAAGGCGCACCTTATGGTAACTGAGCGTTGACAAAGCAGGAACACCTAAGGGGTTGGGCGTCGGTCTTCACTCGATGAGCTTCCGTGAGCAGGCGCATACCAACTCGGCACACGCTACCAACACCTTGCTGCTTGCAACGCTTTTCTATTCTTCAACTCACCTTTTGTTGTTCTGCAGCCATGTATCCATCGATCCATTCATCACCGAGACTAGAGCTTCGTCCCAAACATCTCAAAGCCGAGCACGCAATCATGGACGCCAATCGACTTGTGCACAAAGGAGATTACTCGGCTGCGCTCAAATTGTTTAACAGACTGCTCGATGAAAGATACCACCCAGCTTATTTTCTCAACCGCGCCTTGTGTTACATCGCCGTGGATCAGCCACATCTTGCTGTCAACGACGCTCTCAGAGCGTATATGATGGCTCAGTCTGTCATCGATGCTGCTCGGAGCCAAGAGGAGGTGAACGACAATATCCGAAGAATCGACGCCGATGTCCTCACCTACACTGGTACGTCAAATAAAGATGCACATGGACCTTCAAAGTTGACTCATTCTCGAATTTGTTTTTGGCTCTGGTTGATTGTCTGCTTCTGAGACGTGCTCGACTCTTACCCAGTCCAAACCAGACAGCTCCGTACTCTAGCAAGAAGCTGACCTTTTGTAGATGATTGTACCGATGCGTTGTCTCGCAAAGAAAAATGGTGCATGGCACCGTCAACAGTGTTTAATCACAAGCATCGAAATTTCAAGCTCGCGAGAATGACGCTTGTCGAGGAAGACTTCGAAGATAAAGAGGCTGGGAAGAAGACTTCCACCCCACCTATCTACGATCTGAAGTACAAGGCCTTGTTCCGTTTGGTTGATGCTCTCTCCAGATGTGGGCGTGGCCCATCGTACAACGCTCTACATCTTCTGGGCGATGTTCTCATGTTGAATGCCTCTGGCGCAACCAAGAAATCTTTTCAGCCCTTTGTCAACCGAGAACTAGAGGCGCTCGCCAAACACGTACAAGACAGGCTGCTTGTGGATGTCATTGAAGGCAAGGTGTCGAAAGCAGCTTTACAGTTGACGCAGACAGGCTTCTGCTCCCTGAACAGCAATCAGTATGGATTTGCTGAACGCCCTATCAACTACAATATCCTCAACAACTGCATATTGACGATAGACTCCAACTCGATCATCCAATACGAGTATAAGTTCGGCATGCCTGCATCGCTAGTGGCTGCCCAAGATGTTTTCAAGGGGATGATACTGTTCACTGAAAGACTTCCTTTCGTGGTCTCTACAGCAAACACTCCAGACCAATCAGAACTTGCAACGATCTGTGATGCTTGTGGTACAGATTTGCAGATGCTATCACCGTTCGTTCTTCGCGTCCTCTCGGAAGAACTGAAGCAGGCAGAGGCCGAGGAGGCCGAGAAAAAGAGGGTACGAGCAGCGAGAAAAGGGGCTCGTGCCAGACGTTCTCCAGCCCCCAGCCGCAGAATCGCAGTTGACACTCCAACGGGCGAGAATCAACCAAGTTCAGACAAGGACAAAGACGAAACAATGACTCTCAGTATCGAACAAGTCGACGACGACGATGACTGGAATTCGGAACCGTCGAGCGGTGCGACTGACACATCTTCGGCAAACACAACCCCCGATACTCCACTTCGAGGCAGAATAACATCAAGACCTGGTATCTTCGAGACATCAGATGTTCAAATCTGCCGCTATGGTGTGGAGAAACAACGCGAGAATTTCTCTTTCTGCTCAGTTGATTGCTACGACTTGGCAAAGGCAACGTACCATGACAGCATCTGTGGGTCTCACATCGAAGATTACCTGCGCAAGTCGATAATCCAGGTGGAGGCTCCTGGACTTCCAAACATCGGCACCCAGAAGCTTGTTCTGCTGCTCTTGGTCCGTATCCTTGGGTGGGCGTATGGCACATCGACTGACCCACTGGATTTGCCTGTCGTCCAAATGCTCACGGCATCACCTCGTCATCCGTCTTTAGAGAATGACCCATCAATCCCATGGTCTTTCCATAACAACGTCATGCGGCCGTATCAGATGTATCAGGCTATGGATGGCCGTGGAGATTCTCCCAAGTCAGTCATCAACCCCGATTACTCCGATGGCACCGTAATCAACACTATCATCGGTCTCATTCAGCGTCACATGATCGTCGACGACCAGATTATTTGGACCAAGACTTACGACGAGGATGGCTACCACGAGCAGACTTATCCTTACTCGGACAAGAAAGATGCTAAGGAGATTGAGGGCACCATGTTTGGACGCCTACATCCTTTGTGTGATCTTGTTCCTCTAGCTCTTCGTCCCTCAGAAGCAAATGTCGAGCTTGTTGACTTAGGCGGCGGTCAGATTGCTTGCTTACCTTTACCTCCCACACATCTTGATGATGATGACTCTGATTTGTGCATCAAGAAAGGTGCTCGTCTATTACTTCGCAACGCAGCTCCTCGTCTCGCCACTGGAGACGAACGGGCAACTTATGCTCAGGTGGAAGATTATGGTGAGGGAGGCACAATGATGGATGTGGAACAAGACGATGGTGTTCTCGAAGACCACAGTAGCGATGAGGAACTTCAAACTGAAGAGCAGGAAGAAGAGTTCAGTGGCTACGTCGATGAGGAGACATATGGGGCAGATGATGACTATATGGCTGATGCCGAATGGGATGTTGACGAGGACGACGAGGAGATGATGAACTTCTAGGAGGACGTTCTGGAACATGAGGAGATGTTAAAAGAGCAGCATAGAGCTGACCAGATCCAGCGTTCAATGAATTGGCTGTGTGGGCTGGAGGTGGAAAGAGGGATGCGGACTGCTAGCTTTTGAGGCACCAGGGGTTCAAAAATGATGAGTGCCAAAATATGCAATGGAAACCAACATTTCCAACAAACTTTGCTCTTGAAAAACGCGAGAGCCCGTGCAACGAGGGATTTAGAGGTGTGCTAAACAAGGCAAGCGCAATCAGCAAGCCCTCCCTCCCTTTGAACGCCAGCAACACAGGGCATCTGCCTCGGCAACTTCGAACGACTCATAGAAGGACTCCCCTCTCCGATTCTAATTGCAACGAACTCAACTTCATGCTTCATGCCTCGAAGATCCCGCTCTTCTGCATCCTGCGAATATGTTTCCGTTGTTCACCGCCCCTCCCAATCTCCAACCATACCCTTGCAACCTTCCTGTTTTCTAGAAACCAGGCAACCAAATTTCGCTCTGAAACATGCCGACACCAGGCCTAGACCTATGGACTCCAACAATAAGCAGAAACAAGAAGGACAACTGTCGAGCGGGGGGAAGCATCGGCAACACACCCACGGTTCGGGAGAACTGCCCGTACTCACTCAAGCGAGAATAAGTCCGTCAGCTCTGCAGAAAGCTGCAGAAAGATTCAGAAATTGGAAAAGATAAGTAGTCCTTGCTCGGTGTCACTGTGGTTCCATCGTCTGGCGGGTGCGTGCCCAGTTAGCCAGTCTCGCGGGTGCGTGCAGATTCTCATACTCACGCGGCAAGGATATAATCAAGGATCATTGGTCGGGGCTGGTGCGGAGGGATCTGCTGTTGCGGAACATGCACGTTCTGAGTCCCGAGGTTTCGGATAACCCATTGTTCGGGATTATTTACGTATACTGGTGTTGGATGTTTCAGAGGATCTTTGAATGGTATGGATGTGCTCAGGTCTTAACGTCGAGATCTATGTGGGATTGGAGACGGTTCTCTGAGCACAGAAGAAAGAATCAAAGAAAGAGAAAACAATCAAACAGTACGAACAAATCATCAAGAAAAGAATGAGTGCACAATAGATTGCATTGAGCAAGAACAAAAGGGGGTATCATCGCAATCCGTCCCATGCAGAACAATAACAAATTGCCAAAACTGAAGACTTGCTAGTCTCATTTCTTCTTGTGTCTAGTACAAAGAAAAGGTCTTGTTGTGCACAAAGTAATCTTCTCAGTGCATGCCTGCATGCCATGGCTGTTGGTGCTGGTGTTGTTGCTGACCAGGATGCAGCTGGTGATAAGGCTGAAGCATATATTGACGCTGGGGCCAAGCCAGATTTGCATCATGCATCGACACAAGTTGCTGATCATAGGGCTGATGCAGATGTGCCCTCTGCATCTCACTGTTTGAGATGACCTCCTGCGAATGTTCCGCGATGGGCATGGGCGCAAGACCGCTACTCGCGGCCTGCTCTTCTTGGTGGGGCATTGGCTCACCGTCACCTGGAACAAACACTTGACGAAGCCAGCCCTCTTCGATCAAGCGGTTGCTGCTCAGGGCCCAACGTTGATTCTTGCCTCTCAGCAACTCCATCATGTCTTTCCCAAAGATTCCGGTATGCTTTCTTCTAAAATGCTCGGCGCCACCATAACTAGTGCCGTATTGATGGCCGGTCTTGCATCTCTCACAATTGCGCATTAATTGATCCGGGCTCAAGTCGAAGCACTTCCACACTTTCTTGTGCCTGGTGTGCTTCTGCGCATAGTGGCGCGCAAGCTCATGCTCTCCACGGAAACCACGAGAGTAGTCCTTGCTGTCGCGACAAGCTTCACAAAAGAGGCGAGCCCTAGTACTGTTCGTTCGAGTGAGTCTTTTTGGCTGGCTCGTATTGGTCTCTTTGGCTTGTCGCGCCTTTCTTGGCCTCTCTGACACGGATTGGTCACGGGGCTGTATATGACACGGCTGAGCGAGAGAAGTTTCGGCATCCAAGAGAGGCGAGTGGTGCGTAGCCGCGTGAGACACTGCATCCGATTCAGGGGGCGACGATTCAGGGTCGTTCAACTCCAAGTCACCGAGAATCAAATCTGACTGTGGCATCATCTCATTAGGGTGGCTGGTGGCACATGCGGGAAGCTGAAGAGGCATGAAGGCACTTCCAATGTTATTGAGCAATCCACTAGACGTGTGGGGCTGGAAGGGCGAGAATGGTATGGGAGGTTCTTGGTCCCAAACTTCAGAAAAGTTTCCAGAGTCTGATCGGTGTAGACTTGGCGTAGCGCTGTGGTCGAGACCGCTGGTCTCCGAGGTCATATCGCTCGAAGAAAGCATTTCGGGCTCGTACCATCCCTCATAACGTCGGTAGTATTGTCCAGACCACTGTGGTGCAGCGAGAGGAGCCGTGGCACCAACAGGCATCTGAGACCAAGGTTGCGTATATACAGTCTGTCCATTCTGTGGAGTTTTGTTGTCCACAGAACCAGTGTAGACCATGCCACCATCATAGGTGTTAAAGTAGCCAAGGTTTGAACGAGCCTGACTCATACTGACCTTTGACCAATCGAAGACCAGATAAGGATCGAAGAAGACAAGACGATAGTACAGACATCCAAAGTATATTGGACGAGGCAAAGGGGATTTGGACGGTGGGTAGCCAGATTTATACCACAAGGTTGATGGTTTGAAATCACTACCCCTCGCGGGGCTTTTCAGGAAACCACGTTCTGGACGGTGCCGAAGTGCCAACACATGTTTTAGCCGGACCTGGCTTCGGGGAGTGACCGGCAGGCGCTACCCTCGTCCAAGATGGTGTCAAGAAAAAACAGAAAAGCTGGCGGCTGAGCTTGGCAGAAACGGTGATATCGGGACGCTGCGCAAAAGTCGCGAGAAGCGGCCGCGTTTGACTCTCAGCGTCGTACAGCATAAAGGAAGAGGAGTCAAGAAGGCATCGTGGCCAATTTCCTGCTCCCCGGCCGAATAATGGCTCGAGACTTCAGCATGCAGCGATCATCCGAGTGGCTTCTTTTGCGAGTCTTGATTTGCTCGACTATGCGCCAGCTGATCTTATGCGTAGAGAATGCTCCCCATCTGTCGGCGTCTGAAACTGCATTTTTCCCTGCTTGCCCTTGCGGGGACTCGGCGATGATATTCTCCCGACCCAGGACCATGGAAGCTTTCAGTCGAATTATCGGTATTGCCTACCGATCGGATGTTGTTTAAAAGCCCACAGTAAGAATTGTAGGCGTGGATATCTCTATACAAAATCGAAACCCTGTTATAGTTGTCGTTCAGCATATGTCATTACCAGTGAATGCGGATACAGGACAAAGAATCGGAACGATGTATTACAAGCAAGAAGGGAACCATCAATTGATCTGTGTATAAGGTAAACGCCACCCCCTGCAGCCCTACCCGGCAGGAGCAATGCTTGATTACAACTCCGTGTCAAAGTTCTGATTTCTCACCAATATGTCTTTCTCCCACTCAAGTTTTGTGATACGTGCATGATCAACGTCTCTTTCTGCTTCAAGGCTTGCGATTGTGGCTTGGAGTTCAGTGATCTTGGCATCGCGTGCCTTGAGAGCAAGACGGGTGATGTCTCGTCCCTTGATGACCCCCTGAGTGCGTAACTCGTGACGTGTCAAGACATCTCGGAGTTTTGCTGTCAAGTTAGCTGGTAGTGTGACGCTTGAGTGGTTCAACACGGTGAAGATATCTTGATCGAGGGTGGATCGGAACGGCGACGTATTTGCTAATGGATCGTGAAAGCGTGAGAGACTTGGGGTGACCTGCGGAGTCAAGGCACTGTGTTGTGTGACAACTGACTTTGACAACGTGGATTGTTGCGGTAGAGGTGAGGGCTTGGAGGGCGTTGCTTTGGCAGCAATTGCAGAAGGCGACTGGGTAGATTGATCCAGCCATGGTAGTTTCCTGTGAGCGCTGGTCGCTGGTGTAACAAGTCCATCGAACTTGACTGCCTTGCGTGGTGTTTCTGGCGCAGCAAGCAACTCGGCTTCCTCTTGGCCCGATAAAGACCAGGGGAAGGAGTCATGATCCGTATCAGCATCGTCGAGGCCAGTGTCTGAAAACGGCCTCTTGGATGCCGTGTTGGGTTGGCTCAGAGTTGACGTGGTATTCGAAGATGACTGCATTGTCTGAGACGAGGGGTGTACAGGGGACAAGGGCTTATCCGATGACTTTTGGGGTTCGGTGGTGGAGTTGTTCAGAAGAGCCGCTGCCTCTCGTGGATGGGCGTCCTCATTCCACATGAAGAACCCACACCTTCGCCCTTCTCCATTTTGACAAGTGTAGAACCATCTGCCTGTTAAGAAGTCAGTTGTGCTGTTCACGACCACACATGAGAGCGCCGAGTAGCAACCTTTGTTTGCACTTTCTTTCTTTACCTGAAAATGTTCAGCAGGAAGACGAGGCTCACAATCACAATACCAGATGCCATCTGCAAACAAGCCTGTCAGCTTCTGCCGACCAGGTCGGCGCGTGAACTGGCTACGGCGACCTCCAGCGCCTGCTCTGTTGCTGTTGGTAGGGGCTGGAGATGTTGTTCTTGAGTCAGTCTTGGGCACCTTCTTGAACATTGAGGCCATGGGGATCCTTGAGATAACAGATATTGCACTCCTGTAGTCTTGCTAGCATGAAGCTGCAAGCGTGCGCATAGCTCGTGTTACATGGGAGTGAAAGTTGGATAGATGACGAGGGCTGGGCTGATCTCCACAGCAACGCCAGCCGAGGCAGCAACCATCAATGTCCACTTCCATGTGTGATGGTCTACGGTCACGATGCTTCTCCTTTACACTTGAGGCTCGTGAGATAGCTATGTGCTTAAGATAATGACGGCCAATTGCAATTGGTCTCCTGTGTACTAAGGGCTGTGTTTTCTATGCAAAGCGCTCACAGAGAGTGGTCAGAGATGCCTGAAGTCTAAGACCAGTCAAAGATATGCTAATCGAGCGATTAAAGGAATGTCGATTGCATTTTATTTTGACCTTGCATCTCATCAGTGCAAAACAACCATCACGCTCGGTCTATTCGTGCTCTGAAAGTTCACACAAACATTCGGATCCAAGACGGTTTGTCGCTTCGACGAGTACGGCAGTAGCATCCATCTTCACAAAGCGCTTGGCCGCATGTATCAGCAACTTGTTCGAGAGGTACTCTTATTCTGTACCATGGATCATTGATAATATCGCTTCAGCTCCAGCACCATACAGACCCCCTGCGCTGCCGCTTAACCGCGTCGAAGCGCTTCTCCCTTACGAGCCTGTTCCCCACAAGCGCATTGTAACCCACAATAAGACAACAGTTATCTCACCGGTCGCCATGTGCACTGTACAGGCACGTATGAAGGTGCACGTGAGCATAGTAAAGAGAGGAACCCAATCAGCTCGACACCCGGATGCATGAATGTGTATGAGATGCAGCAAGCGAGACGTTGTACCCCACGGCGAGCGGCTCTGTCTTGCCCAATGGAACATAATCAACAAGTACAGATGAACAAACACACTGGCTATTGGATCATTTCAGGATATATGCAGTGCGGGAGCATACCTTGGTTCCTTCCAATGTCCTAGCGTGGGTGCCTGATATTTCATTCCCATGACGGAAGCAAAATCCCGACTTAGTCGATATATACCTCCGTGAGTGTACATGCGCGGAAACGAAGGCTGAGAAGATCAGAGGCTTTGCCCATATTCATGGCTTGAAACGCTTCTCGAAGGCGGGTCGCGCTGCCGGCTGTATCGGTAGCGTTTCCGTCAAGCCTTTTCCGTACGGGGCATCGTGAAGGTCAAGATGCCATGACGCATAACGACAGATCTTCACGTGGCATTACGATCGTTCATCTCACCGCCGCGTCTCAAAAATCCGGCAGAGATGATCAAAGACGGTAGGCATGCAGATGTTCCGCGGACTGGCCGGGGGTTTGGTAGAGGTGCATGGGACTTGCGTCGATGGCTGTGCGGGACCAGACTGGTTGGCTCGGTGCTCATTGCGACTTCATGCGAGGATGGCCTTTACAGCTTTGATGAGTGTGATTGATAAGCGTGCATCGAGAAGCATGGCGACAGGTGGTATCGACAAGGAATCATGCAACTCGTTGATGCATGACTGCTTGCACCATGCGATGCTGCATGCCGAGAGATTGAGGTAGGAAGTTGTAGATCGAGCAGAGTAGCTGGTTGGCTTGAAGTCGGAGACGACCGAAAACCCGGGCGTCTCAAAGATTCAGCTTGGCCTGGTGTTGCTCGAGCGACCCTGTTCTGCATTTCTCAAGTTTCGCAAACATTGGCAGCTGCGTGTTGTGTCGGATCATATCATATACAGTGTTCAAATGGTTGCGGAAAGTCATGCACGGAAGGCTATTACTAGAGAAATATGCTGTTCGTCGTGACAGATCATGATGTTAATGAATCAGCTTGATTATTGATTTGAACATCGCTTTAGGCCATCTCACTCGCACTACGCTCCCACGCCGGTCGACTGTACCACACTTTGAGTTCAAATATCAATACTGCTCCGAATGTATAAAGCCAAGACTGTATTCTGTCATGTCTCTCGGATACCAGCATCAATGATAGGTAGACGAATGGCAGCGCGCACGAGTATTCACGAGACAAGGTCGCGGCTTCAGGTCCAGGGTCGAGGCGTCTTTCAAAAATCTTGAGGTCCAAGCTCGAGCGCAACAGTGTTTCTCGCCGCGCCAATTCTCAAGGCACTTCCGTACAAGTTTTCGTTTGAACAACATTTCGATTTGTATTCTGTAAATATGTAAGCAGTCAATACACAGACATAAATATAGTGCAAATCTGACAGTTGCAGGTTCCAAACAGTTCTCCGTCGCGCCGCTGCTCGCAGCTTCGTTTCCTCGCCCCTCAAGGCTCGCACAATCGTCACCAAGACACCTACTGGACTCTATCAATCACAAAAATGGCAGATGCCCGTTTTCCAAAGGCGATTCGCCAGCGACGAGGCATCGCCCGCTCAGGAGAAGACCACTGGCGAAACTGTTCCCACTGAGCCCACTGAGACCGAGAAGGCCATGAAGGAAGAGACTGCTGTCACATCGGAAGCGCAGGCAGAGCAAGAGTCCAACGTGGCAGAGAAGTCGGTTCCCAAAGCAGCCGATGCTTCTGAACAGCCCTCGGTCGTTAAGCAGGTCAAGGAGAAGGTTCAGGATGCTGCATCAAATGTCACAGATGCAGCCGTAGGCCTGCTCGGCGACAGTGCTCGCAATACCGCTGCCGGAACACACAGCAATCCCAAGCCCAGCAAAATCCTTTACGTCGGGAACCTATTCTTTGAAATCAAGAGCCAGGACCTCGAGCGCGAGTTCGCCAGATACGGTCAAGTCGTCAATGCGCGCGTGGCTGAAGATGCTCGCGGTCTTAGCAGAGGGTATGCTACGAAAATGCAGAAATGAGGCGACCAAGACTAACGTCGATTGGCAGATTCGGTTTCGTCGAGTACGAGACTCTCGAAGATGCAGAGAAGGCACAGAAGGAGCTGAACCAGAAGACTCTGGCTGGCCGCAACATGGCAGTGCAGTTCCACCTCCGTCGCGAACCCCGCAACCCCATGAACAGCAGCAGAAAGGCCCAGACCAACAAGCCCAGCAAGACTCTGTTCATTGGAAACATGTCATTCCAGATGTCCGACAAGGACCTCAATGACCTGTTCCGCAACATCACCAACGTGCTGGACGTCAGAGTGGCAGTCGACCGTCGCTCAGGTCAGCCAAGAGGCTTCTGCCACGCTGACTTCATCGATATTCCCAGCGCACAAGCGGCCAAGGAGATTCTCGAGAACAAGGAGATCTACGGCAGACAGTTGCGTGTCGACTTCAGCCGCTCGGCCAACAGTGCGCCCAGCAGAGATCACTAGAGTCGAAGTCCCAAAAAGTACTGTACTATAGCCATGGCGTTGATGAGGTGTTGACGGATTAATGGACATATATTGTATTGTTTTATGCTTCGTACATTCTCCATACTGAACTCTGTCTCCCTAGCGTACTCGTATAGTCATGTGAAGACGATTCCGCCCACGTAGCTCATCGACCTCGGCACCTGAGAGGACCCCGCCAAGCCCGCTTTCCCCACAGTCGTTCGCCGCCCTCGGCCAGTCGGCCTTGATTGCCGAGTGGCATTCATTGTACATGATGGTCCTTGAATTCTTCTGTCACACTGCTGAACAATCCTCTTGATCCTGTCGTCCTCGTTCCTTTGCCCCACTCTCCAGATTTCTCAGCAGCTCTCATTCGATCTGTAGGACCTGCGGACTACCAGCAACCAGACACATCCACAACCACCACACCATGTCATTCCTCGGCGGGGCAGAATGCTCGACTGCGGGCAACCCACTGAGCCAGTTCACCAAGCACGTACAGGATGACAAGTCGTTGCAAAGAGACCGCCTCGTAGGCAGAGGCCCCGGAGGCATGGAGAGCATGCGAAGTCAGATGGGAGCCCCGCAAGATGCTGTAAGCACACGAGCCCACTCGCATCTATGCCATCGTGCTGACCAGACACCCAGATGATGGATGATTTCATGCAACAACCCGCACACCTTGGTCCTACCTTCCAAGACTCGCCATTCGCCATGGATCAGATGCGTCGTGAGCTCGACCAGGCTGCTTCCCCTGCACCAGCCCACTGGGCCGCCGAGTTCGAACCCCAGATGTCTGACCAGCCTGGTCCTGCATTCGCCCATCAGAACAACGGAGCCTTCAACCCTCAGGAGTTTGCTCGTTTCCAACAGACATCAGCCGCGAGGACCGCCAGCCCACTGAGCAATGTCCAACAGACACCCATGGCCCGATATCAGTCACCCATGCAGTATGGTGGCATGTATGGTAACGGTATGGGTATGCGGATGGGTATGGGCGGCATGGGGATGATGAACGGCATGCACACTCCACAAGATCAGCAACAACAATCCAAGGGCAAGGAACGCATGATCGAGCTCGACGACAAGGACTGGGAAGCTCAATTCGCCGAGTTGGATGCACCACAAGAACAGCAGGATGTTCAACTAGATGCAGAGGCAAATGCTGCCATCGAGGCAGAGCTCAACGCCATGGACAGGTCAGTTGATCAGAGTGAAACGCTGTTTGGCGACTTCGAGTCGGTATGGCAGGGCATCCAAGCTGAGACGACCCAAAACAGAGAATTTGGTATGAACGATACTATCGGCGACGCAACCGACCGCTTCGACCAGTGGGATGGCTTCGACGGCCTCAACACACATCGCGACCCTTCGCTGGGCGACTACATGTTCGAGGATGACAATCCCTTCACCGAACTAGCCAACCCTTACGACGAGGGTGTCAAGATCATGCGTGAGGGCGGCAACCTCTCACTGGCCGCCTTAGCCTTCGAGGCTGCCGTGCAGAAAGATCCTGACCACATGGGTGCTTGGACAGCTCTCGGACAAGCTCAAGCACAAAACGAAAAGGAATCGCCGGCCATCCGCGCACTCGAGCACGCTCTCAAGCTTGACCCCAACAATTTGGAAGCTCTGATGGGATTGGCTGTCTCGTACACGAACGAAGGCTACGACAGCACTGCCTACAGGACCCTTGAACGCTGGGTTGCTACAAAATACCCCTCTCTTATTAAAGCCCCTCTCTCCTCACAGGATGATGAGATTGGTTTCACCGATCGTCATGCCCTACACGAAAAAGTGACAGACTTGTTCATACAAGCGGCACAACTATCTCCAGATGGCGAACAAATGGATCCCGACGTGCAAGTCGGCTTGGGCGTCCTCTTCTACGGTGCAGAAGAATACGACAAGGCTGTCGACTGCTTCGGTGCTGCCCTAGCCTCGACCGAAGAGGGCAGCACAAACCGACAAGAAGAGTTGCATCTTCTCTGGAACCGTCTCGGCGCCACTTTGGCAAACTCTGGCAGGTCGGAAGAGGCTATTGATGCCTACTCGCGTGCGCTGGAGATGCGACCAAACTTTGTCAGAGCACGCTACAATCTAGGCGTGTCGTGTATAAACATTGGCTGTTACGAGGAAGCTGCACAGCATCTCCTCGGTGCCTTGGCAATGCACCGTATCACAGAGAAAGAAGGCTTGGAGAAGGCAAGACAGGTGGTAGGCGACAGCAACATGACGGATGCCAAACTGGAGGCTATGATCACTCAAAATCAAAGCACAAACCTGTATGACACTCTGAGGAGGGTGTTCGCGCAGATGGAACGCAGAGACCTGCAAGAGCTCGTCGGTCCTGGGATGAACCTCGACGAGATGAGGCAGCATTTTGAGTTCTAGTAGAATTGCAGAAATTCATTAGTTCTGTCCAGGCGTGCAAAATCACTACATTTCTCGTTGCTCTCGTTGGGTCAGAACAAGGTAGTCCAAAACCTGATGGCCTTGGACTTGTTAAATGAGGGACGACTATAGATAACCTTCGCATCTAGACTAGATTGACTTTATGGTGGCTTGCAGTCACGACCACGTTTCGACGCTTTCTTCTTTTCAAAGTTCTTATCTTCGAGAATCGATCTTTACATCAGCCCGCCCGGACCTTTTGTCGACGCGAGATCGACATGTTTTTGACAGGAACGACAGGGTGACCCTTCGCTTCGGACACGAATTACGGAGTAGGGCGCGGCTAGTCATTCATCATTCACGGCAGCCCCCTGGTTCCCAACCCCCGCTCAGCGTCACTGCCCTACTGCCTAGAGGCTAGAGGCTAGAGCGCGCCGAGTCGCAAAGGAATACACGTTGCTCCCGCTCCTCGACCTGCTGCTGTCTTTCGTCTTTCTTGTTCCAACTCCTTGACCCTCGTTCGACTCGTACTGCACTCCGACAGCCAGCATCGACGGAGCCGCAGTGATCCTGGTTCAACAAACTTTATCAGACGTCTGGACCCTCATCGATACCCTAATTTAGCCGTTTCTTCCCTCTGACTTGGTTCAACCTTCCCCGCGAAATACCAGGCGCGACAATATTTCCTCCGCAGAGAAGCCTTGCAGATATTCTACCCCGCCGCCCGTTTTACCACCCCTCTCGTCCTCGCACCACTTGATGGGCGCAACAGCTACTCAAAGAGCCCGAACCCGATCCTGCTCCTGCCGACCATGAGCAGCAGCGTCCAGCGTTTCTTGAGCAGACGGGACCGTCGATCAAAAGTACTCATGCCCAACCTTCCCTCGGACGCGCCGTGTCTGCCATTGTTGAATTTGCGCTAACGTTGATCCTACTCCTGCAGAATCTCCCTGATGCAGGCGCTTTCGGTGGCCTGTTCGTACCCGAAGACAGGAAGAAGCTTGAGAAAGAGGATGAAAAGAGGGTGAGCTTTCCCTTCCTCCTACTCGCCAACCCCGTATACCCTTGCTGAGACTGGTTCCATTCACAGGTCAAGGCAATCCTCGCGCGGCTGCAGAAATATGGCATCACAACCTTTAGTGAGGCGAACGTCAGTTATGCCTTACAGGCTACAAATTCAGCCAGCAATGGCGATGAAGCTATGCGTCTGCTGCTCCTCTTCGAAGACACGTACGAAGGCCTGGTCAAGACTTATGATCCCTCGACCAAGCTGCTTGGAGCAGAGAACCGCAATGGTGTGACCTGTTACCTCGACGCCCTCCTCTTCGCCATGTTCGCACGCCTCGACAGTTTCGAAGCCATGCTATACAATTCGTTTGATGATCTACCCCGCAAGAAACTGGCCGGCCTCCTGCGGCTGTGGGTCAACATGTTACGCTCTGGCAGACTCATAACTCGAGACATTGTACGTTCCAGGTGTTTCGAATATGGCAATCTCGCCATCGCTGACCTGTTTTCTAGACAAAACACCTGCAGGACTCTCTCGCCGAATGTGGTTGGGAATCAGCGGCGGAACTGTGCCAGCAAGACACTTCGGAGGCTTTCACCTTCATCACCGGCCAGCTTGAGCTTCCGCTGCTCACCCTCAAGATGGACCTGTTTCATACAGGCAAGGAAGACCCAGCCGACGACCACAAGTTTGTTAACGAACGTCTGCTCGAGGTTGCGGTTGTCACAGAGCCGCCCGAGGGAAGCACCGTTGTTACGCTCGAAGACTGTCTGGAGAACTACTTCAACAATCGCATCGAGGTCAAACGCCATCTCGATAGACGCAACACGCTTCAGTCCGTGAGATCAAACGAGTTATTACGACGGAGGAACTCGTGTGACAAAATCGGAGCTATGCACGTCGAGACGGTTGAATACTTCGATCAGGCGGCAACTCCCAAGCAAGATCCCAGCACCCCAATCAAGTCGCCCTCTTCTGCGCCTAGCACACCAATCAAGTCTCCTCTTGATAAGATCAGACCCGGAATGAACAGAAAGCGTGCTGATAGCATCTTCAGTCAGCGACGAGTCGCGGATTCGAAGTCTGATGAAAAGAATGGATCCGACGACGCTTCAGGTACTCCTGGACGACCGCGAAAGAACTCGGTTCGCACCGAGGTTTTGATGCCTGCCTGGCAATTCTTCAAATTGCTTCCTTGGTACACGGAGAACATTGTCCCTACCAGCGATGCCCAGGTCGCCGCCCACTTTTCAAGGAAGCGTCCCGTGCTCGGCATCGCTCTCAAACGATACCAATACTCCAATACCGGTGTTGCAAGCCGTTTGGACAACTTCATCGACATACCTCTGGAGATTGCTGTGCCGAGCTTTGTATCTGACGACGAGATGGAGGACCACAGCCCGCTCGTTGGCAACTTCAAGCTCGTTCTTCAATCTGTTGTTTGTCATCGTGGTGTGTCGGTGAATTCGGGTCATTATGTTTCGCTGGTTCGAGGGCGTGCAGCCAACGCCCCAAGCGTTGATGGACGCTCCGATCGACCCGATACTGCCGAGAGTAGTGAAGAAGAAGATCCTTGGATGTTGTTCGATGACCTTGCCAGAGAACGCGTTACCTACGTTGACATCAACCAAAAGCTGAAGGAGGAGTGCCCATATCTCCTGTTCTATCAGGTCCAACCTATCGACGAGGAGCTCATCCCCGATGCACCCCCAACTTATGACGAGGCTGTGTCACGTCATCCTTCGGATTCGCTTGAATATTCGCCCGAGAAACTCAAGAAGCTGAGCAGCGATGAGAACGATATGGTCCTGGTCGAATCCTCGTCACCAACATCGCCTAATGGGCTATCGGGTACCGAGACGGTGGATTGGACGGCGGCTTCTAACAGAACCAGTCTTGACATACGCGGAAGGACCAGTCTAGATGCACGACGTAGCAGCATGGCGGATGACGGTAGTGCCGCTGGTAGCCAAGCCACTACGTCGATACCATCAACACCTATCGACGAGGCACGAAGCAGCTTCCTTGGCATTCCTTCTAGGAGAGGCAGCAAGGTCAGCACCAAGAAGACAAAGTCACGTCCGGGCTCTACAGACGGCGGATCGCGCTTCAGTCTGAACATGAGTAAACTCACTAGTCGTGTAAGCCGGACCGATCTCACCAACCTCGCATCGGCAGCCGAACAGGACGAGGATATGGAGAATGGCAAAGAAATTGAAGGGCCACCAACGGTCAGTGGTAGCGAAGCGTCTGTTGAGAGTCTCAAGAACCTCGACGCCAAGATGGCGGAGAAGGCGGAGAAGGAACGTACGGGCAGGAGTAAGGTCAGAAAAGAACGAGGTGACAAAGAGGGACACTTTCACCGAAAGCGAAAGACGGAGAAGCCGGACAGAGAGTGCAGCGTCATGTGAGACGATGGACTCTAGAGTGGATTCAGATGGATCATTTCATTCATATAATTGCATAGCGTAGGTTTTGGTTGAGGATGAAGCTTCATGGACGAGGATTGGTTATTGCACGCATGGCGTTGAGGACTTCATGAGTGGGTTTGCTGGTCGAGAGAAGGGCATTGGAGGACGAGTCACTGTGGATACCCGGTCTGTATACAGTCTCATTGTACAAAGTCAGCAACATGATTAATTTTTGGTGTAAACATGTTTGCGAGAGTCACAGGAGTGGTCGGTGACGGTGCCCCACTTGATGCTACGAGAGGGGCTGTAGCCCCACAGAGCCGTAACACGGGGATAGCATCACCATCAATGTTGCAAGACGATCAAGGTCGCAACGACTGTAAACATGAAGCCCCACGACTCAATGCCGCCATGACCTGAAAGACCCCGCAGAGCAACCGATGCAACTGCCGTATCTAGATGTGGAACACAAATAGTTATATGGCCCTCGGGCACTCGTCTCATTCTGAGCTCGACACAGCTCTTGTACACAAAGGACTACAGACTCAGTCGAACCCATCACCATGCCAGCACCACTGAAGGAACGCAAGGCCGCCACGGACCCTACCAAGGTCTTCCACTACACAGACTTGCAGCGCAAGAAGCCCACTAGAGAGAATGATCCATACACGTACATGCACGGCTGGAACAACAGACACCAGTCCGAGGTCATTCCCGGCACCTTGCCAGTAGCTCAGAACAACCCTCAGGAAGTCCGTTTTGGTTTGTACACTGAGGGCATCACCTACAGTGCTTTTGCTGCGCCGCGTGCCCACAACTACAGTACATACATGTATCGTGTGCGACCTGCAGCAGCTCACAGTATGTATTTCGCATCCCAATGGCCAAGACCTCATCTGACAATGTTCAGATGGCTACAAGAAGATCGAATCAAAGGCACACATCCAAAACTGCTTCCTCTCCCTCAACCCAGAAGTCGAAACTCTACCCGAACAAGCAGAATGGGGACCTTTCCCTCTCCCCGAGGACTCTGAAAAGATAGATTTTGTCGATGGTCTACACACTTTGGGTGGCTCAGGAGATCCCAACTTGAGAGAAGGCATTGCTCTGTACATCTATACCATCAACGCATCCATGGAGAAGCGAGCATTCTGCAACACAGATGGTGACTTTCTCATCTGCGCTCAACAGGGAATTCTGGACATTCAGACTGAATTTGGCATGATATTTTTGCAGCCTGGAGAGATTTGTGTTATTCAAAGAGGTGTAAGATTCAGAATTGCTCTCGGACCTGGCGTGCAAAAGGCCCGAGGATACATCACGGAAGTCTGGGGCAGCATGTGGGAATTGCCTGATCTGGGACCCCTTGGTGGCCATGGTCTTGCTAACCCAAGAGATTTCTTGTACCCTGTTGCCCATATCGATGATGAGTTGAGTGGTGATTGGGAGGTTGTGAACAAGAACAATGGAAGGTACAATTGCCTGGAGCAGGACCACAGTCCATTCGATCTGGTCGCATGGCATGGCAATGTCGTTCCTTACAAGGTAAAAATCTATCTTGAACAAGGATATTACACAGCCACTAACACAATCCAAAGTACGATCTTACCAAGTTCGCCTCTCAAAACGCAACCAGCATCGACCACACAGATCCCTCCGTCAACACCGTCTTGACCGCCAAATCGCGCGACCCCAACACCCCTCTCGCCGACTTCCTCTGGTTCGGTCCAAGATGGGACGTAGCATCCAACACTTTTCGCCTACCTTACTTCCACAGAAACTCAGCCTCCGAGTTCTTGGCCTGCTTGTATGGCGAAGGTCTCGGCAGAAGCGATGACTTCCAACCTGGCGGCGGCAGTTTCGAAGGCGGCCACACACCACACGGTGGATTTTCCGAGGCCTATGTGGATGAAATGCGCATTCAAGAGAGTGAGCCGAGAAAGATTCTGGAGGGTCAAATGACTATCATGGTGGAGAGTTCGAGGACTTTCTTGTGGACAGAGTATGCGAGGGTTGGTTGTGGTACTATCAACACCCGTGGAACGGATCCGAAGGTTTGGGATACGTTGCCTGATCGCTTCTCGAACAATCCTGAGGCCAAGGCGTTGTTGAAGAGAGTCAAAGAGGACAAGAAGTTGATGGAGGAGAGAAGCAAGGTTTACTATGACGATGCAGCGCTCAAGGAGTTGCTGGACAGCAAGACGAATGGGCACTGAGGGATGTATACTCTGTAATGAAATTGTCTGTGTTGCGTGATAAAATCGAAATGTCTTTGTGATTCAAAGCTTCCATATCTACTACCGAGGAAATCTTCTGCAATGCCAACATTTAGTCATATCATCCAACTGTGAGTCTAGTACAACCCCAAAATAAGGCACAAAGCACTCTATGCGTTTGTCTCCGAGACAGCATTTAAAATCTGCACAATCGAGTCAATCTCCTCTGGCGACGTTCTACCCCATCCACATTCAGTTGCGACGCCAAAATCATTGAGCACCTCAGAAGCAGCCTTGATTCTACGCTGAGTGCCTTCCATATCATCAGTGTGAACAAGACCGAGATAGATGTCTGTCTCACCCCTGACTGCCTGCAGATCCTTTAGCGAAGCAAAATATGCTGCATCATCTCTGTCCTTGGGCACTGGCATGTGGATGTAACCAACACGTCTTTTGGTTTGACCCAGAAGCTCCTTTGCCATGTCGACCATGAAACCCATATCCTTTGGCTGAGTGAAATGCTGGTGACCAATATCACCGTAGCAGAAATGGAAGCCCATGTCGATAGCTGGGCTGACGGCTGCAGTCAACTTAACCCAGCGATCCAAGATGCCTTGCTTGAGAGGAGAGAACCAAGGCTGTACCCAGACACCCTCGAGCAGAGCAAACTCAAGAGGCACATCCCATTGAATGGCCAACTCCTGCTCAGGGATGTTCTTGCTGATATTGTCCAAAGCGCGAAGGATGGCACGCTCGTAGACGGGCTCGATTGCTGTCTTGTAGTCGCCCACGATGAAAGGTGACACAAAGGTCAACGGCGAAGGTAAGCAGACCTGGAACTTGACTTCCTTGGGAATCACTCCTTCCTCCTTCAACTTCTTGAACACTGGATACGACTCGAGAGCTGCAGTGTCGTAATCGGTTGACAAGCCCTCGAGCTTCTCAGCTGCCTCTCTGATTTTCTCCTCTGGCACTGGAGTATCCTCAAACTTGCCATTCTGACCGAATTGACTGATAACCTCTGGATAAGCGCCAAATTTGTACATCTGCCAGCCGATGAAGAAATTGCGTTGGCCTGTCTCGCCATCGGGAATGTACTTCAGACGGCTTCCAAGAGCCGGAGCCATTCTTCGCAGTACATCTTCAGTGTCTGTGCCAGGTACACTGCCAACAAGCAGGACACCACCTTTGACTTGAGATTTTCCAGTAGACATGTTCGTTTGATTTTCTCCTTCTTGAGGTGGACAAGTGGTTCTAAGAAGGAGAGGAGAAGGTGGGATGAAGAGGGGTCCAAGGCAAGAAACTATCGACCTACCGAGTGCGAGGTGCTGGTTGCGAACCGAGCTGCATACCGAGGGTTTGGGTCACCAATTGGGATGATAGATTGATTGCTCTTGCAAAATCTTGGCGGCGCTTCTGAGGAAGAAGCAGCCGAGCAAATAACCACGTGTGAGCGTGCGATACGATACTCATTCGCGCTCGGTGATGCGGACAGATCAGACCTTTATACTTGTGGCTCTCCTGAGGAAGGACGCTCCTCATATCAAGAGTTCTATAATGATCGGCATCGAGCGCGTCGTGGGCGCAAGTGCGGATGGAGCTTTAGCGGCGTTGAGGTTGTCAACTCCTGAACACCACAATTCCTGTCGAGCGTTGAAGTGCCTGAAGACCATGAGAATCTATGGAAGCGTCTCTCTGCTTGATAGACAGTGGCGGCGTGGAAAGCAAGTTACTTAAGCAGACAACCCATCAGGGTTGAGCAAGCAACCAGCAGGTGAGCAGGAAGGCCCCACATTCGGCAGTTCCTACCTGAGACGTCACCACCACAACTTCTCCACCTTCCCATACGGTAGCAACGTCCAAGCAGTCACGCCTCGAAACTGCCTTTCTTGTTGTATGTAATATCTGTATGTTCTGTTGGCCAAGATACCACAGACCTCCAACATTCTGCCAAATCCATCGGCTTCAAAGAGCTCTCTGCTTGTCACACAAACAAATCAGACCATACATCATGAGCACCACTCAACAATATCCTTGGCCAAATGGCAAACGCGCCTGCATCAGCTTGACAATGGACAACATGGGCGAAGCTGCCGATCTCCACCGTGGTCTCTGGCCCAAAGACAAGCCAGTAGGCTCACACTTTTCCGTGACGGAAAAATTGCCCTTGATGCTTGACTTGCTCGACAAATATCACATCCCAGCCACCTATTTTGTCGAAGGCTGGAATTGCCCTGTCTACACAGAGACGATCCAACATGTCCAGAAGCGGGGTCATGAGATTGGGTTCCATGCTTATCAACATGAGGTGTGGAAGAATCTCGATGCGGACACTGAGGTTGGGAATCTGAACAAGAGTGTCGAGGGTGCCGAGGCCATTGGTGTGCATTACAAGGGCTTCAGACCTCCGGGAGGATTGGTGACTGATCGCACACTGGATTTGATGAAGCAAAAGGGCATGAATTACCTTTCTCCAGCAGCCGAGCGTCCAGCTCTGGTCGATGGCGTTGCAATGGTTCCCTTTCAATGGGAGAGCATCGATGCATATTTCTACATGGCTTCCACAGCTGCGTTGAGAAAGGGCAAAGGCGACGCTGAGGAGCCACTATCACCACAAGTCTTGAAGGATCGTCTGTTCAAGAGGATAGACGAGGTGGTAGCAGAGGGTGGATATTTAGCTTTGTTGTTCCATCCTTTCTTACAGACCGAAGACGAAAAGTTGAAGGTCATGGAAGAAGTACTCGAACATATCGTGAGCAAGAAAGAAGAGGCCTGGATAGCTCAGTGCAAGGATGTCGCAGACTGGATTCAGAAAAACCCAGAGGCATTTGGCAGCGATCCTGGCTGGGACAAGGCAGAGTGGAAGAAGAACTAAAACCCAACGCACATGCACGTAGTGTCTTGTACATTCACATCAATCATTCATAATTACAGCACTATTCACTTCTCAGAGGGATTCTTCCAACACATCAGACATGATATGCAAGATCCGTGACAACGTCCGTGGCTTCCACGTTCCAATTCCATCCATCAAATGTGCAAAGTCCAATAGCGTACGTCTCGCAGTTTGAAACCCACTGGTAGCCACAACGCCATTTATCGAAACTGGGCCACCAGCTTCAATAAAGGTGCGAGTCACGTTAGAAGCATGAGAAGACTCGAACATCAAATCTGGGCTGTTTCCAGGGGAACTTTCCACCATGCCTGCGTTTCCGACGACAGTCCAGTCGACATCATCCATCAACTCGTACGGTAGACGTGTGCTGTCAGCTTCGTTCTCGGGTACGGTGAAGAGATACAAGCCAAGGATAAGAGCAGAGCAGAATAGAGCTGACATCGAGTTGAGCGTAATGCTTTCCGAAACCTTGCGATTACTGAGCAGTTTAAAAGACTGTGCAGCATGTACACAAGCACGACGCGCGGAGGACGTGCGAGCCCAGTCTTCCACATCTGCAAGAGCTTTGCCGGCTGGACCAGCACCTGCTCGACCTGCTGCGAGCTCAAAAATCTGCATGTTGGAATTCAAGGTCAAGCACAAATTGTGCCATAAAAGGAGAGAATTGAGGTCCGCGGTCTTTGCCGAGCCTGTGATCACAGGTGCAAGCGCTAGTGTTGTCTGCACCAGAGATCGTGCTCTTAGATCGTCTTGATATGTCTCCCATGGTATAAGATGGTCATGTCTGTCCCATTCATCCGTAGGCAGGAAGTGTCGGTGTTGAGCATCACATACGCATAGCTTGATGGCTGAAAGTAGAGTGTACTGGCCGGGAGCGTCCAAAGAAGGGTCGAGTAATATAACGGGGTCCAATGCTCCTTCGAGATTGAAAGTCCTAGGCTTGATCATCGGCATGGATATTCTCTTTCCCATCTGTTGCAGCTGAATCCACCGCTGCGCGGACTCTGCACGGAACAGAATGTCATCGCATGGAAGGCATATCTGAAGTGTCTCTGGACGTATCGCCGGACTGACAGAAGAATTTGCGGAGAACCACCAGTCGGTGGTTAGCAATGCTGCGATAAGCCTATCAAGCTCGTGGTTAGTAGTGACAACGACAAGATATGCGAGCTTGTTTTCACCTTTTGGCACTCTCGATGCGAGCCCATGTCAGCCATCGCGCACTTTCATCACCAATGTTAATGATCATCTCTCCAACGTCGACATCATCGAGGCAAAATAGCCCCTGCTTCTGTGCTGTCTGTAGGTCGGTCAGTTGAGCACTCTGGCTTGTCCTTTCGTCACTCACGGCTATCAAGGTCGCGTAAAGAGTTTGCGACTGCGCCAAACGGTCTTTGTCCTACAAGTTTTGTCAGCACTCAGATCATACGAGGCAAGACAATGATCCTACTCCTGAGAGAGCAGCTAGACACAATGTCAAGAAGCCAGCTGCGAATATGGCCAAACGCGCATGGGGAGCTGAGGGAGTGATTGCGTTAAGTGCTAAATCATTATGTACTTTTCGTAATAAGTTCTGTTCGATGTTAGTATGATACACTTGACAAAAAACCGACGCTGATGTGCGACAATACTCAAGCAAATTGATGCAAAATGGGAAACTTACTGTAAAAGCATTCGAAATGAAGTTGCCGCCATTGCTAGATTCCAATGCACTGAGCCCGAGCATACACATGGCATAAAGTAAAGGAAGTGGGGTATTGGACGCATCAAAAGACGGAACATGAATGAAAGGAGCGATTGGATGGAAACGGCGGAAGTAATGATCCAGGCATATCTCCAAGACCTCTGCAGGAGGAAAGTTTCCAGGTCGCTTTGTTGAAGAATCTCCGGAGTGCAGTACATGTGCACCAAATTCAGCCTCTAATCGAGAGCGCAATGCCGAGTCCACACCCCAGCGACTTTCTGACTTCTCTCGAGTCTGTGGCGCACCAACCGAAAACAAGTTCGGCCCCGAGCTGCGCACAATGTCGGACCAGATTGATGGAACCAGATGATGAGTACCATTGTTTTTGGCTAGCCAACAATTTTCAACTCGTGCAAATCGCTCATTTGGTATGTTTCCTGTTGATGCGGTGTCGCTGGTCTCCGACGTCGCAGCTCTGTGCATAGGTGGAGGCGCTGGCTCGTATTTGTTATCAGATGTGTAGGGGGTGCTGGTTATATCAGGCAGAGTCATAGCACCATATCCCAGATCATTATCTGCTTGTGCCAGCCAGAATTGTAACATGTCTTGAGATTGACCTGGAGAATTGATAGGTAGGCCTCCCACTCCGAACGACCCAGACATTAAACCGTCCATGTGAGCATGATCCATGGGCACTAGCTGTGGGTCGTATGTATGAGATGCCATAGCGGGTGTTGCTACGTTTGATGTAAATTCTTGTACTGGGGTAAATTCGGTTCCAGCATAGTTTTGCGATGGAGTGAGTTGAGGTATATGACCATGTTGTTGTGGGCTCATGTTATACTGAGGATGTAAGAGAGGTATGTCCGGCATAGACATGTGACGAGAGTGTGCCATGTTTGCATCACTGTAGGACTGCTGTTGAACGAAACTTTGCCCCTCCGGACGGCTGAATGAGGTGTGCTGATTCATGCCTTCCTCTAGAATTGGAACCATAGATCCATTTGAGGGTGACGCTCTAGCGATCCCGGCCATCGAGTTCGCTGAATCTCCACGATCATCGGACGTTTGTTGATTGTGTAATTTGCTGTGTCGGAAGAGCACATCACTGTGTAGAAGCGTCAACACGGCAGTCGCGTCTCATCGACTTTTGTCGACGTACCTCCGCGAGAAGCGCTTTTTACATGTCACACACTCATAAGGTCGCTCCTTCGTATCTGATCACAGTTGTCAGATATACCATGACAACAACCATTTGATTTTGTCTAGAACTCACGAGATCTCTGATGCCGCAAATAATGCTCGGCCTGCTATTCTGTTAGTAAGACGCGTAGACACGTTGATTTCTGCATTCGGACCTTGGTGAAATTTCGATCGCATATCGAACATCTTCGCAAAACCATACCTCGCACGCTGGGACTACGCTCTCAGGCTTCTCGGCCCACAATCGGGGTTGCTTTGCGGCTTGAGAAGTGGATGGACCCCGCTCCCCGCTTTGATCGCCCTGACTGGTCTCTCGGTGAGACTCGAATTGTTCTGAATGAGTCAACACCGTATGCGGGTCACTACACGGTTTCGAGAGGGAGCAATCAAGGCTTCAACAAAGGACACAGGTTGATTGAGCGAAACAGAAGCGGCGAGTCTAAGGTGAAGTTCGAAAGTGGCAGCGGACTTTACGGGGTCGATCGGCCCGAAGTTGCGGAGAGATCTTCTTGGTTGTGATTGGTTCATTCGAGTCATTTATCAGCCATAATTATACGTATTTACTAAGACAACAAAAAGGAGCAGGCTGAACAGCAATTAAACATGCAGATCCAAAATCTACGTGGAGATCCTTGAAAATTGCATGTCGTGTGTGATGCTGCCAAACTTCATCTCCCAAAGATCTCTCATGTAATTTGAGCGCGGAAGCCAGGGTGCTTTGTTGCCGGCTTTGGGAAGATTGCCCTCTGCCTTAACAATGTATGTAGAGCTTAGGTCCAGAACTGATCGGTCTTGCAGACCAGTGTTCTTGTCCACTCGGGGCACCGCTTGCGACAAGCCGTTCTTCTCCATGTGGTTCAAGAGGCGTGTTACGAACTGCGCGGTTGCGTCCGAGCCAAGAGTCCAAGATGCATTAGTATAACCAATTACAATGGCAGCATTGGGAATATCTTCAATCATGGCACCTTTCCAGAGATGTTTCTGCGATATTTCAAGAGGTTCATTGTCAACAGACAATTTGGCACCTCCCGCCATGATAAGCTTCAATCCGGTAGCGGTGACGATTATGTCGGGGTTCAAGACGCGATCAGAGCCTTCCAGATGGATACTCTTCTCTGTCACTTGCTTTATTTGAGCTGTGACAACCTCGGCCTGTCCATCTTTGATGGCTTGATAGAAGTCTCCGTCTGGTGAGGCGCATAGTCTTTGGTCCCATGGTCCATAGCTTGGATCAAAATTGGGTTTTATGGGATAGCCTTCTGGAAGTTTTGACGCGGCTCCCTTTTGCAGAAGCCTTCTGGCACGATCCGGGAAGGCTTTGCAGAACTTGAAGAAGAGGAACGGCAGGATCAAGAACTGGAAACGCCTGAGTTTGTATGTCCAACTGACAGGTAAAAACCTGGCGGGCCAGTATGAGAGGTGATCCCGCTGTGGCACTGCTGCAATATAGGTCGGGCTTCGCTGTAGCATGATCACCTTGTTTGTCTTCTTGGCTATGTTAGGAAGGAGAGTCACAGCAGTAGCACCGCTACCGACCTTGAAGCGAACTTTTGTCAGTAAAATTACGGTATCAATGCAGGAAGTCACTTACAATAACCACGTCTTTGTTGGTGTAATCTAAGTCCTCTGGCCAGAACTGCGGGTGAACAACTTTTCCTTGAAAGTTTTCAATCCCAGGAATCTTAGCAGGCATAGCTTCATTGAAATCATAATATCCTGTACAGAATACAACGAAGCGAGAGCGCAAATTTTTCTGACCCTCTGGTGCTTCGACTTCAAAACTCCAATTCTGTTGATCCGTGGACCAATTCGCCGAAAGAAGTTTGTGGCGATAGTGAATGTGTTTATCGATGCCGAAAGTGTTTGCAGCATCAGTCAAGTATTCCTTGATAGATGCTCCGTCTGCCATTGTGCGATACTCCTTCCATGGGAAAAATTCAAAGCCGAATGTGTACATATCAGAATCGCTGCGAATGCCAGGATAACGGAACAGATCCCAGGTACCGCCGAGCGAGTCTCGAGCCTCAATGATCGCATATGACTGGTTAGGTGATTGCTCCTGCAGTCGATATGCCACATTGATGCCCGATATACCAGCACCAATGATCAGGCAGTCATAAAAGTTTGGATTATCGTTCTTTGTAGCCATGGTAGTGGAAGAAACCTTTCAGAGGCTACTGTATGGGAGTGGCGAGAATGTTCCAAGAATAGGAACTGTCTGTGTACTGGGATAGGTGAAGACACGACAAGATTGAGGACAATGTCCAGGTCCTGATATATGTCTCCCAAGTCGATGTGTAGACCCCAATGGACAGCCGTTTATGTGTTGGTCATAGGGTCTGTTCGAGGGGTAGTCCTTACATCCAAACCTTGTTTGCGACCGTTGAACGTGCCGAGGATCTCGGAGTTTGACTGACGACATCTCCCAAGACATCTCTCAAAACATCTCTCAAAGAAAACCAACTTGCGAATACGTGCATACGATGTGTGACTTCAAGTCATGTTTACACAAACTAGATGGCTGACAGGTGACATTAGTATATTGGACAAAGTCCGAAGAGCAGTATATTGGAGATGTGCCTCCAGGGTTCTTGCTGGCTGCTGAGCTGACTTGCCTACAGCATTGCAATGCTTCTGATGTAGTTCATCACGAATGATATCAAGATAAAGCATAATTGCAGACATTCGGATATGATTTCAAGATGGAGTGAATTGAGGTGAATGCGAGCGAGGGAGAGCACACGAGCAAGAACTTCCCCACTTTTGCAATTCGTCCAAGGCGTTGATCTTGTAGATCTTTCTTGGATCGACTTCCTTTCATTCAGAGACTTGGAACAACGTACGAGCAACAACGAGAATGGCCTCGGCAGTCAGCTTGATCAAGGCATGGACGTTCACGCACGAGGGTTACCCAGATGCTCTTCGCAGATCAGCTCTGGCATCACCCCCAAGACCAGCGCCGACGGAGCTTCATGTCCGAGTTCATGCAGCAGCACTCAATCCTGTGGATATCCAGTTGATGAACTTTCCGGTCTGGAAGTATCTTCCTAGCCCCTGGATATCTCCTGATAAGGGTATCGGTGAAGACTTTTCTGGTATTGTTGAAGCCGCTGGCAAAGACAGCGGTTTTGATGTAGGCGACGAAGTGGGTCACTGCACATTACTAAAGCTATAAACCTAGATGTTGATGCACTTGAAAGGTCTACGGCATCACATTCACGCTGACAGGCGGCACACTCCAAGAAGTCATTGCTATCAACACAAAATCGAGCGTCGTAGTCAAAAAGCCTAAAGAGATGAGCTGGGAACAGGCTGCTGCATTGCCATTGGTGTGGTTAACAGGTATCTTGACTTTCCATCATGGAACTACAAACTTGCTAACAGATGAAGCACGCACAACAATCGCTCATGTCGAATCTCATATCAAGAGCAGTGGTCGTTTGACTGTTCTAGGTGGAAGCTCCGCTGTAGGCACGTATGTGCTCCAACTTGCCAGTCAGCGAGGATGGGAAGTGCTCACCACATGCTCCTCCCGAAACACCGAATTTGTGAAGTCCATGGGAGCAACGTCTGTCGTCGACTACAATACGGATGACGTGGCACAGGCTGTCCGAGATTTCGGTCCAGCAGCCATCATCGACTGTGTTGGCGGAACTTCATGCATAGGTCTAGCAAAAAGGTACGTTACCATTGTAGGAGACAAAACTGGTCGCGACAGCATGGGTGGCGCAGCAATATATCTGTGGAACCCCAAGATGGTCATTCGAACGTTGCTCGGGAAGATGAATTTAGGGGCAAGCTACGATTGTGTCAACCTCGAATTTCGCAAAGAGTGGCTAGAGGAGACGTTGAATCTCGACCGTAGCAAAATCATCATCGACAGCACATGGGGCTTTGATCAGGTGAAGGAAGCTTTCGCAAAGCTAAACACTGGACGAGCAAGAGGGAAGGTAGTAGTAAAGGTTTGCTTGAAATAAAGTTGTGTATCATCTATCATTTATTCGACCTTAACGTTCATGTCGTTTGGATCGATATCAACTGAGCCCTCGAGCTTCTTGCCCTGGAGCACAGCCTTCATGAGAGTTTCTAGCCGTGTCACGGCCTCTTCGTCAATCTGATAGTGCACAACAAGGCGACCACCTCCCAGCCTCAAACCAACCTTTTCACCGGCTGCAATGAAGTCTGGGACGCTGATCCCAGCAGCATCAAGATCCAGCCAACACATGTTGGTCTCGACAGGATTCGACGTCTTACCGCCTAGCTTTTCCCACATGGCAGCAATCTGGCGTGCTCTGTCATGGCTGGCAGCCAACTTGCCTCCCAGATATGTGTCTTCGACAGCGACACGAGCAGCGGCAGTGACGACACCTGCTTGACGCAAGCCGCCTCCAATGCTCTTTCTGATCCAACGTGCTCTCTCGCGGAACTGCTTTGTTCCCACAATGATACTGCCAATGGGTGCGCCTAGGCCTTTGCTGAAACAGAGCGAAATGGAATCGAAACACGCACAATAGTCTTTCAGGGAGCCAGCACCCGAAGCAACGGCCTCCCACAGTCTAGCACCATCAAGGTGCATCAGGATACCGTTCTCTTTCGCCCAGGCACTAATGCGTTGAAACTCTTGAAGAGGAGTAACGATGCCATTGAGGGTATTCTCCAGACTGAGGACTTTTGTAGGACAAGCGTGGATATCATTGCTTAATACAGCGTACTTCTTGATATCTTCCAGGGTCAAGTATTTGTTGTTTGCGGGTACGACGGCCTGGATCATAGCACCGCACATGCTGGCGACACCACCAGCCTCCCACTGAACAATGTGGGAGCGATGGTCGGTGAGGACAGCATGAGGCGGGGCCAAGAGCTGTGTGCGCAAGGCGACTTGGTTGCCCATGGTGCCGGACAAGACAAAGAGAGCAGCCTCCTTGCCCGTCAAGTCGGCAATGAAGGATTCCAGGTCGTTGGACGTCGGGTCTTCCATAAAGACATCGTCTTGGAGGGTTGTAGCGGCGATTGCTTCGAGCATGCGAGTCGTCGGGCGGGTCATGACATCGGAGCGGAAGTCGAAGGCGGCGCCTCCAGGAGCCGACCAGTTGTTGACCTTGGTATGGCCATTGCTGAGATGGTTTGCGGCCTTCTCGACGCCTTCTTGTGTGGTAGCAGCTGCCATGTTTCTTCGCTGCGTAAGAGCCAGACAAGCTCGAGAGCTGTTGTGCAGAGTGGAACGTATTGTCGAGGAACGGACAGAGTGTATACCTAGACGTATACTGGGAATTGTCAAGGGCATCTCGCCCGAAAAGTTGATCTCTCTCTTACATTATCTCTGCTTGCCCATGACCTGCCCCTCATTGTCTTGCTGATTAGGAAGGTCCCACAGTCCCACGGCTATTCATGCCGCCAAGCTTCGAATCCCCACCCCAGTCGACCTCAAGGTAGCACCTGCCTTGATTTCAACCACACATCCTTGGGACTCTTCTCTCCTTTCAATGCCATCCAACCGTCTGGGAACTACCTGGCCTTGCACTCGAGACTATTAGGCCTTGGATCAGTCAACTTGTGATACCTGACGACTGTTCTGACGCTTATAGAGTAGGATGCCTTGTGCTCGAGTTCACAAACGGCACTTGTGTCTTTGTTGACAGCTCTGAATTACCATTGATGATACCACTAGCTTCTTGAGAGGTGCACAAAGAATTTGGAAAGATTCATGGCCATCTTGCTATGGATTCCAAGTTGACTCTCTTGTGTTACTACATGTTACAGATACCAAACGGTGGACCACTTGAATCCTCCCAGACAGCCTGTTTCTAATTCGGTCCGCTGGTTATCTGTTTGTAAACCTCAGTCACACCACAAGTAGCCTGCAGCATCATCTCAAGTGCAATCCACACTCGGTCATCACACTGATTCACTGTGTACATGTGAAATCCTGCACTAGACCCTATTCTTGTGATCCCTTTATCACACCATACGGCTCCTTGCAGTGATTGCTGCGGATGAGTACTCCCTTGGTCAGTGCCTTGATTTATGTCAAGAGGTTGCACATAGAGGTTTCGTAAGATGAGCCAAGGCAGGAGCTTTCGAGATATAAGAGCGTCGGTCTTGCACAAATTGCCAATTGTTTGTTCAGCCCATCGGCCACCGTATCAGCCACAGAACATCTTTCAAGAATCAATCCCTCTGCTGATATCTCCATCATATCTATCCGCACTTCATCCTACCAGAGCACCTGTCTCCAAACGCCATCATGCACTTCTTTGCCTATGCTGTAACCAGCCTTCTCGCTTACGCCACTTCCGCATCGGCAACCTTTGCGCAGGTCAACAACAACTGCCCTGTCCCCGTTTGGATCACCATCACAAACGCCACACAACAGCCCAGCCAGTATGCCATCCCCATCGACGGAGAATACATACAGGGACGAAGCGGTGTCGGCGTTGCCTTCGGATTGAGCAAGACATCGGCATACTTCTCTCCTAATACTCCAAAGTTTACCCTCGGGTTCACCGACTCTCCTTCAGACTCTCTTCTCTACTGGTCTGTCATCAATGCTGATGGTGATCCTTTCGCTGGCGAGCCTTGGCGCGTCTCGCTGTCTGATCCTAGCTGTGCTCCTCTGACTGCCTATGATGGGGGCATGGTCCACGCTTGTAGCATCTTGGCCAACCTTACCGTCACTCTGTGCTAGACGCCAGAAGTGTTGCCGGTTCTTGGAGACTGGCGTTGGTACCATGTGCCGACTGGACTGTTGAAGATCTTGTACTTTTCTTTTGGATGGCTAGGCTATCTGTTCGTCTGAGCTGCAGCTTGGGCACCTCAGTGATTGGATCGTCAGCTCATTTACTTGACAATATGCATTATCTCGTCGATTCACACTCCTTTTGCCCTTCCTGTATCCAAGCATGGAATATCGAATAGTTTTTGGACCTGAGATCACAACGGCGGAGATGTGCACGGGCAGTTGTGTGTTTTCATTTGGAGTCCGCACCCTAGTAGTACAAGCGATCATATATACCGGTACATCATCTGCGCCTCTTTCTGAACAGTATCAAGAGTGCATACGCCAGCATTCGGTAGACCGTGCCAATGACAAAGATCAGAGCCAAATCTTTGCCAAATTCACTCAGACTGAACCCGACGGTTTGAGTGGCAAGTTCAACATCCCATAGGTAGGCCATCGGACTGACCATCTTTGTCCAATAAGCTTCGGTAAACCAAACACCAGGGCTCAATCTCCAGAACCACTCCATATGCCATTCCTTGACTTTTGATAACGGAGGCGCCACACCTCCGAGTACTCCAAGAACCAGACTGAGCAAGACAGCCAGCAGGGGTCCATCCTCTCGTTTCACTAACATGGAAACCAAGCTACTCAAACCATAGATGGCATAAAAGTAGACCAAGTTCGCCGCATACATGTCTTGGAAACTGATCAGAGGGGTTGCAAGAACGCCAATCATGACTGTATAGTGAAGAGCAGCAACGGTGATGCGAGGGAATGTGCTCAACACTTTGCCGACATAATATGCACTCTTACTGTGACCACTAGAAGATTCTCGCTGGAACATGAGGACTTCTTCGCCAAAGACCCAGACTCCTGGTGCGGAAGAAGCCAATCCGATGGCCATGGCAGATAACAGACCAAGCTGAGGAGCTGATTTGTAATCAACAGCACTAGACATTTGAGTGAACGGTGGGTGATATATGCCTGAGAAGAGGGATCCTTTGGAAGAATATGCTGAAAGACCAATGACCAGTCCTGCAAGCGTAGCAACAAAAATTTCAAAGAAGAAACTCGTGCGGTTGCGGACTTGCTGAAGCAAAGCACGTTTGGTACAATAATAGACCTGAGCGTACCATGAAGCTCCTCGAGTCTTCATAGTCTCGTGTAGTGACTGATCGTGCTCCAAGGTCGATTGCATGGAACTTGACGACAACCTCGGATTGCTCTGGGCACCTACGACAACTGACAGTCGCTTGTTGGACTTCCCAAACTGACCTCTTTCGTACCAGAACTTGATGAGCAGATCAGTGTCACTGCCAAACTTCTCGGCCTCGGACGAATATTGCTTGCCATTGCCAGTAATCACGTCCATTATGATGTCTGCAGGATTGCTTCGCAGAGGGAACTTGTAGCCCAGATCTTCGAAGTAGGGGACCACGTCCTCAGTTGCGCCCGCGTAAACCTGGCTGCCTTTTGCGAGCAACAATAGTTGATCAAAAGCCACAAAGATGTCTTCGCGAGGCTGGTGGACAATGGCGATAACAGTGACGCCTAGTCGAGAAATAGCCTTCAAGAGTCGCATTATCGAAGCTGCGGAAGTTGCATCTAGTCCACTTGTTGGCTCGTCCAGGAAAATCGCCAGAGGAGCTGCTGCAAGCTCGATTCCCACGCTAACTCGCTTGCGCTGGCCTCCGGAAATGACCGGTTTTCTGGCATCGCCAACTAGGGAATTCTGGACGTGTGTGAGTGAAAGACAGGCAATTAACGAATCCACGTAATCTTGGATAGCTCTGTCGTTCCACGAAGAAGGTAATCTCATTCGTGCAGAGTGCAAGATGTTCTCCCGAACAGTGAGTTCTGGAAAAACGATGTCATCTTGGGGAACCATCCCAATCAATTTCTTGTACTTCTTCATGTCTTTCACGACTCCGTTGATCTTGAGAGAACCAGCGCTCGATTTTCCTCGTATCAGTGCATTCACGAGAGTCGACTTTCCTGCGCCTGATCCCCCCATGATACCAGTCATGGTTCCTCTAGGTATGGAACCAGTGATGTTGAGTAGAATTTCCAGGTTCTGACGAGTCTTGAACGATAAACCCTCGAAATCAAAAGATAAGCCCAGCTCTTTCGTTTGTGTGGCACGAGAAAGATAGATCAAAAACTTCTGCATAGCGAAATCTTGAGAACAATCATCAACGTCAGTAATGTCCGAGGCATTCGACGTCGATCTGGCACGTGTAGTCGGTGTCAATAAGGCCGGAGAAGCTGGTACCGTGGTAGGAGGTGAGACCTCGGATATTGAGACTGAATAGCGAGGTGACATGTTCAAGCCTCGTAGTGCCTCTCGATCGTCTTCTGTAACTTTCATGTCGACGCTGGAATACTTTGGCTTTCTGCGCTTTCGCCACTTGGAGTAAGCCAGCCCTGCGACCAGCACACAAAGTAGGATGAAATCAATGACGACGACGACATAGAGGGGCAATAGGGGAATCTGGTGAGCGCTCGCCCAGGGGCAGTATGCGCCTGTGTCACATTTTATGGGCTCAAAACTGCCCTGAGGACAGAAAGTACCCGCTTCGCAGGGGATGCGAGTTTTTCCTCCGGGTGGGCAGTAGGAACCTGCCATAGCTAGTTAGTACTCAATGTGATTCTACCTGAGTTAGACGCGGCTAGATACCTCCAGGGCAGATCAGGGGTTCCAAGGCGCCCTGGGGAAAAGGGCAAGTCTCTTGATTGGCACGTAAGACCGCACATTGCCAGGTTGGTGGGCACATTTGCGGTGGGTGCTGATCATTGGAGTTTGGGCCTAAATTGGTGAGCCGGGGCTTGTATTGAAACCTTGTCTTTGACAGCATACAGTAGAAACCTAGCAGACAAGTATCATTGTTTGCCAAAGCGATGGGAAGCGAGCCCGGGTTGTAACAGCCTGTCTGAGTATCGGGAAGCGCGTAGGACCATTGATTGAATTGCATCGACGTCATGTCGTCGAGTACAGCCATGTCAACATAGGCACGGGAGGATATGTTTGCATTGTATGGCGTTGCAGTATGATCAGCCATATCGTTCGAGATATCAATTGCTCATAGTAATACAGCAGGTAGTGGATAGAATCGAGACAGCAACCGAACAGAGATCAGTGAGGAATATGATGTGGAAGAGAAAAAAATATATTGAATAGCGAGTCATTCGGACTGACAGCCTTAGATGCCAAATTTAGGAGGCACAATCATCAACCTACCTCATCTGATGCAATCTACTGGGCAGGAAGATGGTTGGAAGGATTGTTCATGCGGCGGAGGAGTTCTTGGGAGGCTAACAGCCGTTGGCGGATTACCTTGATGTGCGAAAGTGAAGTAATTGAGCATGATCCTTCTGTCGCTATGTTAGGGATACGGCCTTATTCGAAGGCTGTAGGCAGAAGCAGGCGGCGTGGTGAGGTAATGACTTGTCTGGGCATGTCTTGGAAGATTGCTGAGCATGGCAGTGTGCAGCAAATTAGCAACGATGCGCAGTCAAGAGTGGAGCGCAGGATTCACGATGGGTCGTGTATGAATCGGAGGGACGTGTGATGGTCGAAGGAGCCTCATCCTTCCTGCTTGGGCGTGGTCCTCACTGCTCAAGTCGCGGAGAGTCGGCCAACCAAGGCAGGCGCGCAGTGACCACCTGTCCACCCTGATTGCTGCATCGTCATCAACCAACAAAGCATACCTGCCGATTGTCTACCACTGAGACGACGTGCACTTCAACATGAAGAGCTTTTGGGCTTTGCCCGCTGTTCTGCGCGCCGCAGTCGCCGCCCAGAATTCTTTCAGTGTGCAAGACGATGTTCTTGCCTTCCCCCAGGTACAAGACGCAGACGCCCTCGATCTGATTACACCAACTGATTGCCCTGTAGTTCTCGGTCGACTTTCCAGAAGGCCATGTTTCCTCTCTGCAGGCTCAGGAGAAACTTGACCCCTCTACATCTGACTCCAACTTTGATCTTTCTCATCGAGACACGAATCCACAAGACTCAGACAAGCCGCAATACCACTATGAGGAACTCGTTCTAGCCAACCAACACTACTTGTGTCAAATTCCACGTCTGCTCGACCAACCACCTTCATCACAACCCAACGAGACCCTATCTAAGCAAGACCATGAGAAAGAGCTGGCTCGCGCAAACACCAGAGGCTGGCAATTGCTCAAGGGCATGCAAGGCAACTGCATCTATTACTGGAGTGGATGGTGGAGCTATAGATACTGCTACGGCCAGGGTGTCAAGCAATTCCATCAACTGCCTTCCTCTCACGGCGTTCCTGTATACCCTCCTGTCGAGGATCCCGCTGTACCCGGTTTCATGCTTGGCGCTGTCCAAGACCAACCGCGCCATGATAGCCAAGAAAACCTATCCGAGGACAAGGCTGTCGGCAAGCTCGAGACCCGCGGAGAGAGCAGGTATCTTGTACAGCGCCTGGCTGGTGGCACTGTCTGCGATTTGACGGGCAGAGAACGCCGCATCGAAGTCCAATTCCATTGCAACCCGGCCACTGCAGACCGTATCTCGCTCATAAAAGAGGTCGCAACCTGTGCATATCTCATGGTCATCCAGACCCCACGACTTTGTAACGACATCGCCTTTCAACCTCCACAGAAGGACCGCGCAAACAAGATTGCTTGTTCACCCATCCTCGATCAAGACCAAGTCCCCGAGTACGAAGCTGCCGTTGCCGCTGCTTCTGATCTTCTCGGCGATGACATACCTAATCCCTTGGCTGGTTCGCAGTCAAAAGCCCCTGTTACTATCGGTGGTATCACCATTGGTGCTCATAAGTGGATTCCTGAAGGCAGCAAGATTGAAAAATCAGCCATCGTGGGAGGCACCAAGGACAAGTTTGTCGAAACCATTGCTGACAGCTTCGGTAAGGCCATGTCGGCAGATGAGCTGAAGAGGCTCGGCCTTGGTGATGCAAAAAGTGTCGAGACGCTGAAGAAGGAGTTGGAAAAGATTGCAAACGGTCAAGGCTGGGAGCTTAAAGTCTTCGATACTCCCGACGGACGCGAATACAGAGGCGTCTTACTCGGCGATGAGGAGCCAGACTCGGCCAAGACAAAAGCTGCTGAGGTGACTGATACAAAGAAAGCTGGAACCAAACCCAGCGACGATGCTCCGTCTGATGATGACCGCGGCTCAGAGGGCTCTGAAGAGACGTATAAAGACGAGCTTTGAGGAATATTCCCTTCACTTGAACATTCATTGCACTGTACTTTTTATGATACCACTGAGTTATTGAATACTTCTCGCTACACTAGGCGAAACCTGACCTTCACCATGCCGTATGAATTGTTTTGTTCTCGAAGTAGATGTGTCGTCGCAACAACCTTCCATACACAGACACTCGACTGTGACTGCCAATTCGAGAAAGTGTGGGGAGACCGGCAAAGAAGCTCGTTTCTTGCCCTGAAGTAGAGAAGTATCGCGTGCATGGATTTCGAACACAGATCCCAGTCAGCGGAGAGAGATGCCTCTTATTCTTTGAATCTCTGTTATCTTTCTCTGCTCCAGCATCCTCACTGGGCTGTCAGCTGTATCTTCTGCTTCGTTCCGTCATTCAATTCTCGAAAAGCATTACTATTCGGGCGCTTGTCCGGATCACGGAGCGCTTGAACGGCTATCTACGTGGACTGTCTACCGCCATCATCTTGACGCAATTTTCTGATGAACTATTCCGAGACTTGCCTTGTACTGGAGAGCGAGAAAGTGTGTTCAAGCTCTTGTGAACATGCAACCATCAACATTGTCTTCTAGGATTAAAGAATCTGCGGCAGGATTAACAAGAGACCTAGTCTTCAACTCTACCAACGGCTATGGCGCTGTGGAAACGACAAACGAGCTCTCGACGCTGAGGAGTGATTGCAAACTTTCTAGTATATCATCACACGGAACATCATCATCGCCACAACTGACTGAGCCTTTGAACAACCGACAACATGACGGGAATGGATTGTTGCGATATACAAAATTCGGACACGGTCTTGATGCTGATCCAGATGCTGGAGAAGAGCTCTCTCATTTCTTGCTGCAGAAATGCAACATGGAAGTTTCCAGTGCAGCGAGCTCTCGATCGGGTTCAACCTTGGACCTTACGTTGAAAGGCGGAGATGAGGGGGAGCGGTGGCACAGTAACCATCTCAAAAGAAATGACAGTTTTGAGCCTGAGATGTCCCGGTCGAAACAAAAATCGCCGGCGCAGGTGTGGCATACAGACACGCAGCAAGATCACCATCGTGACAATGCGACACTAGACTCCGTTGACTCGAATGATCATCTTGGACAATCTCCCTCCAAGACGAGCGATTACAATCACCAAAGGCTGTTCTCAGGAGGTCAAACTTCAGAATTCGCTGTAAAAAGTACTTCCGATACAGAAACCGCACGACGAAAAGAGAGAGCACTCAGCAGGCTGCATCTTATCTTCTCACAGATGCCTGCCGTGATCCAACCGCAGGGTGCTACGAATTTGAGGCAGGCAGACTCCTTCGAATCATCTTACAATCAGCTCTGTGGAGGAGAGGACGCACAGGAGTGGGCCGAGTTCGAAGCATCACTGTTTCGTGCTTACAGCGGTCAGACACAAACCGACGAGCAGTTGATTTCGCAAGTACAGCAACATGAACAGAACTCGGCTATGCTCACAGGGAGGCCACCATCGTTGAGAGCCAACCTGGGCCAAAGTCATATATTGCGACATTCGGAGCTGTCAAGGGACATCTTACCACAGCAGAAACAAGCAGCGACGAACAAGGACGAGGAGCAGTCAACGGATAAGGAATCGACAGCTGAATTTCATTGTCCATGGGTCGATTGCCATAGTGTAAGTTCTTGAAGTTATAACAGTACGCAAATTCTCGCTGACAAGATCGACAGAAATTCCAGATGTGGACCGACTATATTCGAAGCACAAACGATACAGACTCTTTCCGGTGCGTACACACTGGTTGCGAGCTCGAGTTCGCCGCTGAAGGAGAATGGCGCAAGCACGTTTTGATTGCTCACCACGATTTGGTTCCTACAGTCCAGCCGGTTGCCGAGGCTGATATGGAAGCTGCTTGGGAGAAAACTCAGGCTTAAGAAAAGTACTGCATATAATATTGATGTACATATCGTAAAGCTGGTATACCAACAACCATGATGAGACTACGGAAAAATCGTTGCATTGATGGTATCGAAAAGGCGTAATCGTCTATGTTTGAGCGTAAGAACATTTCGGTAGAGTAAGTAACATGAATCTTTTGAGGGTCAAGGTCTGGTGCATTTTGAAAGCTGCCAGCGAACTAAGCAGCAGGACCACCCTTCTTGCCGCTGACCGAGTAGTCGCTCAAGAAGTCTGGGTCGTTCTCGAACTCTTCCTTGAGCTGTGAAACAAAGTTAGCGGGAATGGTCAGGGCCGGGGATATCAGCGACTGCACTTACAATATCGAGACCACCAACCAGCTCGCCACCAACCCAAACTTGAGGGAAGGTAGGCCAGTCTGCAAACTCCTTGAGACCCTGTCTCACGTCGTCGTCGGCCAAGATGTTGAAGAATCCATAACGGACGCCCTTCTCCCTAAGAAGACTGACAGTTTGGCGGGAGAAACCACACTGCGGGGCCGAAGGGGTGCCCTTCATGAATAGCATGACGGGAGCAGCCTTGACCAGCTCGCCGAGTCTGTTGTTCAATTCCTCCTTGCTCGTCTCAGGGTTGGCCTCAGAAGCCGAATACTCGGGGGCGGTAGTTTGGTCGTTTGTTGAGGGTGCATAGGCAGACAGGTTCTTTGCATTGCCTCCTTCGGGCTTGTTGACAAGCTGTGCTGGAGGCAAGCCTGCACCGCCAGCGTTGCCACTGCCGGAACCAACATGCTTCTCTACCACGGCGCGCACGCGAGAGGCGTCTCCGCCAGAGATGGTCTCGAGGACCTTGCCGGCCTTCTGAATGACAATGTAGGGGACCTGGGTGACGTCGTAGTGCTCACTGACATCGCTGAGTTCTTCGGCATCAAGAGCCAGGAAGGTGATGGTGGGCGGTGAACTAGCAGTGTAGGTGGAGGCAAGAGTAGCCAGGACGGTGGACATCTGCTTGCATGGCTCGGCCCACGGGGCATGGAAGTAGATGACCAATGTGGTCGACTCTGGGAGGTTGTTGGTGTGGTTGGCGAAGTCGGCATCTGAGGCGACCTCAGTCAGCGTGCAGGGATTTGAAGCGGCCATGTTGCGACGTGTGAGCTGTCGTCTAGTGTGAGAAGGCGGTGCGATGCGTCTTGGTTGTCCTGGTATGTCTTTTACTTGGCTATGTGCTGCTTGTAGTTTCTTGCGCACTCGCTTTTGTCGCGCGACCGGCCAGCCCAGTCTTTGGTGGGGCCAAAAATGGCGTCAGCGTGAATTCACATATCATGCTGTCCCTACAACCCTGCTCCATCACAAGTCATCATCTTTCTCGTTCCGAAAACTAGACCATGACTTCTCCGCTTTGCCAGCTATGTATCAATGCATGAACCAGTCATCTAGACCAACTCACGTCTCGCTCCAATAGGTGCGTCGATCGGCTTGCTTCGGGAGACTGGCGTTGGACGAGTCTTTGAGAGAAGATACTCGAGTAGCCGTCGCTCACACCGTCAATCCCATTGGAAACGAATAACGAGTTTACCAGAGTATGCTCGAAGTGAAATCAGCAATTCTTCACCAGCGCTCACCATCGCGACGAGCGGAAAGAGGCTAATTACTACAGCATTGTGTATGGAGCAATTACTCGAAAATTCCAGGTAGCCTCTCTATCAAGCAAATCGATCTTTGGAACCCAACAAGATCGCTGGCCGAAGAGGCTTTGTTCGATTCAGCCACAGAACACATCACCCAATTACCAAGGGCACAAGCCTGTCTCGTAACACGCGGCTTACTGAGTGCGTGCTGAATCGACTGACGAGGCTGTGAGATGGCATGACTAAATCCAAGTCATGAACGCCACCAATGCATCGCAGTAACATGGTGGTTGGGGACCAAAATGAGGCCAGTCCCGAAGGCGCAGTAAATCACTGCCACAAAGGAAAGATTGCATCCATATGAGAAGCCTGGACAATTTGCCGTCGCACAATACTGTCCATTGTCCAGCCTACACAGTGCTGCAGCTCATGGCTGGGCAGGTACAGGCTGCACTTGCACCAGTGTCAGCAAAAAGCTTTCACATGGATCGTCGAAGCGTTCGTTTCAAGGGTCAAGCAACGGACGTACGCGTAGGCGTTCCTGGACTAGGCGAGAGGGTCCGCCTGTCGCGCACATTTTAGCGTCACAACCAGACGTCGCCTGCCTATGCTCACCGTCAAGGTTCGATCACCAGAGACGCGCATCCTGTGTGTGCTCAGACGACGCTCTCGAAAAGTTGAACAAAAATAGAGGCCAAAGACTGTATGTATTTTATTAGCCGAAATTTGTTACTCTAACTCTTGAAACTGCGATGCAGCTTTCGACAGGGTTCCTTGCATCAAGGCGGGCCATAACGAATGCTAAAGCTTCTGGGGAATGGGGAATCATGCACCAATTGCATCTCCAGTTGGCCTTGCAACTTGGGCGGCCAGCCACGCAATAATATAGCGCCAGACACTAGTAAACTCGGAGCTTGTTTGGACACGCCAAAGAGGACGTAAACCTTCTATTTACAGTCTAGGCTCTGACAGCTGCATGTTTCTCCATCGCCATAAAACCCCTGGTCCTCACTAGCTATCGAGCAATCACTCATTCCTCGAAGTCCATTCTCTCGTTCTTGCATTCCTCTTGCAAATTACTTTCGCTACATATCCAAGGCTCTCTCGAATTGCCATTCCCAACTACACCAAATTCTAATCTCAACTTTCATCAACAACAACACATCAACATGCGTACCGCTTTCTTCGTCAGCGCTTTGGCCAGCACTGCCTTTGCTGGTGGCATTGTCACCCAGATCTCAGACGGCCAGATCCAGGTAAGTTCTTTGTTCTATCCTTGTCCTTCTTGATGATCAAAATAGAACAAGAGCATCATCAACTCACATGATATCAGGCTCCTGTCACTGAGGCTGCTCCTTCTGTCGTTGCTTCAGCACCCAGCGCCGCTGCCTCTGTTTCCTCTGCAGTTGAATCAGTCTCGAGCGCTGTTGTATCGAGTGTTGTTGCCTCTTCCATCTCCTCGGCTGTCGAGTCGAGCGCTGAGGTCGCCCCTGTCGCTACTTCTTCGGCCCTCTCAACTCGCATGCCTGTCCCTATCATCAACGCAACCACTGAAACTTCAGTATCGGCTGCCAGCACTCCTGCTGCTGTCGTCCCCTCTGCTGGCGTGAGCACTGCCCTCGCTGGCGGCAACTCAACCAACGGCACTATCTCCAGCCAGAGCCTGAAGGCATCGTCCACTCTTGCTTCCACTACCAAGGCTGGTTCTGCTTCTGGAACCGCTTCTAAGTCCTCTGCCAGCGCATCTGCCTCCGGAAACGCTGCTGCCAGCGTTCATCAGACCACCACTGGTATGGTTGGTGCCCTCTTCCTCGGTGCCATCGGTTACCTCGCTCTCTGAGCGCAGATTCACTCAATTACATGAGTCTTGATTGGTGACTGCATCGGAGCACAACACAGGGAGGCTAGTGCTGTACTATTTTGCTACTTAATCGGGGCGTGGCGCAAATTGCAAAGGATTGGGACTTACGGTTAATGGCTCTTCTTCGATGCAGAGAGCTAAAAGAGCGAAATGCTCTCGCTTTCTTCATAATTCTCTTCAAAACTTCTCTTTCTTCTAGCTTGTAAGATCAAATAGAGCAAGCACAATCAAAATTGAGTTCAAATCACCAACGACTTTTGACCTGATGTACGCACTTTCTCACGCCTGGAAGCGATTATTTTCCTTGATTCAGTTTGTACGTGTACAAGTAGTGTCAAGGCGTGCATGCAGATGAGACTCTTCGAATCGATTTGCGACCAATCACATAATAGTCATCAGAAATCGAACAGATCACGCTAGCTTGTTATCGTGTCACTATATCCTCGCGTAGTGAAGTCTGTGACTTTTACCGTACTCAAAATACAGCTCAGAGCAGAATATAGACTACAAGAGCAGGGTTCTTCTAGGAAGTAGAGGCATATCCATGAAGGGCTAATAACTAGTCACCTCTTGGATACTATCTATTTCCTATTACCAATATGGCTTCCTATGGCTGTACACGCTACACACTCCACTGGAGTACACGCAGAGGACAAGATTATCCAAGAATAAATACATGCATTGGCAAGCCAGATGAGATGTCGACCAGGCAATGAACCGCTCTGTCATGGTTTGCAAAGTTGGAATGAGGATAGTATACCCGACCTTTCCCTTGACATAGCTTGCAACACTACATACCTGTATATGCAATGAAATTATTCACTCAATCAGAGGCTACCGCTATTATTCTCACCAAGCACGCGCTTCTTCGAATTCAAGTTTCACTTCGAATCGGCCAGGGATATTCCCACGCCCTCCCACGTCCAGACCACACCCAGACCACGCAGTCTCCAATTATCGACGTTCGACATGAGGGCGGATCGTGAGGACATTCGACGCTTGCTCATGCCTCATAATCTGGAATGATTGTTCTGCGTGGACCTGTCAGAGCCGCACAGACCATTTGCACGTGAGATTCTCTAGGCTTACTGCTTTTGGCTCAGCTAGACTTCTCGTTGCAAGATCAGACCTCCCGATCTTGCTCTTTCCAGAACAAAGAATCAACTTCCAGCGGTATATGCGACCGACCGTCCTATTGTCTGTCGAATCTCCTTGCCACAGTCCACGTATCGCCATAAAATGCCCGCATGAAGATTTGGGATCCTGTGCAAGGATGAGATCTCTGCTTATCCGAAATTCTTCTTCAAGCAGTTCATTTCGTTCGTTTCTCGTGAGCCGCGGTTATTCAGCAAGATGTATCACGACCAGACGATAGCATCGCCTTTGCCGCACATTCGATAGCATCAATACTAAGAATCTTTGACCATTGGTACAGGCCCTTCTAAGCAGGAATGACTCTCTCATAGCTCCAAGGCGTGTGCAGCACCGGCTGCCGCTGCAGTGCGCATTGCCCTTGCTCCGACAGTAGAGGTCAAATAGCTCGCAAACTGCTGCAACAGAACTGATGTATCGGACTGTGAGCCGTGACACACGGCTAGCGATGTGGGAGACTTGAGAGCGGCATAAGCTTATCCTGACGTCCAAGGTAATCTTCGAGAGCGATGTTGACTTCTCCACACTTCTCAGGGTTTGCTTGTCTTCGAAGATGTGGAAGACGAGGACACGGATGGCCAAGATCTGAGTGACAAGATTGATGTCGAACCAGCTGATTTTCTCTTCACTTTGGACCTGCTTTGTTCTTGAGCTTGCGCAAGTGCTGATCCCGAGGGCTCCTTGAGAAGCAGAAGATTTAAGAGGCTACTCATGCCTTTCTTTTCGTCGTTCTTCTTAGGTATATTCTTCTGCTCGTTTGACTTGCTCGATTGAGTGCGGCTGGTAGGCATGATGCTATCACTGAGGTTGTCTCTGGCCTGAGCGAAACCTCACCTAGGGATAGCTTATGTAAAAGACGCAGCGGAGTCCGTAAGACGGAAAATTGGTCTTTGCCCTGATTCATTGAGCAAGGCAGCTGCTCGACAAGGATCTGGAAAAGTGCAAGGATTTGGTGAGCTCAAGCGTCGCGCCATCAAGCCACCCGACCCGTCAACTTCGAGGTGCGGTTCGTATAGGATGACTGCAGTGTTGCATGCCCTGTCTTAGGTTATACATCTTTATGTAGTGTGGGACAATATCACTGTCTATTTTTGGAAATCTGGGTTGCTGGTATGCTACTTGCTTGACAGCGAATCCAAACGATAAGTTGAACCGTGTTGACCTCGGTCTCGTATCGGAATAATTGAATCAGCTGTCGCAGCGTGTGTTGTGAGCATCTTGCAGCAGCCGACGATTGGTTGTCCTTCTTCGGACTGCGTAGTGATCCTTGCTTGGTGTACAGTGATCGATTTTATCACAAGTAGATCATTTTTCCAAAGCGAACACACTCAGCTGATTAGCTGGTCAAAGTGATTGTACAATCTCAGATTTATGTACTGCCTTGAATACCAAGAAGAACGAATAGAAGAAGAAAGAGTAGACCAAATGCGACTCCCAAATCATAGGCAGTTGAGATAGATCATTCATTTGTCTGCTAATTCAAGATGACCTACTGTCAACAAGCTGATGAGGCTGTTGTGTGACAACTAAAGCTTCCAAGTAGGAAGAACCATACGTCCAGTCCATTCGGTCACGCTGGTGTCCCAAGCTTCAATCTCCCTGTCGAAGCCCACCTGTCGAAGACTCTCAGTGACGATGGTGCGGCCCTTAGCACTGATATTGTTGAGTTGATCGCGAATACCAACGAGAGGCTTCTTCAATCCTCCGATGACAATCAGTCCTTCATTGATAGCAGTGAGTGCATCACCGAAGCGACCTTGTTCGATCAGATTTCCTGAGACCTGCTCTTGAGTACGAGCAGACTCCATAGCAGACTCGACAACATCAGTGCATTTGCGAATTGCTCTCTTGATAGGATCAACGGTAGTGGCTATGGGACCGCTGGTGTTGATGTTGTGGATCTCGGTGTTGAGTTGCTTGAGAGCAGTTTCGATGGCTGCTGTCATCTCGCGTGTCTTCACAAGGTTGATGTGGAAGCTTTCAAGATCTTCAGTAGTGAGGTACCTGGGCTTATTAGTGTCTTGTTAGGATCGACAGCCGGACGCCAGAATACTTGTAAATCGGGCCTGGAGGGTCATCATCCTTGGCCACCATGTCGATGTTTGTTTGTGCTTCAGCTGAGAAGCATCCGAGACTGGCTGGAATGAGTGCTTCGAGGTGTCTGGCCTAAAGTACGTGAGCCACAAACATCAGCAGATCAAGTGGAATCATCGACACCTACTTGAATCAAGACCGACTGCGTGACAACACTACGAGGTTTGGACCGACAGAGATGTCAAGATGATGTGTTGAGGAAGTGCAATTAGGATGAGAGAGAGAAACCCTATTCAAGACCATCGCTTGTGATAGTGAAGGAGACAGTTGTCGAGTGTGAAGGTGAAGTGATCAGATTGTAGAGAGTCGACAATAGTGAACAAGCAACTCACAGTCATTTCACTCGTCTTCCGGACCATTCTATTCACAGAAATTTTTGCAGTTTGCAAGTGATGAAGGTAGAACCTGTGATTATGTGAACAAGTACTTTATGGTAGAATGATTAATTACATTAGCTTGGGAGGCGGCAAGCTATATTGTGCCTCTTTAAGATCAGTAGCGCCTTGGTTGGGAGCAGAACAAAAGACCAGATGATGCATGTCAGTGAATGGCATCGACTCAAATCTTGTTCAAAGTACCCTTCCATGGTTCGCCGTAGCCTAGTGACTTTTTCAACTCTGCCAGTCTCTCACCTTTTGCCACCCATCTCTCTTCGAGCCACTGCGCAATCTCACTATCCGTTGTGGGCAGAGAAGTCAACTCAAAGCGTCGAACGTGAGCATACATCCGATAGTTCTGTGCCAGATTGGGCTGGAAGACAGTTTTGAAGAAGGATGGTGGGGACATGAACTTGTCATGTTCAGCATAGGCGATTGTGACATCGTATACAGCCTTCACATGAGGCGTCTTGCGCAATTGCTGAACAGTAGCGACAAAGCCTTTTGTGCGAGGATGCAGAGTGTGCTGAGGTGTTGGCTTTCCATTGGATTCACACCACCGGGTTGCTTCTGCATGCTTCTTCGGCCTGTATCGTGTCCCTTCACTGAAAGACACAAGCCCTGTGGGAAGTCAGTCATGTCAATGCGGTCATTTCAATATTGCGAGAATAACACATACAGATAGGCCAGCGTCCTTTTTGAATGCCCCCGAACAGCCGCTTCATCTCTTCTTTGTCCTCAGCCCACTTGCGACTGACTAGTGGCATTCCCATGACCAGCAGACCCCAACCTAGTACAGGGACCCATTTGAGTGCGTCTTTTGCAAACCATCGACAGCGACCCAACATGCCGGCGCGAATAGCCAAGGCTTGAATAAGATAGAAATCGGACCATTCTATGTGGTTTGCGACGACGATTGCACTTTCACCAGCAGGCAAGTCATCGCCGGCTAAAATGATGTCGGCTCCATTCGAGTCCTCGCAGATGCGCTGCACTCCACGCCATACCGATTCTGCAATATTAGAGGCCAAATGGTAGGTATAGGTGGGAAAGATAAAGGCGAATGGGAGGAGGCAGGACAGCAGAAGGTCGGCGATCACGACATGTGCTAACCAGGGTCCAAAGGTCAAAAAAACAAAGCGCAGAAGCAAGAACAAGCAAGCAACGATTTGCCTGTTCAGGGAGGCCATCTTGCCAAGGGCTTCGGCGCCTTGAAACACAAGTGCTGGCTGGCTGCGTCCGCGGTACAGCAGAAGTGGTTACGTTGTTGGAGCGTCACCGCTGGAGCTCGGTCAAGATGTGAAGAGGAGAATAGAGAGATCCGGCGGGACGGCTCGCATAGGCGGCGCGCGCGCGACATGGAGGCATGAAAAAGGGCAAACACTAGATTGTTTTTGGCTTGGGCGATCGCTGGTCGCCGACCTCGACTCCACTCTGGCGCAACATGGCCATCCTCTCATCTCTCGCTTCTGCCATGACAAACTGCTTTTTCCTCTTCTATCACTTCTCTTGAGAGCAAGCCCATCAAGACTTTAGATATACAGCCCAACGTACGGACGTGTGGGTTGAGCAGCAGCAGCAGCAGCAGCCCTACAGCAACCACAACGTCTGAGGCGTCCTGTCGTCCTGAGACTTGTCTTGTCTCTCCCTGCGCCGGACGAAACGGTTGTCCTCTTCCGTTGTCCCATTTGTCCCAATCACCTGCCCTGGTACGGTTCCGGCCGAGTTGAGATTTGGTGTCATCACGTTCGCGTCGCGCAAGAAGAGGAGTTTGCACTTATACCCTTCTCAATCCCCAACAGCACTTTTTCCATATCATTTTGACCAAATGTTCTAAAGTTGCTGTAAGTTGCACTGTCGTCCATCCCAGTCGCACCTGCCACGCTTGATACGTTGTCTGGCGTCCATGGAAAAGCTTCCTCGCTCGCATGACAAATGCTGTCGATGTGCCTTGCGGATCTCTCCGTAGATCGTCATTGTCCTGCTCATAACGACTGACTTGTCCCCCAGCGTTCCAGACCGTCGCGATTCGCCAGCGCCTCTTCGATAGTCAAATCTTCTGTACCGACAGTCTTGCGCTAACCTAGACATGTCGGCACCTAACGTTGGTCCCCAGGCACCGAGTAGCGCTCATGATCTGGGTACGTTTGCACGTTTTATGTATATCATAGAGCCTCCCCTCCCACCGACCCCAGTTTTATTTCCTTCCTGCCCCTGCTAGCCTTTTGTCACAAACCACTTTTCGTGCATCATGGCTCAGGTCTCGATGCAATCCGTGTCGCCAGACGAGCCACTCCCCGACAACAATCCAGCGCTGATGTATACGTCTCCAGAGAGCCAGCACTCTTCTGAGAGAAGTCCGCTGTCGAACTTTGGTTTCTTGAAAAACCTCGGTCTCGACAAGAAGCAAACAAAAGGTAGGCGACGCTTGACAAATTTTGCAGCAAACGTTTCGTCTCTTACGCAGGTGCAGATGGAGCAGCCCCCAAACGACGTGGGCCCAAGCCCGACAGCAAACCTGCTTTGACCCGCAGACAGGAATTGAACAGACAAGCTCAGAGGTATGCGGGTTGATGATGCTGTCAGTCCGAACATTTCCGCCTAACCATTTTCAGAACACATCGAGAACGCAAGGAGATGTACATCAAGGCTCTCGAACACGAAGTACTTCGCCTCAAGGAACTCTATGGATCGAGCGTCTCCGATCGTGACGCCGTTGTCAATGAGAACAAGCGTCTCAAGGAACTTCTCTTGGCCCATGGCATCCCACTTGACAGTCTGCAATCGCTCCCAGCGATGCGCGGCATGCCTGCCTCTTACAACGGCAGCTCCAGCGGCAGCATCTCCGGTAGCTACCGTCAAGACTCGAGTACTGCTGGCTTCAGTCCTCCTCCTCTTCGCTCCCACGATTCTCAGCCAATGGCTAGCGCAAGTCAATTGCCCGCCCAACATCTGGATTACGACCAGATCGGTATTGACTTTGTTTTGACGTACGACTCCCAAGGACAGCCCTATCATAGGGCAGCCTATCCCTCACCCCCGCCGAACCAATAGTTCACATCGTTACCTCCACTGCCGCTATTGTATCGTCTCGCGATTGGGCTGACGTCGTCCTTTGCGTAGGCTCGAACGGCCCTGTATGGATCACATGCAATACCTTGTAGTCCGCTCACACAACCCTGAGGGACAGCCAATTCACCATCCTATGGAGAGGCCTGACGACGCAGAGTACGAGCACATGTGCGGCCACGCATTGATGGCGACGTGTCCTCCGGCGTCACACATCATGAACAAGCCCGGAGACCCATACGGTCACAGAATGCCTGATCTCAAGGCTCCAGACCTCATGAAGCTGTTGGACCTCAGCGCTCAGCTGCCCCTCGAGGGTGAACTCACGCCCGTCATGGCGTGGATGCTGCTTCTGCAGGACAGCAGAGTTCCGCAGATGACGGCTCAGGACTTTGAGCTTGTCAAGGCTGACCTCGCTGGAAAGGTTAGATGCTACGGGTAAGTGATGATAGATGGTGAAACCATGGAATGTCTTAGTAACAGTGTTGCAGCTTTGGAGCCGTGTTGGAAGAGTTCGAGGTGCGTGATGCGCTCAGCAATCTCTTCATCGCAAAGGAGAACGTGTCTGTTGCCCAGGTTCCCATGCCTCAACAGATCGAGGTGTATTGATCAGTGATGGGAAAGGCGTTGGGGTTCGGCAACAAAGCAAGGGAGGGATTGGCAAATCATGATGATGCATATTTTTACAGAGAATAGCTATTTTGGAATAATTGGCAATCACAAAGGCAGCAAGGATAATCAAAAGTCGATGCTAAAAATACGCGTGCTCGCTGATGCAGCTGAAACAAGATACCCCACAAAAGGCTGCGCGTAACCACGTCAGAGGGAGGAGAGGACCCCTAGAAGTAAACACTTGCATCGATTCCCAAGCTCTCGACAGAACCTCAAACTACAAACAGGAACATATCAAGATGGCTTCAGCACACGATCTAAGTGCCTGGGACAAGGATGGCAGAGTCTTTCTCTTTACATCGCTGACGGCCGGATCCTCGCACATCATCACGGCAACCTCACGCATCGAGACAATTCTCAATGCCAACAGAATCCCCTTCATGGCCATTGACACGGCGACAAATGAACTAGCCAAGAAGCTTTGGGGTCGTCGTTCTCGAGGCAAAAAACTTCCTGCCCTGGTCAAGGAAGGCTTTGTGATAGCTGTACGTAGGCTGACTGTCTTGCGAGCTACAACCTACTAAAGCTTGGTGACACAGGACCTCGAAGAAGTCGAAGAATGGAACGAGTTTGGCGAGATCAAAGAGAACATAGGCGATATCCCACCTGCCAGCTCTGCCCCTGCGCCCGGCGGTGAAGGAGTAACCACTCGAGCAACCATGCACCCCACCACCCAACCTCCTGCCCAACTCCCTATTAAGCCTACCGCTACCGCCGCAACCACCGCAACAAAACCAGTCGACGAGAAGCATGAGTCTCTGCAATCACCCATGGCAACACTGTCCATGAAAGAAGCTGCTACCGAGGCCGCGAGCATAGGCGCAGCACGCAAGGGTCCTGAACCAGGCATCAACGATACCAAAGTCGCTCCACTCAAGTCGAGTCTGGCCGAAGCAGATGCTGCTACCAAGCCTGAGACCATGAACACATCGTCCGACTCCAAAGCTGAGAGCATCCGTACTGCGGAAGACACTGCCGCCCAGACCTCCAGCACGCCGGCACCTTTGGACCCAGAAGAATCATCCAAGGCAACATCATCTGCACCTTTGACAGCCGTCGATTCAAGTGATGCTTCCGTCGCAGCCACTCCTGCAGGTACTATCCAGCAGAAACACAGAGGAAGTAGTGTTAGCACTGCAGATCCAGAGGAAATCAAAGAGTTGGAAAATTCTATTGCTATTCCTGAAGCAGACGAGGAGGATGAAGAAAAACCAAAGACACAAGATCAGGAAGCCGCTGTTGCGGAACAGGCGTCGGTTAGTGTTCAAGATTGAAACCTTTGATTTATGGTATTGAGTCACGTCTTCCAGGCAGCATGTTGCATAGCGTCTTGATTTGTTGTAATGCAAAGAATATGAGATGAATATGTACATAACATCGAGTGTACAAGAAGAATTTCTTTCCTCCTTGAGCAGAGGCTAAGCACTCTTCTCTCCAGTGTATCGACTTCTCAGCCTTCCCTCTTCTGAAGCCAGCTCGGGAGCAGGTATGATGCCCATGTAGGACATCTCAGACGACTTGTCAGAGTCGATGGGTGGATTGGCATGCTTCCACCATTGCGTATGCTCGTTCCTTCCATCTCTGATTGCGTAACCTGACCTTCTTCCACGACTCGAGCAGGTGAAGCGAAACAAGATCCATAGAGCTATTGCGAGAGCGACCAAGCTGACTACGCTGAATGTGATGATGACGGCCAAAGCGACCCCGGAAACATGAATTGGCTCTGAAGATGTTCCGAGATCGAATGTTGGTGTGGCCATGACTGTTGACTTGAGTGATGGTTGTATGTACAGATCAGAGTCCCTTATGTTGTGGATAAATGATGAATTAAAGATTGAAGAAATTGGTAAGTCCTGGCATGGTAAGTAATTCTTCGAAAAGGGGACAGCGCATTGAAGCAGAGTCTGCGAACTGGCAGGCTGTTCATACAAAGAGGACAAAGAAACGTGATATAAACCTCGAGGCACATGTTCCAGGCGTATTCAAGACATGATCTATCCTTGATGACCTTGTCACCGTCGATCAAGATTCATGAGTGAGACAGCAAATTATGAGTAGATTGGTCACAAAACCTTTGCGGATACTGCGAAAGAGCAGATGGTGTAGTCTCCATCGCAAGGTGCAGGAAATTCGAACAAAGAACTTACATATCTCCTGAGAAAGCAGCGACAACCGGAAACGGAAGTGCATTTCGAAGATTATATCTATTGTAGCCTTACAACTCAACAATATTGGCAATATCCACAATAAGCAGAACAACAATGTGTTATCACAAACTGTACATCTTCACGACATGTGGACATTCGTGTATGAGCAAGCAGCCATTGATCATGTGCAGACATGCATCAATCTCGCCAGTTTCGACGTATTCAACAGGATGCGAGCTAAAAACACACCCGTATCAATGCAACAAGATCGAAAGCCTGTGCTGGACATGCCAGCGTCGACGAAGCGAGCTTCTGGGGCAGCTGGATCAACAGCAAGTGGTGCGATACAACGAATGGCAGTGGAAAGTCAGTTATAGTGCACCGCAAGCAATGCTGGCCGAAAAGGATGCGATTGATAGAAAAGTCGAAAAGCATGCGGAAAAGATGGCTCTGAAAAAGGAAAAGAGCAAGTCGGGAAGGATGTCTTGGAGGAAGAGTAATAAGAAGTGAGGCGGCTGTGATTGGTCAGATTCTGGGCTGTACCGCTTTCCCGGACTTCGCGCGCATCGCTTGGTGCAGCAGTGACGGCCATCGAGACGACGACGACGACGACGAAGAAGAAAAGACGACGAGCAATCGTATACCAATTCTATCCACACTCACATACACATTCGCCCAAGATGCCGACACCCGAGTCAATTCAGTTCCGCATGCAAAAGCCCAAGGTGCCGCCAACATTCGAGGGCGTCGACTACGACAACAACTTGCAGCTCAAGGCAGCCCAGGATGCCGTCCTGCGCGAGCAATGGGTTCAGAGCATGATGGCCCGCCTACTCAGAGAGGAGATGGGCAAGTGCTACTACCGTGAGGGCGTCAACCACCTCGAGAAGTGCGGCCACCTCAGAGGTCAGTACAAGACCCGACATCCGCCCATCCTACCATCAATTCGTGCGCTGACACCTTGACAGAGCGCTACCTCGAGCAATTGAAGCACGCCAAGGTCAAGGGTTACCTCTTCGAGCAACAGAACACTACCCCCACCAGCTCATAAACCCCATACTACTCATCGAGCCCCATCCAACACTCCTCATCTCTCGCGAACCTTCTAGCCGACCACCTTCTTCCTCTTACTTCTCGGAAAACATCTCCTTTTCTCCTTTTGCGCACACAACATACCGTCACTTTCTGTCGCCGACTAGCCACTTACTCGCTCGCACTTGTACACTCGATACTTACATCCGGGGAGATGCACACTTCCAAGGGAACAGGGCAAAGGCAGGCACAAGAAATCAACATGGATCGTTTGCAAATGTATACATGACTCCGAAATTTCCCCCTTGTATCCCAATCGTCCACTTTCAATATCATGACTCCTTCTTCTCCTCATTGTCCTTTTCTGTCCCTGTGATTTCCTTCTTTTTGGACTTGAGGAAGGAAAAGGCTCCGGACACGCCATCCTTGAACTTCTCCCAGTTGTTGCGGTTGAGCCTGTTGCTCAGTTGGCGATAGTTGTACATCTCACCCCAGCAGTCTCTTCCCCATTCACAACCTGCCATGTTGACGACAAAGTCACGGTCGTGCTCGTGATAGTGAATGTTCATGTCCTCGCCGTTGTCGCCGCACGCGCCTGGAGGGAAACTGTTGACCTTGCGCTGAGGAATGAAGGCGAGGTGAGGCCGCACCCACGGCTGGTTGGTGTACATGTACTCCAATGCATCTTGCTCTTTGTGTTCCCATTCCATGTGCTTCTGTTCGTAACCCACAGGATCCCACCAGATGTCGAGCAGGCGATCTGTCCAGGCCGAACGCTTGACAAAGAAGGATCCCAGGTTGAAGCCGCCGCAGTCCTGGGGAATAATAAGGTTGATTGAATCGGGCTTGCCGTCTCCAATGGGTGACAAACTTTCGGGATCCAGGTAGGATGCAGTAGGAGGGTGAGAGATGTTGAGGGGGTTGTAGAAATTGATGTCGCGATAGACATTGTCGTTCAGGTTGTTGAAGATGTGCTGTTGAAGCGAGTATGAGGGTTCCATGATGAACGTGTTGAGATCCAACCACCAGAACCTGCACAAATCAGTAAGCGTGTCCTCTTTTTTTTGTCAATCATAGCAGTAAGAACTCACCACTCGGCCTGGGGGTATTTGCGCATGGCGTTGCGAATTGTGTCGACCTTCTCCCAGCTCTCTCTCCACTCGTGCGCATAGCGTTTCTTTGTGCTCATATCAACAATTTCCAACTCATAACCCCAACGACGCACGTAATTTTTCTTGTTGCGCACACTGTCGCGCTCAATTGCCCATTCGCGAGGCCCCTTCCACTCCATGACTCCTCCTCCCATATTGGCTGCCAGAATGACGACGAACTTGCTGCCGCCGCCCAGCCATGAGCTTCTTCGGTACCAATAATGCAATGCTGTTTGATCGTGTCAGTGAGCTGAGACTTGGTCCTCTTCTGCTGGGTGACATACGTGTGGTATAGAAACAGATTATAAGCAACAAAAGGACCAGAACCAAGACAAATCGAGGCTTTGATCTTAGCATATGGCGACCAAGCATGGATTTCATGTTGGCAAGGTAGCCTCCTCTTGCGGGAACCCATCTGCCTCTGCCCGCCTTCTCCTTTTCGGCCTCACGCTCGTCCCTAGGGCCGTTGTTGAAGAAGGGCAGACTCGCCGAGATGTTGCGCATGTGCTTGCCAAAGAAGCCCGAGCCGTGCTCTTGATATGCTGGGTATCCATTGACTTGATTGCTTCTTGCTTGGGCGGAAGCCCATGTGACTGAGTGGTTCTGACTGTACGAGGTCACGGGGGTGGAGCTTCTGCTCTGCGCAAAATTGGCATTGAGTCCAGGACTTGCCCAACCGCCGCCCCGTTTGGGTGAAGGAGAGCGAGAAAGCGACATGGTGGGGCGTCTAGTGATGTGTGGACAAGCTGTGTGTGATCAGGTTCAGGGCTAGCGCATGGCGGACGAAGGCCAGAAAGAAAGAAGCCAGCCGACTGAGGATCCTGGGATGGGGTGTCGCAGGAGGATGGTCGAGTCGAGTAGATGTTGCAGCGGATGGGAGAGAAAAGCAGTCTCAACGGCCAAACAAAGAGAGTGCCAGGGGTTGCCTGTTCTCGCTGCAGCTACGTTTAGCTTTTGGGTCGGTACTTTGGGGGCTTCCTGCCAGATTGAGCGCCTTGGCGGAGCCTGTGCGACGAACCACCTTGGAGTCTCATCGCTCCTTCCCTGCACCCTGTCTACTCGAGTCCTTTCCGAGTCAGCATCCTAGTCAATTTTTAGCATCCGTGTTTCTTTGTCATCTGCACGCAGTGAATCCTCTGAACAAGTGCTATACGGACTACGAGATTTCATGCTTTTGGTCGGACCCTGAACTATATCTATATATAAGCCCCTTTACTTGCTATCATCAATCATGTGAAGTACCGTATTGTAGCACTTGATCCAGCTGATTCTTTGGTGACTTTGACTCAAAACTACCTGCCCGGTGGAGTTCCATGTTGCGTTTGTCTCAATGATTTACTCGAGCGAGCAAGACTATGGGCAGGGGCGACCAACGCTATTTCCATTCACATAAAGTGACTTTGCGAATTTGACGACAACAAACAAGCGAGCACCCATTTCAACAATCAAAGCAAAACCTCGCCCTACTCAAACACTTTCAGTATAACCACAAGACATGCCTCCTCGCACTCATGATCCCTTCAACGATGCACCACGGCGTCCCACATCGCGCGCAACAAGCCACTTGCACGACACATACAGCTCCGGCGGCCATGCCTTGCGGGCTAACCCGGCCGCGCGCAGCCTCTTTGCCCCAGCATTATCAAGACGTCCTACCACGACCGGCACCTCCTCGACACATCTTAATGAATTGGTTCTCGAGGACTCAGATGATGCGGGAGACAGGATGAGTAGGCGTACTGCTGCTGCTGGAAGGGCAACCCGAACCAGACGAGCCAGAGCAGCTACTGAAACGACCATCGAACCTGACGAAGAGAATCAACCTGAACCTCTTCGAGATATGGTGGTGAGAGATGAAAGGGGTAATTATTTGCACGAAGTTCCTGCTTTGGGAGAGATTACGACTGGCGCTGAAGATGAAGGTATGATATCCAGTAATATATTCGACTTGACTTGCACTAACGCCCACGAGATGTTGAAGAAGAACGACGTCTGACAGCTCTCGTGCAAGAGTACTGGGCATCAGGAGCTGCCGCTGGTGGTGGCAGAAATAGCAAGAGGTGGGATGAGCATGGTTTGTCCTCTTCTTCCACCTTGTTTTCACTAGCTGACGAATGATTGCAGAACTTGAAAGACCCAAAGCAGAAGTCATGGCTCGACTACGGGACTCTGTGGGCAAGGCACTCATCAACGAGCAATGGAGATATGAGCCAAGTGACTACATGAAGGCGTTATTGGTCGAAAACCATGGACGCGTTTGATGATTATGTCCCTTCTTTTTTTTCATTCATACGCGACCTCGATACCCCTAGATTATTCACATCAAAGTAGTGTTCAAAACATGAAAAGACTCAAGCTGATACTTGGAAAATATTTAATTGTTTTTTGGCCGATTGGCTACATTTCTCCAGACTAATACATCAAGTTCCAACTATTAATCGCTGAGTTCAAATGCATCATCGGCTGTGCCAGTTCCTGCTTTGATGTTGTTGCTAACATTGGTGGCGGACATATCCGACACCTCATCATCATCTTCTTCTTCCTCATCGAAGTCTTCAAGTCCCTCATCTTCATCTTCTTCCTCTTCTTCTTCTTCTTCTTCGGGATCGTCTTCGTCATAGACCTCTTCGTCTTCGAAATCTTCAGGATTTTGAGCATAACCCCCTACAAATTCTTCACCTTCGTCGTCAGCATCCTCGCTGTCCGCCTCATCGTCATCATCATCGGCAAACGCTTCTGTGTCGACCATGTCATTGACATTGAATGTGCCATGATCCGAATGATCGACCTGTTGCAGGTCTTCAGGTTCATCGTCTGATCCCAGATCAACATACTCGTTCATCGCGTTCTGAGCCAGGTTTTCAAGATTGTTTCCGTGCTCTCTAATGTCTGATGCAGAAAGCGCTGGGTCCACTGATTCGGCAAAGAAAGTCGGCTCGTACTGCCATGCAGAAGGTTCAGGGGCTTTGTGCAAAGCAGCGAATTGGGCCATGCTGTTAGTCGCTTGGATGTTCCCCTGTCCTTCTGAAGGAACAGGAAGAGGAGACGACGGAGCTTTCGCTGTGGACAAGGCCACAAAGCCCTTTCCGGCTGAACGACTGGGTGATTGAGAAGCTCCAGGCGTCGACAGTCGAGATGGACTTCTTGACCTGGATTCAATCTTCTGCCTCGCCTTCTCAATGGCCAGATTGTACTGTGCTCGAGGCACGAAACGACTCTCTCTCAAGCGATAAGCAGGGACGTCCGGAGATGCTGCACCAGGTCTTGCGGAGCGCAATCGAGCGAGTTCGCGGGCACGCTCCATTGATGGCGATGTCAGGGAAAGGCCTGCTTCTTCCTTTCGCCTGATATCATCTTTTCGCATTTCTGACCTATACCATGCACTTGAGTCTGCCATGGCTTGTCTAGCGGCTCGCGCCCGAGCAAAGAGCTCTTCGTCTTCTTGCCGCGCTTTGGACAATGATGTAGTAGCTGTCGGACCACTGCTAACAGGCTTGATAACAGCACTTCCAGAGGCGTGTGGGCGTGCAGATTCTGACGGACGAGCTGCTACAGCTAATGGTGGCGTCTGAGATTTTTTGTTAGGAGGCTGTGCTTGTACTTGGGCTTCTTCGCTGTCCTCTCTCAAGCGTTTTTTGGCCTGCGGTGTTGGATTCGTCTCTCCCACAGGATTGATTCCCAAGGCCTTCAAGCGGAAATAGTTCGATCGGGAAGGCGTACTGGATATAGCAGGACGGTTTTGTGATCCAAGCATGCTGAAACTGAGAAAATTGGATCGTGGAGTTGCAGCTGGCTGCTTTCGTTTTGGCGTCTCGAGGTCAATGTTATCCAGACTCTTCAATCTCTTGTTTCCATGTGAGTCCCTCATTATAGACTGATCTCTTTCGTCTTCCAAAGGTGTCTGACCGTCGGTTTGAGAATCCAGACTGAGTCGAGAATCTCGAAGGCTCGCTCCGAGATTCACAGTTGACCTTGTAGACTTCAAGAAATCATCAACAGCATCTTTTTCAGCAGCTAGCTTCCTTTTAAGCTCGCGCGCACTTTGATCCTTCTTGGCGCGCTTGCGACGTTCTCGGCCCTGTCGTGCCAATCTCCTTCGCCAACAGATCTCACGCCACCTCTTGCCGTATCTATAAGATAGAGTCTCTCTCCTGAAAGTATCTGCAAGGTCCCGGATGCTTTCCATATATAGCTCATCGTAAACTCCCATCACAGTTTGTCGAGCATGATATTCGACAAACTGTCTGATCAATCCTCTGTCAGCATCTAAGACGACCTCTCGAGCGAGCTGTTCAAGTATATCATCTTTTGATTTCACGGGCTTGGGTGGCGGAGCGACAGGAGTCTGCGACACTGGTTCAGCAGGAGACTGAAATAGCGATGCAGTCGAGTTCTTCGTTGTCGTGCTTTCAGTTTTGTCATTCAGTGAGAATGACTGTGAAAGAGGGCTCGGCTTTTTGGGTTGAGAAGGCTGGCTGAAGTTGAACTGTGGAAGCTTCGGTGAAGGAGATGCGCTCACTGATATTTCAGGTGTCCCGTTGACCGTAGGTGGAGGCGATGGAGCTTGCGATACGGCAGGCGGTTCACTGGGCAACGTTGTAGGTTTGCTGAACAGGGAAGCAGGTTTTTGTGTTAGTTCAATCGGTTGCTGTGTCGACTTTGATGAATCGCTGTCATTACTCGTCAACGAAGAAAAGCTGAAAGGGCTTTTTGAAGAGCTTGGTGGTGGCGGTTGAGCAGGTTGTGCAGTCGTTTGGGAGGTAGAAGAGAAGCTGAATGATGGTTTCGGTTGCGACTGGGTTTGAGGAGCTTCAAAAATGGATGACGATGGAGCGGGAGTAGATGTAGTTTGCTGAGTGGCAATTGGGGCAGCATTTCCCCATAATGATGGACCGTTTGCAAAGTTTGTAGGTCCAGCTGCATTACTTTGCGTGGGTAGAGGTTTCAGCGCAGCCTTGTCGTCGTTGGTAGCAGGCTTTGTGAAAGAGAACGGGCTGGCAGAGGGTTTGGATGGTTCGTCGGTGCTAGTGATGACTTCAGAGTTGACAACGGGATCCTTAGTTGCAAAGGAACTGAAATTTTCACTCTTGGGCTGCTGGCCAAAGACAGAGTTGAATGGAGATGCTGCAGCAGATGTCGGCGCCTCTGAAGGTGGATTGACTGAAGGTTTCCCGAAATTGAAGCCTGTGGATGCTGAAGGTTGACCGAAGCCAGAATTTGTTGGCTTTGATTGAGCGAAAAGTGATGGCGGCTGGACTTCTCCAGGTGGTTTGTTGAAAGCAAATGGACTTGCAAATGGAGATGACGTGGGTGCAGCAGCATTTCCGAAAGCTGGCTTAGACGGGCCTTCTGGGATGAAGAGAGAGTCAGGATCGTCTTCAGCTTGACTATCTTCCGCCTGGTCTTCCACATGATCTTCCATCTGACTGTCATAATTGACATCGATCAAGCCGGAGCTTTGCGCTTCTGCTATAGTATAACCACCTATCACAGCAGAGAAACTACGACCCATACGCTTTACCTCGACCAGATCCTCTGAGAATGTCTGATGCTCCAAGCCAGGAGTCTCTGTAGGGAAGGTCTTGCCCTTTACCGAGTCCAGATCCAAGAAATCCTCTCCGCCAGAACTGGATGCCTTAAAGACAAAGCCGAAATGCTGACAGAAAGTCTCGGTCTGTTCGGGATCATCGAAACCAAGTATGCGGGTCATCAAGGATAGGGTGAACTCAACGACCTGACCCTTGAAGCCACGCCAAATAGCGTTTAAAGCAGTTCTTCGGACAAGTTTGAAATAAATCTCCGATACACAAGCCATGAGGTACGAGACTTTGTTGGAGCGGACGAGGTCGAAGAACTGAGCCCAGTCTTCGCGAGCGACTGGGTAAACAGCTCGAGGTTTTAGAGGACCTTGAGGATCCACAATATTTGAAGCGGCGGAGTTGAGATCGAGGGCAATTCTCACGCGTCTATCAGATCTGACAGACACCGGCCAAGTATTAACTCTTTCATCAAGATCGGGTGTTGGGTCCTGAGCTTGAAAAATGATGAGATATGCGCGAAACTCGGCCTCGTTCTTGCATTCTACACGGCCGCGTGAGTCGTCATAGTATTGCATCAGCGACAGGAGGGTACGGTCTAGCTGTTCTCGCTCTTGATACCAGTCGTACTTGTCATATGGCTTGTCGGGTACGGCGAGCTGATGTAGCGACAAGATGTGGAAGCGGGCAATACGTTCGTAGCATTCAATGGCGATCTCGACGTCGGCGGGTTTGGTGATTTGCTGAATGGAAAAGTCGTTGCGGATGGCGCGAGTTCGGTCCCAGACAAAGTGATGTACGCTACCCAGTGATTCGGCATTGGCGACCATTTCGTTAAACAGGTAGTCGACAGTCTCTTTTAGAGTACTTGGAGGGCGCAAGTCTGAAGGCAGTTGCTCGTCGATACCAGCTGCGGCGCGTCTGAACTTCTTTACCATGCGATGCTCGGCGGGAGCACCTTGGTCGTCGAGCTCAGGACCCCAAACATCCTTCTGCACAACACGCTCGAGACGTTCAAACTCTGGGCACATGTCCGGACAGGTTCCTACGGGAGTGATGGCCTCGGCCAGTGTACGCGGCTTGTCGGGGTCGGCTAGGAAGCCCTGGGCAATGGCGTGGATGCGTTCTTGTTCGCGCCGCTTCTTGAGCTGTACCGTGCGTCAGAGAATATCAACCATGGAATGTTGGGAGGGATCGTACAGCCTGGAAGCGGTCGGCGAAGGAGGATGAAGACGAGGCATGACTCGATTGTGCTGGCGTTTGTGTTTGGGCTGGTGCGGCAAAGGGTGAAGGTGTTGGCGCAGGTGTTGTCTTTCCACGTCCTCGGCCTCCTCCTCGCGAAGCATTGTTACCACGGAATGAACCTCTGCCTCCTCTTTCACTCGCGCCTCTCGTCTGAGCATTGAAGCGGACTTGGTTGTTTCCTCGGGCGCGTGGAGCGAAAGATGGACGCGTTGTCTTTGGACCAGCAGGAGCTCCGAATGGTGACGAGCCGCGACCGCGACTGCCACCTCCTCTGCCTCCACTGACAAACGACATGACTGTCGCTGGATCGCTATGTTTGGTAGAGCATGGAGCTTCGTCGACTGCCGCCTCACTTTGAAGTTGGTAGCGCTACAACTTTAGAGGCCGCTTTCAGATGTTGCTGATCCAGAATCCACAGAGACCGCATCCGTCCTAGTATGTCATTTTGCCAAGCCTTTTTGCATGTGCTTCCAGGTTCCATCTTCGCGACTTCCTCATACGCATCAAGTCAGCTTTCGTCAATGATGCACTTTGTCCCATTATACGGTCCACATCTCGGTGATCAGTTGTTGACCCTGGATTATTGCACGAGTGCAAGTTGGTATTCATAGTATGGGTTGGTTTTGATCAGCCGATCTGCTTGTGAGCTATAGTTTGGTATTTGATCTTGTATTTTGCAGCTTGGGGTTTGATTTCTTCTGCACCTCTAGGCTATGTCCGAACCCCAACCCTAAGCCGCGAGCGAGCGGCGAGGGTGAGGCGAAGCCGGAAACTCGTCGTGAGCGAGCACACACGGGAGAGAGTGGATATAGCTTGAGTGATCTAGCTTGATCTCGAGCAAGGGCATATGGCTCAATTGGAGAAGGGGGATATGACTTTGCTTCAAGAGGGGGCAGTATGATTTGAGTCCGGGTCACTTGGATCAATCAACAACAGGAGAAGACTAGATTTGACTTCAGGTCGGTATCGACATCAATAAGATACTTTCTTACATGTTAGTACGCTTTCGCGTATCGGATGCCGGGTTCTATTCAAGAATGCGTATCTGATACGCTAACAAGAGACTTCAACTCCTGGTTGCATCCTCATCTCATGGGCTCCGATCATCGCTCAATCCTCCCAGCCGCGAGCGGCGCGGGCGAGCCTGTGCTTATCTCTGCGACTACTGCTTGAGTTACGGGTATACGAGTGCTCGAGTTGATGGGTTGATGGGGATCAAGTCATATTTCTGCTTTCTGGAGTGACGAATTGGTTGATGGTGGCGTGGCGAGACGATTAGGGTGGACAGTATGCAGCGTATTCTCATGGGTTTAAATATGTGCTCATAGACGTGAATACTACTTGGGTTGCGAGTATACGAGTGTTGGTTTGTGAACTGGGATGATGGGCTGTGTTCAGGGACGATGGGTTGACGAAGTGGATCATGGTCGTGAGAGGAGTAAGCTTTACAGTATGCAGCGTATGAAGTGGGTCGAGTATGCGCAGTTGTTGTTTTCTGCTCGAGTGGACGTTTTAGATGGGGTCTTGGTATCCGCAGCCAGAAAACAGAACGACTCCACGGCCAGTAGCGTAGGTCAGCTTTGAAAGTTGATCCGTCACGTCGATGCCTTTGTTTGTGTCGAGTTTGGTAGCATGGGACTATTCTCTGGTTCTTTGGGCGATGGGGATCTAACGCTCTTCTTATTCTGCTAGTTCATATATCATTGCATTAGCTCAAGTCTACGCACCCTAACCATCATCCAAGCGATACCAAACCCTAACCCTGACCTGAAGCGGCGCAACGAATCACAAGCAGCGCGAGCGGCGGCGAGAAGGGCGAAGCCCGAGTAGCCGTCGCGAGCGCGCAATCTTTCGTTGCGGATATAGCTTAAGTCATGGCCATAACATGATCTAGGGCTTGTTCCTCGGCGAGGCGATCTGGGATTGGTTTTAGAGGTGCTGTTACTACCGGTTATGGCGTTTGTGCTGCGGATTAATTGTCCCTAGGACTAGATTCTAGTGTTTTAAAGCCGGTAGTGGAGTTCCTAGTTTGGCGAGTTTCTTATGTAGACCTTTGTTGTTAAGGAGGGAGTGGTTTAATCCTAGAAGGCGGTCTAGGATTAGTTTCTAAGGTGCTAATAGTTATGGTGTTTATATTATAGAAGAATATAAGAATTCTTTTGTTTTTAAAAAGCCGAGTTGCAGGCTAAGGTTTTGATATAGTTAAAGATAACTTCTTTTTTTATTTATATTTAGTAGATTAGATATACTATTATCTAGTATAGGTTGTCTCTCTAGTTAAGTACTACTATTCTTAGTATACTTACTATTATCATTAGGTCTATTAAAGGCTATAGGTTTAATTTATTATGTTTTCTTACTCTAACTTTTTAAAGTATAGTTATTTACTTGTAATATAGTACACCTTTAAGTTTAGATAGTATACTAAGTTTAGCTATAACTTTAGTTTAATAAGGAGATTCTATAAGGTATATTCTATATAAGTAATATTAGCTATGCATAAGTAAATAATTATATATAAGTAAATAATATATTTATTATAAGGGTATATTTTTTAGTTAATCTTATTAATAATATAGAAAGAGATTCTACTCCTATATAAATCCTTATAGGTAAGAAAGTACTATACTTATAATATAGTATATCTTTATATTTAGATAGTATACTAGATTTAGTAGTATTAGCCATATATAAGTAAACTATATATAAGTAAATAATACTTTTATTATAAGGGTATATCTCTTAGTTAATCTTATTAATAATATATAAGGGAGTTATAGTTCTATAGTAATTTAGGTATAATAAGAAAGTATTATAAGGATATAAACTATAGGTTTATTATAAGGATCTATTCCTTAGTTAATATTATTAATAATATAGTAGGGACTCTATAACTTAGGTATTATAATAAAATACTATAAGGTATATTCTATATAAGCAATATTAACCATGCTTAAGTAAACTATATATTTAGTACAAGGGCCTATTTCTTAGTTAATCTTATTAATAATATAGGAGGGGAGCTCTAGTTTAGCAACAACCTAGATATAATAAGGAAATACTATAAGGTATATTCTATATAAGTAATGTTAACTATCTATAAGCGAATTAAGCATAAGTGAATAACTATGCATAAGTAAACTATATATTTGTTATAAGGATTTCCTTATAATAATATAGAAGGGCTTTATTTTGGCAGCAACTTTAGTGTAATGAGAAAATACTGCGAGGTATATTCTATATAAGCAATGTCGACCATATATAAGTTATAAGAATTCTTTATCCCTAGGTGCTATAGGTAGTAGCAAAGAGCTATGAAAATGCACAATACTTTTATAAAAGATCTTGTCTCAATAGAGAAAACACTATTAGAAACTATCTCTATAGTTAGACTCATATTCGGATTGCAACTGCGCATTTTAATAGCCCATAATAAGCTTTGTACGGTACTTAGTTGCAAGATTGTGACTGACTTTAGCACACAGGGATGATGCATTTGTTAGAAGAACACGGAGGTGGGCTTAGGCAGGGCTCTATAACCCTAACCATCACTAGAGCCAGAACCGTAAGCCGCGAGCAGCGCGGGCGTGTGCTTAGAAAGAGTGTGTAAGAGATGTATCGAGCATGTGCTTGGAGGGAGTGCATAAGAGACCTGTTTGCAAACTGAGCATCGTACATATACATGATTTGCTGCCGTTGTTCTTGCATCAGACAGGTGCTCTTCTGTCAACAAACTTTTCATATCTTGACTGTAATGTGGAGCTTAAAATGCAGATTGAATTTCTCCATCAGCAGTGACATCGAGGACACTGAATTTCCCTGCTTGGTGACTTCCTCTGCTGTAGATCACTTAGAACACATTTACCATCCCTGCTGCCTTTGGATTTTATTGTTATTGGAATGGCATCGATGAGGATTTGAACCAAGTATCCTAGCGACTTGCCTAGTCCCGGTCTGGCTTTGATGGCTTCGAAGATGGAGACACTCTAGCTTAACAGTATGACGCAGAAGTTGTGTGCTTGTGCCATGTTGCACAGTCTTCTGACCGGTGTCGCCAGTGTAGCTTGCTCTACAAGTGGTGTGAGTTGTCGTGTTGGAGGTATAGTTCAAGACACGACAGCGCATACCTTGAGCGTGATTTATTCTCGCAGCAGTTGGCTTCGCTCTGAATGGCTTTAATGGACGAGGTTCGGATGGATGCGGGCTTCGATTTGAACAAGTACGCGGTCTCTGCCAGCAGAGCCGGTGGTCGCGATGATTGTGATCAAGGAGGAGGCATTTTGTATTAGCTGCGATACGAGTTAGACGAGCGCTTGGACCGGAATCATATGGGGAATGATATACATACATTTGGCGATGGAATTGCGAAGCTTCAACTAAAGACATCGCCGAGTTGGCCAGGTTGGACTTTAACGTGACCAGTGCAGTTGATCCTGGCGAGGTTCTCGCTGACGGCATCGCTGATCTGACCGATGAGTTGATCAAACTGGGCTCTAGTGTGACTGGCGCACTTGACCTCAGCTGGGCGGTGCAGTTGATGTTGGCGAAGTCCTCATTGGAGGCATCGCTGATCTGACCAGTGCAGTTGATCTTGGCAAAGTTCTCACTAAAGGCATCGCTGATCTAGCCTTCACGCTTTGTCGTCTTCAGGCGGCGAAGAAGGACAGTGGAGGGCAGTGACGAGGCTGATCCCGAGCCTGCGCCAGCCCTCACGCTTGGTCGACTCTGAGTGGCGAAGAAGGAGTCGAGACGCTTCTAAGAAGGTGAAAGAAGGAGAGGCTTCTACGCCAGTCTTCACGCTTTGTTGTCTCTAGACGTTCAAGAAGGTGAGAGGGGAGGGCAGTAACGAGGTTGATACCGAGGCCGTCCTCGTTCCCACGTCTTTAGACATTCAAGAAGGTGAGAAGAGGTGGTTACGAGGTTGATGTCGAGGTTGCTCCACGTTCCGACGTCTTCAGGCGCTCAAGAAAGTGGAAGAAGGCGAGGCTTCTACGCCAATTTCCGTTGAAAACAAGAAGCGCATCATTCCTGATCAAGGCAGGACAGTGGGCGTAGGTGCGGCGATGAGGTGTTGGATCGACAGTGTCTTCGCTGGGAGAGCTAGAACTGGTAGAGTCCGTGTCGAAGGGACCTAAGAGATCAGAGTCTAAAGCTATGAGCTGCGCAGGGGTTGACTGAGAAGGGTCTGAACTGGCGGAACGAGGTGTGGAAGGGCCGATGTAGAGATGTGTTCTTGTTGTAAGTGCTGGAAGACATGATAGAGGCAGGGTTTGAATGATTTGGTTGATGCAGAGATTGGATGAGGTGAGATGGGTGTTTGAGAAGGACATAGAAAATCAGGAATGAAGCAAGATACTCTCCTCACCAATGTTTAATAGCGTTATCACCTTTCTGTTCCATCTGTGTGGTAGGGGATGTTTCTTAGCTGTCTAATCATGCAACCGGGTAGATCGATCGGTTGGAACAGACTCACAGGTTCAAGGAGCTTGATTTGTTCGATCATTTCTAGCCATGACTGTCCCGCTGCCAGTATGTTGATCCTGGCATGCTGCATGTTTTCATATGATCAGTCCTGTCGTAGATACAGAACCCGACCCGACAAAATGTGTATGTTTACAGGCGTCGCGGCTGGGTGTGAAGTCCAATTCGGACAACAACCAAATTTGATCAACAACAACCACGATATTTTTTATCAAACGTACCTGCAATCGATTATATCGACCACGGCGAAGATTTCTGTCTAATCCGAATTTTGATAATTGCATTTTGAAAATCTTCGCATTTTGGGTGGTTGGGTTGGTTGGGCTTCGGCTTCGCGAGGTCGTTTGAAGCTTTCCACGTTGCATCAAGAAGTTAGAAAATGATCAATCGACTTTAACACTTTACCACGACCATGATAAATCGTGACTGCGATAATTTAGATTGGGTAAATTTGGTACGCCGAGTCGTTTGGTCAATTCAAGTTTTGAATAAATTTGGTGCGTGACAACACACAAACTGCGCGACAATTTCGAGCTTGGAACGCCGATTTTGAGGCTTTCCGCGTCTAATGCCGTGATAGAAATTCGACATACCTCAACACCAGAATATTTTGGTCGAAATTGAACATCTCTTGTATGATCTGACCTATTTGGAGCATTTTGAAGCGGTCTGTCGAGTCGGATTTTGAGAATATGTAAGTTTGGCACATAAGTGTTTTGTATCAAAGATGTCAAGACGGCTTCTGGCGTTTTGAAGCTTTGCGAATCCAAATCCGAGCTCAAAAATTGGCAGACTCATGTGTGTCAAAACACCACTTTTTATTTTGCCTTTCTTGGTGGATATAGCATAATTCGAGCATTTTGAAACGATCTGTTGGATCAGATTTTGAATATATGTAGTGGTGGGCAAGTTCGATTTTTGGTAGGTTAATGTTCGAAGCCATGGAAGATGCGTTTTGAAGCTTTGCGCGTCAAAGCTTGGAGTCAGATTCTCGTGCACTAGATCGGAGAAAAAAAGTCACTTCAAACACAACTTTTTCATTGCGCCTAGACTAATTTGAGCATTTTGAAACGATCTGTCGAGTCAGATTTTGAATATCTGTTATGGCGGACAAGTATGGTCGGTGGTTGTTGTATCACCCTGGCTTTGTCGCGGCAAGGCACTTCAAAGCTTTGCGCGTCGAAGCCTGAAGTCGGTTTTTTGTATACCATGTCGGTGAAAAAACCCATCTTTGAACCTAACCAATTTGTTTTGCATATACTAAACTCAGTATTCTGAAGCGATTGGTTAAGTCAGGTTTTGAATATCTGCTGTCGTGAACAAGTACGGTGGGGGGCTGATTTATTGGCCTGGCTTTATTGCAGAACGACATTCCGAAGCTTTGCGCATTGGAACATGGGGTCAAAATTATGTCTACACTGCTGGGTGAAAAACCCACTTCAAAACACAACTATTTGTTCTGCATATACTAATTCGAGTATTCTGGAGCGATTGGTCGAATCAGAAATTTGATATCGACTGCGTGGGACAAGTATGGTGAGTGATTGATCTATCACCCTGGATTTATTGCAAATGAGATTTCGAAGCTTCGCGCGTCCAACGTCAAGTCTCGAATCACAGCATCATAACATTACCATCCGCACGAGTAACTTTGTAGTTGATGTGACAAAAAGACTCGAGATGACAAGGCGAATATTCCGGGCTACTTGGAAGCAATTTGATGGATCAAGTTGTCGACATATGTCTTGAAAAGCAAGTTTGAATTTCGGTTACTACTCAAAAGCCTCGCACCATTAAACGAAACTTGGTGAAGCAAGTTATAGACGGCTAGTTGTGACCGCCAACAGGCTGTAAAAGGTAAGCCATGTGCTCGCCGCTTGCTCATGAAACTTCCCATGAACTGACAATCATATGAAGGTCTTGCTTATTGAGGACGAGGTGCACAACCGAAACAAAACCATCACTCTGAGTATTGACCACTTCAGCAAGACTAATTAAGTGGTGACACCGAAAACTTGATCATTGTACATCCGGGCCACCTAATTACTGTTCTTTTCATACATAAAATAAGTATACAGTGTGTACTAGTAAGATCTGAACACTTTTTATCGATATTAGAGAGGCTACTCAACGAAACATGCCTTAGATCCAGCAAGAAGTGCTTTAACATAGCTATTTTGCTCATTGTTCTTCGTTATAGTCCAGCACTTGGACAAAAGCTGGCATCGAACTCCTGTCGGGTATTAGAGATTATGGAAAAAGAGATTTATAACGCGCCTTACGTAGATGGGAGTGCCGTGTCTGTTAATAATGAAGACAACGTCCGGAACAGTAACGGTCTTACGAGCAGTGCATTCCAGAATAGCACAAACATCCTGGAGAAGCTGTAGCTATTGTTAATGACTGATGGTGTGATTACAATCATAGCTGACACACCGTCTTCAATCTGTCCTTTAAGGCGTAGCGGACCTCATCGTAGATAGTGGCCGAGATACGTTTGACGCCGCCACAGTGTGCTAAGCGGCTACAGGGTTCAATAACAAGCTTCACAGTTTAGACGACGAGGTTGCTTACCAGGTGCTGCCCTTGGTAATACCTTTGTCGCGTACGAACCTTGCTGTGATGTGCATTAGTAGGACGACTTACATAAAAATGATCAAAACGTACCGCTGACACTTGGCAGTGTTCTTTCCAAGACAGTAGCAGTCTTACCCATGCCTGCTGAATGAGCAGTTCCGGACAGATAGGCCATGATAGAATGCGGCCGGTGGTGGGACTCGGTGGCTCCTTGAACACCTCATCCGGGAGGGCCGACGGTGGTGGTGATGGGGGGCCATCAGCTCATCAATATTCTCGATGGCTTCGGCTTACTTGAATGGTCAACACCTCTCTCACCAAGCTGGAGCCTCCTGGATGACAACGATGACGAAGAAGTTCTTGACTTGAACGCCGACACGACAATCTATCACCCTCCAATACACCAGAACTACCTTCAGCCTGCAAACGACAATGCCAGTCTCCTTACTACTGACACCATTGCGACCCACGATGCACCAACGCGTTATGATCAGCTCAATCACGTCGCCCCCACCCTTCGACCTGGCCATCTTGAAACAAATCCAGTTCGCCGAAGCGCCAGTGCTTGTGTTTTGATGGATCTTGTGCATATCCCTTATCATCATCGCTTGGACCTGTCGACTCTAAGACGAGCAACCTCTTCAAGACCAACACATAGCGCAAAAGTCCTGTGCTTGAGAGGTCAAACAGTATATCATGGGACGAGTTCAATCTCTGGCCTGACGACTCGATTGAGCAAGCCATGATTTTGTTGCCGAGTCCAGCAAACCAACGAAGCTCAAGTCAGTCGTCTTGCATCACACTTTATACACCTGCTGACATAATCATCATAGCAAGTCAACATGAAGACATGGGATCTCGATTGAATGGGAAGAATCAGAAAGGAGATGCAGAGGGTCACTTGCTCTTTGCAGCGCCCGAAGACTTACTACAATGTCAAGTGTCTAGCATGTCGCGCTAATGATCAAGCCAGCAAGTTACGCAGGAGCCCGGCTTTGCAATAGATTGTTCGCGCATTCAAGACGGCTAGATCTGTTGTACTACAAAGAAGCGAGCATAGACGATCTCTTTCCAAACCAGAACGTATTCGAGCCTTTCGCCCGACCAAAGGTCAAGCTAATAGTTGCTGGAGAGGAAAAGGAGCGCGTCAGAGCCTCAAAACGCGACTGCCGTAGCTACCAAGGTGCAGTAACAGCAGAGTGCAAAGTCTCATTTCTCTATGCCGCCCGGCGAATCGCTTTCTTCAAACCTTCGCAAAAGTCCTGCCTTCCAGGGAGACAAGCATAGACGAACCCATTCCTTTCTAGTCCCGATGTGTACCATGCACCTATCTCACGCATCCCACGAGAGCTGAGCTCTATCACTTCACCTAAATCCAGCCATGGATCCTTCTATGTCATCGTTCCCTCCACCAACAGTCCCTAAACATAGGCCAGCCCCATCCCTCCATCACTTCAACCAACAGTACCCAAAAATCAGCTAGCCATGGGCCTCTTCTAACATCGGAAACCGAATTTATCATTTCTCGAATCATTCTAGGATCATCGCCTTCATTTGGGTCGTGATCCTTCTTCTAATGCGGGTTAGGACGTAGCATAAGCTGTCTAAGAGCGTCTGTCTTTAGCCTTAAAGACCACGGTGGAATGACGTATCTAACTTACGTTGACATTAACTTCGTTGACATTTTGAGCTTCATCGTCAGAGCCTTAAAACACGAGTGCCGCAGCTACTAAGGTGCAGCAACAACAGCAACAACAGCAGCAGCAGTAGCAGCAGCAGCAGCAACAGCAAAGCGCAAAGTCTTGTTTCTCCATGCCGTCCGACAGATCCGTCTCGTCGACTGTTTGCAACGCAAAATTTCACCCTTCTAAAGAGACAAGCATGGACGATTTCATTCCTATGCCAATACCTCCTAATTTGCCTCGATACTATGCACCTACCTTACGCATTCCGCGAGAGTTGAGCCCTCTTACTTCACCCGAGTCCAGCCCTAGCCCTCCTTCACCTCTACCAACCGATGCACGACTGTATGAACGACAACTTTGAGTCAACACTAAGATGCATCTACGCCAATCCTGATAACCAATTTCGAGTCAATATCGAGATATGTCTACACCAATTCTGATGACCAACTTTGAATTAACACTGAGATATGTCTAGACCGACAACTTTGATTCAACACTGAGATATGTCTACGCCAACACCGGGATACGTCTACGCCAATCCTGATGACGAGCTTTTCGAAATCCAAGGTCTGCAGCTCGTACTGGCAAAAGTATTTGCCGATATGAACACGCGAAGATGCTTCGCTACAGATGCTCTGTATGTCGACGTCGACGGATAACTCAAAAATAAACTCAGACTCTGCAGAAGACAGCATGTTCCTCTGAATGTAAGACCGACAAACCCTCTCTCCTCTACCAACGTCTTAACAGCGTTTGCGTTCGGTACTCTTCCGACGCACCTACAAGCAGTATCCATCTATTCGCGGTGTGCTCGCGACGCAGGCTCGGGCTTCGCCCTCGCCCGCGCCGCTCGCGGCTTGGGGTTGGGTTTGGTTGATTGCATCTACAAGTCCCCCCTTTTGCATCTACAGGCAATATTTCTAGGGTTTGGGGTGCTCACGACTCGTGCTTGGGCACTTCTTGAAGCCCTGAACCAAGACAAGAGAACGTCCTTCAGTTGACTTGGAAAAAAGCCAACTGTGACTGCGGAGAGGACAGTCAACCTCATCGCCAGGTCCCAAAACATGAACTGTTTTTTCTCTGAGATCAATGCCGTGAACATTTTCTCACCACTTCCGTCCGTCGAAGTGAGCCAGCACAACTTTCCAGAACTTTGGCTTATGTGGTGCATCGATATTGAATTCTACCACCTTTAGTTTGGTTGTCTTGCTGCCAATAGTCGTTTTGAGAAGCGTACTGTAGGGTCGCAGTACGAGCTGGTTCGTGAGTCCAGCTAGCACACAGATCCTCGTGTTGGCAACGACGGCGCGCCATTGGTACTAAAAGGGACAGTGCCAAGTTCTTAGCGTCGCTGCCTCTTAGCTTCTCAGAAACACTAATAAGACACCGATTTCTGCGCCTTTACAAATCGCTGAGAAATCGCCATACAAATTTGAAATAGTAAGAAATTATTTTTCTCTACTTCTGCATTTTTAATTTTTAGCTAACTTCTTACTATTATAGCTCTACCTTCTTATTGCTCTATCTCTTATTACTTTATCTCTTATTACTCTATTTCTTATCCTCTATTACTAATATAGTTTCTCCTATTAACCTCGATCCTTAGAGGCCTCTTATTACCTATTAGATTATTATAGTTAGCTATAAGCTTTCTACTATTATCGACCTTCTATAAAAGTATAGTATAGCTATTAATAAGTATATACTTAAGTATAGGATTTAGTAATAGGGTATCTTAAAATAACCTAATAGAGACCTTCTTAAGTAGCGAATCTTAGAGCTATTTAGTTACTATTATATAACTAATAATAAACTAGCTAAGATACTTAGGTATAAAGACTTTAAATATATCTCTAGCTACTAAGTTAAAGTTATCTATAAGAAACTTAGACTTTATAAAAGGCTTAATTAGATTAAAGATAAGATACTTAAAAAGGTACTCTAGAATATACTTATAGCTAAGTATAATACTAGCTATATTAAGGACTTTAGTTATAGGTATCTTTATAACTATCTTTATTAGAAATATATAGATATTTATTTAATAGGCTAGTATATTTAAATTATAGTATAATTATATACTATTTCTTATTACTAATTCTATTCTAGTAATTATATATATAAGATTATATAAAATATTAACTTTTAAGCCTATTAGCAAAGATAATAAAAAGCTAAATACTATTATACTCCTATATAATATCCTAGTCTAAACTATATATAGTATATAGATACCTATTATAAGCTTAAAAAGTATAGTATTTAGATATATACTACTATTAATACTTAGTCTTAATAGATTATATAGTTATATATAGGCATAATAGCTTAAACTATAGTCTCTATTTATTTTTAATATATTACTTACCTTATTTAAGATAGTATTATACCTTAGATTATTTATACTAATTATAGAAAAGAGACTATTATACTTACTAATACCTACTTTACTCTTTTTAAAGAGATTCTTAGTATTAATAATCTTTATTTTCTAGAGATATACTACTATAGAACTAGTAAGGAAAATTAGTATATTAAAAGCTAGTAAAGATAGCTTATAAAGATATACCTTAATAAAATTAAGGCTATCTTTAATAACCTCTCTAATAAAGGCCTTTATACCTCTAGTATAGTACCTAATAGAGTTATACTACTTACTATCTACCTTTTCTTAATTTAAGTAGAAGTCTTAGTCTTTAATAAGATCTAGTTAATTTATACTATTAAAAGATAACTAAAGTATTCTTATATTATTCCTAGTTAGCTAGAGATACTATATAACTATCTAGAGCTTTCTAGTAGTTTCTAGTAAGGTATTTCTATTCTAGTTAAGTTACTTAAGCCTTTTAAAAAGTATTTCTAGGACTTTAAAATTAATAAATACTTATTACTAGTAGTACTTGCTTAGTATAAGACTAAATTAGGAATATAATATCTATAGCTCTATAATAAAGAAGTAGTTTAGCTAATTTAACTTAATAACTCTAATACTAATAGTTATTACTTTTATATTAAGGTATATATCTATTTTAGAGACTAGCTCTCTAAGTATATACTAATAAGTAATAACCCTCTAATATATAAGTCTAATATTCTATATAGATCTTATAACTAGAATATACTTAATCTAGAGGTTATATATATATTTAGACCTAGTTAGAATAAGGTACTATATTATCTTAAAAATAGTAATATAGATCTAAGACTTTATAAGTTCTTTTAAAGAATAGCTAAAGAGATATAGCTAAAGATTTATCTAAGATTATTATAATTTTATACTACTATTTCCTACTATTTTAGATAGAGTCTTAGTAAAGAACTAAAAAAAAAATAATTTTATCTATCTATCTATTTTCTTAATCTCTTATTAACTTTTCTATTCTATTACTATATTCTTTACTCTTTCTTTATTATTTTTCTATATTTATAGCTTAAAAAAAGCTATAGAAAAGTACCTTCTATCTAAAAACTAGGGCTAAGTACTAGACCTTATATAGTTAATATAATAAGTATAGCAAGTACTATAAGCTTAATTCTAACTTTAATAATACTACTAGCTTTTTTACTATTTAGTCTACTACTAATAAGGCCTTTAATATAGCCCTTAAATAAGACTAAGTTTACTTAGCTTATTAGATATTAATATTACTTAATTATATAGGCTATGGCTAGCTAGTTTCTTAGTAGTTATCTTATTCTTAAAATACTTCTTAGCTAGTATCTATTTCTAAAGTAGCTTCTTTATCTTAAGTATCTTCTTTATCTTAGTTTATACCTTTTTAGACTATACTTTCTTATTTTTCTCTTTCTAATATATAGTCTTTTGCCCCTATATAAATATAATCTAGTAAACTAATAGACTAGAATATAAGAGTAGTAAATAGTATAGTAGTAGGTAGTATAGCTAATTCTTAGAGGACTTAGAGTATCTATTATAATTATATTACTAATCTTACTAGTAGATTAAATATAGTACTACTAGCTCTCTTTTAATATTAGGATATTACTACTAGTACTTCTATTCTAAAGTCTCTAAAAAAAAAGCCTTATTATATTAAGATTATCTATTAGGCCTTTACTATTTATACTTTTTAAGGTTTTAATAGTATTAGGTATTAGTCTAGACCTTATTTCCTTACTACTAGAAAACCTTAGAGTAATATACTAACTAAGGATTTTATAAAGAAGTTCTATATATCTAAAGATCGACCTAATTAAGAATAATACCTTTATTAATAGCTATAGAAATATAGTCTATATACTAATATTAATAAGTATAGAGAGGTATATTATTTTATTACTAATTTCTAAGGCTTTACTCCTATTATTAAAGATAATTTATAGTTAAGCTTAGAGACTATTAATATACTTACTAGATACTTTTAGAAAAATAAGAAGATTAAGTTTAGACTCTATATTAAAGTAGTTAATACTATTAATAAGATCTTTAAAAAAGACCTTATTATTAGAAAGCTTAATAAGTAAGAAAAGGATATTATTATACTAGTTTCTAATATTAACTATAAGAATAATAGTAAGAATAAGGCTTAAGTAGTCTTAATACCTTATATAATACCTTATTATAAGAATAAGAGTAAGAGTAATACTTAAGTAGCCTTAACTCCTTATATAATATTCTATTATAAGGCCTTAACTACTACTTAACTAGTTTGCTTATTAATAACTCTAGTTATTAAGTAAAAAGTTATTAGAGCTAGTAGTAAGAATATTAAATACCCCTTATTTACCTCTTAAACTATTAATCTATACTAACCTCCTTCTATTATTAATCTTACCTTCTTAAGAGAATCTAGTACTATTTTTCTATTTTTCTCTTTCTATTATCTTAATAAACTATTTTCTTTATCTTTACTAGTACTTCTATTAATTAAAGAGAAAAGACCTAAATAAGAATAAAAATAAGATTAAAATTAAGAGTAGAATTATAAGTAAGAGTAAGGATAGAAGTAAGAATAGGGGTAAGGATAGGAAAAAGAGACTATAGTTCTAGATATTTTAAGATCTCTTAAGAGGCTATATAAGATAGAAGTTATTAATAAGGATATAAAGAAAAGAAAAGAACTTTAAATTATATCTTCTAATTAGGTAATAAGAGAATTAGTATATAAGATTAGAGATAAATATACTAAATAGTAGTAAAAATTATATAAAATATTAGAAAAATATTACCTAGATATAACTTAAACCTATCCTAATATACCTAATTGACCTAATTTTTACTAAGTTAAAATTAAAAAAATTTAGAAGTTTTTAGATAGGGTTACCCTAAAATCTTTAAAATTCTATAATTTCCTATAATTTTAGGATAGGATTACCCTAGTATTTTAAAAATTTTGCGATTTTTAGCGATTTTAAGAAGGTAACCCTATTATAAAATTGCAAAATTTTTAAAATTTCTAAATTTAACTTAGTAAAAATTAGGTTAATTTAGATACTAACTAGGTAACTCTAGATAAATATTTTATTAATATTTTCTATATTAAAAGTAATAGGGTTTTAGATAAATCATATTTTTAGATATAGGTTTCTTAGTAAAAAATTAATATTTTAAAAAATACTTAAAAAGTAAATTGCAGTATAATTACTACTAAAAATTACTTCTTTAAGCTTTTTTAATTATTAGAATTTTAACTATACTATCTATATAAAAAAATTAAGAGTATTATCTATACCTAAACTCTAAGTATACTAGAATTAAGCTTAAATTAAGTAGTATAAAAGGTACTAGTAGTAGTATTATTAAAGTAGTAGATTAAGTAGTTAATCTACTTTTACTAAAAAGTAATAGTACTCTTTAATATCTCTATCTCCTTATAAAGACTAGTAATAGTAGTTTCTATCTTAGCCTTTTTATTCTAGTAGTCCTTAAGGATCTTACTAGCCTTAGAGATAGTAGTAATAGTAGTAATAGACTTAATAGAAATATTATAGAGTAAGGTAGAAATAATCTTAATAGAGGTAGTATTATTAAAAGGATTAG